AATTACTATTAGTAATCGCGACTATATACGAATCTCCTATATATATAGAATAGACGTTTCTTATATAGGTAGTTCGTATTCAACCTAAGTTACTAACCCGCCGAAAGGTCAAACCTTAGAGTAGTTACTTACCCGACCTATCGCTTGGAACTTACTCGTCTAACGAGCTCTAACCCCCTTATACCGTAGGTGTATAACAACTAGACTCTGTTATTACTACCTATATTGCGGAATACAGAAGGTAGATAGTATATCGCAGCTTCGAGGGCACGCTAAAGTTATATAATATAGAGGCTAGAGCTAGGGTATTAGGTACGAATACGTCGGAGGGAGTTATAGCGTATATACCCTAACGCTATATATGCCGTATATAGCTTATAGAGGGTAGGGAGGGCTAAGGTAAGTAGAGTTAAAGGGTTAAGGTAAGTAGAGTTAAAGACTACTACCGTAGTAGTCTTCGGGAGCAGCCGAACTTCGCGGAGGCGGCTATACTTTACCCCGCGCTCCTGTACGTACGGGCGCATATCCGCACGCCCTCGCGCGTCCGACGACTACTAGCGTACACCTATACCCTAACCCTAGTACTACGAAATACTGTCTAGACGTACTAGAAATAATACCGGACAGACAATCGAGTACTGCGAGTAAGATGCATCCTGTTTTAGCGTATAGAACGGCGCCTGTAGGCAGTTCTAGAAGTGCGGATCCTACTAAATAGGATCCTACTAAAATCTAGACCGTGTAGCTTCGCGCCTTACCGGATTTAGGGAGGATCCTATTAATATTTAGTTGCCTCCTAGGCCTTATATTGGTTAGGGCCCTAAATTCTAAAACGGTTCCCTAAATATTAAACCCTAACCTAAACCGAACCCAAACTTTGCTAGGGCCCTAACCTAATAGAGGAGCCTAGTAGGTAGTATACCGACTTTATATAAGTATATATATAACTTTTAGTTCGTTCCGCACTAGTAGCTACTAGCGCAAATACTACCGATTACTATATAATATAAGTACGTAGTATAAAGTATCGGCCGCTATCGAGCGCTCTCTAGAGGGCTTTTCTATATTATAGCAATATATAATAGATTAGCACGCTATCGGTATATCTTTATATATCGTTCTAGTGCTCTTAGTCGTAGCTTATAAGCCGAACCGATTATAGCATACCTTGCTTAGCCGGGAAGGTAGTTGGACTCAATATCGATATTCTTCCCCACTGTCTACTACGGCCTAGATGTTGGTCCTACTTGGACCTGGCCGGGAGTATAGTATAAGAGCTACTAGAGTGCAACCAAACAATTATAGCTAGGAGCTTCTTATAGAGGCTTGCTGAGAGGTGGGCGTGATTCGTCTTGCTGGCTACCGATCTTAGCACAACACTATCTTGTCATACCTTCGGTAGATCCTGTGCTGCTGAATGTAAAAGCTATTCCGCTGTACTAGGAGCAGCATTCATAGCTATTGATTCCTGTCACGAGGCTCAAGGAAACATTTTTGCGGCGGGCTCGTGAAGGCGCCTATAGCCACGCATGACTGGTCTGCATCATAGTATGCTCGCCAGAGTATCCGTCACCCCAATTCGACGCGAAACTCGCCAGACTGTAGAGATCGAAGTAGTCTGTAGCCTCCAGCGTCCGCGTGCGATTGCGAAAGCTACGTTGACTATCCTGGCGTGGCAGTAGACCGGATGGCCAGCCAATAGCACCTCGGAGGGATGAGAGCATGGACGCCGCTAGTCCACGAACATATGAATGTCCTGGCTCAGACTTTCTCCACTGGAGCTGCATGCCGACATTGTGTTGATCCATACTTCTGCCGATACGTGTGTCTGCAATCCTGAGTGCTTTTTCGCGACTTATCCTTCCATGCACATGGTGATAATCCTTCCACCTTCAGAGCTCAGAGGTCCGATCGCTCCATACCTATGTCCCCGGATCATATATTATGTTGGATGCCGAGCCAACTGGAGCAGATAGAAGCCATAGTGAGGCTGAATGTTGAGGCCAGTGCCGGTAAAGCCAGAACCTGAACGCTAGTCCTGCATGCATGCCTAGTCTGTAGCATGATAACGGCCACTAGAACAGTGGCCGAAAAGCTGTGCTCAGGAAGTTCAGGATATGAATATGTCAAACTGCCAGCAATTTCTCGCATTTGCTGGAAGTCATCGGTTTTAGCCTGGCGAAGTATTGCCATGCCCTTGCTATACGTGGAGCGGAGGTGCATAGTACGTCTTGCTCGTAGCGATCAAAACTGGCGGTAGAGCTTTGTTCTTGCGCTCAACCCTTCGCTTTCATTTCCTAACGGAGGACAGTGTGCTTTAGTCCACGGGTAGCGGTCCGAATAAGCGACCGAAACATGCTCAATATATACGAGCTTATATCATTGTACCGCTCGAAACCCTAACACTACGCTTGGCCACGAGTTTAGTAAGGGAGCACAATGTCCGAAGTAGTTTATAAGGTCATCCGCGCAGCACTTGGAGCTCGGGAGACACCTTGTTCGTCATACCAACATTAATTGTCGCGCTAGCTCTTAACCAAGATCCGGTGTGATTGCGGAAGTCAATATGCGATCAATGTTGCGACTAGTCGCCCTCGCCTGTCTCGCACAATTTCCATCAGTTTCGGTCAGTGTTCAATTGAGGCAAGACAGCATCAATGTCACTAGTCCAGCATATCCCCCGTCGTACTGTGCGTGTATTGCAGACTTCGAAGTACCCTGCTCCCGTTGACATTAGTCCACAGGTACGAATGGCAACTCGTCCACCAAGCCGTACAAGTTTGGCTACATCATCTTCAGTGGCTACGAACCCCTTGATATCAACGGTCCCGTATCAGCGCTTGGAACACTAGGTCGCGATCACCATATCGAACTCTCCGTTATTGCCGAAACCATGAGCCCCGTGACCAGCGCACCACTTCTCCCCGCCATGAACCCTTTCAACTCAACGACATTTGTGACACTCAGTCCGACGCACACGTTCGAGACAGCGCCCCAGGATATCGAGGTCCTCATCATCCCAGGGGGAGCTGGCTCGCGCTCATCGAAACTCAATACAACCTTCGCATACCTGCAGCAAACATACCCCAAGCTGCAATACCTGATCACAGTCTGTACAGGCGCTTTGGTAGCCTCGCGCGCGGGTTTGCTGGATGGAAAGTTTGCGACAACGAACAAGCAGGGCTGGGCGGCCGTTGTTGCAACGAATCATCATGTTCATTGGGTGCCTCAGGCAAGATGGGTAGTCGACGGGAATATCTGGAGCACTTCGGGCGTATCGGCTGGGATCGATGGCACCTTGGGATTCATCGAGTGTTTCTACGGTACTGCAGTCGCGACAGCCGTGGCGAAGTGAGCTCATTATTCTGTTCTTGTGTTTGAAACCCTTGTTGACTTTGAGTAGCTCCATGGAGTTCGGCTGGCATACCGATCCGCATTGGGACCCATTTGCGGCGGTGTACAATGTGACCGCACCCCTTTATGTGCCACCTTACAGACTGTAGCTGTGTAGATCGCGCAGGGCAGATATGTTTGAAAGGGCAGTGGCAAGTGGCTCAGACTGCAAGTTTGCTCATGATTTGACGACATTGTTGGCGAGACGTAGAACACGTTAGCAATCGCTTCCAAATGCTGGCCGAAGATGATATGATTATCTAAGGTCTGGGTAGTGCAACCCTGTCAACCGGATTTGCTTGTTACTCCTGCTTCCGACTCCGGATCAGTACACAAATAGCATGACAAGCATTGGCTATATTATGGAATTCCTTGTCTCTGTAAGGACTCGAAGCCTGTCCTGTGCTGTCGCTGGACTCCGTCGTCGCCGTGCCGTTGAGAATATACTGATTCTCGCAGCTCCACTTTCCTCTAGATGACGTAGCTAATACATCCGAGGGGCCCTCTGTCGTAAAATCAATAGCTTAGATGACGCTGGATGCTGACGGCGGTTCTGCCCATCAACAGGTCCAGCTTGCGTCAAATCTTGTGCACACGAGCGCAATACGTTGACTAACGAGACCTGTGTGACTCGCAATCATCCAAGCAATACCATCGCGCTAGATCGAGCGATCGAACATGAGCGGCTGTATGCGTGAAGAACACAAGTAGGAACCCTTAGACTAGTTGTCTCGAGCTGGAGTCGGACACCTCCGGCAAAATTCCGCTGCCTCGGACGAGCTAGGCCTGGCATGATTTTGCACCTTCCTCATCAGCATCACCAAGCCAGCACTATCACTTGGCCCATGTCAAACATCAGGTCGTTACAACGTCAGTCTGCCAGGTCACTTGGCTCCCCCACCACCGAGATGTAGTATCGTAAGTGCTCCATCCACTTCCGATAGTAATGATGCGAGGTCGCCTAACCAAAGTGCATGACATGCTGCGAGGACGAGGCAGTGCTGCAGGTTTTGGGATGATCGCCGGTACCTGTCCATTGATCAAAACGAGGTTGTCATGTTAGTGGATTGAGATGTGCTCTACGTTGCAGGAAGCGATGCGACATACAAGATAGAAGGCCATCCGCTGCCAGAAGATGTGTGACCCTCGCTCTCTCTCCTCGTTCCCGCCTGAAGTTGATCCGATTCCAACATGAGGACTACTTATGCACTCCTAGCAGCACTAGCTGTGGCCGAGACTTCCATCCAGCCATCACGACCCTTCCGGGACCCACAGCAATGGCGACCCAAGCACAAGGGCGGCTGGTGGAAGCCCGACCACACGATACCGTGGGACCATCCGTCTCGTGCTTCAAGCACACTCACGCCCACAGCAATACCCACAGACCTCCCACTGGTCGATTCTGCAGCACTACAGGCGGCCATAGGAATAGACACGCTGTCGGACAAGGCCCACGAGCTCGAGGATGCGGCATACAGCACATTAGATCGTAATAGAGTAATGTCCTCTCTGGACCACAATAACACCATCGATCTCATCACCAGCTATCTAGACAAGCACGCTGACTACTTCCCTACGAGGTCCGGCCATTCATAGCACTCTACTCCCAATCCTCCGGGAATCTGACCGTCGATGGCGAAGAGCAAGGCGCAGAGCCATTCTCTTACACACCTTCTGGAGACTTCTCTGCGCCATTCGTCGCTGTTGCCAATTTAGGTTGCAATGCTTCAGACTACCCAGCGGAGGTGGCTGGCAACATTGCACTCATCCCTCGTGGCACATGTCCATTTGGGCTGAAGTCGAGCCTTGCAGGCGCAGCAGGCGCCGAAGCGGCAGTCATCTACAATAATGCCCCCGGTCCAACTGGCGGCGGTACACTTGGTGAGCCTACCGAGGAGCTGAATGAATACGTGGTCACCGTCTGAATTGCACAAGAGAACGGGACTGCCATACTAGCAGCTCTCGAGACTGGAGATTTTACCGGAGTCCTCATGGTCGATGCCATCATCTAAAATAGGACGACCTACAGTAAGTTCGCCATGCTTTGCACTTCGCATCACAAACTAACTGTAACGGCCTAGATGTTGTCGCCGACACTATTTCAGGAGACCACAATAACATCCTCGCCGTAGGTGCACACAGCGACTCTGTCTACGCCGGTCCAGGCATCAACGACGACGGGTCCGGGCCGGTCGGCATCCTAGAAGTTGCCGAACAGCTATCATCATACAAGATCAACAATGCAGTCCGCTTCGGCTGGTGATCAGGAGAAGAATTTGGCCTCCTGAGATCAGAATACTACGTCAGCACCTTGAACGCTAGCGAGCAGGCCAAGATTCGTCTCTATCTGGATTTCGACATGATAGCCTCGCCAGACTACTACTATGCCATCTATGATGGCGACGGAAGCGCATTCAACGTCACTGATCCAGCTGGGTCAGCAGAAGCGGAGATATTCTTCGAGGACTACTTCGACTTCCGCGGTCTCAATTATACCCCCACCGAATTGGATGAACGAAGCGACTACGAACCCTTTCTTGATGCCGGCATCGCCTCCGGTGGACTCTTCACGGGCGCCGAGGTAGAGAACACAGAAGAACAGGTCGAACAATTTGGCGGTGTAGCAGGAATAGCTTTTGACGCAAATTACCACTATGCCGGGCATAATTACGATAATCTCAACTTCGAAGCATTTCTCGTCAATACGCAGGCTATTGCCGCTGCCGTAGCGGAGTACAGCACTAGCTTCGGTAGCTTGCCGGCTGCGAACGGGACGGAGAGAAGTGTGAAGACGAGGGATGTAAGGAAGAGGCAGCACGTGCACTCGCATGCTAGTCATAAGGGGAGCTGCGGGTTTGCTGCTGAGTCGTAGAGGTAGGATTTCGCAGTGTGGGCAAGAAGGAGCCTGGTGTCTCCAAATGTGCGAAGAGGTCGAGCATAACTTGGGCACTCCTGCTACGTACGTAGTCGTCGGGGGATGGCATGATTCGCGTCGGACGAATGATTGATCCGAGCTGCACACTGATCTTTATATTGAGCCTCCTTGGTCGGTTCGGCATCGCCCATCTTCGATAATTGACCTGTCGCCGTCTGCCACATTTATCGAGCACATGCTGCGCCGCTCGCTTACCAGGTCTTGGGCTTTGCCGAAGACCACTTCTCGCATTTAAGGTGAGGGATTGCATCGATGTTTACGGCATGCGCAAAGCATGGCTGAAAAACATCTCCCCACATCCACAAGAACCTCGGAATCACAACTACCTGCTCTAACTCAAGACTTGTTCTTAACCACGTGCACTGCAATCACTTCATCTGGCCCGGTCTCGGCAACATCATCCTTATCTCTACCCACGCAAGCTCGGAGCGCCAGTCACCGTGGGAGCTGGTTCGCGAGATTCGGATGTCAATATCAAGGCCTCAAGGGCAGCCAACCTCAATCTACACAAGCGTGGGGGGCCGCAAGTGCCGCGACTCAAAGCTCGGCCTGATTGGCGCAAGGGCCTGCCAAGAGTCATTTTCAGCCCTATGCTAGCCTTTAGCCACGGACAACACATGGACGATCAAGGGGCTGATTCAAATTTAGATGGGCATCCGTCTTGGGCATTCCGCATGACTTGGGTCTCAAGATGTCCGAGGACACTTCGGCGTCCGCCGTCATCAAACTCATGCAGCTGGACAGTCCCTCTCGACACGATACGTCGGCAACAAATGATAATTCACCCTATCTAAGTAGCTAATCGACTACTCCCAGCAAGACTTGGGTCTTGCGGTCTGAACCCATCCTCCAAAGACTTCTTGATCTACCGTCCTTGGATTGTCGCTTCTATGCCTGATGTTCGATTCTAGGGTCTGATGGTGTGAGGTCACAGAGACCCATGGCCCTGTAGTTCCTATCAGCATTATGGTCGTATGTCGATTCCTCTTTAGACAAACCTTCGAAGAGTGGTTCTATAAAGGTAGCATATTCGCATTTGATGGCCTCCAAATCGTCAAGGACTACTGATATAGCTTCGCACGTCGTAGAACTGAGCAACATACCACCGCTTATGCCTCAGGAGAAACGAGTAAGCTACGGCCGCTACATTGAACATGTGGAAGATGTCTTCTCAAGTTCGTGATCAACAACGGTGTACACGAGTCGTCTTCCGTCAGATCCCGATAAGCTCCCACCAACAAATCTGAGTTCCGGCTTCGACGACGCCCACCGCTGGACCAAACATGGGATGGCCATATAAAACATCATACCATCTGAAATCGTCGTAATCCTTCCCGGATTATATTTTCGTCGATGGAGAGAGACCTAACAGTCTTTGGCACAATATAAGCCGCAGAGCGCGACATACCACGTTAATTTGCTTGTATTCGTTGCATTGTCAAATCAAGTGGTGAATACACAGTGAAGGATTGCAAAATTCATGACCATGCCCTGCAATATGACCTAGATCATTGTGGGTCTTCTACCGAGAAGTCCGTCCCAAAAAATGTAGATGAGAGGGTCGCTACAAGTTTCGTGGAGGTAGAAGTCGGCGTTGCGGAAGTCGATCGCTGCTATGAACCAGGTGCCACGGGCATTGGTTGCATCTGACTGACACTCTGCTTCTATCGCGGCAGCTTTTGTCTCTCTGGTCAGGGCATACAGATTCTGGCTGTAGTTGGAGAATTTGCCGGGCTCGATGGTCTGGACGACGCCGAGGATGGGCGCGATGACAACCCATTGGCCGGCGGAGAGACCTAGAGATGGGAAGAGATTGTATGAATCGCTATCTGAGCTGAGTGGAAGGGTCGTGTCCGGTGTGTCATGCTACTTAGCTAGAGGAGAGTTGGAATCGTAGCACGAAGCATAGCCTCGTGCACCAAAATTGATGGTGAGGCAATCTTAATGCTTCCTCGCCACCAACGTCTCGTACGAGCGTACTTGCATGCCCTGGTTGTCATTGTGGAGTCTTCGTGGCTGTGTCTGCAACGGCCGTTGTGGCCATACGCTCTGCTCTGTAGGAGTGCTTTATTGGGACGATTCGAATCTGGCGCCATTATTGTGGTCTGTTGATCACTGAGCACTTCCTGCATTCGACTTGCTACTATGAGGCAACCGATCTTCATCAAATAGATTGGTGGAGTACGATCCTCTTTGATGACTTACTAATTATACGTCGTCAGTAACTCCCCCATCAACGCGACACCGAAAGCGGCTGCCTTGCATCTCGCGGCGCTACAGTACTAATTCCAAGCGTCATGCTGCATGCTGGAGATCTCAACCTACGAAAATCGACTACCACACCGAACATCATCTAGGTCACCACGCAGTTCTGTACTAAAGTTGCGATAAGCTCCTGCAAGCACGAATACTATGTGAACTTCCCGAGTATCTCTATCCTCGTCTGCTCACTGATGGTATCGTCTAGGACTCATGTCCATGCATGGATGCTTTGAAGTGACTACTCGGAAGTAATTAGAAGGGCTGGCAATGAGTGCAATCAAGGTCGCTAGCCCCAGCCATAAGGCTAACCGAGACTTCGTAAGCCCACAAAGGTGGAGCCAGAGTCTCGGCGAAGTCGTCGATCACTAACCAAGCGCTACATGTACCCAGAAGTAGAGTGTATTGCGAGCGGCTATTGTGTGCATAGATAGTCATCTTGGCGGGTGAAGAATGTTCATACGATTCAGAGCATTGCGAAAGCGGCTGCCTGGAGGCTCGTTGCAAGAACGGCCCCCATTGCTGCATTCAGGCTTCCGTACCCAGCAGATCTGCTCGCAAGTTGTGACACGAATCCAGTCATGCTCCAAGCTACCGGACGGCCAACATGCATTTCACGACTACACATGGCAGTCTAATGTCGTCTATGTGATGCGAGTCCGAGCTGATGCCGCATACATCGGCCGAATGCACAATGCCTACAGCAAGATTGATACAAGTGGATCTCCTCTAAGGAATATATAGTCTGGCTGTGGATTTCAGTTCAGGCTGCTACATCATCACTTCAAGAACCCTTCTTCGCACTTCATCAAACTCGCTTACGCTGAAGAAGAGCCAAGCAGAATAAAGATATGGCAAAATCGACTCGCCCTCCTGCCAATGGTTTCGTGCGCGTCATGCGAACAGCCTACAACCCGATCGGTTTCTCGAAAGGCTACAATGCCATCTTATGTAAGTAGACCGAGGATGCTATCGAGCAAGAAGGATGCCTCTTATACTGATGGCTAACAACAGGGTTCCTTACTGTGGGATACATCTTCGGTTTCACTCTGTCTCGTCTGGGGTATCTGTCCTTTGGTACCGTCTTCTGCGGTGTAAATCGTACACCAGGTGCGTCTCAAACTCTGACGATGGGTGTGGGACTTCATCTAACATGCTCACAGGGTCCGGAGCAGCGCCTGGGGAGTGCTATTATTGGCTACAAGATCCTTTTAAGATTGGTCTGCATCGTTCGAGACTTCGAGAAAAGTGGCTGCACTGAAATTGAATACGTAGGCATGAAGATCCATCTCTTCACCATCTTACCAGCAAGCTACTGGTATGCTTCCAAGTCGTACCTGCGATTCGATACACCTTCACGCTCTTCCACCGTATCAATGGGCATCTAGTCATCGTCTTGTCGCTCGTTTCCAGTGCCGGAACTCTCATGGTGGCACAACACGCCTTTGGTGGGGAGCTGTCAACGCAAGCTTATGCCGAAACGTTGGTCATACTCACTACGATTGGCTATGTAATGGCCTATACCAATATCAAGCTCTTGCAGATCGACCAATATCGCGCCTGGATGATGAGAACATGGTCTTGGTTCGCTACTATTATTACCATTAGGATTATTCAGATCATCTCTACTATGATCATCAGCAGAGGAGGAGGCTTTTGGATAACTTGGCCGTGTGCGCAAATTGACGCTGTGCTTGGGCAAAGTGACACCGTCAGTACTTACCCGGGCTGCAATGCGTTCTACGATGGTACAAATCCGAGCCAAAGGGCCGTCGTTGCTCCTGACTTTGGTGGAAATGCTGCTGAGATTGGTGCATCCCTGGGTATTCCGTTCGGGACTGCGGGCTGGATCGCTCTAGTGCTTCACACTATCACTATTGAGCTATACGTAGGCCGCACCCGATTTTTCTGTTTGGAACGAACCTACTGATTCTTCTACTAGCTTCGCTTGACACCAGCATAATCCGATCGTCTTCGTCATGTCTCTTACGAGCGTCAAGGAGCGAAAGGTTTCAAGCAACCTGGATAGGCTGGGCTTGTGGTAAGTAATATTGCTCTGATCTGTACAGTGGGCAGGAAATGACGAATAATGCTTTCCATACTGACATACTCTGTCTATTCAGGCAGAACGCTTTAGAGACGCGTATGCGTCCGTACCGGGGTCGAAAGTCGGCCAGGAATTTTTGGAAGCAGGAGATGCTGGGGGTGAGCGTCCAGAGATTGTAGACGAGGAAAGGAGGTAAAAGCTGAATGCTTTCGAACAGGCTATCTCCTCACTGCCATATCCTGGCCAGCGTCTGCACATCCCAAGCGACAGCTTCATAGTCGAAGCCATCTGGTACGCTCCCAATCATGACACAATCAAGCTATCGACGCTGATCCTCGGCAATGGGTACGACGGCTCGCAAGGAGTCCTGTACCACACAGTCGTCGTACCAGCACTAGCTAGTGGATAGAACTGCGTCACCTACAAAGGACCGGGTCAGCCAACAGTAAGCTGGCGCCAAGACCTTGGCTTCATCCCTCACTTGGAAAGAGTCGTGACCCCCGTAATCGACTACCTCTTACAGCATCAATCAGGCGTGGTCGACTCATGACGTCTAGTGCTTTTCGGCTACTCCTTCAGCGGCTATCTGGCTGCCCACGCTGCAGCCTTTGAGCCCCGCCTCTCCGCCGTAATGCTAGACGAAGGCGCCTTCAATACCTTTGACAGCTTCTACTTCCCTCTGCCACCCTCGGCAGTCGCTCTTTTCAACTCCGGCAACAAGACCGCTTTCGAAGCCCTCCTAAACAAATTCGCTGATGATTCCGAGGTCGATTAGACAATAAGATGGGGCATTCACCAAACTCTCTAGTCCTTCAAGTCACGTTCAGCCTACGACTTTCTCCAATTGACCAAGGCGTACATGGTATAGAATTTGATCCACCAGATCAAGGTCCCGGTTTGGACTGCAGATGCTGAGCTCGAAGGCTTCTTCGTCAATCAGTTTATCAAGACCAAGGAGGCGCTGGGCGACCAAGCTACCTACCATTTGTTCAACGGTACGGGAGGATTTCACTCCCAAGTTGGAGCGCTACAGGAATTTAGCCGGATTACGTTCACATGGTTAGGTAGGGCACTTCGCCGCTAGTTGGCATATGGTTCGGATGTCTCACAGGCAAGAGAAGGGCTCCAGGAGCTTCATCGTGGTTCTAAGGATTCATCCAGCCACGTCGTGCGTATGAGACATATATTACTCCTCCTCGAGTGATCGTTAGTGCTATATACAAACACCATTGGCGATCCAATATCATATCGGCGGTCTTTGCGTCTAGATGCCATGGACACGAGGCGGATCCTGGGTGAGGGTTTGATGTTGTGAAACTATGCACTTCCTCCAAGCGGTAGCTCCACGCAAACAATCACTATCACAGGTCCAATGACAACACACTCACCTCAATCAGATGCGAGATATCCGTCTATAAATTAGAGCTGTGGGAAATTGCTCTTATACACGTGTCCGATGTGGAAAATTGTTGAAGTCATGTTATGCGACGTGGAGATGATAGCAGTTATATCGAGAAGCCCAGATATTCATGATACAACCTGTAGTCTAACGTGTCAATAAATATCAATTGCTACATAACGATATTACTGTGCAGGTACATGAAAGCAAAAATCACTAGATCGCTACGGAACTCCCAAGATTGATAGTCACTGGAGACCCGCTCAGCGTCACCCACATGATCAAAGGTTCCGATCCAAGCTGATCATTCGTTGTACCGCTCGACGCTGTACCTGTGCCAGGTAAAGTCACCGGGATTGGTGCACTGCAGCTATTGCCCGAAGCCGTCACCACGACACCCGTAATGCTTGAGCCATCCGAGGAGTACTGATAGGTCAGGTTAGGGTTGCACTGGTCTCGGGCCATGCGCTGCAAGAAGGTCTGCGCGATATCGTCGTGCTTCTTGGTGACAATTGGCCAGTTCGTAAGCCTCGTCATCTCTTGTGTGACCGTCTCAACCCAGATCTGCAGCAAAGAGTAAGCGTTCACCGAGCCTACAGTAGTTGCTGGAACGTCGGCCGCTCTGAGGTTGGCTTGATGGAACATGTATGGATCTTGGCGAAGAGACAGTAAGTAGCGAGACGTCGTGAACTTCTCATAAGCCAGGAGCGAGTTGAAGTCGCCAGAGCCCTTGGAAGTGTCAATCCACTCCTGCAATGTACATGCCGGGAGGTCGCAGTTGTAGTACATTGTAGTTGGCCAGCGAGGTATGATAGTCAGACCTGCGTAGCCATTGCTGGCCACCGTTGAGATGAGAGGCCACCAACCATTTTGCTGGTTGGTTAACACGGAACGGCTGTTGTCTGTATGGTGGCAGGACTGGTTAGCTTAGTCCGTACTGTGTTATTTCGTGCATACGTACCACCAACGACTGAAGTGATGCCATTGGTCATCCAAGCATTAATGACATCCCCATTGTGCATTCCGGTAATGGCTGGCGGGATGAGTCCATTCGCACTGAATTTGCCCGCGGAAATGCCCATCGACTTCAACCAAGCTTGATTGAAGGTAATTTCTCGTGAGGCATCGTCAAAGGTCGCGTTGTTGAGTGACAGGTGAGTGAATGTATGGGAGATATGGGCGAAGGCGTCTCGGTTAGCAGACCTGCAGAGCGGGGAGACCCAGTGTCAGCTTATGTTCCGCCATGTCAACATCTAGGAATTACCACTTACTGTGTGAACCACGTGGCAAGACGATCGACCTGAGCACATGCAAGACTCCAACTATACGCTGTGGGCGTTGTCGGCCAGAAGTCCGCACCAGTACCTAGTGGCTTTTGAAACTCAAGTGCAGTTTCTGGCTGGTCGTTCGGATAAACTGCATCGACTGGGTTACAGATGTCGACATTGGCAGAATACCTGTAGCAGAGAGGAGAGGTTAGCAATGGCCATAGCAAGGTCGTGTGGGATGGAATTGGGCTTGCATACTCGATGTTGGTGGCATTAATGATATCCCCGTTACCGTTGTGACCAAGCTCAATTTGATAGTTCGACCCGCTCGGCAGGCGACCGTTGATGCTCTTGGTCCAGGAGACATGGGACGTTAGATCATCGGGGCCGATACGGAATTTTGCGTTCGCTGGTGAGTAGAGGGCCGTTGTAAGATGAACATCATCAATCTGCGTGCTGAGGTAGATCTTTCGGGCGCCTAGGAACAGTCCGCGGGTCATCCAGTGGATATAAGCATGCTGTAAGAAAGCCGATGTAGGAGACCACTCGGTGGCCCAACTCGTAAAGAAAACCATTTGCTGACGGCCGCCGAAGTTATTGATCACAGCAGCTGTCGAGTCGCTAGTGAATTGGCCAGCAGAGTCGGGTGCGAATTTTGCAACCTGCCACGTCGTACTGGGGTCAGTAATAGACGCTGGATAATGGTACATTGATGCGGTTGACATAGTAGCCCCCAGCTTCAAATTTGCAGTCGGGAAGCCAGTGTTGTTGGTGAAACTAATCAGCTGCTCCACACCTGTGTCACAGCATCCCGTACTGGCAATGGTAGTCTGAGTACCAAAGGTCGGCTGTGGATATACATCTATGCGGACCATCCGTACACCGAATGCCAACTGGTAGCTATACAGCTGGTTGAATTGGTCCGGGCTAAGCGCGCTGGACCAATTCGTCGAGGAGTAGCTGTACGAGACCTCGGAGATCATGACAATGCCGCCATAGCTGCCATGACTAGCCGATGAGTTCAGCGTTGGAAGTGAGGCGCCACTCTGTGGGACGATAAGAACCTGGTATGGGATGCCATAGCCGACCAAGCCTGAGTAGCCAGAGTATGCCTCAGCCGTGGACCGGGCCAGCACGAGTATGGTCTGGTCGACCTTCTGGCCCCCAACAGCCGTGGCGTTGGCGGAAGCAGAGGCAGAGGTGGAGCTGAGTGTTGAAGATCCTGAGGCAGTGGATACGGAGCTGATCAGGGAGGTAGAACTCGACTTGGTGGTCACTGAAACGGAGCTTGACAAGCTAGCGGTAGAGGTTACGAGGGTAGTGGCAGCGCCTGACGAGATTTTGGTTGTCGTTCCCTGCTCAGAAGACGAGGACGCGGCGGTCGTTGTCAAGGTGCTTGACTTGGCAGTAGTAGTCGTCGTCTTCGAAGTAGTGGATGCTACTTTCGAAGATGTTGTGGCAGACGCGCATTGCCCGGGGAGGAGAGCGAGACCAAGACCGCAAACGAGTGCGGAAACTAGCGACATCGTTGCAAAGTAGATTGCGCACCACGCAATTCCTCTGCCACGTATGAACAAAAGAATGGGAAGAGGGATGGGTAGCGGCTTTTTAGTCCGACTTGAATCGGTTGTTATATCGGGGTGCTGTACTTACGTGTGCGTGCACACCAAAGTCGGCGCAACGTGGGCCCATGGTGGCTCACTGTCTCGAACCACATACGAGGAGTCTAGACGTTCTCTACCAAGGCACCGTGAGGCGAGTCTAGTGGCAAGCGACTCAAACACTTTGGAATAGAACAGACGGCAGCTGAAAGTATGACGCCGGCACGCTAACGAAAGCTAACCATGTACCTGCCTTGACTCAGTCCGGAGAGCCGACAAGCTAGCGATTCGTCACAGAAAGTGTAAAATCGAGTATAGAAGTTTCGATGGTGTATGGTACAGTACCGAAGGTGCATGGGTGGCCAAATGTCTCACGCCGCACCAGATTTTGACTTTTGAGACAGCATGTCCGCAGCAGCTGGAATCACGAGCATCAGGCGTCTAGAACGATGGCACAACAATTGGGTCACGTCTGGCTGCTAGGTCAAGTTCCTCCATCTTGCTTGTCACATCCCAACCATCTTTCTCACACACAATATCACAAAGTGAAAGGAAAATCATACTCGCAACTATGAAGTTCACCACAATGATCATCGCTCTTGTGACGGCCTTGCTACCAATTGCAAGCGCTGCCAAGATCTTAAAGCCCGTTGAAAACACAACGGCGCTCATCGACGAACATTTACCCAACCTTCAGAAACCTTGCGACTGCAAGCCTGCCAATTGTCCAGTGTTCCTGAGCAGCAAGAGCGTAAGTCAAGAGAACCGTTGGAATACATACAGAAGAAGAAAGCTGACGCTTGCGAACATCTAGCAATGTCACTGTCAAAATGCTGCAGCCTGGGGCTGCTACACTGCTGCCAACGGAGGATGCTCAAAACCCGTAGACAAGGTGCGTACCGTCCGCTGTTCTGTGCGAGCTGTCTAACGGATACTAGAAGTGCTAGTTGCGAATTTTCTTGGAAGGCTTTTCAGACGGATGTGGATGATGGTTCAATCGTAGTGTTCGGGTCACGGAGCGTCAACAGTAGTGCTGTATCTGCAAAATTCTGCCAAGTAGACCTCAGAAGATGTCAATAACTGTTATCAATAGCGTGCAAGCAAATGTCGATTCCTCAGCGTCGCCCTTCAGGACCGGTACTGCGGCACTACATCTCGTGGGCCTGACTACAGCCAGTCAAGCTCATCAAACATAGATATAGGGAAAATTGGAATGTCGGTCTTCTCAGCAACAGCCATGATGCTATCATCCCAAGCAAAATGGTGATTGCCGAGAGCCCCGAGGCTGTGAGTATCGCCACTGAGAGACATCGTGTCACTCACGTAGCCATGATTCGCTCATCAGAATCACCGATGTTCTCGAAGCATTCAGCTCCTGACACAAGGTTCCTGGAATGGTCCAGAATTCCAAGACGGCATCATGCACGATTGTAGCTGCCTATTCGAGGAAACCCGAGGATATGGAATAGATGCCACGAGGCAGGAAAGTTCCGTATCCCTGGATGAGACATCTCACATCGGCCAAAGTATATTTGGCTGAGAATACGCACCTTGACGGGTCCGTGCGTGGAATCGAGGACTGAAAATCTGGTTCGCTCAAATGCCGTCTGCGTGGCAATGTCAGCAGGAAGTCATCTTTGGCTGCAGGATGCAAGGGAACTTCCCGTCCGCGCACAGTCGCTTGCGTCCGTCTCGCTAGTTCTACTCTAATCAGGCGAATGCCTGTTGGAAGACTGGACAATGCTCATGCCCACATGGCTTTTGCTCTCAGGTGTGATGGTGCTGTAGGTTTCTGTCATGAAGTTTCCCAGAACAGGCTCGCCAAGGATGGGCGTTGGCGAGAACGCCTGTCGACATTGCGTGTTCATGATAAAGAGTGCGGTCGCGGAGCCCATCGTATAGCAGTTCATCTCTCACCACATTCGCTCAACAGCACATTCACTATACAGCGCATTCGCTATACATCACATTCCTTCTCAACCTCTCGTTTCACATTCATTCTATCCACCACCGACCTTCACAGAAGCAACAGCACTACAACTCAGCAACCATGCGTCGTTCTTACAGCTATAACAGCTCTTCCTCATCCACTAGCTCGCCCTGCATTTCTCCAGTCTCCAGTCGCTCCTCCATTTCCGACGACGACAGAGACGATGATATTTCCAACCTCGACCTTAGTGGATCTGGCAGCCTTAACGCGAGGAGCTACATACTCGTCATCGGCGGTCTAGGCTTCATCGGTTCTCACACGACCCTGGAATTGCTCAAGGAGGGCTACAACGTAGCCATTGTCGATAACATGAGCAACTCGTACGAGTCAAAATTCACGAGCATTCAGAGCCTCGCTAAGCAGCACTGGACAGCCAAAGGTGGCAAATGTCCTGACTTGAAGCTCCACAAACTGGATTACCGCAGTCCCGCGCTACGAACGATACTCGGTCGATACGTCATCCAAGAACCAGAGAGCTCTCGGCTGTCTTATATCAGTGGCGTGATTCATTTCGCAGCCTACAAGTCCGTCGAAGAGTCCACACGGAGTCCGCTGGCTTACTACCAAAACAACGTCTCTGGTCTGATCGACCTTCTAGTTCTGCTGAGCGATTTTGGCATTCGTAAGTCTACTCCTACCCAGGGTAACATGTGACATTGTCTGACAGGAGGCCAGAAAACTTCGTCTTCTCCAGCTCTGCGACCGTCTATGGCTCCGTGCTTAGCAAGGGTGGCAAGCCAGTGCAAGAGGAGCAGCTGATTCACCACGAGACCGCACACGTTGACGGCCAAGGCCAGCGCATGACACTCGTCCCCAACGTCGGTGGCCTGACGTCGCCATACGGCCGCACGAAGTATTTTGGCGAGGCCATTCTAGCGGATGTGGCACTTGCAGACCCTTCGTGGCGACTGACTGCACTACGATACTTCAACCCGGTAGGCTGTGAGCCTTCAGGCCTCCTCGGAGAAGATCCTCGACAAAAGGCGACAAATCTATTTCCGGTGGTCTCGCAAGTGCTCGTGGGCGACCGAGCCTCGCTGGATGTCTTTGGCACGGATTGGGATACCTCTGACGGGACTGCAGTGCGAGACTACATCCATGTCATGGATCTAGCCCGGGGCCATGTCGCTGCGCTAGCGACTGCAGGAGCACGACCAGCGGATTTCGCCTTCCGTGCGTACAACCTTGGCACTGGTACAGGCTCGACGGTAGACCAAGTCGTGTCTTGCATGCAGACGGCAGCGAAGCGAACAATCCCAGTCAACCGCACTGGCCGAAGAACCGGTGATGTCGGCTTCTGTGTCGCCGCGACGGATCGAGCGAGGTTAGAGCTTGGGTGGGAAACGCAGTTGTCACTGGAAGACTGTGCCGCCGACACTTGGCGCTACCTCCAGAGCTCCGGCAGAGTAGCGGTATGAGAGTTCGTGTGTTGGCCGATGTGCATTGTGAATCTAGCGTTGTTGGCATTTGCATGAGCGATCACGGACCCATGATGAGTAGCATGATTGGCCAGATAGAGTGTAACGTTTGCATCGAGTAACAGCATAGAGCATCCACGTGTCCATCATAGTCGGTGAATTACAGCACTCGTTTCAGACCCAGGCCGTGAAGTGAGGTCAACCGCAGGTCAGATGGATGTGCCCGTGCACGCGTTAGACTAGCGATCCGCCATGACGCCATCGCCACTAGCCGCGATCTTCAGGAACGAGAACCTTATTTCGCCACATCATGCAGATCGGATTCACTTATAGCTGGAAACAGACAAACCGACATGCCGTGAGACAGACAGATTAGACAGCGCATCCCACGTGGATGGAATCTTATGCTGAAGCTCTTGTGGCTCAGGGTTTATGACACTGCCACTGATGGGGAGAAAGATCATCCTCGCAGTCAGCTCGAGACCTTCTGCATGACTACACGGTCGAGCCTTGTTCGATATTGCCTACGTACTCTATACAGTGCCACTGCCGTGCCGTGCAGTGGCAGTACCAGGTAAAGTGCATCGAAAGTAGGCACGGGTCAGCCACACCAGGGTCTGGATGCTCAAAGACATTATTGCGTAAGAAAAGTGGCGCCGACGAAATATTGCGCTAAGCGCATTCCGTCCGCAAGGCTTCTACAAATGCTTCCCAACATGGGCCGAAGCTCTCATAATAGCGGTGCCGCAGCGATGTCACGAAGAGATACCCTGCCCGACCTCGCAGCTCACAAACTAAGCTGGCCACTTCATTCGTGGGGACCGAATGCAGGATGTAGCCTGCTCTGGGCGGCTCGAAATTCTGCAAGACCCGCTGCTCGTGCATTGTGCATGCCACGTAGCGTTGATAGCTCTGCTCGAACAAAATTGCCACATCTGTATCCGGTCCAAGCAGGCCTCGGTGAGGAGGCGTACCGGGGTTGGCAATCACCTGTATAGACGAAACGTAGTGGGTCAGTGGCCTGACAATGCACATTTCAACCTGCAAGAACCTGGATATGACCCACCAGTCGCCGTCCCTGGATCCCCTCTGCATGTTTGATGTATGCGCCCAATCTATGCAGGTAAGACGCCTGGGTGGTGCCATACTCATTGGGCGTCTCGTCCAAGAAGATGCCTTGCACGAAGAGACCAGAGCTTGAGCAGTGGGTAGACCACCCAGCATACTTCGCGACGTCTTGGCATACCGTGGTGAAACTTCGTTTGCAGTAATCTGTACGCACGTATCCCAGAGTACACACGTTGGCCAAGGCGTTTAGTTTCGGCACCTCGCGAGCATAATTGTCATCAGGTGAAGGATTCCCTGGTTTACCCGGTCCACTGTCCGGGTTGAGGACGATGATGAATTCAAGATCTGGAGAAGCCACAATCCTGGCGAGGACAAGTCAGTCAGATTCTAGGGCAGGGTCTCTTGAAGCCGTGTCCTAAGACACGACTCACGCTTTGTAGAGTGGTTCCCAAGTCAGGGGAGTGAGTGGATAGTTGTACAACGGAACTATGACGGCAGGTTTTCTTGACATCTTGTCGTTGTGAAAGGTGACAAATTGGCGGAATCTGCTATGGGAGGAGCGAAACAGAAGTGAAGCTGACCCAGGTACGAGTTGAGATAGGTCCGGCTTACAGCCTCGCTTATAGAATGTGCCAAGCGCCACAAGGTTTGGAAAGGTTTGGCTTCCAGTGACAATGCGTCCAGACCACAATCACCACTGCCAATGTCTCACGTTGTTCTCATCAGCTCCATGGCTCACCACTACCATGCGAACAAGTTTGCCATCTTGCTTGGATGAGACGTGATGCACATGTGGTATTTTACAAGTACAATCACACCGGTACACTATGGCAAAAGTCCGACCAGTCCGACCCGAAGCTCTCGTAGAAGTTTTGACTCAACTTCGTCGCAAATACTGATGCCGCATGAGTGCTCAATTGACTGGTCAAACTCTTGAAGCCAACTGACGGAGGTACAGAGTGAACCATGAATGCATACCGAGACCTGTCCAAGGGCAGGCTTCTCAAAATTGCTCGCTTGGTCTGATATATGTCGTAGGAGTCTTCGAATGAGACAATTACATCCGTGCTGTTCAAAACGAGGGGGGCATCTGGCTCGGTGCCAGGGTTGTGAACGATCTGTCAGGATCAGCGCAAGCTCATATTCGGGACGTTCAAGGCAGTGAAAGTACCAGCTTGTCCGATGCAATGCCCTCCGACGACTTCACAGCATCGTTGATGGTACTCAAGTATTGGAGCACGTCAAGGGAGTAGGCCGAGGGAACTTCGTCGAAGAAGATACCATGTATTGATAAGTTAGCAGCCATGGTAGACCAGTGAGCATAAGTCGTAACATCTTGCATTACGGACGTGATGTTCCTGCTGGCATATTTTGTGCGGACATAGCCAATCGTTCGTACATTGGCATAGGCATTCAAGCGTGCAATAGCTGCGAGGTAGTCCTCCCCTGGTCCAGATGTATTGCCGGGCCCATCATTGGGATTGATCACCACGGTATACTGGCGCTCATGAGAGCTGTCAAGACTGCTCGTCTGGTCAGCACTGCAATGGCTGATGCTACTGAGCAAGTTAGGAGCATGCTCACGTGCGGAATAGCGGGTCCCATGCACCACCAAGAGGATAAGAGTACAACGGCAGAATCACAGCAGTGGGCGGACCGTGTACTTTTCGAGGCAGTATGACTGCCAGTGGAACAGCAATGGCGAGTATGGCCAGAACTGCAACGGTGCTCACAGCAAACCACGTCCGTCTCGATCGCCGTCGTTGTCTTTCAATCGCGAATCGAGGAGCCTCCATGACTGTCAAGGTTGCTCTTGTCCAGACGGCATGTAGACACCGTATTTGTTTGACATTCTTGCGTGCCGGCTGGATCGCTGCTGGTGGTGGCGACCAACGACCTTTGCAGCATGCTAGTTTTCGCCTCAGGTCCCAAGAAGGACAATGCCACGAAGCCAAAGGTAGACGGGCCCGTGCCTCTTAGCGTCGGCGCGACCCCGTGGTACGTTAGTCCAACGCACTCGCAAAGTTTGGTTCTCACCTTCAAATTGATCTCTCGTGCAGTGCAAGGGTCACCCAGTCTCGGTAGGACCGCAGGGCCAACAAGTCTCGCCTGAACTCAATATCTCAAGAATGTCACTGCGACGATGCGAAGCTGCAAACAACCGCGACGGCTGGCGATGCGCACCTGGGCCACGCTGCCAGGCAGATGCATGGCCTGCCGGCGCAGCCCATTCGCCTCCCGTCAGGTTCTGGTGGCTAATGTACGGGCACGATGAGCGGCATAAGTGCGGGCAGCATGTGTAATGAGCTGATGCAACCGCAACCACTGGCTCAGCAGAAACATGGACCACACGCAGCACGTCCTAGAATAGCGATCTAGCTCGGGTATACATGCAATTTTGGGTTTCTTAGATCGCGAGCAGCAGCCAAAGGGCCTGGCCTTCTCGGCCATGCAAGATCTTGCCACGCTGGACTCTCGCATTGACGATAGAGCTGTCGCAAATGGCGAATCTGGTATAGGTGAGACTCGAGTAGAGGCGAGGCATGCCTGAAGATCACTTTCACAGCGTGCACTTGAGTATGTTCAACCCTCTTCCGACAGCATCGTAGCCATCTTCCTACATTGTTCGTTTCTTCTACTCCGGCGTAAGCGTTACCATGGCTGTGTTTCTGGGTCTTGATGCACTGGGGGCGTGGAAGTCCATGACTGCGGGCTGGTGGCAGAAGGCAAGTAGTGCAGAGCTTGGCATTGTTTTTGACACCTGCTAATGTTGTGAGTGGCTCAAGACCATTGCCATCATAGCTTTGCTTGGGCTCGTCTTTGGTGCAGCCTATGCACTTTTCCGCGCATTTCAGAGGGTTGTACGCGCCCTACACTCAAGACGTGATCAAGTTGGAACTATCCCCAAAGACTCTGCGCGCAGACTCGACGCCATCAAAGCCGAAGGGGTCTTGCATGGTCAGAAGACTCCACTCATAGAGCCGAAGTCTTTCGGCGTTTATCTGGGAAGCATAGCTGTCCCGCCAACTCAATGTCAAACTCGGCTTCTGTCGCAGTGGGACTTGGTCGTCCTCGACCCGCAGCAACCAGGAGCATCAAATGCGGCGGCTTCCACTTGCACCTCTGAGCAGGTTCTTGCCCGTCTGGATGTCGAGCAGCTTTCAACCCTGCGCGGGAGCAATGACGAACCCATCGGATGTAGAGGTGTGGCCGGGCTAGCGCAGGTTTTGGCAGCGCATTGTAGAGCTACACCGCACACTCATTCGCCTTACACTGGGGTGTTGCTGGCGAATTGGCAATCAATTTGGCAACCACACGTCTTCAACGAGGTCCTTGAATGCTTGATTGCACTAAACTTGGACGTCTACCTGGAGATAGCCCCGCCGACATACCTCTCATCTGATGCATGCACGAGGATCGACCTGTCACTTATTCGAGGCGTCATCTGTCGCAACGGGACCTTATCACACGATGGCAAGTCTTGCGAATACTACCAGATGGATTCTATGCGCATTGTTCAGAGGGCTCTAGCTAAGCATGCCTCGATGGGCGGGCATTCCTTCCTCATGTGGGAGACGGTAGACGATGGAGCAGAGCTGGCTTACGACGTCGTGAAACGAAGTTTCAACTGGTGCCGCTTCAACACTACGATCAGCTGGATAGGCACCGAGACTGCACTCCGCGATGCAGAAATTGCTGCAACCATGACGATATCCAGTGAGCCGCTTGGTGCCTTGATGTGGCTCAAAGGCAGTGAGGTCCTGTCAACACACCAAGTCTGGCGGGAGAACGACAGGGTGAATATTTTCAAGGTGGCGGTCTCGAATACTACTAACGAACACGTCCAGATCCGGATCCTTCCCAGTAGCGATGCTCTCGCGTACGACAAGCTCGAGTCCTTCGTACCTGGCCTTGCATCTAAACTGGCGCTCTCATCTCCATTCATGTCAGAGGAAGTCAAGAGGCTTTCGTCGTCAGCATCATGGGAGCTCACAGCACCTATGATCTCACGCGATATACAGCTAGATCCTTTTACGTATAGTAGAAGCGGTCGCGAGTACCCAGCCCTCGGTCGATTCCCAATTGGACAAGATGCCGATCCGCAGGAGTTTCTGGAGCTCGTCGAGGGGCAGCGTCGCTTGAAGGACCTTGGATTTCTCGAACGCATCACAGTAGACGAGCTTGGTGAGATGGAGGCCAAGTTGAAATCTTTCGTGGAGAAGTACGAAGCTCAAAGGATCAGCCCTGCGACGATTGTCCAGATGAGAGAGCTGCTGGATCTCGTGGCCGCAAGTGACTCCTCGAAGAACGACTCGTTACAAATCTACACTGGTTTGCATGCTGGATTCCGAAAGGGCGAAGCGGTCCAATTCTGGGGCCTTTACTCTTTCGAGTCATTTGGATGTACCAACATCTATCTCTCACGAAGTTGCGTGGATCGCCTGGGGATACTGCTACACACATTTCTGTCAAGCAAACAGGTCGATCGGGCCAACTGTTTCTTGGCGGAGAATCTGCTCGCCGACCACTGCAGTACCTTCTCTGAGAAGTGGCAGCTGCCAAAGCAAATCACACATGATGTTGAGCAGCTTACGTCGACGGAAGCGACCATACTTCTGCGGCGCCTAGCCTTGAGTGAAGACTCCGATTGTCCGCAACTGGCCAAACGGGTACAATCGTGCTGCGAGTATCAGCTGATCGAGGTTCCCTCTCTTACTGCGCTGCGAGATTTAAACACGAGTGCTTACTTAAGTGGCGAGGTCTCGATCGAGCAGCTTGTCGACTCCAGACTCACTTGGTACCGTGAACAGGGCTGCCATCAGCCCGAGCGGGACGCAGCCATCGCGCTGTTCAAGGAGATCCAGGCCAGGATACCCGGGATGCTTCTTACCCAGGACAGCGAGTTACTGTCACACGTAGAAGCATGTCTTGACACGGTGCTCCAGAAAGGTGAGATCGACGCCGCCGCCGACTTCTTCGCGCTGTCGGTCTTCTGCGCATTCCGGAGGCTAGCCGTCGACGAGATTTTCCAAGAGGTACGAGACCGTAATCCTCTGCCAAATCGCTTCGCAGATCAAGCAGCCTGCTTCGCCGAGATGTTCGCCACAGGGTCGCAATGTGAAGCTTATCTCGACATGAAGTCCATCGCCCTTGGAAGGATCCTCGCGCAGAAGTATCACAATTACTATCTCAAGCATCAACCACCACAACGGGACGACAAGACTACAGAACTCCCCACCGCGTATGCCTCCAAGCTGGTTGATGAGGATCCGAGTTCTGGTCGGGTAAGCCCACCACTGCTCTACACAATTTCCTTTCTGGGGATATTCGCAGTGCCAGCTCTAATTGATATCCTCCTGCTCACGACTATAGGAAGAGGTCTCTACATCAGTACCTACATGTCTGACTTGGAGAAGACTTCTGCCACCATCGGTCTGTTCATCGGGCTGTTGACGTGCGGCGCCATCGGTACATGGATAGGTAGCGGAGGTAGCTACTACTTCTTTGCGATGGCATTCCCAGCGATGAACATGTTTGTTCTCACGCGCCTAACTGCTGGAATTGCTATTTGCCTCGGACTGGGCATAGTGGTGTTGGTGGTTGTCGGCATTGCTGGTTCCTTCTATGCCGGCTGGATCTTCTTCTTCTACTTTGCTCTCTTGTCGACATACTTGACTTTGCTGGCAACCTTGTCGATCTACCAAGTGCCAGGTTTCGCCTTTCTGTCAGGACGAACGACCGTCGTCGCATGCATACCGATACTGTTCATCTCGCCTCTGTTGACGCTGTGGATCGGCCACGACATTATAGTCTATCCCTGTGTTCTGACGGCTTTCCTGGTTTCGCTGGTCTTCGGAGCCCGCAGAGTACTATCAAATTGGAGTAATTGGTATCTGAGGGTTCCAATAGTCTCTGATACTGATGTTGTCAACTGGTACACTATGAGCATGAAGGAATCTGGGACTCCCCTACCCGAGGGTCTAAACGATCTCTCCGCCACGCCACTTCCTCGCACGGCACTAACGGCTGCAATACACAAGGAGCGTCAGCGCTGGCTTTGGTCGAAACCTACCACAGATGAGCTGGTGCTTAAACTTGCACGTGGATACGACGGTACCATGTTTATCATGGACTGGTACTGCAAGTACTCGAGGACAAAAATGCCCTTTCCCTTCAGCCCAACGTGGAATTGTCAGTGTAAGGCCGCCGTCGATACGCTCAAGGATATGCAGAAAGGACTCAAGCTGCACAACGCCTTCGTACACTGGCGCTTCGGAGGCAATGAAGTCTGGTGTGGAGTTCTCTACTTCATCATTGCGCTTATGGACAAGTGGGTGGCTCTACTGACTGGTGGCTCTATCGTCGGGCTTTCAGCGGCCAACAGCAGCATGTTCCGCCTTGCCGTCGGGTTTGGCTTGACTTACTACCTCTTGGCAGCAGTCTGCCTAGACAGCGTGGCGCAGCCGCTGTGGGCAATCGCCAACAAGAAGACCGATCAACCAATTGACTCCTTGCGCTTCTTGGAAGACGCTGCTCGACATGATGCTCGGGCCAGGCGGAAGCTCTATTGGGGCAACCTCGCGAAGTTCTTCTTCACGCATGTTTGGGGTATCTGTATCACTTGTGTCCTGATGTGGACCTTTGAGGGATCAAAAGATGCAACAATCATGTACTTGGCCTATCTCGGCGCCTATACCGGCCTTCTTTGGTACCAGTACAACAGGATATATACTGGATCCTTAGCGATGGTCGATCTACTGATAGCGGCTTCCCTCGGACTGCTGCTAGGGCCGTTACTACGCACTTATCATCCTTACTTCCAATGGAGCAGTGTCATAGCTCTGACGGTCTCCACGTGGACGGCAGCAGCATTATCGATCCGAACCGCTGATATCGGATGGCCAAGGCCGAGTACGAAGTTCAAACATGCAAGCACCGAAGTAAAGCCAGCAATCTACTCCTGCGCTTCGATAAGCTCATGCCCATCTCATACGGTCTTGTCTGGTACATTCGAAGCGTGCTGTAGCGTACCATTCGAAGAACAGTACAGGATCGAGCCTACCACGTACCCGGGCACTGGAGTCATGAACATCCTCACTTCTAAGGATATCTCCACAAAGTTCGAGCCTCTTTGTGCTCAGTCAGTGGCAAGCGAAAATCTTCTGGCTCACGTAGCTACACTCTGGGCACAAGGTAACATAATTGTCGATATCGTCTCACCTCACGAGGTCCTCAAGGAGGGCCAGGAGATGAGGTCTATCAGTCGCACGCTCGGCGACAAGCTGCACGTCTTCGTGTTCGTCTCATCACCTACCCAAGGGCAGGCTGACGTCCACGGCAGCTGCATCATGATCGTAGAAGCTATGTGTCGAGCCACGACCCGAGCAGCGCTCCGATGGACTGACGAGCAGTCGCTCTTAGCCGAGTGCATCGCCCTTGACGGACAGGCCAATCTCAGCGTACCCTATGGCGTGAAGCGGCAGCTCGAGAGATCAAGGTCAGCTCGAAAGAAGGCCATTGAGAACAAGGATGAGGACGAACTTCGTTACCTCCTACTGGGCATCGACTGTGACACGGAGTGGGACGGTCTCCCGCAAGACATCAGGAAGTCACTTCTCAAGCGATGTCGAGGGCAGGTTTGCGCCATTGATGAGGAGTCTACAAGCTTCATCCAGGAGAACTTCTGTGGCAACTCCGGGCTGTCCGGTGCAGAGCACATTGCACTGTGCAATCTCGGCGCTACTCTGACAGCAAGTATCCACGATCTCGCCCAAGACCTGGTCGAGTCCCAGGACAACGTGGAACAATTCCAGGAGACCTCTTTGCTCGGTCACCTGGGACGTGCCAAGTTTGTTGGCAAGCGCTCAGGCGCCCGAAGAGGCTTCCTCGAGCGCACCCAAAAGATACTGAGTTCCACCGTTCACGGACTTCGGCTGTGCATCAAGTTTGTCGTCATGTCTCTAGTTGCAGAACCCGAATTCCAACGAGAGCTGGAGTACGTGCTGGCGAACACAAGCCCGATTATACGCTGGCCTGCGAGGATCCTGCTAAATGCCAACTGGGGCTACTGCCATACGTTGCAGAAAATCGTCATTCCGTGGTTCCTGGTACGTATAATGACCCGTTATTCATTATTTGCGACAACTTACTTACACGTACAGATCTATCACAACGACGAGTTGTCATCCCTATGCAGCAACATGAAAGGTATTAAGGTGGTCGTCCGGAACCATCGGATTGCGATCGAAAGTGCCAATGGACCATCGACCTGCTTTGTCAAGCCTCACGTTGGTAGCATGCAGCAACTCCGGCAGTACAATGGTCGTCATAAACAAGAGCCGACTACAACTATAGACCTGGTGGCCGTCAACATCTATTCGGACCGCTTGGCATTGCAGCAAAGAGCCGAATATGCCAATGGATCATGCGTCCGCACATACACCTACGAATACTCCTCCGGGCAGTCCACAGCAGCGTCCAGGTTGCCCATTTCAAGGACATGTATTGACGGTGACAAACAAGGTCAGCTTCTACAGTACGACCAGAGGGGATATGTGACAGCCGGATCCTACATCAAGGATGGCAATCTTGTCCGCTTCAAGTTCTGGTATCGCAAGGACGCGAGATTCGATGATGAGCTACTTCGTGCCGAGTTTGCCCTCGATCATATCAGAATGAGGGTATCATGGTGCGTACCGCCGCCAAAACACGCTGACCAACCTGATAAATGGCTTCCATATACCAAGGTAACGGAAGCCACGTTCGCGGAGGACTCCAAGGTGTATCGCTGCGTCTGGGATTACGACCATAGATCCCATCCCGTCATCAAGACCACTTTGAACGGAAAGCACACTGCGACACCAGCTATGGTCGCTTTTGACTGGTTCAAGATCCTCCAGAAACCTACAGATTGCAGCTTCCTTTCCAACAACCCGCTTTTGTCGATCAAGTCCACAAACCCAAACTTCCTCTCACGCTTGCTTCGAACCAATGTTCAGTGGTATCCGGTATCTACCACGCTCGCTCGGACACACCTGTGGAAGACATGGAAGGGCGGTAAAAACTTTGATGCCGTGACTACACGGTGGCTGGATGAGAGAGCGCTTCGTGCGGATCGAGTCCTCAAACCATACTGGAGACGCCGTGACTTGGGTCGCTTAGAGGCCGCAAAGACTTACTTGAACACATACGCAGACGCCATCATGGCGACTACCGACGTCGATCCAGACGTCAGCTCATGGTGCTCGACGCTGACGTTTAAGTATAGCGACTTGGCAAGTTTTGGCCAGGGTGGTGATACGAGGATCAACACACGGAGTCAGTCAACCCAGCTGAGTGACAGTCAAGATACACTGCACGTGCTTGCTATGGACACTGGGACATGGCCCATCGAGGGCGGTGGTGTCTCTGCCTGCCGTCGTGACATGGTCAACGATCTTACGACCATTCGCTGGCACGTCCTCGCTGAGTCGGCGAACGACTTCAGCGTTCCGAAGTTTCAGATCGAGAAGAACGTCCAGTCTCTGACTTTGTTACCTCTCTGGGGCCTCGACTTTCTTACCCCTACCCACGGGGTCTTCCAGGACTCCCTAGATTCTGCAATACAGCAGAGACTATACAGCACGACGGACGCTGACATTAGGGAGAACTTCTTCCCGATCTTAACGAGTCTGGTCAAATGCTCACGGGCGGTCAACTTCACTCGCGAGCACATAGACGAGTCTACTGCCGCCCTAGTCGCCCTGAATGCCTACTTCGAAGTCTCGCGACATTGGAGTGAGGTCTGGACAAGCAAACTGGTCAAACAGAAATGGCGCGAACTCTGGCTCAACGACGATGTGGAAAATGCCATTCCAATATCTCAATGGCTGGACGCTGAACATCCGACGCTGCTACACATGGATAACGCCCTCGACATGTGGCATCGATACCTCTTCATCTTCTCCCTGCCAGTCCCAGCCAAGATCCCAGACATCTTTCAAGCCTCCCACCATTTTGCTGGCGCCTCATACGGTATCCTCTGCAAGGTCTTACGCAACTGCAGCTTCCATGTCTGGGATCACTGCATTAGTTGGAGGGAAGTGACTGTCTTCCTCTCATCGGCTATGTCCTTCGACTCTCCTTTTGTCTGCACGGCGCTGATGAGTCTCTCTCGGATGACATCGGTCCTCATCCTGCACCACGCGGATGTGGTCTTGCCTTGTGCAGACTTCTTCAACCCTGGCTGGGAGGTCGAACATGGAACGCAGGAGGGAACGCTCCAGCACCGCAACTCTTTCAAGAGAAAAATCGACCCGGTAGTGAATGGCATTTGCAATCCTGAAAGCTTCAAGCCAACGAAGGAAGTCAAAACGAAGAAGCCCACTGTGGTAAGTGAGAAGATGATTCGCGGATTAAAATGTACTTAATTTCTGACTCTTCTTAGGTTATGTTATCGCACGTCCGCTTTGTAAAGGATATCAAGAACGCCATCCTCGCTGCCGATCTGATAGTCAACGAGTGGGGCTTCAAAGACTATCAGCTCGATATCTACGGTGATATGGAGAAGGCGCCAGCGTACTCGGTAGAGTGTAAGGAGATCCTTGCATCCAAGGGTCTTCGCGACCATGTGGCGCTCAAAGGACTTGGAAAGCCATCAGCTGTGCTGGAAACGGCGTGGCTCTTTTTGAACTCATCCATCTCCGAGGGTTTGCCTTTGGCTATGGGTGAAGCGGCACTTACCGGCGTACCTGTCGTGTGTACCGATGTTGGCGCATCATTTCGTGTCGTTACGGATTCCCGGACTTGGAAAAAGCTGAGCGCCTGCGTCGCACCTAACGACTCGTACTCCCTCGCCAAAGCCCAGATCGACGTGCTTGCTATGATCGACGAGTGGGCCGAGTACACGGGCGAGACAGAGGATGAGCGGAAGAATCTCCCAAAGATCTCACTCCATCCGACCAAAGACGAAGTTACTCGGATCACGGAAAGAATGTACTCGAAATCCGATCAACGGCGCAAGCTAGGTCTGTTAGGCCGGGAGAATTGCCTCAACAGCTTCTCAAGCGACCGCTACCTGCGGGAACACGAACAGCTGTTATGGGTTGGGAAGCTACTGGCTCCGAGCTTCCGGTCTAGGAGTCTGGCAGCGAACCCATACGTTCTCACGCTCGAATCGAAGGACGAGAGTACTGCCTATACGGTTCAGGATGAAGACATCTGGTCGGCGACAGACGCACCAGCGGACAAGACGAAATCCCAAAGATGGAGCTCCCGAGCTGCATCGCCTTGGTCAAGAGCAGAATCTCCATGGATGTTCCAGAGGGCGACATCCGCCCGATCTTTTGTCAGAGCGCCATCGCCTTGGGCTCGTCAATTGGAGTCCGTTCCTGGGTACAACATATCACGAGGGCCATCCCGTATGGATGATGATTTAGAGGCGGTATGGGAGACGGACTCGAGGCCGGAGTCGATTCGTGGATTGACCTCACGACTTGATGTATAAATTTGTTTCGGTTGTCATTAGCGGGCGTTAGGGTACCCAGTCCCAAGTGGCAACAGACGTCTAATATTAAGCATAATGAATCCATGCGATGTTCATCAGATGGTCAATGACTATCTGCAGAATCTTTCTTATCTCAGACCACTCCAGGTCCCAGAAAATCTCAGTCTGCAATGACAGAACCTGTGAAGGTCAAAGAATTATGAAAGACGAATTACGGCGTTGCAGTCAACAACGCCAAATTGTCTTCCATGTGCGAAAGCGACCAAGCCTCACACAACAGAGATCCTTATTCAGACCGTAAGCCGTCTACTCGACGGTACTGATCCAACCCAAACTATCCACACAGTCTCGATGACGACTTGGCAATCGAAGTGCCGCCTAATTTCAATGCGCTCGCTCATTCCATCGCAGACTGGCCGATACGATGATCGAACCACTCGCGGCGCTCGAGATCGTCACCGAGAGGGATCGAGACGACTGATCCATTGAGTCGACCTCTCCCAGTAGCCGTGGCACAGCGTAGCGTCTTCATGGCTCCTTTAAGTGCCACACTCAAAGTCAACAGCAGAAAAGGTGAGGACGAGCAAGCTGTCGTATTTGCGGCCGCATAAGTCACCACCCGACATGGAAGTGAGGCCGACAGCGGTCTTGCGTACATCAACAAAGCGAGCGTAAGAAGCGTTGCGATAGCTGACGAGCACTATATATTAAGCTTGCCTTCGCTGGTGCAATCATTTACCCGCATTGCTCACTCTGTTAGCGATGTGTGGGATGTAATGGGCCGGACATGCATGGATGCAATGTTGTGCCACGATGCCCATAGTCTCTGCTTTCATCGCACGAGTATGCTTGTCCAAACGAAGGGGAACATTAGACAATTGTGAAGATAATACATATCGTGACTTCGGTACTGTTGGTACAAAATTCTAATGTACATGTTTTCCATAATTCTGACCGCTACAGTGTCATATTACCCATCTCATCCATCATCACGCAGTCCTAACACTGTTTCGTTGATACATGTCTCTACAAGACGAGGCCAGCAAGACCAACGCTCAAGCCCGTGAGCAGACCATCAAGCAACTGCTTGACAACAGCAAGCAAGTTATCGACAACAGCCTCGAGACTGAGAAGCAGACCAGAGAGCGATCCCACCAATGGGTTCAACGATCCGAGGAGGGAAGCTAGATGTAATCAGCGTGTGATAGGATGAGACAAAGTAATAAGGTATGACTTACTCAAGCCAAGAGTAGCGATGATGTTGTTCAAAGCACCGCTGACCTCAAGCAACAGGTTCTCAACGAGAGCAGCAAGCGCGGTATCAGTCTGGCGGCGGACCTTGGAAGCAGGCGACAGAGCATCAGTCTGAGCCTTAGCGGCGTTGACGGCGGCAGTGATGGCCTCGACATTCGATTGGTACGAGGCAGCAGCCGCGCTCTGGTCTGCAAGGGATGAGGTAAGGGAGACGCCGGAGGCGGTGGCGTTGATAGCACCGGTGTATTGCTTGATGTCGGCGTAGAGGGCCTCGACGATGGTATATGCCTCGTTTGCCTGACGAGCCTCAAGGGCAGCGTCGGGAGTTGGGATGGCTGCGGCGCTGGCGAAAGCAGCAGTGGCCGCGAGGCTGAAGATGGTGGAGAACTTCATTTTGAATGTGGTGGGTTTGTTGGTGGTGAAGTCGGTGTTGTTGTTGAAGTGAGGTTGGAAGGATGAGATGAAGCGAGAAGATGCTGGTGTGATTGTGAATGCAGACAGGAACGGAGGTCGTACCTTGACCTTCTTATATGCCTCCACCAGACCCTCTGGCTCGAGCTGTGATGTCTCATACCATACGCGGACTGCTTGCGATCGTCATAGGGATCGGCGGTAATTCTTGCTGATCTGTCAAGGGCCCTGTCTATAGCAATCGCCACAACATCACAGGTGGCCAGGTATACTGACAGAGGGTCTACTTCGCCGCGGCGACACAACCAATGGGATGAAGTCTTCCACTTGAAAAGTAGATCAGCACAAGCCAATGAAGTCGACGGTACCGACGACATCGTCCAAGCGGGGACCACTCCGCCTCTCGCTCCTCGCATCAGTGTCATCGGCGACCTTGGAGACGGGGATGGGGTGGAGTGTGAACAATGCGCTTCCAGTGCATGCCCAAGGAAACTCTCATGTTGAATACGATCCCGGTGATATAGCAGGCTCTCTCCGAACCTTCGTCGCTAGAACTCGGGGTCGTCGTTTCGTATAGTGTTCAGCGATGAACCTGCATGTGGTGTGTGGCTGTACGCTGCAGTGCCGATTCACCGTCCATCATGTTCGCGGCAAGGGTAGGCTAACGGCAATCAACCGCGATAGCTTCCCAGGGCAATAGCACGCGGCTCTGCAACATGCGCATGCGACGCTCGGCAGGAGTTGTAGGGTTGGGCCGTGACTTCTGTTTGGGACTTGTTATACCTGGTCAATATTATGGCGAAGCAGGGTCCGCCAAAGCCGATCCCAATCCCATGCGATACTGTACTCCTTCAACTTCTACTTGGTAGGTTGAAGTGGTCGTTCGTCATCCCTTCAGGCCGGTGGTAACCAATACGAGCTCCAGGGTCGTATTGAGGCCTGGAGTAGCAATACAAAATACATGGTAAGCAAGTGCGATTGTGCATAAGGTCGTCTGGAAGAAGACATCTGCCGGAGAAATGCCTCAAGCCTGCATCCACTACGGCAGGTACGCTGTGCTGCCAATGCAAGTCTCAACGGCCGCCGATCTCGTCAACTGTCAAAAACGTCGCTTAGGCTGAAGACGGTATGATGCTGATCGTCGACCAGGGTGGCTATATCGATGGTAATTCGCGAAGTCGAAGATGCAAAAGACCAAGGCAAATGGCGAAGTCTGTGCTTCGACTCGACGTCATCCTCCACCTCCAATCTTAAGCGATGTTTAGTTCAACGGCTATACCGGCTTGACTTCATGTCATCGATAGGGAGGTGCTTGGACGGGTGGTTGTGCGCTGGCGATCAAGACGGTCCTCGACGATCGCGGCGCGCATCGTGTAGTGCTGCGTCGGTTGACTTTCGCCAGCGTTGAAAGTTACGCTTTCTGCTCAATCCGCTGGCCGTCGTTGGCTGTGAAGTCGCAGGAAAGACGATTCATGCCAGTCAGACAAATTATGATAGGGTTCCATGATCACATCCCACGCCCGAGCCAACCTCGAGCGCTCAGACGGCGTTCCCGCGTTGAACCAAGCCCACCCTTACGATCTCATGCGTTCCAGGCCCAAAATACTGGTGCGAGACCTAGGTCATCTCATGTTAGATCCCACCAGCTCAGCAAGAAATTATCCAAGCTGTGCGGAAACTTCGTTGCAAAATCGGATCTCGACATCTGCAAACTCCAGGCCAAGCAAGTAGCCAGGCGTCCCTTGCCACAATTGAAGTCCTAGATATGGTGCCAATAAGATCCACCATATATCCGCCCGCGTTGTCGTGGAACCACAAGGGGTTGCGACACATATCTAACCACCACCCCCACATCCGATCGCCGTCACAGCCAGACTTCCCAGTCTTGTCCACGGCAACATCAGTAAGATACGCTCAAGAAGCACACAACTCCTGCACTCAGCAGCAAGACCATCGGGCGACTCACGCTCCCAGATCGTTGGCAATGCCGGATCAAGAGGAAGAGACTGGCTGGAAGGATGATGAGCAGCTATTCTGCCTGAAAACACCGTGTACCGTTCGACGCAGAATCGATCATATACCACAGCAGCATCTTTCCCTCCTCCAGCGAATCAGTCAAAGTCTTCACGTGACGATTTACCCGTCCTGCACGACCCGTCTGTAGTGTGAAAGGAAGAAAGGACGAAAAGGTATCCGAGCTTGATGTCACATTTGTACACTTCCTCCGAACCGCTGACCCCAGTCCGCCTGCCTCTACCACGTCTCCCGCAACTTAAGATACATACAATTGCCTCCCATCCCACACTCTCTACTACACTCCCCCCCAGCTCTCTCCACCACATGCGGCTCTATGTGATGTACAAAACAACTGACCCCGAAAAGAGACGTCGATATCGCAAGTAGGAAGGGCTCTCTACTCCTTCCTCGCGGGACCATCGAATAGGTCGGGCGTGGGCATCTGGAAGGTCTTGCTGCCGGGGTAGTTGGTCTTGTCGCTGGAGATGCCGGTGATGGGTTCAATGCGGTTTTCCTATGATCGCATTACAAATTAGTAAGCGCTCTCCTGTTTCCAAGACAAGCGAACGTAGTCCCCCATGCCGCCGTTGGTGAAAAAGAGTCCGCTCCTCCTCAAGCACGCGCCCGCCAAGTCTGTGCTTGCATCGCACGCGAACAAAGCTAGAAAGTAGGGTGAGGATATGATGAGACGCACCTTAAGATATTCATCCGTAGCCCTCTGGTACTCCACCGTCATCGTCCTCGGGGATCCACGAGCAAAGTACTTCACAAGACCGAACAGGGCTCCCGCAGCGCCGATGCCGATCAGGGTGTAAGAGAAGACTTTCCAATTCTCGCCGGGAGGAGGAAGGGCACGTGGGCCGTGGGGTCCGAAAGCTATCCAGTAGGCTGTAAAGTGAGAGTGTTAGTAAAGGGATTGTGTAATCATGTATGTGTGGCTAGCGTGTGGGAGCGGTTCAGGTGCGGGACCGTGATATAGAGAGTGTGTGGGAAGTGAGGGTGGTGGTGGTGGTGGGAAGAAGAAGGCAGCAGCGTGGCGACACATGCTCAGCCATGGCAGGTACGGTGAGTAGACAGTATGGCGTCAATCTCGCGTGCCTGCCAACTTCGCGAGCCCGAAACCGCGCTCCACCACCACCACCACCACCTCTACCTCAACACCTGACCACGAACCACCAGCAGCACACCCACACCCACACCGCACCCCATCTCATACACACACACACACACACACACACACACACACACAGCCACTGAAATTGATTCATACATACCAGCCTTCTTCTCCTGCAACGTCAACTCATTCCAATCCCCCTTCATGCGATCCCTCAACGCCATCCACAGATCCGCCTGCTCCTGAGGAGCCATGCCCTCCCATCTCTTCTCAATATTCGCCAGAGTAGGGTTGGAAATGGCGTGCGCGTGTCTGCATTGCTGCTGCTGCAATACTACTGCGGGAGCACGGGCGGAGGATCGGGAGAGGACGGGTACGGCGGTGGTGGCAGTGGTGGGGAGACGGAGGAGGGCGGAGCGGAAGGCCATTGTGTGTAAGGCGAGTGAGTGAGACAAGCCGCGGTCCGGCGAGGGTGGTGGGTGGTGGTAGTGGTGTAGTGGTGTAGTCTTCACGTGAGGTGGATCAATTCTGGTGATGCCGGTCCTTCAATGGGAATGAGGATGGAGGTCGAGCTCCAGGAAAGCTTTGCACCGCTCTCATTGGTCGGGTTGTGAAAGCGAGCTAAGCTTCGTCCATTCATTTTCCCCCGTACAATGCCATATATAAAGTGACACAGGTATGTATCAGTCTGGGCATACTGACAATGCTGGTCTGGACTGGCCATGTATGCTATGCTGTACTATACTACAAGAAATTGAATATACAATAAATCACAGCATATGCCACAGCAATGCCAGTGCTCGCTTCCCATGCCCAGCGAATTTGCTCACAGCCGCTTCCCTCCAAAAAGATCCATCCACCATCTCTCATCCTCTGTAACCCGTCCTCCTACCCATACAAGTCTCGCATTTCCCCTTCCCAAATAGCATCTAGACATGTTCACGGCACAATCCCTTACCACAAAGCCTGACTTCGCACCACAAGACAGACTGACCGAACTTCCACACTCATTTTGACGCTTTACCCAGCATCCTGCGCATGCCCCGTCGGCCCCCCCGCCGAGTAATCCGTCGTCACAAACGCCCGATCCACCTCATCCAGCCCCTCAGCGCAATACTGCAACGTCTCCGCAATATCATGACTGCGATGCAACTTCGTATCCTCCTTGAGTAAAACATCGTATTCCACCCATATCCCATCCCCCGCATGATACGCCGTCAGACTCTTGAACCCATCTACGATAGGCGAGAAGCGGTAAGCCAAGTACAGCAATTTCTTCTCCAGCGCCGGATCGCACGCCTGACCAGAAAGCCGGGTGATATTCTCAAAGCACGTCGAACTCCAATCGTAAATGATGAAAAGTGATAACAGCCCTGCGCCCACGGGGTCCAGCCACCAGATATCCGCCTTATACCCAATAAAGGGAAAAAGTAGGGAGAGGGTATTAAAAATGACATCCGTCTTACAATCCTGCGCCAGCGCCTGCACCTGCGTCGTCTTAATCGGCGTGCATCCAAACCAAATAATCCCTTTAACCAAGATCGTAGCCCCCATAGCCGCCACAGCAATCGCCGGCAACGCATCCGCCGTCCCCTTCAACGGCATGATTTTCTCCACGCTCTCCTGCAAGATCTGGAGGAACGAAACGACCATGAGGATGGAGAAGACGAGGATGCCCAGCGGTTCCAGCCGGCGTCGACCCACGGGGAATTTGCGCTGCAGGGTTTTGAGACGCCAGGCGACTATGCGGTTGGTGGTCCAGACGATGAGGGTGCAGAGGAGGTCGAGGGCGGAGTCGACGGTGCTGGCTAGCAAAGACAGCGAACCCGAGGAGAAGACGGCGGCGATTTTGCCAGCCAAGAGGGCGATATTAGCAATGACATTAATATTGATCGCCCACTTCGCCTTCTTCTCCGCCGTCTGCCTCCGTTCTTTCTCATCTTCAGGTAAAAAAGAATGAATATTCCCGCCTTCCTGCTGCAACCCCCCACCGCGCTCATTGTCCCCATCCTTATCCGGATCCGGGTCCATGGACTCCAACACATCGTCCGCGACCGCTTTCACCAACGCATCGACCTCGAGCCAATCATTGAGACTCTCATTCTGATTCTCATAGAATTTCCTAACCTTTTTATTCTTGATCCCCTTCAGCTCCTCATCGCTCTTCCGGAACTCCTCCAAATTATCCCGATTAATCCCCCCCATCAACGCCTCCTTCATCTCCTCCCTCCTCTGGTCCTCCAAAGCCGTATTCGCCGCATCGCGAAACCGCCAGAGTTTGGGCTTGTCGCCGTCCAGGCCGTCGGAGAGGACATTGCGGGCTTCTTGGGATTCGGCTTCGTGGCTTATACCGGGGGTGTTGCCGTTGGCGGCGTCGTTGCCGTTGGATTGGGTGTAGAGGCCGCTTTCAAGGTCGGAGGTCGAGGGTCGGGAGTTGGATTGGGCGTTGCTGGATTGACGGCGGTTGTTGCTAGGGGTGCTGGATTTGGTCCGGCCGGAGCTGAAGATCTCGCGTTTGCCTACCATGGTGACGATATAGGACAATATTTAGTGTCCAGACAAGAACGGACTAACACCTATTTACAGGCAGCACGCGTGAGGAAGGGGACAGGGGTGAGAGGAGGCATAATACAACAATACAGTACATGTAGCTATTGTTGGATGGTTATACTAGCTCCTAGTCTTCCCTGTTTGTCGGACTTGCACTTCCATGGAAGAGCTGCCCTAGTACAGTACACGTGCACGCGACCCGAGGAGGTGGATGTGGATATCATGATGTAATTGTGCCTGGTCGGATCTGATCTTGGAGACGATCCGGGGTCGTGCTTGCCGTGGAGGCACACGTGCGCGGAGCAGTCGAGCAATAATAATCTGAGACGGAGATCTGTCATATACTCCGTAAGGGAGGGAAGCCGTAGATAAAATGAGTATATGCTGATGCTCTCACTCAGAGCTATTGATCATGGGACGGTCTATTGCCTCCTGGATACCAAGCATTCCCACGTGCTTGGTGTAGAAGCTTGGACGCCAGTACTGATGATGCGTTCATCGACGACGCCATCAAGACAAGTTCACCAGCAACAACAGCATCGAATTATTGATACCGTGTAAGCTCGTAAAGTAAAGTACACATTTCCAAACCATCTTCTATAGACCACATCACACCCTTCCGCCTCAAGATCGAGTACCATGGCCACCTCCACGCCCACCTTCGACACCGTCTACACCCATCTAACGACCAGATATGGCTTCCCTGTCCTTCCTCACCCCTCTGCCCACGGCCATGACAAAATCCTGGCCGGCACCATCTCTGATCTCTCTATCCACCCTACTCTAGAAGCAATCCTCCACATCCTCAACGCCGATCTCAGCAGCGCTCACTTCCTCTGCAGACATATGCAGAACCGTCCTGCTTACGAAGGAATGTATATCCACGGCCTACTCCACCGAGTCGAAGGCGATTACCGTAATGCCGAAGCCTGGTACGGCGACGTTTCTGCCTCGGACGCCTTCAGGAGCGCATGGCCGGGTGAGAGTGGCCTAGATGATGCGAAAGCGTTTATTGGGCGGGTGGAGAAGTTGCGGAAGCAGAAGGTGGGTGATGCGAAGAAGATTGAGGAGCAGAGTCGGAAGGAGATTGAGGCGTTGGTGGGGTGGTGTAAGGAGAAGTTCGGGGTCGGACGGGTAGAAGATGCGACCACTGTGTGGGTCAAGCCAGGCGAGAAGGAGCGGGAGATTGCAGCTAAGATGCTTGTTGGTGGGGAGGGGTGGCGGCAATTCTGAGTACCACTGGTTTGAGTGGCACTGCTGCGGCTACAAAGCGCGATGAGAGTCCGATGCTACCACCAACGACTTTGGCTTGGCAACAGCTCACTACACTATGCTTACAATCGGCTGATTTGAAGATCGTGGAGGACACCAGGTACAGACTGCAGCAAGAAATGCCGAGACTACGCATCTCCTGCATCGAACCGGACGGCTTTTCCATGCACACCGCGACAACAACGATGCAGCCACCCACAATCAGCCCTTATTCAATTCGTCGAAATCCCTTCTTGCGACGCAGGAAAAGGACAAGCAAGCCGATCGTCAACAACAACAAACCCAGCAAGCCACCGATGATGCCAGCTGCCGTAACGCCCGTCTGAGAAGCATGTTTCGCATGCGCATCGGGATGCTGAAGCACCGGCGGCGAGTAATGTAATCTTCCCAGTCTGCAGATCTGCAGTTGGAGATGCGAATTGGGGCGTGGCGGATAAGTAAACCAGACACCCTGACCCAAACACCTGGTAGCTGGTCACGGTCATGCTTGTGAAGCTTGAGCCGGAGCCAGGGTTTGTCACGACCACTGCCGTTATTGGCGATACTTGATTCATGGATGGTTGTGCGTAACTCGAAGACGATGTCCTCGCCGCGGTATTTGAGCTGGTGGGTTGGGAGTAAAGGGTTGCAGTAGATGCTGCGGTGTCACAAGCCAGGTATACACCGGCTCCTGGAGATCGCACCTGATATGTCACGCAGTACGCCGCACCTGTCTGCGTGCTGGTGGCAGCGGCGTCAGCGAGATGGACGAGGGAGTTGGCAGCACATTACTTTTTATACTCACCACTGCAGCACGCCATGGGTCGAGCGAGTCGAGTGTGCACTGTCGAGACATGCGGTATAGATTTCGGATGGACTCAGTAAGGATGTACCGCCGTCATCGGCAAGAGTGGTCTGACAGCAAGCGCCATAGCCACTCGAGGCGCAACATAGCTCCGTTGCATCGCATGTTAGTACGCTGTCTTCACAATAGTCATAGAAGTTAGCGCTGTAGGTGGGAGATATCCCGATATTAGTGGACATACTGCTGTTCCCATCTATGTAGCCACACGTGTTCCCTTAAGCGGCTGCTTGCGAGGAGTCTCGTTTGTGTCGTCCATCGTGTCTCATCGACGGTGCTGATGTTGTGGCATGTTCGTCCATTTTCTCACTCATATGTGGTCCCCGCTTTTTGGTGGGGCTTGCTACCTCGGAGTGGAAGTTGAATGTGTTACAATATGCTGCTACGAGCTTTCTACGAAGCTGAACACGATCAGGCTACGAATACGACGATATCAAAGGGCTGACGCTCCACAACTTGGACCCCAACGATCCGGTGGCCAACTCATACTGGCACGGCTCATCCTTTAGTCGGGCGATGCAGTGTCGACCAATGGCACAAGGCGACTACCTCAGCCTTGCTGCACAATGGCGCCACCATCCCTTACCAGCTCTCACTTGCGCGCCATGCCTGGTCACAGCCTTGCCGAGCGCCTTGTCTTCCTCGAGCTTGGCTCTCTGAGCTCCTCAGTTTGTTCTGTCACTACTCCCACCGCACGCGTGCCGTCAAAGACATCCGCATCGTCAACCAAGATTACTCGGATCTATCAACATGCGTCTGGAACTGCAGGAGCCCCGGCAAGCACTGATTGAGCCGGGCGCTAGTGCGAGCGGCAGTGGCAGCACCGAAGCCATTGATTCAGAGAACACACCAAGCCGATAATCCAAGATCCTGCTCCACGCTCCTCTACTATCGATCCCGATGCTGATCTTCCCCGCTGTCCTCCTCGGCCTGGTATCCCGATACCAAGTAGCCCGCTCAACTGCAGCGCTCCCAGGACTTGAAGTACCCGGCGAAGAGGACGACAGCGGAGTGATCTATGTCAATTTCAGTGCTACACGTCTGATCTTCATCGCCTCTTGGTCAAGCAGTCTGGCCCCAATGCTGGCGGGCAGTGCGGTCGTCCTGATATCATACCTGGCAGCACGCCACATGCTGGCGATCGCGGTCAACACACATCCGACCACCCAACGCCGTATCAATTGGCTCTCATTTTGACCATGATCAGTGGTGGTGGGGTGGGTGCTTTGTGGCAGTGGCTTCGATATCTATCGGGCTGGAGGAAGCAGAGACAACATCAGGGTCGTGTACTAACCCTCATTGCAACTACTCTAGCCACAGCCACTTTGCTCAGGTGGGTCTGAATCGGCATGCCTTGCGGTCTGCTTCATATGCTAATTGCAACAGCTTTCTGGTCTTCCTAGCTGATACCTGGTTGCATGTCACAACGAGCTCGACTCAGATCAGCCTGTTGGAGCCTCTACATAGCCCACCACCCTACAGTTTTGACCTGAAACCAGCCTGCTGGGAGACTGGAGGCAACGGCTGCTCCCTCAACCCCGCCGCCACAAACACCTTTCTCATGGCCGCCAATGTAAGCTACGAGGTCCTCGGCAATATCTCTTCGACAGCCAGAGTTTCCACTTTCAACAGCGACAATGGAGACTACGCTTTCGTGGCCATTCCGCCGTCTCAGGAGCTCGCACAGCGGGATTACACCGCCCTGACCTTCGGTATGCGTACACAGTGCGAAGCGGTCTCTCAAAAGTGTGGTCTGTGGGCATCAGCTGGTTCCACTACAGGTTTCTGGTGCTCCGCTGCCTTTTCCGGCAATCTTCAGGCCTCGCATTCCAACTGGCAGATGGTACACTTCGTCGATCCGGCACTGACCGATATAAATATTACTCAAGTGAAAAATCCCTACTACCTGGGTTGGGCGGGCTTGTTGACAACACTGCAAGGCGTGATCGACGATCCGGAGATTGTGGACCCAGTCCATGGCGGGATGGCTTTCGTGATGGCCTGTAATGCCACACTCTACAACATCGAGTACGATTACGTCAATGGCACCGTTGTACGATTCGTTGCGCAGATGACCAACAGCACTGTCGTGGAAGCAGCCATCGGTCCGATGGCCAATGACTTTGCACAGCCTTACTTGCAGCAGTATGCCGAGTCAGCGGTCTTCTCCAATACCAGTGCGGAGCTGGCAGACAAGCTGTCTCTTTCCTACAGCAAGGCTGCTCTTTCATTCTTTGCACAGACTATAAACGCTGTCCCTGCCACACGGGCGCAGGAGCGCACATCAGTACTTGTCGCGAGAATTGAGGTCGCCCCTCTCTATGCCTTGGTAGTGGCCGACCTGCTATACGTAGTCGCTGGCATAGGTCTCATGATTGCTCCCCTCAAGATGTCGTCTGCAGACGTAAGGCAGCTACAGTCTCGACTCGGGATCACAGCTCTTGTGGCCGACCGCTTCGAGACAGAGCATGAGCTGCGGCCAGTCAAAGAAGTTGAGGATCTGTTCGAAGAATGTAAAGGTCTCAGAAGTAGGCGTATTGGCATTGTCCGAAGCGAAGAGCATGGCTGGTCATATGCAGTCACTACGCCCGAACCCGAGAAGAATGATGGTAGCGACATGGAATTGAGTCTGATTTCGCCTACGCCATTAGCGGAGAATCGAGACGGTAGCAGCTTTCGGTGGGATGGTGCTTCCCAACGCGGTTGACGGCGTGCTGTCTTTGCCTTCCCTAGAGGGCGTGAGGCCGGCAAGAGCGAAGCGGTTGCGTGAGACTTACCACCGGTATAGTAGCTGTTCTCCGTGCTCGGATATTACGAAGACCAGTGGTAGGAATGACCTCTGCGATATGCCTTCTTTCGCACTCACAACACCTTCATCGCAGCTCATGTACATACTCCACTCGACGGGATCTCGACGATATCGATTCGACATAGACAATGGCAGAACACAATCGAGCCCTAGCTCCATCCTCAAACGAGCCCTCATCGCTAGCAGCCTTACCCTCCGCTGTCACAACGTCACGAATCACATCAACAGAAACCCTGAATACTCCCGACACAGCTCAAGCAGCTTCGCTGGTCAACCGCCCTACTTCCGCTGGTAGCCATCGTGCCACCCAGGCCAGAGTCCTCCGCCAACCCTTCCAGCTTCGCTCTTCTACTGCAACGAATGCAGCACCTCGGTCGGCTACTGCGCCTCCTCGAGCAACACCTTTTCGTCTTCCTGCAGAGCAGGGGAGCAATGACTCCGCATGTAAGAGGCCGTTCTTTTCAGTTCCACGATCCAAGAGGTCGTCCGGCATTAGCTGATCGTTCTCCACATGTCGATGCTGAGCAAGTCGGTCCGGCACACAGCGCGACGCCATCGCAAGTCGCTACATCATCGCCAGCCGCCACACCATCGGTCGCTACACCATCAGTCATCACAGCACAAGCAGCACCCGCACAACGACTTCTCCCAAGACCAACCAACACAGGACTCACAACTCCACGACCCACCCCTCCACCGCCACCACCCCCAATGTATCTACCCGTACCCTCCCCTACCCCCCCACTAGACCTCGAACCCACCATCTTCAACCCCAACATCCCGTCCCAAGTCCCCTGTCTCCGCATCCCCTCAACCCACTACCGCTCCTTCCACGACCCCTCCAACCCCTGGACCAGCATCATCCGCCCGGACCCCTCAACCCTGGACTCCAGTTCTCCAACCTACCTCCACGATAAGCTGGCGATGAACGTCGAGCTAGCACGATATCACGGTGTCCGAACAGGAGACACGCTCTGGTTCTATCCGGGTGGAAAGTGCTGGGGGAGGACATTCGGTGGGAAGGAGGAGTTCGGGTATCATGATCCGTACGGCGGGGTGAAGAAGTGCAGAGCTTGTGAACGGATGCAGATTCCGGATGAGGTGGTGTTGACGAGGATTCACGAACAGTACGGTGATGGGAAAAGAGAGGATCGGAATGATGAGGCCCTCGTTCGCGAAGACGGTGAAGTGGAAGACGAAATAGTCTAATGGGGTGAGATCATTGTTGATCTGGTCAGGTATAGATCAATGTACGTGAGGCAACGGACATACTGTAAAGACATGAGCAAGACAAAGCTGGCTACTCACGGCGTAAACTCCACCGTCCTCCCCGTCCGCGCACTCTCAACCGCCAACTCAATAACCCTCAACCCATTCCGACTCTCCTCCGGCAAAACCGCCACCTGCGCCTCCCCCCTTATAGCCCTAACAACATCAACGTAATAATCCCTATAACTCCCCCTCTCGCTCTTCCAACTCCCATCATGCTTACCCATGGGAGAACTCTCAGTCGTACTCAGGTACCCATGAAAGTTCTCGGGCTCGACACCGAATTTCTCGTCATCCGTGACCTTGATGCCACCGTAGAAATGATCGACTTGCGGATCCTCGCCCGTTTTGAAGAAGGCGCCGCTACGGCCTCGGATGATGTATTTGGGCATTTTGTGCATGGGGACGGGGGAGATGATGGTGGTGCGGACGGTGACGAGGAGGTCGGACTGATCGCCATCGTACTGAAGTTGGACTATAAAGGTATCGTTGCTTTTGCTGCCCTCCTTCAGCGCTCGCGTGGTCGCCCAGATGGATTTGGGGTTGCCGAAGAGGAGGAGAGTTTGGTCGATCGAGTGCGTGCCGAGACCGAAGAGCATACCATCGCCTGGACCAGGGTTGGGATTCGGACGCAGCCAGGGCGGGTTGTCAGTATCGTAATGGTTCTCGAAGTCCGTCACTTGGCCGAAAGCCTTCGCATCAACCAGTTTCTTCAGTGTGCGGAAGTCGGAATCATATCGTCGATTTTGGAAGACTGTGAGGATCTTGCCAGACTCCTTGGCTACTTTGATCAAGCGGTCGGCCTCTTCCACGGACTGCGTAAATGGCTTCTCCACTACGACATGCTTGCCAGCCTTCAGAGCCTTCTCGGCGTATTCAGCATGAGAGGCGACGGCTGTACAAACGCATACAAGATCAATGTTCTTGTCGCCGAAGAAGTCGTCGGCAGTGCGGTAGTGTTTAGCTTGCGGGTAGTCAATTGTGCAGTGGAGACCTTGTTCCTTGGTATCCTGGGGAGCGTCTTTACGCTGCAGAAAAGCGTAGACTTCGAGATCCGGATTAGGGAGCATGTAAGGCAGATGGAAGCATTTTGTTGAGAAGCCGTAGCCCATGAGGCCGACTCTGATTTTTGATGCCATACTGGATGAATGTGCTGGTGGGTATTCTGGTTGTTCTGTGGATGAGGTGAGGTTTGTCGTTCTGTGTGTTGTGAGGCTCAACGTATACTTTTGTATGTGTATCTCCAATTATACTCCGCATTCGGTGATGCTACCCCGGCTAAGCTTCCGGCTAAAGTGTTGGCAGGTCTCAGAAAAGGCAGGAGCTCATGTATACTCAGAAGTGCCGACATCGTGCGCTAGGTTTTGATAGTCAAAATGCTTCTTGCTGCAGCTCGTTGTGCATGAGAGCTTGGCCGTGATAGCCGTCACGATAGGCAGGCATGACTCGTGTTCATATGTCTGCATTTTTGTGATGTCGAAGCAGGAGATCCTCGGCCACAGATTGGATATGCCAGCCGCCACAGACGACGATGGGCTGTGAAAGTGGTGATGGAATGATTGCTGCTGACCAACAATTACTTACGTTCATTACCGTCATTATTTCTTGCCAGCTAACCAAGAAGCAATATCGAAATTCTGCATCTGATTCGCTGCTCCTTGCGATCCCGTGAGCGGACTCTTCTTCTGCATCTCCTCAAACTCCTGCTTCGTGTCTGGATCCACTAGAGAAATGTTAGCACTGCCTCCTCCACGCCTTTCCAATAATCTGTGTATGAAACTCACTATTATCCATAATATACGGCAGACCAAAAATGAACACCACCGACACCAATCCCATCAAAATCATAGGGCTCTTCAAGAAACCTAGTATATCGAACCCTCCCCTCGTCTGGTAGAACTCCTTCTGTGATGCCGCTTGTATCTGTATCGCCAACACACCATTATTCGCCGTCCCGTACGGTGAGCCCTTGTTACTCCACTCGTTCCCACGGAAAGTCTGCCACGCTGAGATCGTCTCTGCATATGTCCCATCTGCAGCTTTGGTGACATCTACTCGTAAGGGAGGGAAGAAGTGATCGCGACTGTGGATTGTAAGGAGATAGCTGGCTTCTCCCGCGATATCTGGGAACTTGAAGCTGTTGTCTCGTCTTATTGGAGTGTCGTAGCGGACTCCGGGGGCACCGGTGAGGACTGCGTGGGTTGAAGGTGGAAGGCTTGCTGGGTTGGACAGGTGCATCGAAGGCAGAATGGTAATGCTCAGGCTGGCTGCTGAAGCCAGTGTAGCACAGAGGAGCGAGATAAGAGACTTCATCGTGGCTGTGGTTTTGTGAACGGTCAAGGTGATAGTTTTTGCGACTTCTATGATAAAGTGGTGAAGCTTTGGGTTACGCAGAGTGACCAACACGAATGGCCTCAGGCACACATTTTAGGAGCTACGCTACTATTCATCTTCGACTCGAACACTCTCGATTAGTACAAACCTAGCATCCGTATGCATCTCCATCAACTCCTGAATAGCATCGACGACTATCCCAATCGTCACCCCCTTCTCATCCCGCCAAACATACTTCTGCCGCCCCTTCGCCACCTTGGCATCAAAATCCAAATACGTAACAAACGGCGCCCGTCCACTCCCCAATTCATAGAAAGATCTAGTACACCAAAACATGGTGAAACTCGACTTCGTAACCAACATCTCCCGCCACGCCCCCGCAGCATTAGGCGGGAATCGTAAGTACTGAGCCCGACTTATCTCGAGGGAGAAAGTCCAGAGTTTTGGTTTGGAGGGCTCGAGGTTGTATGCCGAGTAGCTGTTATCGAATGGGTATGCGGAGCCCCAGCTTCTTTGGTTAAGTAGGAGATGAGGGATCCAGGGGTTGGGTTGGGCTGGTGGGAAGGTTGATTTGGTGTTCCATACTGCGTCAGACATGCTCGATGCTGTTGGTAGATACAGAAGGTGTCTGATCGGGGTTGATTTACGGACGAGATCATGCCATGTGCGACTTATTGTTCTGTTCAGCAGTATGAGCCGTGTAGTAGAAACTTCTTGGTGGGATGTCTCTGCTGGTAATGCTAATAGTATGAGCTCGAGTAGCTCTGGAATGTGTAGGACCTTTGCCACTGCGCTGACATCGTGGTGAGCCATTGTGATTCACTGCAAACGAGAGTGTATTGTGTCTCTTCGAGTGGTTAGACAGCCGCGTCCTTGTCTGATCACATCGTGATGAGGCGTTGGTTGTTCATTGATGGATGAAGAGAGCTGCTCAGGATTTATGGAAGGGCTTCTCAAGCTCCACAAGTAGCTGATCGAAAGTGCAGGCCATCAATGACAACACGGCAACATGGTCTCAAACTCGATGCAGTATGAAAATCTTCTCGGGTAGATCATGTTATATCGTATATACACATTCTATCAAACAATCATCTCACATTACCCATCCACCTCATCAAGCTCCCCCTAACCATCTCCTACCATCCAGGAGGACCGTACATAGGCTTTCCCTCTCCATACTGCTGATACCCCGGCACACCATTATGGGGCCCACCCCAATTCCCCGGCCCACTATAATGCCCACCCTGGTCATTCGAACCCGGCTTAGTCTGATTCGTCGAGCTGGCACCATTCGGCCTGGAAAGACCCAAACATCCGGCCATCTTATAGAAGATATCAATGCTATTGTAGACACCGCTGAACGTCTCGTGGCAGGGTCCCATGGCGAAGACGGGGACGTCGGTGAGGGAGTGCACGCCTTGGTTGGCGTTGGTGGGGAGGGTGCCGTTGGTGATGAAGCCCGTGGGGTTGTCTTTGGGGTTGACGAAGTAGTCTGTGCTGGGGAAGCCGGTGATGTTTGTTGCTGGGAGACGGGGGCCGTCCTGGGAATGATGTCAGTATGAGGTAGCATGATGGGGAACAGCATTTGTGGATGGGATGGACTGGACTGACCTTGTGAACCTGGTAATTCTCACGCACGTCTGGGTGGGCACCGAAGCCTTGAGCCAAAGTGTAGCGAGGATCCCAGTTGGCTGGGAAGAAGCTATCGACATAGCGAAGGCTGCCAGTGTTGACATACTGGGATTCACCGCTATTCTGGTACGTGCCGACAGCGTTGCGCTTGGAGCGGTCGTCCTTTTGGGCGTTCAAGTACTGGGTGTCAGCGCTGCCGAAGACATCGAAACCGTGGCCGTGGTCAGCGGTGACAACAATCAAAGTCTCGTTGATCTGGCCGATCTTGGTAAGGTGGTCGATGGAATTCTTGATCGTATCGTCGAGCTCAAGGAGCTCGCCGAGAGCACGGTCGTAGTCGAGGGTGTGCATCTGCTTGTCGATGGAGGCAGCCTCGGACATGATGAACCAGCCTTTGTCGCCATTCGCAGCAGAGCGAGTCTGGAGCACATCAATGGCCTTGAGAGTCATCTCCTTGAGACCGGGCTGGTCAACTGCGTCGCCCTTGGATCCGTCTGGAGAGTTCTTCTGGTTCTTGAGGTTGGCAGTGTAGACGTTGCGATCAAGCCACTTCGCCATGTTGGAAACGGAGAAGATACCGAGGATGCGGTCAGAGGTGGATGCGGCCTGGAGCTCAGTATTGTTGTAGACAACATCGTAGCCCGCATCAGCGAAGACCTTGTAGTAGTCGAGGCCCTTGTAGGTCACGCCACCGAGGGATGGGGAGTAGAATTGTTCGGCTCCGCCGCCCTGGATAGCGAGTTAGCCTTTCGTCTTTGTTCGATGATCTTTGAAAACAACTTACGAAAAGGACATCTGGGCCGTTCCATTGAGTCCAGGTGTAGTTGACAATGCCGTGAATGAAAGAGTCAATGACCGCACCGTACTGATCACGATCTCTGGTGTGGGCGGTAAGAGCAGCAGGTGTAGCATCAGCGATGAAAGCTGTGCTGACAATACCAACGTGACCACCCCACAGACGGAAGAAGATCTCAGCGATAGTCTCAATCTTGGGATCATCGAAAGGGTTAGGGGAGGAGTCGGCGTAGACACCCAATGCATTGACCGAGGATTTGTGACCAGTGTAGAGCGCCGTGGCCGAGTTGGCGGAATCAGTGATGAAGGAATCGAGAGAGTGCGTCATCTGGTGGCCAAGGGAAGGGAACTTGTCCATGGCCATGGTGCTCTGATAACGACCGTTGACTTGCTTGTGGGCGATCAGGCGGGCAGCCGTGATCATGTTGGTAGTCATGCCGTCACCGATGAACAACAGAACATTCTTGGTCTTGCGGACCTCCTCGATGTCGCGGACGAGCCAGTAGGCGGTAGTGTTGGTGCCATTGTAGCTCAAGGTAGCCACGTATTCGCCCGGTGTGTAGAGAGCGACTCGTCGGTATGCCTTGGACGCCACGTTCACCACACTAGGCTTGAAAGCATCGCGGGCAAACAGATCCTCGTACCAAGTGAAATTCCAGCCCTCGAGCTTTGGCTCATCGAGGCCAAAGAACTTGGCAGCTGGCTGAGCAGCCTCGCCGACCTTGCCAATGTTGAAAGTGAAGTTCGTGTCTGGCTTGCCGTTCGTCGCCTCCGAGCCATTGACTGGTGCATGCACTTCGAGACGAATGTCGAAGTACTGACCAGCGAGGAAATCCTGCTGATCGGGAGGGAAGACGCAGCCGAGTGTGGGACATCCACCAAGACGCTGGAAAGTCTGAGCAGAGACTACGGAAAGAAGAGCAGCAGCCGCTGCCGCGAAAGTGAAAGACACCATAATGGATGACGATGTACAGGCTGCAAGGAGAGCAAATCACCTTGATGGGATGGAACTGAAGACGAGAGCTTTCTTATACCTACCCTTTTTTCCATCCTCAGTAGCTCATCCCAGCTTCCCACGCTTTGAACATCTGCAGGAACATAGCCCGTCAGTCTGGGCAAAGTGACATCCTCCCTCGCATCGTCCAGATCAGGCAGGTTGGTATGCGCGAGTAAGCAGTCCATCGAACGCCAGATACGTCAAAGATGATGGATCGAGGTTCGCTCCCGACGAGGTTCCGCAGATGGTGGTCTTGGCCGTGAGGCTCATCGACAGCGTGGGCAGCAAGACAAGCGTTGTATGGTGCGGTCGAGCACGAAAGTCAATCTCAGCCATCGGTCTTGGTCTCGCCAAGTTGCGCCTCTGCAGTCTAGAGCCTTGGCTTTGAGAGGGCCAAGACACTGGTGCTATATAGTCTCGCTTTGGCTGCAGCATGCAGAGAAGAAAGAAGTTTGTCTGCCAAGCCCCGTGCTTCTTTACGGGAAGCTCATTCGCCACGTGAAGCTGGGGATGCGGAGTGCCCGCAAAAGAAAGGCAGGTGAGGTTAGGCTTGGCCAGGTCGGTGCAGACGGTCGATGAGGGTGACATCGTAATAATGAAGACAAAATTCGATTGGTGAAAGGTATGATCTAGCAGGAGTGGTCCGACCCGTGCCTCATGATTGCTGTGGCATGTACTGTAAGTCTTTCGTGCGCTGTATCAGCTTCTCATGATCAACGCGATGGTTCAACAAGCCCCGTTCGAATGCCCTACAAGCCCTATGATCCAGACTGTACGATATGTACACAGAATGAATACGCGCTCCACGAAGTGGTGTTCTGACTGCCAGACCTGGAACGATGTTCGCCGCATCTTCAGTTGCCCACAATCGAGGTCGCACAGAAACCCACCGCAGGCACTGAAGCTGCCACCTTTGCAAGCCCGGAAGCCGTGTTTTATCTGTGGTGTGGTCGCAGAAGCTGTGACGGAAAGGCTACGGTGCGAAGACTCTGAAACAGACTCTCCCCCAAACACTAATGGGAGACGGACCTCGATCTGGTCTAAAGCAACACTTGGAGGCGAAGCTCACATGATTGAGAAAGGCTTCCGACGCGTCATTCTACCTTAACCTGGAAGACCAGGGGATGGAAGTAGGTATCAGCTGCATGATATTTCCGAGAGGTCACTGACACTGACTGTCTTCACAGGTTCCAGGAGCGACTACTCTCCAAGCGATGTTTGTATGTCGCAGATGACGCATCCTACTTCACCTGCCACAAAGCAGCCTACCAGGAGTCACTTGGACAAATATCGAGGTTAATTTCGAAGGAAGAAGCTATCTTCGACTCAGACCTAAACTCTGTCACTTCCGTCGATAGTGCTGCTGAGTCTCTTGAGTGCTGCCAGCACTATTCTCGGCGAGATCTCAAGTTCGATACAGACATTCTCGACGCTTTCCAAGGCGTAGGTAAGCAATGTCTTGAGTCAGCGACTGGACAGTCAGTTTTCCTGGGGCGTGCCTGGGAGATACCTGGTCTCGGCGATGCTTGGGCACCGCAGGGGCACTCGACGAGAAGAATAAGCCGGCCCGACATCCCGATATGAACTTGGGCAGGTTGGACATTGCCTGTACTCTTCGACGCTCTAGGCGGCAGCCAGGGAGATGATGCCGACATGACTGGAACACTTGCACGCTTTTACACCCTCTGTGACGACGGTACTTTGATCGGGTTCCTGTCATGGAGACTTGGTTCGGGAAGGCCGTATCGTGTGACACTATTGACGATCATGTGTGCCCGACTCCAACAGAATGCCAACCTTACCTGGGGTTCGACAAACCAGAAAAGCTGGCCGAGACCGTGGGAACGAGACAGGTATGGTCGCAATGCCCACAATCCCCATATACCGTCGTTCACGAGGACCTTCGCTCGCCTAACATGCCGAGGGAGATCAGTGCTCCGGCCTTAGTGTTCGCTGTACAGCCACGGGAACGCTGGATCGGCTCACTTATGCCTATGGCAAGCAACCAGTTCTGCACTGGCGATAAGGTCAATAGACTCCACGAGTTCATTGTCTTGTACGCGGGCATTCAGCAGCAGAGGGCAAAGAAAGTGCTGAGATTCGCAGGAACCGCGAGCAATACAAGGTTCGACAGGAAGGAGTTCGCAGTGAGCCAGGACAACATGGGGCGCGAGAGGATGTGGGAGCTACGTTTGATGCTCATCAAGCGCGACGAACAGGATCCGCGTCTATGTCGGCGTGTTGCTATTGCATGGGTCGTGGCTGATGACTGGCGGCACTGCGCACCTGTCTGGAAGGACATTTTTCTAATATGAGAAGAGTCTCGGATGAGGCGGTGCATCGGAGCTGGGCGCATGTTTGACGAGTCCATAGTAGTCGTCACATCTGGTCCTCGGATTGATACACACGAACAGGCACTTCACGTCAGACCGTCTCAACATTCTGTCGAGTAAGAAGCAGATCCGATTTGAATTGGCTATTGGGCCGGCTGCTCTATGGATAATTACCTCGTCGCTCCGAGTTGTCGGTTGTGTTACGTTGACTGTGAGGTGCTCGCCCTGATATTTGTAGCTTTACTCATGACGCGTCACCTGTTACTTCTGGCTACTGTATGTGGCTAGTTGTTGAGCCCATAACTTCCTAACAGTCATGGTGTAAGAGAGGCCTGTTTGTAGATCGTTGTGAAGATACAGTACGGCCAATCGGAATGCAGCGGCACGTCGAGCGGCATTGTAACAACTCTTGATAGCGGAAGATCAGCTTCGAACTGCGCCTCAGTATCGTGCCGGAAGCCTTGATTTACTACATCATGTCTGCGTAGTACTAGTATAACAGCTGCTGCTGAATGTTCCACCGTGCCTACGCTGGACGCCACAATCGATGAAATCACCTTCAGCCTCTGATTTGAAGGTCCCATTCCCACTCGAATACGACGCAAAGGTCACCATACGCAATCGCCACCCCATTGATCAACAGTATAGGTAACACAAAATGTCAGCAGACGGACAAACACCCATTGCCTATACAGCGCCTTCGAGAGAGGCAGAAATATACGACGATGCAATGTCCACGCCTCGAGCCAGTCTAGACCGTACTGGCGGGAAGGAGATGTATGGACTATCGAGTAGCACATATGACTCCTTGACGACATCCCCCGACTGCGACGATACCAAGACTCTCGCTGGCAGTATTTCGCACAGCCTCTCGCCTTCTTCGATCGCTCAATCAGGATCCTATGCCCCTAGCACCTCAGCCACTGCCAGGAGCACCCTGGATAGCTACGCTGCTTCCTCCATCATCGAGCAGCGATCTCTTGTCCCTGGCCACCACCATCGCCAATCATCAGTGGACCTCCAAAGCCAAAGAACTCCCGCGCGAAAGGCTTTCGTGGGTCTCTGTCATGCGGTGAATGTCGTCATTCCGGTGGATGTCGACGATGGAGCGACGAGTATGCAAGCGTCGAGTCTGGCGAAGGTTTTCCAGAGGAACGGGCCAAAGTTCAACGATGACACTGCTGCAGCATCGGAAAATTCTGTTCAGGGACGTCGGAAGGGGGGTTAATGTGGGCTGCTGACAGAATTGCAAGCGCAAACATTACTTACCTTGGGAAGAAAAGTGAAACTTCGACTCGGGAGGCACTTGATCTCGGGAGTGAAGGAAACTGTGTGGAAGGCCCGCGTCATATATAGCTTGAAGGCGAGGAATCGCCCTCGTGGAAGTCGGAAGAGACAGGGCAGGCTTTTGACAGCGGGTCAAAGGACAGGCCCCTGCCAACGCGGCACGCCTAGGTGTCTGGAGATGTGCGCAACGCAAGCAACAACCAGTATGATAAGCACTCAAATGGTGTGACAGCCTACTGCTCGTGGTGACGAGAGAGCGCCCGCGATGTTGTTGCCCATTTATGTGATGTGTGGGACCTTGTGGAAACCGTACGGTACATCGATGACAGAAATCAGTCACAACAGTCTCTCATCATTTGCAACGCAGTAAGCGTATAGGAGGATGTGGACCAAGCATATGGCGCTGTTGACCAGTGCAGGCCTACAACAGTAAGCTGCGGCGCACGTTCACCGGCATTCCCATTTCTTCCCAAACGTGAGCAGTGAGGTCAGCCAAAGTTCGCCTTTTCATGAACTCATAGCTTCGTTCTATCATCCCCGCTACCCATAGCACCAAACTATCTCCCACCCCTCGCCCAAATCACCTCCCCAAAACCATTCCGCTTCAAAGTTTAGTACAGCGGAACCGAAAGCGCTCGCTCGCTATACACAGCAACATCATTACTTTCATCATGATCATCATCATCAACAAATATCATCATCTAAAACCCGCCATCCTGCTGCGAAACCATATCCCGGATCGCCCACCGCCACGCCCCATCATCAAGCCTTGGAGCCGGACCCGGCACGAACCACCCCTCGCAGCGTTTCCGCCACAATGCCTCTTCCTCGCGCTGTACAGTGATGAAGCGAGGACCCAGGTCGAATTCCTCATGAACTTCCCCTACACCAGCTGCGGCCATAGAGACCGGACTAGCCATGCCTGCAACTGAGCCTCCGGCGCCAACAGCAGGGGCATTCTCATCCTTGAGATCGTCAATTCCGGCGAAGGCGTCCTCCTCGTCTTCTCCGTCGGTAACGGAAGGGGAGATGGGACCGCTAATATCTCGGCCATCTTTAAGCTTTAGCCATTTCATCTGTCGTGGGTCGAAGACCATACCGCCATTCACTTGCACGCCTTGCGTTGCTTGAGCTGAGATCGGAGCGATGAGCGCTGGTCGCGGTGGCGAGCTCGAAGGCGCTTGATGTAGAGCTCGATCCATATAGGATGTTTGTGGTTGATTGCCAGTCGGCGTAGGTGTCTGCAACGGTGGCGGGAAGTCGAAATGTGCGATTGCGTTCTCGTTGCCTTCCCAGCATTGCCGTTGTGCGTTGTAGACCATGCCTCGCGCTGCCGCATCTATGTCTCATTAGCTATGGACGTTCACTTTCGCTGCATGTCATCACTCACTGGTTGCCAATGTGCCCGGCATCTCCTTGAACAGCGTTGGCTGCAATCGCCTGGTCTTGACTTTTTGTGCGCTCGGGCTTGTATGAGGACTACGTGCTGCAATTTGTGCTTTCCAGTCCGTGGCAAATGTGTTTGTCGACATTGGCATCAATGGTCCCTGGCTTCGAGGACGGCCGTTATGTACTAGGCGTGACTCTCTGGCGATCCTGCTCGCTGCTGTGTCACGAAGATAGCTAGGCGTATTACTTTTTGAGGGCTCGTAGAATCCTTTGGTCGGACTTGCTGGCGTCCGTGGTGGTGCAGGTGTCATCATCCTGTCTGGCATGCCAATACTGCGCTTCACAGGGTCACGCATGTCAACACGGCTGTTTGTCTGCCTCAGTGTAGGTCTTGGTGGGCCGCGTCCGACGGGCTCCTTGATGAACTTGCTCTCCTTTGCATGCGAAGTAGGGAGGTCATCAAACACTTCCAGCTCATTGCCATCACCATAATTCCGCCTTCGTGCTGGCTTTGTAAGATTGCGTTTCGCGGCAGCTTCACGCGCCAAGGCAGCGGGTGCCATGTCCTTCCGAGGCGGTCTGTTAGCACGCGATGGTGTATCAGGCACGAAGGCGTTCGAAAGCCGTGATTGCGACCGGGGTGGAGGGGATTGTGCTCCTTGCCTGTTGGGGTCGGAGTCTCGGCGGAGATGGTATGCCATCGCTCGCTGTGCAGATGCATGTGTCTGTTGGCTGTAGTTCGAGGCACTGGTAGGGATATATGTGGGCTTCTGTGGTGCAGCGACTGTCCGTTGGCTTCCCATGGCGGGCATTGATCGCTTGGAGCGCAAGAATTGCGAACCCGTCGTTGTGGGTTGTCTCCGTCCGGACTGGACATGAGGTGCACCACTTTCGAAGACGGGCTCGAGCCGAGACGATGAAGGTTTCGAGCCAGAGACGGGTCGTGGCAGATGCGAGCGCATGTGCATAGGCTTGTCCGTGGGCTTGTCGTGGAAGTTCAGCGTTGTCGCTGGTCGCGGCGATTGAGTGATCGGTTTGGTATCCTTTATCTTCAGGTTCTTGTTCAGGCGGGTCTTCCTGTTATGCAAGAACTCGCCACCATCAAAATCGAGGTCATTGAGGAAATCGTCATTGTCGTTGGACAATAACTTATGCTTCTTGTGCACGCTGATTGTCGCTGGCTGCTCGATAGCAGGACTTTGCTGTGACAGATCGGAGAGCTCGGCTTCGGTAGCTTTGCGTTTCTGCAATATGGCTTGGAAGTCCATAGGCTCATCTGGCAGCTCCAGACCTCCTAAGTCGCCCGCCTCACTGTCCGCAGTCCCCGAACCCAGACTCGGACTCATTGCAGAGGCAGAAGAGCTCCGGCCACGTGCATCGCGCTTGGTGCCTGCAAAGCGGATGCCGAGACTGCCTTCCAGCTCGTCAAAATCGTCGAATTCTTCATCATGAGCAGCGGGCGCCTTCGTCTGCTTCAGCTGCAGACCGCCTGGAGGGGCAGCCGGCTCATCAAAGTCCATACCCCAGTCATCCTCGTTGATCTTTGGCCTGCTCTTCTTCTTGCCAAGTCTCTTTATGGTGCCACCAAGTAAGGCGCTTGCCGGGACATTGATGGGTAATGGTATGCCAGCATGTTTCGCAGACTGTATCGCCTGGGAGGTGCTCTGCTCATCGTTCGATTGTAACACCACATTCCAGTCATCATCACCAGCCAAGCTCTCGGAGTGCACACTGAGACGAGACGAGATGCTGGTCTGGGTGTGGTTGGTGCCCACGCTGTTGCCAAGGGGTTGGAGGTCGCCGTCGAAGTCGTCGTCCCAGCTCTCCGCCATGTCCATAGTCGCCGCCAACGTGATAACTGCCTGAGGAATCCTCCTCTTGCACCACTACAATCCTATATGCGACCGCCTGTGCAAGAATATGAGGCTGCCCAGTGGTGACTTCCAATATTGTTGCAGTGGCCGGGAGGCAGAAAAGAGTTCAGGGGAGCAGCGGCCTGCACGAGAGGCAGACTACTGCATGGTAGCGGAGTCGCAGAGACAGCGGTCGCGAGAGACAGCAGTCGGTGTGTTGGTGAAGCGTTAATGCAATGCGGCCGACGGTGGCGCGACTTTGCCGACCAGCACTAAAGTACTTCCATCGCAGGAGGTTGGTGGCCGCCGTGCTCGTGCAGCGGGCCGACGCTTCCCGTACCCTCGACGCGATTATGTCGCGTCAACTTCGGGCTTCAACATGGCCGTATCATGAATCTCATGATTGTCGCCATGTCTTCAAGGGGCAGCAGCGCCCACTGCAACACGTGTTAGGGTATACGTTCGGCTTTGTGCTACTGTACTCAGCATACAGACAATCGCAGACCGGTCAAGGCTTTTGACCGCGGTGCGGCATTAGGCAACGATCGCGCCAAGGCTAGTAGCAGGCATCTGTTGGCTGCCTTCAAGAGAGTACAATCATTAAACTTGTCTTCATAAAAGGAGCTGTTGATCTTCTTATCCTCTTTACTGAGCCACAGTGCATGCAGTCCACCCAGTGCTATGGCTAACACTCAAGTCCTCCGCCTCCGCCGCACGGATGCCGATAGCGAATTCGTTCTTGTCCATGTGGCACGACATGGCTCCAAACCGCTAGACCTCAAGCTGGTCGCTTCGGAAGGGGAGCATGTCTATCCGGTCAAGCTCAAGGATTCCAGCGTCAAGACACTACAGGCCAATAACTACGGTGGCGATCTGGACCAATGGAAGGCCACTCTTCGTTTTGCTCTGCTTCGTGAAAGGCCAGACAATGGCGTACCGGAGATGTTGCAAGGGATAGAGACAGTGTGTTCACTCGAGCGCGACACCTTGATAATCACGATTCGAAAGAACATAGGCGGTATTCATCAGCGGCTCGGCACTATTGTTTTGTCGCAGAACGATGAGGAAGAGATTAATCCATATGACTGGGCTGCCATCTCGACTGCGAAGGTCGACGAACTGCTGCAAAATGCGAACGAGATGCAGATCTCTGCTAAGAAGCACGAAGATGACGTGGCGAAGTTGACCAAACAGTTGGAAGATCTGGTGCACGCAAAAAAGGATCACGAGTCTGAGATTCTCAAGAAATGTGCAGCACTACTGAACGCAAAGAAGCTCAAGATCCGAGACCAACAGCGATTACTATCAGGCGCAAAGATTGATATCAACGATGCGGAGCTAGTCAGTACTGCACGTCGGAGAGACGAAGGCGGGAAGGGCAGAACAGCAGCATTATCTCGAGGTTCTAAGCGGAAAGCGAATGGTCATGCCGAGTCAGTGCCTGAGGGCCACAACCAAGCCGAGACTGACGACGATGATGCCGAAGAGCCCGACGCCGAGCTCGAGCAAGATCAAGAGACGCCTGATCCGACGGACGACGAAGCAGAGGAAGAATATATGCCGAGCAGCTCCAAGACTACGCCGCCGTCAAGTACGAGAGCAACAGGGAAGGCTTCCGATAATGCCAAGCGATCTCTGAAGGGCAATGTGAAGGGTGGAGACAGTGCCGGACAGGAGGACTCCAGTCTACCGCCGCAGCGCGAATTGCCCTTCACAAAGAAGGCAGGCGTGTCGAACAATGCACAGAACAAATCAATTGCTGCACGGCCGGGATCCAGACCTACGCAGGACGATGAGACGGATGATGAGGAGTTATAATCCCGCTCCGCACTTTCAGTGACTGACGTTACATTCAACCTGCTCGGTCATGCGCGTCTATTACTCACTCGTGTGGTCACTCGAGCTTGATTGCATGGTTTCCAGCGGCTCAAAATTCATCATTCAACGGCATTTCGTGTTCACGAGACATTCACATTTACAGAGCCGGACCAGAACAAACTTCTGATGCCACGTGAGCTCTCGTGGGTTTCTATTGTTCGACACTCGCCTGGAATACGCTAAGGAAGAGCGCTTGAACTTTTGCACCCCACTCTCTCCAGCAAGCTGTGCTCGTTAAAGCTCAAAAGTCTACTAGCGAAAGCAATAGTGGGAACAACGCACACCTCCAAGATCCGGCCCGCGACCTTGATTACGATTCGCCATCCGCGGAACCTGAGAGTCGTTGCAAAGCTTTATATGTCCGGCTCTATCGCCGCCGTTGTGAGACACACTTGTGAGACAGCTCCACACCAGCGATCGCGAACATGTACTTTGCACTTGTCGGGCTGACGCTGCTCATCTTTATCACATGGTGGGCTTACTCGATCGTCTACAACCTATACTTTCACCCTTTGGCAAAAGTTCCTGGGCCGAGGCTTGCCGCAGCCAGTCAATGGTATGCAATATACTACGACATCGTCTCGCGCGGTGGCGGACAGTACGCTTTCAAGGTCAAGGAATTTCATGAGCGATATGGACCCATCATACGTGTCACACCGGACGAGGTACACATCTCCGACCCAGATTTTCTTAGCACAATCTATGCCACCCGAGACAGGAATTCCATCGTTGGAGGTGGCATCATGCAAGATCAGAGCGTCCACTTGGCCAATGACTACCACCTTCACAAGATGCGACGGGAAGCGCTAAATCCTTTCTTCAGTACGAAAGCTGTGAGCGACATGGAGCCGAAACTGGCAAATAAGGCAGCACAGCTGCGCAGTGTCGTGCAAGGTTACAGGGCGTCTCAGCAACCACTGAACGTATCGGATATGTTCTTCGCGTACTCAAACGACATGCTCCGGATGTACTGTTTTGGCTCCGACGACAATCTGCTCTCCGATCTTGAACAAGCGAAACGGCTACGAGAAGACCAAGCAGCGCTGTTGAAAGGCGTGAACATCGCAGGACACTTCACCGCCGTCTTTCGAGCACTCAGCAGTGCGGTAGCGAGAGTGCTCGGACCGCAAGCTCTACCTCCTGCAATGCGCGAGATCATGCTTTTCCGCAGCAACGTCCGAAAGCTGATCGAGTACGTCCTGGCGGATACCAAGAACGATGGTAAAAGTGGTCGGCGATCCGTGTTCTACGAGCTTCGGGACAGTGCTATTCTGCCGCAACATGAGAAGACTGTCGATCGACTGCAGGACGAAGCAACACTTTTTGTGCTGGCCGGCACTGAATCACCCGCCAAGACGCTGCTCATCGCTTCGTTCTATCTGGCTGCACAGCCGTCGTTGATGCAGAGATTGCGCGCTGAGTTGCAAGAAGCCAAGCGTCATGTTAGGGATGCTGATCTACCTCTAAGTACGTTGCTTGCCTTGAAGTATATGCAAGCTGTGATTATGGAGGCGAACAGACTTTCACTGGGTGTTTCCTACCGCATGAAGCGCACGGTGCCACACGAGAGCGTGACATACACTGCGTCCTCTGGCCCACACAAGGGCGAAGACTATGTCATTCCGCCCAACACTGAGATGAGCACTCTCACGTGGTGTACGCACACGAACGAAGAGCTTTTCCCGGACCCGCTCCGCTTCGACCCTGAGCGATGGCTTGGTGATGACGAGATAGTCAACAAAAGGAAGCGGTGCATGCATTCTTTCGGCAAGGGGCATCGGCGGTGCTTGGGGTTGAATCTGGCCAATGCGGAGATGAGTCTGGCGATGGCGGTCATAGCCCAGTATGACCTGGAATTGTTCGAGTCGAATGAGAGCGAAGTCAGCTTCAAGTACGACTTCCAAGTGCCGCATCCGCCGCATGGTTCGAAGGGGGTGCGGGTCGTAGTGAAAGGCGAGAAGGATCTGTGAAGACGAGTATGCTAGCTACTGCCACTCTGTCCTGCTGATATACTAGCGGACGCGGGAAGATCAGAGCCCACAGCTGCAGTAGCCCCAGCATCGACTGGTAGAATCACACCTGTCATCCAGCGTGCTTCGTCGCCAGCAAGGAAGCGTACTGCTGCGCCAATATCCCAGCCATTGCCCTCGGTTTTGAGAAGACTTCGATTCTTGCGCGACTCGCGTGCTTCGTCACTCATGCCTGGCCCGTACATCATCTACAGATTCAGAGTCAGTCACGGCGTTCGCCATCAACAGAGAACAAGGGAGTGATCATTGCTTACAGGGGTGTACACCATGCCAGGGCAGACCTAGAAAACATTAGCTTATTACGAGAAACATGATCATCCCCGACACTACTTACGCAATTGACCCTGATGCCATCCGGCGCATGTTGATGTGCCATAGCTCTCGTCATATTCACAATGGCTCCTTTGCTCGTCGGATAGAGCAGATGGGGGTTGCCTCCTCTGATGCCTGCGACGGAAGCGATATTGACGATACTGCCTCGCCACTGCCCATCATTCTTCTCCATCTCCGGAATGGCGTACTTCACAGCATCAGCAACGAGGAAAGCAGTACAAAGATGTTCAAGTGAAAGTATACCTTAGCCATCATAACCATACTAGCAACATTAATCTCCATCGACTTTGCCCACTCCACCATATCAACATCCTTCGCCGTGCCCAAAGCGCCACCAACACCAACGACGTTAACAAGTATATCAACTCTCCCATACCGCTTAACAGTGGCCTCGACAACAGCCTTACATTCGTCTTCCTTGACAACGTTGGCTTTGACAGCTACACTTTCGCCATAACCATCCTTTCGTATCATCTCGACCGTTCGCTCAGCCAACTCGGCTTTCAGATCGACACAGACGACATTCGCGCCAGCTTCGGCGAGCAGGATTGCTGAAGCCCTGCCATTGCCGATACCATCTGCGAGTGCACCGGCGCCTGTGACGATGGCGACGCGACCTTTGAGCGATCGGGTGGGACGTGGGAAGTCGTCACTCATATTGGTGTCATTATTTAATTGATTGTTCTTGCTACTACATACAGCTGAGATAGATGAGGGGTCAATCATAACGTCGTCGTACTCGTTCTGTTTGAGGGGTCCGGCTACATGTCTGCCATGAAACTCACGTATTGCCGACCTCGGAGGCTTCATCATGTCGCAAAGACTCCAAGTTCATGAACGCCAAAATGAGCTTATTGAAGGCCAGCTCCATTATCAGTAACAAATGCATATCGTAGATCGCTCTTCATCAGTTCGTCAACCATCTCCACACGAACCCATCTCAGGCCTATTGATCAGGCATTCCTGAAACCTCCAACGTCCCAGATCGTCGTCTTGTAAAAGTTCAGCACCTGCTCATTGGCACCTTTGCCCAACGACCCGCCTTGAAGACGGACACACAACCCTGCCAATGTCTTTGCTCGAGACAAAGCAACATACGCCAGACCATGGAGTGAGCTGTCAGCCATATCAACGACCACTTTTTCCAAAGTCATGCCCTGAGCCTTATGTACCGTCATCGCCCAACCCGGAGCCAGTGGAATCTGCGTCCGCATTTCAAGCGAGTACGGTTTATTCTCCCCAAGTAGAGTCATGGCGCAATTGGCGAAGACTGTAATACGTAGACCATTGTTGAATTGCACGATCGGCCATTGACGATGGTCGTTACCGGCTTCGAAGACAAAGTTCTTGCACTGCTCATGGCGGTAGGCCGTATACTCGCTGAAACCCTTGCGAGCGAGATATGCACTCTCCGGGTTTGCATGCTCGCCTGCGGTACCAGGTGTTCGGTCGATTCCTGCGGCATGTGGTATGGCCATGTCGTGATATGGTTCAAACCCGACAATCATGCCTTGGCTGCCGTTGACCAAACCTTTTTCGACATCCAAATTAGCCAGCAGGACCACCGGCATATTCGGTTTCAGCTGCAGTTTGATCACGTAGCGGTGATCGAGGAGTTGTACCAAGGTGCCATCTGTCTTAGACTTCACCGTGCGAGTCTGGAGCTTGGGTTGATCCTTCGGCTGCAAAAGGAAATCGTCGTAGCAATTGTACACTATCGGCATACCGGGTAGCTGTTGCAACCGCTCTTTGTTATATAATTGAGTGGCCATTCTCTTGCTGAAAAGACGGAGTCCAGCGTCGTCCGCATTGTGTAGGAGAAGTGCTGCCATGTCCTCTGGCTTCAGCTCGGCGCCAACGCGACATCTGGCGAGAAGATCCATATATGCTCTTTCGCTCTGCCTGTGGTTCGTCTGCAGATGGACATATGCGAGATGGAGATCGTCGTCCTGCCAAACAGAGGAATTGAATGCCCAGAATTCACATAGCACTGGCTCTTCTTCTGTCGGGCAACTGTTGCACTCCACCACTTCGACTTTCTTGCGATGATTTTCCCGCTTAGCCACCTTGAACGTGCCAGAGTCTATACGACTTCCCGCATGAGTAGCATGTCTCAAACGGCTTGACGGGCGCCAATTGAAACAAGTCGCCGCAGAAAATGACCTGTTTCCCACCAAACATCTTCTCCTTCTCGCCAGAGCCATCCTGCATAGCTCGATTGATCCTGTCAAGCATGTTCTTGCTGACCATTGATATCTCATCGATTATCAGAACATGTGTATTCTGGATGCGGTCCCGCACGCCTCTGCCCGTGGCATTCTTGCCAATCTCCTTGATCGTCATCTTCTGAGCATCAGTGTTCCATCCCATGTAGCTGTGCAATGTCATACCGCCGATCTGACAAGCCGCTTGACCGGTAGGTGCAGTGATCCATACTTTTTTTTCAACCGCACGCATCAGCATAACTACCCAGCGCACGACAGTCGATTTGCCACATCCCGCTGAGCCGGTTAGGAACGTGTTTCGACCGCTCATGATGAGTTTCAGAGCCTCATACTGCTCGTCGTTCAGGGCGGGTAGATCAGACTCCGAAGCTTTCGGGTCTAGAGCCAACACTTCTGCTGTCAATTCCGCTGAATCTCTTGCCAATCGAGGAGTCCCATCGTCTTCAACTTTGATCGTGCGTCGACGGTTAGCAGGTCGAGGTGTCAGTGGTGGCGAGTCTGGCAGAACCATCGGCGTCTGTCTTCTGGCTCCCGTATTCGAGTTGGCCGTCGAAGTCATTCGAGCTTGTGCCTGCGCGACGTCGAATAGTCGGCGAGCGCGCTGCTCAGCGCTACCCCGATTCATGTTGCTACTTAGCTTTGGTTAGCCTTCCTGTTGTGACCGTGTTGACAAGCTGTATATTGCTGCCTAGTGCTGTCGTGTGTGTTGCTGTGAGCTCAGGGAGAGTGTTATCGAGGCAAGGTTCTCTTGTGCTGTCATGGAGTGTCGTTCTGTCAGACACAAGAGTTCGATGGAGACATGAACCATCTGACCACTGTAAGATTGGGATCACATGTCAACGTCTGTAGATTGGAGTGAAGTCTCTCTGAACCACCACCGTGCCTCAAACCTCGATTATGAACAGTCTGGCAGCACATAATTATGTTACAAGCGAGGCTCAACACTTCAAGACCAGCTACGATACCTGCACCTTGACTCTCTGAAGGAGATAAGACTTCGTTCTCTTTGACTAGAGAACTTGCCGAGATAGCACAGCTCTACTACCAGGTTTACACGCCTCTCGTAGATTGTTTCCAATGGCCTGGAGTCCTGTCCTAAGAAGCCATGATTGAGGAAATGTCAGAGTCCTGCCAACGGATCTCGGCGTAGATGAGCAAGGTCAAGACAACTCACGGGCACATAAGCCAGTCTGAGAGGGAATTCGAACATATCTGCCTTGAAGACGGCGACTCTGGGTGAATCGTCTATGCAGTCTGGGCTGTTTACTCCACTCCAGAGGCGGAGGCCTCAAGGTCTTGATATCCCCATTATGGGCACGCTAGCATAGCCACCAGCAGGTACAGCCAGAAGTCACTCTGGATTGCAAATTTCGAGTGGTCAAGAAGTCCCAAGACCAGAAGACGGGTCATGCTTGCTAGCCTTGCGCGATATACCGTCCGGATAGCATCTCGAGAGCTGTCTAGCAAGGCTGGCTGATGGAGCAGCGAACGAAGCCGTGGTTGATTGGGATCGCATAGTTTCCAACGGTGGGCTGACGGAGTGGCAATAACATATAAGCTCAGATATACGAGTAGAGTTCAGGTCTAGAAGAGAGAAGGAGAAAATGAAGAAGTGGTGACAAGCCGGGACGATGCCGCGCGAAGCTTTGGCGGAGATATCTCATGTGGTTCCCAAGCATCATCACCACCGATATAGCATTCCCTAGTGCACAGTGAAGCCTACTTTTGCTCTTGATTTGCTCTTGGTCAAACTCCATATCCTACATACTCACGTACGCACGCACCCGTCTGCAGTCACCATCGATCAATCACGCTGGCGGCCACCGGATTCACTGGAAGAAGACTTTACAATGACCAGCACCCAATAACACACGCTCTCCCACCCAGGCATCCTGGGCAAGAACCACCGACAGCATTGGCAAAAATTGCAAAGAGAGTTCGATAACAAGCCTTGTACAGCTTATGAGAGATCAACCTAAGAACGCATATTCTGTACATACCTAAGACAATCTTGCGAGGAGATAAGGATATCAAGACTCGACCTAGGTTCCTAGACAAGCCTCATACCCACCATACCTCTGAAGCCTTTCGCTTGGCATACCACACATCGCCATGCCTAGCCTCGAGATCGTCAACTTCAACATCGTAAGCAACTCCTCTCCTCCAAACAGTCAAGACCAACCACAACCCAATCTAACAATAACATCCCAGGTCTGCGCAACGATCGGCGGCTTCATCACCCTCTTCGGCCTCGTCTCCTACCTGCTCAAAGAGAAATTCTACCTCTCCGAAGCCCTAATCAGCACTCTCGCCGGCGTAGTCTTCAGCCCACACGCCACAAACTGGATCAAACCGCTCGACTTCGCGAATGGGAACGCCGTCGATCTCGAGACCATAACCCTCTACTTCACCCGCTTAGTCTTGGGCGTGCAGTTGGTGTTGGCGGGCGTGCAGTTACCTAGTAAGTACCTGTGGAAACAATGGAAGAGCCTGAGTATCCTGCTGGGGCCGGGGATGTGTTTGATGTGGATAAGCACGAGTCTGTTGGTTTGGGCGCTGGTGCCGAACATCAATTTCCTATTCGCTCTTGCAGTAGGAGCGAGCGTGACGCCTACGGATCCCATTTTGAGTAACAGCATCGTGAAGGGCAAATTCGCAGATAAGAACATTCCGGGACCGTTGCAGAAGATTATTATTGCTGAGTCCGGTGCGAACGATGGGCTGGGATATCCTTTCCTGTTTCTCGCGCTGTACTTGATCAAGTTCACGGGCGATCATGGGCTCGGGGTAGAAGGTGGGGCGGGAAGAGCAATGGCGTTGTGGTTCTACGAGACGTGGGCTTATACGATCCTGATGTCTGTTGCTTATGGGGCTGTGGTGGGGTGGATAGCGAAAGAGTTGTTGCATTGGGCTGAAGAGAGGCATTACGTTGATCGGGAGTCTTTTCTCGTCTTCGCCATCACACTCGCTGTAAGTCCGCAAGTTATGATTCGGCAGGAATGAGATCGTGCTAATCCGGTCTTTCTAGCTCTTCATTGTCGGCACTGTCGGCATGCTCGGCTCCGACGACGTGCTCGCCTGCTTCATAGCTGGTAATGCTTTCACCTGGGACGACTGGTTCCGGCTAGAAACAATGGACGACAGCCTTCAACCCACTATCGACATGCTTTTGAACGTCGCAATATTTATGTGGTTCGGCGCCGTCTGCCCCTGGCACTCATTCGTGGATAACAGTGTGATCCCAATCTACCGCCTGATACCCCTCGGGATCCTGGTCTTACTTTTGAGGCGTCTACCAATGGTCCTGCTCTTCCACAAAAAGATCCCGCAAATCGAGGAGCTCACCCACGCCATGTTCGTAGGCTTCTTCGGCCCCATCGGCGTGAGCGCCATCTTCTACCTCTACATCGCGCGGCAATTCCTGCGCGAAATCGAAGTCGACGGCCAGGAACGCGAAGATGCAGCACGTCTAAGCGAAGTCTTGAACGTGGTGATCTGGTTTCTGGCAGTCTGCTCCATCTTCGTGCACGGTCTTTCCATTCCATTGGGCAAGCTGGGGTTCTACTTGCCGCGAACGATCAGTACAGCCATCTCATCCGAGCGTGTATCGGCGAGTCAGAGTATGGCACGGACTGACGATGACGAGCCGAGTGTGCCATCGATCGGTGCAGCGGCTATGAACGAGGAGAGAACATTGATGTCGCATTTCAGACGCAGACGGTTGCCCACGAGTGAACGAGGCGAAGCACAAACCAAAAAGCGGAGCTGGGTACCGAGGAGTTTTGCAAAGGCAGCCCAGCACGTAGCAGACGACCTCACTCGACCGGCCAACCAAAAAGCCCATCACCGTCAAAACGAAGCGAACAAGGACGCTACTGGAAGCGGAAGTTCTTCCTCAGGCGGCTCGCCGGATACCAATAATGATCACGGTGGTGCACGACCCGATATCTCTGGCCCTAGAAATGCCAGGTTGATCGGCCATGCTATCAATGATCCGCCTGTTAGTATTGATCGTGCTGGTATTGAGGATGGGGATGAGGATGGGCCGAAGGTCAATGTGACGAGTCCCGTGGAGTCGCCTGCGAGGTCGAGGAGGCAGAGTCTTGAGGGGAGCGGGGTTGAGACGCCCACGGCCGTGAGGGCTGGGGGTTGGCAGAGGAGTATTCGGTTTGGGGATGAGGCGAAGGCGGAGGTTGCGGGCCCTGAAGGGTTGAGAGATGCACGATGAGTGTTGCGAACGATGATTGCATAATCGTCCATGCATGTATACCTTCCGTAGAAGGCAGCAACTCAGTCGTGCAGTGCCCCGTCCTCGTTCATCGTCTTTACACCTCTTTCATCCATCACAGCTGCTCTACTTAGAGCGCTAGACAGTTCTAAACCATCCAGCCTTGCCCTGCCCCGGTCTTTGCTAAAACGCGTGCATATATCTTCGGCATTCCTTAAGCCGACAGCCAATTACAGCTCTCGTGTCTCGGATTACCCACTGCATGTGACCATGGCGGGGTCAAAAAGTGGGATGGCTTAGGTTGGTAGCAGCAGACGAAACGATCGCGGCCTCGATAAGCCTTGGAGCTTTGAGAGTACAGTCAGAAGGGCTGCCTTGTTGATCTCAAGTCTTTGCTGTCTCTCGTCATATCGCGCCCAAAAACTTGGACAACATCAAAAGAACAACAACGTGAACCAGATTCAGAAGAACGCAAACATGGCCGCCGCTGCAGTCTGTCCCGTATGTATCCAGCCTTACCCATCAAGAGCAATGAGGATGCAATACTGATCCTTTCGCAGGTCGTAGGCACAAGCACCACCGTGCTGCCACCAGGCCACCCGGAGATGTCGTCTGACCCAGAAGCACGATGCCCAGTACGTCTACCGACCTTCCCTCGCGCTTGAACCCATACACATGCACATCCAACCCAGCACTAACATCCCCCTCAGGTAACCAACGCGAAAGTCGCCCACCACGACTCCTCCATAATCCACAACCACCCCACCTCCCCCAGCATCCCCAAGGACTCCACCAGCGCAATGGACGCCGAACAATGCCCCGCCGTCAAAAGCATGGCCAGCAAAGACCCCGTCGAGAACGAGATCTGTCCCGTCGTGGGCCCCGTCTCAGCCTACTTACCCCCGACCCACCCGAACCTGACGGAGAAGGAAGCCGGGAAGGTATGTCCCGTTACGAATGCCAAGTTGGAGCATCATGAGGGGAAGGTGCATGTGCATCCCAAGGTGGCGGATGATGCGCCGGCGCAGAAGTGTCCGGTTGCGGGGGCGATGGTTGGGAAGCAGGCTGCGTAGAGCTTCAGATGAGGGAAGTGTGATTTGCTTGCTTGCTTTCAGAACATCTATAATCTTCAGGGCTTTGATACGCGTGGAGGCGTTTGTTGTTCACGAGACACGAAGGCTGGGAATGGCGTTGGATGGTTTCCTATATATGAGTGAATCAAACCCATAACATTTCCGGTCCACAGACCACGGAAGTCATCTGCAACTTGATTTGGTACGTAGCGTGTTCCCAAAAACTTCTGCCGTCTTCACGTCTCGATGATATCCTTGCTTGGTGCGTGTCAAGGCAACCACATAAGGTAGACGATACAGCTGAAGACGCTCTGAATTCTGCTGCGGTCAGGTACTTGGCCTACTTACACAGGAGCATCGACCAGATGCAGACCTTGCGAGGATTGGACAATCAGCTGATGGTGCTTCGTGATCCAATGGGCGTCTCGCGGTCAGTTACGGTATTCCATATCGAAATGGACGTGCATTGCTTTTGCAGGAAGGGCATTGCTTGTTTGTAATCATCGGCAGTGCTGACGATACAGCGCTGCTTATTGTTCTTCATAATGATTCGTATCAAAAACGATCCAAGACTATATCATTCGTCGTCGTCGTTGTAGGCCTTCCCTCGGTCCACGCACGGGCGTTTTCGGAAAGAGTTTCCCGATCCTCTCCGCCCCGTCGTGCGACCTGGACAACTCCAACATCGCTGGCAAGCCACTGCGGCTACTATCGGTCCGATCGTGGTACCCGAGTTGCTACCAAGGTCTCTACCACTACTGCCGGTCAGTGGGCGAAACGAGCAGTATCAGTCTATAAGATTCCTCTTCCCCCACGACCCCGCCAACGACCATGATGGAGTCACTGTGACGATCTTGGCATGTGAAAGTTGAGTGAAGGAGAGGACGTTGATTTCTTGGAGAGAGAGACTGCAGAAAGTGCACGAGCACATACGAAGACGACACTCCCCGCCGGACGGGCAGCACAAACAAGTACATACCACACACTCCTCGCCGGACGGGTAGCACAGCGATCATGCCAACCCAACGATCATACCTCAGCAACTTCCTCGCCGCCTTCCGAGCCCACTCCCAAACCCTACCCAAAGCCTCACCCTCAATCTCAACTTCGGCCGCCGCAGCCTCGACGGCAACGATATGGACGACCGCCGTATCTACCACATCAAAACCTCAATCCACAGCCTCCGAACACACAGCCAGTAGTCCGCGCCCCATAAACCCCAAAGTAAACCCCTACGCCGCAGCGGCAGCAGCGACGCAATCCCAACAACAAGCAACCCCCTCCCACCAACTCCAACACCTCGTAAGTCCAACCACACACCTCCCCCGCTCGCCCTCCTCACCCAGCGTGGGCCCACCCGTCTACGGCCCCCCCAACAAACCCCAACCCAACTACCCCACCGTCCAAGAGGCCCGACAAGCGCGGCGGCGAGGAAGCGCGAGTAGTTCCGACTCCTCCGGCGGCTTCCGGGAAGTGCGACCGAGCGAGAAGTGGTTCGTGGGTGGGCGCACGGCGACGGGGGAGGAGAAGTATTACAAGTTGAGTATGGTGAAGCGGGAGAGGAGCGCGGATCGCATTTCGGCGGATCAGTTGAGTTTGTGAGCTTTTGGGGGGTTGGGATTGGATTGTGGTATGTGCTTTTGCGTGGAGTTCGGTTTGGTTCTGGTATGGGGAGTGTCTATATGGATAGACTCGGCTCGGAGTTTACACTGGGATTGGCAGGGAGGAATGGTGTGGTCATGATATATGGCTAGGAAGGCCATTGATGGTTTGATGACTTTTGTACATACGAGTGGCGTATACTGTCGATATCGCTTCCGCCATCTGCGATGCTCAATCGTGACACACCATGGCGGCTCCCGGTGGCACAGTGCCCAACAGTAATAACGAGCAGCGTCTGCAGCTCGCCCTTATGCTCTCGGTATCCAGGCCACACCACCCGCCTTATACCGCTTCCATCACCACCTTTTGGTAAGTATATCTACATCTGTGGCAAGTATCTATCATCCATAATGGTTATGCGCAACTTGATACATCCTATCCGCTCGTACGCCAAGCCAGTGCAAGAGCAGACCGCCAACCACGCCCGAGGACTAGCAGTGCGCTTAGACGGAAGTGGAGGTCACCAGTCTCAGCGCCAGAGCTGTGTGGTAAGGTGTAGTTGGTAGATGTGTGCATGGTGTGAAGTAGATGTGTCATGGTAGCTTCTGCGTCCGCGGTCTTGGCTCCTGTGTCGAGCTTACAGGAGTTGCACAATAGTCGCGCTCGCTTGATGATCTCTAGGAACGTGGGTTCCGATCAACTCCAGCAGTTACGAAGCCTCTTTTTTGTACTGTGGCGATCACCAATCTTGAACGAGGCTTTGTCCTTCTGAGGCATCGAAAGAGCGAGCCTCTCGTGTCCGGAGGGCCATCGCCTTCACCAGCGTACAGCGGATAATCGTGGAATACAGTCCATATGTGTCTCGATGGCGTAGGAGGCAGCAGTGAATGCGATATTTGATCTCACTGCCAGAGACCTCAGATCCGAGTACGGAAGCCTTTTACCCATTCGTGACATCGCAGTCAATGGAATTCAGAGGCACTGCATCTTAAAACTTGTGTCGCCATTAGTTGGACGAGCCAGACCCGTGACCTCGCCGCTCACTTCGTCGACTTGATCTGCGGCACGACCCACCAATCATGGTACCGAGACCCAGGAGCTGGTACCGTCGCCTCGATACCTAGTTTCTCCTCACTCGTCGCACTTCCCATCTCTGCTTGGTGCACAGACAGTCGCAGGAGTTGAGAAGTCTGCACGGCAATAGCCACGCAAGTCGTCTCCATCTGCTTGACCTCCCGCTTAAACTGCTCTTCCGTCCCAACATACCTCGCCTGGTGCGGCGTCATCTTCTTAAGCTCGGCAAGATGACTCTTGGCTTGTTTTGTCATGGCTGTGGTGGTACCACAGACTTCCTGCACACTACCCAGGGCAGACCTGGCAGCCTTATACTCCGAAAGTGGTGGGATGGGATCCTGGGTGAGACCAAGGTAGGATTTCATCCTTGCCTCGTACAGCAGAAGCTCCCGAGCATAGTCTTGCTTCAGCGGCTTGATTGCTTTGACGGCTGTCAAGACGGTGAATAGTTGCCACAGAGCTATTGAGAGCGAGCGCTCGGCTTCAACTTGTGTTCGCAAGCTCCGCAGGTAGTCTTGTGAAGACAGACATTCGGCAACAACCCTCGTGTCACGCATACCATTGGCTTCGCTCATCCGCCAGACCAAGAAGACCTCGCTATGTGTGATCAGACTGAGCTTGCGCTCCAGTATCCACGATAGTAGCCAGTACATCAAGCTCAGCTCGTGCGGTAGGTAGACGTCCGTTTCGATACCAAGCTGTATCGTCCAGATCATGATCTGCAATTTCTGATATCTGACCCAGCAGGTCATGGGACATAGAAGCACATCTCCGTTTCGCATTGGGGTGATGGCATCCAGGTCCGCGTCAGTCTGCACCGCTACGGCCTCCAGACTGTCAAGCACGCCGATCGACTGTGTGAACGTCCTTCGTATACGACATCGATTCTGGCAGACCATGCGGAAGAAATTCATGTATTCGTCGAACACCTTGTCCATGAAGACCTCCATAATACGAGCACTTTGGTGTCGAGGGTCCGAAGGCACTTCGATGAGGAAATTGTCTGGATTGGCCAACGGGTCGCCAGCCAGAACCAGATCTCGAATGTCAACAAGTAATAGGTCGAAGAAAGACGTGTTCTCACCGAGGCGCTCGGCACCGAAGAGTATGGTCTGCAGATACGCTCGTGCGTACGTATTCGGAGGTGGATCACGGTAAGCGAAAGCCCAAATCGCTCGTTGAAGGCTTTGCGGGCTTTGACAGATGTCTTCTGTCGTCAGCCTGCCAGCCGCCACGGTATCTTCGCACATCTCTCGCCACTTCTGACATGCTAAGTCCCAAGAGACTTGCATCATGGGCCGAGGTGGTGTGCTAGAGGCGAGTTGTCTTTGCACTTTGTCGGAGAAGGCTTCAGGTATGGGTGGAGCGAGATGGTGAGTAGCTTTGATGGTATCAAGCACATCTGTCAGGTCGTGCCAGTCGTTCAGATCATTGGTCAGAAGTGACACGTATGTCCAGATGAAATCCAAGCGTGCAGATAGTGCATCACGGACATCTTTCTGTATATCAGACGTAGGGAGCCAGTTCATCGCTTCGCCGATTGAACCCAATGCGTCCTCGGCACTTAGACCATGTAGTAACTCTCGTCCGAACAAATGCGTCACGAAATCTTCCTCTTCATAGAAGTTCTGCAGCTGTATGGTGTGTAGGACCAGAGCACAGCTTTTCACCAGTGCCAAGCAGTAAGCTCGCAGCACAAGATGGATAACCTGCTCTGTATCTGATACCCCGGTGCTAACACTTGAGCCAAAGTGGAGATTGTAAGGGCGTCTGTTGTCAGGAGATAGCAGACGATCGACATGTAACGAGGTGAAAACGGTCTGAGACAAAGGATAGCCATCATGCCAGCCGATCAGCAAACCGAGGAGTTGATCCATAATCCAGAGCACCTCCGTTGGCAGTAGTCCTCGACACACATCGAACTCCGGTTCTGCTGTGTCGTCCTCTGGCACGAACCCGCTATCCATCTTCGGATCCATGATCTGTTTATTTTGTTAACCACTACAGCGTCTGAGTTGGCACGAGCGAGCATAGATCTGAGAGACGTACCTCGAGAGCGCCAACAGCCTCGAATAAAGTGAAATATTCATCTTTAACAAGCCGTCCAGGTGGCAATTGCTTTGCAGCAGCGTCAAATTCTCCTGTCACATCCCGTATTTTTGGACCAGCGTAACTCATGGCTGAGCGAGCCTCTCGTTCTAGTCGAGTTGCAGCGATGCTTGTGTCTGCGTCGTGGTCGATAAGGACCATATCCGATGGTTTCCGGCCAGCCTGACTTGCACGGTGCTGTGCAGCTCGTTATCATCAGAATGAAGTAATCTGAGTGACAGCATCGTTAAGCATGGCGGTCATTACAGACGGAACATTGGGTAGTACAGAGGTAGCTGTGGAGGGCAGATATGTATATCAGAGGGAAGGTACGAAAGTTCACTAGGTTAAAGCCAGCAACGAGAAAAAGCTTGGCACTGCGTTGGTTGGCATGATATATGTACACAGCGTTACAGGCGCGCCACCTCTCCCATAATACGAATTCGAGCATTATTGACCATGGCTTGATAGCGGAGACGATGTCCGTAGAGTGCCCGTTTCACCCAACGCCTCAGCTCAATTTCTCCATCTCCCCACCACCCTCCGCGCCCAACTCAACTTCCGCCCTCTACTGCCCGCTAGCAGCCTGCTGCATACTAGCCTCATTCGCCTCCGCCAAATTCTTGCTCTCGCCTTGCTTGCCGTTCTATTCAGAAACACATTAGCGATGTCCTTAAGAACGACTTCCTCCCATGTACTCCCTCTCTCCCTCCAGTTCCTCTCAACCTCCGTCGGGAATGGATGTAGACGTACCTCCCATTTGGCAAACCTCAAATCCATCTCGCCCCTCCTCTCAGCCGCCAATCTCTTATCATCCTTCAATGAGCGGCGCACGACACGCGCGGCGACGGCTAGGTAGCGGTTGTAGCTGTATTCAAAGGCGGGAGAGTCAGTCTGGGGTCTTGCGAGACGGCATGAATAGTGCGACATACGTAATGCCTGCGGCTTTCCATGCGAACGCCATTCTGATTGTTTGTGGAGGGTTGTGAAGGTGTTGATGGGCTTGTCGAAGTCCTACTATGCGACTGCTGGACGGCTCCCGATCGGAGGAGATGGGCGAGCTTTGACCCGGAGCAAGTCGGGACCGTGCACGAAACGGAGAAAGTAAATCGAACAAAGACTGCTGTATGTACACACTACAGTAATGGTACACCTGCTACCTCCACATCCCAAACCGCGCAGTCTATAACATACATAGAGTATCTACACCTTCAATCCAAGCTCCTCCGCATAAGGTAGCAAGTACAAATCACCCACCGCGCTCACACTAGCCTTGTTCTCAAGCGCCTCCTTCACAATCTGCTTCACCTGATCCTCCGTCACGTTATCGATAGACTTGGCAACCTCATCAATCTGGTACGCCTTATTACCGTGCACCAGACCGTGACCAGTCAGCTCCATAGCTGCGGTAGTTTCTTGACCGTACTCGAGTTCCTTGAATTTGGCGAGAGCCTTGGCCTTGGCGAAGTTCTCTTTGCTGATACCTTGACCGACGCTCTTGAGGGCTTCGACGACTCTGCTGGCTGTGCTGCGGATATCGTTGCCGGAGCCGCTGAGCTCGATGGCGAGGAGACCGGCGTCGGAGTAGATGAGAGACTTGGTGGCAATGTGCATATTTGGTGCATCCTGGGTGGCATTGCTGAGGAGAGAGAAGCCTGGGCTCCACTTGATAGATGATTGGCCACCGAGCAGAGCGGTCAGGACGGCAACTTCGGGCTTGTAGAAGCTACCAGCTGGTGTGCTTGAACCTGGGAAAGCAATGACCATAGAGTTGCCAGCGCCGTGAGCGATACGCTCCTCGCCACCGTGGTACTTGCTTTGCGGAGAGGTCAAGGACTGTAGAGGTTGAGCTGGCGCATCGCTAAAGAACTCGCCCACCCACTTCTGGAGCTCACCGTGGTCTACACCGTTGCCGACAATGGCGAAAGATGGCTTGGCATAGGCGGACTGGGCGTATTCTTCCAAAGACTCAGCGGTGAGATATTTAGTGGTGGGTGTGGAAGACGCTGGATTGACTGGTACGCCAAGGCCGCGGTGAAAGGCCAGGCCATGCGCGCTGTTCACAGCCATCGCGAGAGTGTTGCCAAGGTATTTCTGCTGGTCCATTCGGATCATCGGGAGCACCTCCTCCTGCATGACGTGTGCTGTTTACAAATTAGTGTCTACCCCTTTGATCGCTTCATGCAATGCTCACTTCGGTAGCTTGTCCTGGTTGCGACTTCCGCGAGCATCTCAACAAAGTATGGCAGATCATCGCGGAAGAATTTGGCGCGGAGGACGACATTCTCGCGGGAGTGATAGGCTTGGATAGTAGCACCGAGTAGCTCAGACTCGCGCTGTATCCGCAGAGATGTTCGCCTGTCCGTGTTCTGTATATGCCATGATCAGCCTCCAGTGCCCAATGCCTCGATCCGTATCTTCTCTCCTCTCGTACCTTGAAAGCATATCGATTCAAACCCTCAGCAAGACCTGGTACAGTCTGGTACCTCGTTCCGGCTTGAGAGACGAGCGCGAGGCTTCCAATGGGTCCGGGAATATCTCTGGATGCCACCTTAACACCTCCACTCTCGCCGATGTTGTATGAAAAGGAGCCAGAAGCAGGAGCGGCAAGACCGCGTCGTTGTTGCTGCCATGACTGACGAGCAGCGGAGCGGGCGGCCGATCGGGAGAGCATGGTAGAGTATGGCTCTCACAGCGTTAGGAGGGGTGGTGGAGTGCTATATTTGCTATGCCTCCTAGATATTCCGGTACAACAGAGCTTGAGACTGTACGGGAAAGCTTCCGCGTTTCCGATGACTAAGCCTATTCCGAGCTTGGGCAACAACTCAACTAAGGTGGCTGCAGACAACTTGATCTTCATCATTTGACATTTATCATATAAATACTCTGTGCTCGCACAGTCTACAAGAAGCTGTCTGACACAGTGACCTCTGAGAACAGTATTGTGGCGAGTTTGCTGCCTTGGCAAGGAGATATTTCTAGCCTTGATCATCTTGTTGACGAGGCATTAACTATGACGGGTGACAGCAGTGATATCAAAGATCTCCTCCTTCAAGTCGTAAGGGCGAGGCTACTGATGAATGCTACATCCCAGAACGTCCCAACTTCGCATCGAGCGCTGTTCAGCAGATGAGGAGGCATGTCATAGAATGGGAGAGATGGGAGTGGTTTGCATGCATGCTTGATTGGTGATCCTCGAGATAGCCAATGCAATATATGATCTGGTTCGATATTCTTTGCCTCTCTAATGCACCAGTAGATGACCGAATCCATGTATCTGCTGGACAAGAAGACTTCGCCTACGTCTTTAAAATGATATGTATATATATCTTGATGCGCGACAAGAGTCATGTCGATACCCGGCTGACTCATCACTGCCTGTCCCCCACCGAAAAGAAACCCTGACTACCAATACCTTGACAATAACTTTTGCTTGCTGTTCTCACGCAAATCCCCAATGAGAAAACTCCGATAGCATCGATCTTTCTCTACCGGCGTGAGAGGCTGAGTAGAGGATTCCTCACCTTCAAATGGCACAGGTACTACCATATACACATTCTCGCTTTGTGCGTGGAATGCAATATATTGATACATCGGGCAGAACCTCAACGATCTTCTCCATGCCCTCGTCGAGTCTCACACCGGCAATCTGTCTGCGAGCATCTTCTCCACCCTCGCCCACCATGGCCGCCTTTCGCTACCCACCCTCGCCAGCCATGCTCAAATCCCGCTTCGTCGAGCCCGTACAGGCATTGCCTCACTTCTCGAAGAGCAACTCGTTCACTACATCGCTGGGGAAGAAGACTCGCCTGCACTGTACTCGGCCAATCTCGAAGGCGCATATAACCTCGCTCGGCATATGAATGTGGTCCGGCTAGTGACGGAGAGGCACGGCGAAGCAGCAGGGCAGGTGGTCAAGAACATTTTGCAGCTCGGTAATGCTCGAGTCGGTGACCTTGCTGAGGCCTATAATCTACGACCAGTCTCAAAACGGGACAGTGCCATTAGCAGTGAGCATGCCACGTCTAATGGCTACCACAAGTCAAAGCCGTCACCACTCCACCACATCACATCCGCCTCGGAACTCCACAACATCTTGCGCACCCTGCTACAATCAGGTATCTTGGTCAAGGTCGGCGCACGTGCTTTCATCTCCGCTTCAGACTTTAAAGAACAGATCGAAGAGACAGTCATCAATGAGCAGTTCCCGGATCGCAAAGTCACTGGGCCGAAAAAGCAAGCTCTATTCGCTGGTGCCGTCCGTCAACTCAAGCGCAAGTGGCAAAGTGACGATGCGTTCTCCGAAGCTCAAGACTATGACTCGAAAGGCACCATCAAGCGACCAGGCCAGCACTTTACTGCACCTAACAAGCGTGCCAAGTTGAACAACGGCCTCACCAATGGCCACACCGATGAAGACTCTGGTCCAAAGCTATCGGTACTGTGTTGCCGTCTTGTCAGCTAATTACCGTCACTGATATGAACCAATAGAGCGATCTCATCGTCCGAGTCGACTTTACCAAGTGCACACTTGGCCTGCGTAGCCTTCGCCTGCAGAACATGGCTAAGCGCTTTCTCGGCAACACGACGGCGGCAGTCTATGGTGCGCTTCTGCAAGCGATTGAAGGTAAGACTCATTCCCTACACGTTGAGACAGACCCGGCACAGGATGAGGATGATGATCCGGAGGATGCGCTTCCCGTTGCGAATACGAGGGAGGTAGCTGAGTTCTTGGTTGTGGGAGTTGATTTGAGCGGAGGTGGCAATTACGTCGGCAAGGGTAAGCGTGTACCAAACGGTGCGGGCAAGAAGAGGCGGAAAAATGAAGTCATTGAAGACGTGGAGGATGATGAGCTCGAAGACGATGGAAGTCATCCGACCACGGACGGCCACATGTCCTACCGCGACTCTGCAAAACGTTTTGAAGATATCGAAGCTCACCTCCGACTCCTGGAACAACACGACAAAATCTTCTGCAAGTACACTCGACCCGGCATACCACTAAAAGGCTGGCGTATACCGTTCGGTAACCTGATTGAGACTCTTCTGAACGACGAACTCGACGCCACAATAAATGCACTTTACGGTAAGATCCCACTCCGCCTCATCCGAATCCTCCGCGACAGAGGCAAGCTCGAAGAGAAAGCCATTGCCTCGATCGCGATGATGCGCATCAAAGACGTCCGAGGCGTTCTGGCCGAGATGCAGCATGCTAGCTTAGTGGATGCGCAAGAAGTGCCCAAGGAGAATCAGCGCCAACCAAGCAAGAACATCTATCTCTGGTACTTCGACACCAAGCGCGCGCAGAGTCTGACGTTACAGCATACCTACAAAGCCATGGCAAGGACTCTGCAGCGCACGGACGTCGAAAGGGAGGAATGCAGGACGATTATCGCGAAGGCAGAGAGGACGGATATCAAGGGTAATGAGGCTGAGAAACTTCAGCAAGGGGAGAAGCAGGCGTTGAGGGCTTGGAGGGAGACGGAGGAGAGGTTGCTCACGCAGGTTGGGAGGTTGGATGATGTGGTTGCTGTTTTGCGCGATTTCAGCGGGACGGACACTTCTCTGCTCAGCTGATCATTTTTGCTACGACACGGGTTTTATGGCTTGTCTTACTTGGTATGGAGCCTCCGACTGGATGCTACATTGCTCAGTTGAGCTTGCCATGATACGAAGCTTCTGGTGCGACTTCTGCATGGCTATGGCGTCTTATGGACAAGGGGAAAGAGAGGATAGGTGTGCAACTTGCATTTACTGGCGTTCAGTGGACTTCACTATTGGCGCGCGCTGCTCAAGTCGCCGCCGCACAATCTTGCGACGGAAGGAGCACGATTTCATCGGAACTCTTGGGCTTTCGCATCGTCTGTGCTTGATACCCGTGAGCCGTCAGGCGCACAGCACGACTGAATCTGGTTGGGTTGGGATGGGTGGCTCGATGCGACGTTTTCATGCTCTTATGCTGCTATGGTGCATGTAGCTGATGTTTGTATATGATACCAATACTTTGCCCGGCTTGCCCAGCTTTCGGCCCATAACTGCTCAGGGCTCCTGGGAGTGTCTAAGCCCTGATACGGTCACCTCGAAGGCTTAAAAGTGAAGTGACCTTCAGCTGGAAAAAGGCTCCGTTGAAAGTGATAAAGGCAAGCGCGAAGGCACAGACCACGAAATGAGCTACTGACTCGACCTTCTTCTTGCTTAAGATTACCCTTGCAGTATCTTGCATAGATCTCTAGCCATCTCAGCCGATAACAAGTGCGGACATGGATATATCTTGTCGTCTTTGAACGTTTGCGGTCTCTAGGCATCAGAATTCCAAGCGGCCCTTGGCACGATGCTAATGTCCGGTCATCACGCTGTAGGAGCCGGACATGATCTTCGTAACAGCCGTCCACACCTCAGCTTTTGCCATGATGCTGTATTATTAGTACTGATGAGGCGGATGTAAGAATCTGGTCAGGAGCGTACAAGTATCTCTGGCTTGCCGTTATCATGGCGGGAATCAGTGCACTCGTCGCTGCCGCTACCTCGACACAACGATACCAAAAGATCAGGAACTTCTGATCAGATCGCAATATACGCAATGCCTGGACCTACGCTATCGAGTGGTCTCAATCTGATACACAAACAATTGACCTACCATCCTCCGCAACCCACCTCAAGCTTCGAAGGACAGACAGTCATTGTGACCGGTGGCAACGCAGGACTAGGACGCGAAGCCTCGAGACATATGGCTCAACTGAATGCTCAACGACTGATCATTGCGTGTCGGACTGTGTCCAAAGGAGAAGAGGCCAAGAAATGGATTTTGGAGCAGACCAGTTCAAGAACGAATATTGAGGTCTGGCAGCTCAATATGTCTGATTATGGCTCTGTCAAGGCCTTTGCCCAGAGAGCCAAGGGTCTGGAGCGACTTGATGCAGTTTTGGAGAATGCTGGTAGCTGGCCGACCAGGTTCGAGATGCTGGAGGGGCATGAGTATGTCCAAGAGTAAACTTTCGTTTTTGGTACCGTTTTATTGACGGCTTTCTAGGGCCACCATCACTGTCAATGTCATATCGACGTGTCTGCTGGCATACCTCCTGCTGCCGAAGCTAGAAGAGACTGGTCGGAAGCACGGTATCACAACACGACTATCCATTGTCTCATCCGACTTACATAAATTCGCAACTCTCAAGGCACGCGCAGCCAAGAACATATTCGAGGAGCTCAAGGTCGAGGCGACGGATTATGACGGACGGTATAATGACACCAAGCTACTTGTCGTCATGTTCATCCGTAAGTTGGCAGCTGCAATATCGAAGCAGCATGCTGGCAACGATCAGGTTTCGCTCAATGCCATGTCGCCTGGATGGTGCGATTCAGCTCTCAAACCTCCCAAGACATTTGGTGAACGTACGGCGCAGCGGCTGTTGCAACGATCTACGGACGAAGGAGCTCGCTTGCTGGTCGATGCTGTCGCGGCGGACAAAGTGGCTGGTCGCAATGGTCAGTACATCAGTGAAGGTCAGGTCCGACAGTAAGTGTTGTATCAATGTGCTGTCTGTTCCATGGCTGATGATACTGGCATAGAGCTGCAGCCTGGCTGTATTGTCGGGAAGGCCAGACAACGGAGGACAAAGTCTGGACCGAGCTCAATGCTATTCTCGAGTCGATCGAGCCTGGTTGCACACATTGGGCAGAGGGAGAAGAGCGCAAGTGGTAGGTGAAAGACTTTCATCTTTCATGGTGCAGGCAATCGTCCAAGTACACTCGCTCTGATTGCAGACGTCACCTCAGCCTCAGACCAATTACAGCCTGCACGGTACCGTCAGTGCACATGTCGATGTCACGATCCAACCAGTTCCAAATGTAGCGGCGCCTTGCGCAATGCTCCTCGGTATGCTTATCTCTTTTGTCCCATGACTTCCGAATCAGAGCGCGGTGGTCATCATCGTACCCGCCCTCGGGCGCAGGTATTCCAGCTCGAACTCGTGAGTGGCGAATGAGTCCTCGAAGCATTCCATCAGACGATCATAGCACTCTTCCAAGGTTGACTTCTGCAGTGCTTCCACCGTGTCTTCGCCGAAGAACACCAGGTTCGGGAAACGAAGATGGCCGTAGGCGAGCAGTGTCTGTATCTCGACCGGCCCCCACGTGCAGTAAAAGTCCTCGTTCCCGCCGTATGGTGTGTACAGATCCACTTGCGTCAACTTCGGCACATGGGCCAGCAGCTCGCCAAAGGGCGTATGCATGCGCACCGGTCCGACGATCCTCGATCTCCTGATGTCTCCCGACCATGCACGACGACTAGGACCGTCATCGCCCATGAGCTGTGAGCCTGTAATTGCCAAGGTATGTATGTGCTCGATGCCTTTTTGCGGCAGCGCGCGGAGGAATCTGATCGCTTCACCACCATCCATGTCTAGCACGATCTGAGTAGATTGATAAAAGACTGGCAAAGCCTCTACAGATCGGCAACACGTTCGTAACAGAGCAAGGTCGAAGGCCTTTGTGGAGGCAACTCTGGAGCGACCTTTGCAGGGCCTACGACCTGGGAAAGGGGACCGCTTTTAACCACGCACGTTTGAGTAGTCGTCCTCGTCGGACTCGCCACGATCACTTTCATCTTCGTCATCTTCATCGGAGAAGCAGTCATGGTCTTCGGCAGGTGCATTCATGTCAAGGCGAGGTCGGGCCATGATCTCTTCCCACTCGTCGGATGCCATACCACTACTGCCCGCATCAGACAACGCTTCCTCGTCGTCCTGATATCTCTCGTCTACTGTAGGCGAACCTTGAGCAGGTGGATAGCGAGGCTCAACATCTTCTGGGAAACGTGGACCATCGTCTTCGGAGTTGTAATACCTAGTGGGGCGGAGGAACATGAGATCAACGATCTTAGCTTCGTGCGTGCACAAAGTGTAGCTCCAGAAGAGGCCACGCACCTCACGCGGCAACGCCAACAGGCGAGAGGGCCTCGCGTCTTGTCAAGTGACTGGTAATGTTGGTTGATGTTCAGCTGGAAGCTTATGGCATTGGAACGAACGGGTCTTAGGGCCGACGCGAATTCGTGGGTCCCTGTCGATTAGCTAAGTATAGACGGCAGGAAATGGAGATGGTCTTCCATGACTCTTGACTTTCTTGTTATCCTTCACGACCTTGCCTTGGGACCAGGAATTGCTGACCCATATCGGCTTGGGTACAATTTATCCACACGAAGCCTTGTCCGAGGCTAAGGGCTTACAAGGAGTAGGTGTGGTAGCATATATACAACACGGATCCTTTTGCTCCTCCTCCTGTTTTATTCGCAGTAGATATGCGGTTCGCCAAATGCTCGCAGGTCACGGATCGTGACAGAAGTGATAACGAGATGGTAGATGCACAAAAGCCGAACCGGCGTTACGAGGATATCGAACACAAACCTAAGAAGCAACCTCAACAGTCTTGATAGCAGGCTGATACGTCAAGTTCAGCTGCGGCGGTGGAATAGGCGCTGGAACGTCCTTCAAGCTCGCAGGCTCGACGTAATCCTTGTACCCGTTCACACTGAGCCTCAACTTCCTGCTCTCTGCGTAGACCACGCGGCGCATGCGGTTTGTGCTACCTAAAGGCTGGTGGGTCTTGAGACCGTGCCAGCTGTTGCATGTGATTCTGTCGTCCCACCAGACCCTGAACTCTGGCAACCACGAGTCCTGAGGCTCGAATTCGATGGTGGCGATGGGCTCGAAAGGATATTTCTTCTCGTCCCACTCGACACCAATGTCGTCGACGGGCTGCTCGTTCAGGTCTTGGAGCATCTGCGCGCCGAAGGTATAGGTTACTTTGTTCTTCATGTGGAAGTCGCGAGTGTGCTGGGAGAGGATGTTGATGGGGTCGTCTTCTTTGACGTTGACGTTCATGATGTTCTTTTGTTCTTCGGAGAGCGGGAAGACGCCATATTTGGCCACGTAATCACCGTGGCGATAGGCGGATTGGGAGTATTGGGGCATGGCGACCACTAAGTATCACGAATCAGCAAGGTTCGGTCAATGCAATGAAGTCTAGCCCTGACGTACTGTGCTGGCGTGGTAGCTGACCGCCAAGAGTAGCGACATCAGCATCTACGCGCTCACTCTGCTCCTTGGCAAAGGTCGGCAAATCATTCCAGTTCCGCTCCAAGCTGTCGGCGATGTCGTATGTGGTCTTCGGGTCACGCAGTTCCAAGACCGGGTAGTTGTTGAAGGTCCAGTCTTGTGTCTGCTTGTCCTCGCCCCATAGCTTCTCGCCTGGCACACCAAAGATCTTCATGCCGATACCGCGAGGAGCTGACAGGTTATCGGACAGCAACTTGGGGGTGAGGGAGCTGTAGCGCATGATGCAGTCGTAGCTTCCTGGCTTAGCGAACATGCCTTGGGCGAGGTGAGGTGGGAGGTCGTTCTTGACAGTGAATCTGCCCATGACGCACTGGAGATTGTCAGTATTGGTCCAGCTTGGTAGTCTTGGACATTCGACATACTCCTTGAGTCTTGAGATGTGTTCCGCGAAGGCAGTGCATGTGCTCGTTGAAGTTCATCATCTGGAATCGATTGAACTGTCGTGAGACCTCCCAGATCTTGTCCATCTCGCCGGGCTGGATCTTCTCGACGCCATCGGCATCCCTGGTATCGTCAGATGCTCGTTGCTCCGGTCCTGTCGAGGACCTCGACTTACCACTTGATGTAGGTACCAGGGGCAGGTTTATCACCACCGTTGGCCTTGGCTGTTCCACTGGCCTTCTCGCCCGTGTGGACGTTTTCCATTACTGGGCAAGCCATATTGAGATGTTGCTAAGCTGTTGACGATGTGATGTGCTTCGTAACAGGGTGTAGATAAACAAGAGAAACAACCGTCTTCCCACTTACCTACGTCGTGGTTTTTATAGGTAGGCTCACCATCTAGCTCACCCCGCAAGGCATCTGACCCTGCTATCGAAGTCTACGAAGCTTCCATCACGCCGGACGATGGTCTGGAACAAGTCAAGGTGGTGTAGTGCAGGTCGGGAATATAGATACCGACACCACGGGCGCCTCCCCCTCGCTCCTTCATGCACGATGGCCCACACCCCCGCAATGAGATCGGCGGCAGGGAAGTCTATTTGGAATGTCGGGTGATGGATCGTTTGAACATTACATCCATGACAATGGCAACCCGGTTGGTGAGATGGGTAAGAGCGGTGGCGTGTGAATCAAATATCGTCACCAGACTCTGTGTGTCACGGACTGCGTTCGCGGTCAAGAGGACTAGCCTCACAGGCCAAAATCTAAGTCGATGGAACTCGCCAACGCAACATTCACCAGCACCTCACTCACCTTCCCCATGATCGACTCAAAGCTGGCTTACAGATCAGTGAGTGCGAGACTGCTCTCATTATGCCGATAGTACCCTCGTGGAGCCTTCACCGATGGCGACGGTTACATGCTTGATGATAGTGAATGCAGCATGACACCACGCCATACCGCAGATATGCGTGGCTTCATGGGCTATAAGTACGTACCATTGGCCACTGGGCCATCAACTGGCCTTTGTGTAACACAACATACGTGACTACGAGCAATCAACACTCAGCATGTGCTCGCAACAAGCTCTCATCACTAGCATGACTAGGACCACTAACTTCGTGGTCAAGACTTATCAGTTCCCAGGACAGCACATCCGCGAGTACGCTGGCGCTACTCGAAGTGGCAAGGATGACACGCTATATCTGGAAGCGAAGCAATACATTCCACGCAACAACCCCGAACCAGAAGCCGGCGATGTCACCGTCCTAGCTTTGCAGGCCATTGGCTTTCCAAAAGAACTTTACGAACCGCTTTTCGACCATCTGCTCGAATCATCAGCGCAGCACGGCTGGAGAATTCGCAGTATCTGGATCGCGGATGCCAGCGTGCAAGGAGCATCGGGTTTGCTGAACGAACACACCCAAGGCGATGAGCCGAGCTCGTTCGATTGTGCTCGTGACATGTTACACATGATCAATGTCTTCCGTGAGCACTTTGTGCAGCCGATCGTCGCTATAGGTCATTCGATGGGAGCCACAACTCTGATTCAGCTTTCGACTATGCATCCGCGACTCCTGGCGAATCTGGTATTGTTCGACCCCATAATCGGCTTCGCTGGTCCGGAGTTCTCGGGTATGTTCTACCACAACTCTATCCGAGACGATGTCTGGTCTTCCCACGAAGCTGCTGAAGACCATTTCCGTAAAGCTTGGAGGAAATGGGACCCCCAAGTCGTGGACTTGTGGATGAAGTATGGCCTGCGCGACACACCAACGGCAATGCATCCTAAGCCGAACAAAGTCACACTCACCACAAGTAAGGCACAAGAAGGCTGGCTCTACTCGAGACCGGCATTCGGCCTAGATCTCGAGGGGAATGCCACGATTGCGACCGGATCTTCCTTGCAGCGAGCAAAGTATCCAGACATGAATGACACAATCTCGACTATGCATCCTTTCTATCGGCCAGAAGACGGTCCGGTGTGGGCGAACCTTGTCTACGTCAGGCCCAGTGTGCTATACGTCTTCCCATCCAAGGGGCCAGGCAGTAGGGTGACTCAAGAGAAAGTCGAGCGGACCGGGTCTGGCATAGGCGGAAGTGGGGGTGTGCGGGCAGGTCGTGTGGCTCAGGAGACCGTGGATGGTGTAGGCCATCATCTCCTGTTCGAGAAGCCGCAGAAGTGCGCCACGATCGCTTCGTCCTGGATTGGCCGAGATCTGGAGAAGTGGAGCGAGTGTAGGCGGCATGCGCAGGAGCATGCGGATGACAAGAGTGTCAACAAGCTTGCATTGAGTGAAGTGTGGAAGCGTAGGGCACGGGAGGTGTACCTCAGGTCTAAGGCCGGCCGGCAAGCTAAGTTGTGAAGGCTACTTCTTCATTCCCGGTGTCCCACAAACAATGTACAAGCCCTTCAAACAGCTACAGTCGTCTTCCTCCACAGCAGGAAAATAGCTGGCTCCTTCGCGGTCATCGCCGCCCAGACTTTGACCAGAGTGAAGGACCGAGGCCTGCTCGGTGTTGGATTTGGACTGCTCGCTTACGATGACAGACGCACCCTTGATGCCAGCTTCTCCGCAGCAGTGAGGCAGGCCTCTCAAGCAATCACAGTGCTGGTCTTTCGACGCACTGTTTTCCGCCTGCTTATCATCTCCACAGTCATCTGCACTGTCTACTGTAAGAAGAACAAGCGCCTGCTCATCAGCTGAAACTGCCCTGGCCCCTGCTACAGCATCGTCATCCAGCACAGCGACCTGGTCCACCCATATCTCCATCATTGAACCATCAATATGCCGGATTCGATATGCCTGCTCGTCGGTCCCGCGGACGATGCGACCCAGTGTGGTGCTTAGTGGAGCTTGGCTGGCTGCAAGAAAGTCTTTTCGAGCGCGAGCATTTTGCGGATTGCAGTAGGCACCCAAGAGTTTTATGGTCTCTTGTGACCAGCTAGTGGCTCGGAATGAGCAGATGACGATGTGAAGACCGGTCTGGGACGACATGCTGGTGGTCGTGGTCGAGGTCGTGCTTTCCGATGGCGGACCAAGTTTCGTGGTTTCGTGCTAATATTACATTACCTCATTGTGTTTGCGAGACATATTTGCCTTCATGACTTGAAACGGGACACACAAGTGACGGCTCCTTTGCTCCTTTGATCGTGATTTACCGTCGCACTGTCCTTGATAGTTGCCATTGTGTTGAATTATGCGTGCTTCACTCTCATGCGCCGGGTCCCGACCAGGTCGTTCATTTCCAATCGCCACCACTTAGGCACATAGTCTGAGTCGATACGAAGTGACTTAGGTACGACTAGTCTTTTGTCGTTCGAGTGCTCTGCCGTAGTATTCGCGCAGCCACCTGGCATTTTGGTCGTAGGCTTCGACTTGCTCTACCGCTTCCTGGGCATGCTGAAAGTTGGCGGGCACCACTGCTTGCCTGACTGCTGGGTTCATAGGCACGATGGTGCCGTGCGACAGGCATGGGTCGGGAGCACCTTCAGGAAGAGCGGTACTTGCGTTCTTAATGAAGTTCTGATTGTCTCGCTCCTCACTTTGGTCATCTATATCAATGTCCATGGCAGCTGGACTTTCATTGCTGATCCTTCGCTGTACATCACGCAGAACACTGGCTCGGACTTCTTGTTGGTGGCGGGCGAGATTGTCGATAATGGTTTGAATACGCTTTTCTTTGGTCTCCGTTACGGCAAGGTTGTCCAGTGCCGGGATGGGTCTGAAAATCGAGCGCTGCATCGCGAAAAACGCAACCCCAATATCGGGAAGGAGTGGAAGGCGTCAAATGTAGTGGTCGATCGTGCAAGGGGCACGAGTCTTCTTTCTTCCAGACTGAACGTTGCCAACTGGTAACTGATTTAAGCTTATGTTGTGTTGATTCTGGGGTACAGAGTGTTGTACACAGCTCAGTTTTGTCTATGGTGCTGTGTCCGGCGAGGCTGCATCCTTGCGATATTTTGTCATACACGTTCTCTGCTTGGCAAGTCACATACGCAGTCTTGTAGTGCATCAGTTTGGAAGGATGATAAAAGACAGCTCATGAGAAAGGATATGTGCAGTGAGAAGCATGGAACAATTTAGTCGGATCGTTAGGGTTAGGGTTTGGGTAAGATGCGTACCAAGGGAAACGATTCGACTCAACGTAGACAATAAATTCATGCCTGGTCTTGCTGCTTGGAAGACTGCATGACAAGACGTGAAGACCAGTGTATGGTTTATGGTCTGTCGGATGGCAACCAAGCAAAGCGTCATTCAAATGTTATGAATGCTTGAATGCTTAGCAAGTAAACAGGTTGGAATACGAGGACGAGCACGAACGTAACGTTCCGTGGAGCACTTCCATCCAAGCCAGCGAAAGTTGGCTCTTGATAGATGCTCTATCAAAAGATGAATGGGGAAAGTAAGGATCTGATGCATCTTCAAGTGGGAAGTGGGAGAACAGAGTAGATGTTTCACAATCATTACATTACTACCAATATAATATCATATATACATCTGTCTTACAGTCTCACACGCACAAGCGCGGACTAGTCATTGATCGTTAAACCAACCCTCTAAGCGTTTGGTCCAACTCCGTTCTGGACGAAGTAGTCGTTGATTTTGCCGTAGGTGAATGGGTGGCTGTACTCCAAGTTCAGGCCGTGACCAGCACCTGGGACAACGACCGCTGTCGGGTTGGTTGCGTTCGGGAAGAATTGTATGGCGGCTGCAGGAATGCTGCTATATCCGGTGGGCGGCGCGAGGCAGTTGCCACCGCAGTATGGCAGATCACGCTCACCGGTGATGATGAAGGTAGGGCCCTTGAAGTGGTTGATGCTGCCGGTCTCGCCGCCAATCGTGAGGAGCTCGCCAACGGTCACGGGTTGGCCGGTAGTGTAAGCAATGTTCAAGACTGCAGGATCGAAGGAGTCGGGGGCAAAGAAGTTGGTCTGGACTGCGCTGATGTCGCCTGCTGCAAGGTAGCCGGCAGGGTAGTTATACTTGGCGAGACCTGAGACATTCCTGGCAGAGATGAAGTTGCCACCAAATGCGAAGTATGGGATGAAGCTGCCGTTCTGGGAGAAGCCAGTCAAAGCGATGCCGTCAGAGATGGTTGGATACATAGCGGTCAACGCGTAAGTATGCTCGGAGCCGAAGGAGTGACCAACGTGCACAACCTTGTCGAAGCCACATGGGACACCCCAGATGCCGCCTTTGCGAAGGTCTTGAGTCAAAGCGCGGAGAGCATCGACCTCAAGAAGGGCCTGGATCTCGTTGACGGCTTCGCCGTGCTGCGACTGTGCGATCCCGAGACGATCCCAAGAGAAGGTCGAGTACTTGTAAGTATCGACAGCCTCAGCAACGTAGCTGTAGTTGTAGTTGGCGTAAGGAAGATCCCAGTAGCTGCGGTCAAAACCAATGCCGTGAGTCAACAGCTGGACAGTCTTGGCTGGGCCAGAATCTGGCTGGCAGTATGTGGCTGCAATGTGGTATTTGCCGGAGACAGTTTGGTACTAATATTTGTCAGAGCTGCTCGGATGGAGACAAATACAATACATACGCCCTCAAGTACGTTGGCGGAGTAGTTCTTGCCTTGCTGGGCCAAGTTGAGGATGAAATTGGTGACGTCCACGTTAGTTTGTGGCGTGCTCTGGTTAAATCTCCCATTCCTGGCCGAGACGTCCACCTCGACCGTGAGGTTCTGGCAGTGTCTTGCTGATGCGAGGCCAGCGAGGGCAGCAGTTGCTGCAGCGATAGTGTACTTCATGGTGGTGATGATTGAGAGAGGATTCTTGGAATGATATGATGTGCGGGAAGGTGTATTAGATCTCGCAACGACGGCGGGAGCAGTCATATACCTTACCACGACACCCGGTTTAACGGATCCCTTCCAGTGAGTGCTTTGACACTTCACCAGCGCAGGTACATGACGGCAGCAGTGAACCTTGCAAACAGTTATTTGTAAAAGGCGGCTCAGCGCTGACCATGTCCACTTCTGTGAGGTGACCGCACGGCTGGCGCAAACCTAGGCGGTTTTAATGGTCCCAAGTGGGTAAGTAAGGTCGATCATGAAGCTGCGAATGATGGCATATACTTCACGCTACCGCGACGACCCGAGATCTGCGCTTCAATGCGGATTTGACTTCCATTTCCATATAGACGTCATGCTCTAGGACAAGCGGCTGCAAGTGTGTCCGGAATTCTGGCCAGTCCTACATCATTTTCTAGCCGTGGAGATGCGCTGTCGTCGCTTCTCCGCACTGTGGGAAAGGCCTGCTAACGAGACAAATTTGGCATGATATTATTTTACTTTTGCTGTCCGGCGTTGAGCAGACCGATGTCATAGCTGCAGGTCGCACTGTCCGACCGGAGACGCGGGTGCGTCCTAGTCCAGTATGACAATGTTATGGTTGTTGCAATACCCCGTTCTAGTTTGCGGTATGAATGGTGTTCAGTGACAAAGACATGACTTGTCTTCCTTAGATATATGAGACGGACAGAAACTGCCTTCGTGAGACGAGGTAAGATGTTGTCAGCAGGAGGACGAAACTCGCTCGGAAAAATTATTCCTCCGGTCTCGTCCGAGGGGTCCCTGCGGGTAGGATGAGTTAAAGCCGTGGAATCAATTTTTCACGAAGGCACACTGCGTCCGTGATCTGCTCTATCCATACGAAAAGCACTCGATAGCAGAACCATGTCGTCGACAATCAACAAACGCGCCAACACAAACGACGTCGCGCCCTCGAACCCATTGCAATCCGACTTCGACGCCTTATCCAACTCAACGGACGATGACGAGCGTTATCTGGTACGGCAGCAAGAGCTGAAAAGCACACGATGAGAGTCAAGTAAATCCTTGCAACACACTCAGTGAGTTGAAGCAATGCATTCGTGAAACAATTCATAGCACGCCGGTATCTGCGGTTGCACTACATGTCCCACCACCCTCTTGCACTCTCGCCTGAGGAGTGGGCATGGGTCGCGCGGGTTGAGATCAGACGGCATGAACTTGTGCATTCACATGCGCGAAAGGAGATGCTATGACCATCAATCGATGCTTCCCGTTCCTCCGTGATGTTCTGTTGCTGACCTCAAGAAGCGTGCCTTGGGCTATAAGCAGGTATGGGTTGCAATCTAATATCCGGGATGGCAGCATATTAACAACAGCGTAGTCCCTTCATCGACAATGGAAGTTCTTCGAAAGCTTCGCAGCTAGCTTTGGTATACTTGAGCTTCTTCCCGGTCCTCATCTATACGCTGACCATCAGTAGCGGCTCTATATTCGGTCGGCGGCATTCGGACCACCTTCACAATTGGTGTCGGCGCTGGAGGTCCTGCAGCTTACTGGTACATCATACCGACACCATCGCCACAGTCGCAGAACGCTAATCCCTTGTAGGTCAAGCTATGTAATTACCTGCATCTTCGTCTTCATCACAGCCGCTGTCCTGGCTGAGATCTGCTCTGCCCTCCCTGCAGCGGGCTCAATCTACTTCTGGGCTGCCGAAGCTGGTGGACGCCGCTATGGACGATTCTTTGGCTTCATCGTGGCTTGGTGGAGCACGACAGCCTGGACGACCTTCGTAGCAAGCAACTGCCAAGCAGCAGCCAACTTTCTCCTCTCCGAGATCACAGTCTTCGGCCTATCGTTTTCTACCGATGTCAACGATATCAAGTTCCGCGCCGTGCAATGGATAGTGGCTGAGGGCTTCCTCTTCCTCGCCATCAGCATGAACTATCTCGACCCAAAGACCTACAGTCTCATCTTCCGCATTGCCACTGGCATCATCCTGCTCGACTTCTTCCTCAACATCGTTTGGCTACCAATCGCAGTGTCCAAGTCATACGGCTTCCAGGACGCGAAGTATGTCTTCACCCAAACATACAACGAGACAGGCGCACCGCCTGTATGGAATTGGATGCTCAGCTTTTACGTTACTGCTGGCATCCTGGTCGGCTTCGAGGCCAGTGGGCACATCTCTGAAGAAACTAAGAACGCGAGCATCACAGCGGCGCGTGGCATCTTCTGGTCAGCTGTGGCTTCTGCTGTCATTGGCTTTCCTCTGGTCATCCTGTTTCTCTTCTGCCTGCCCGATCTCGACACGTTGTACAATTTCGGAGCACCTCAACCCTTCGTCGAGATCTACGCATTGACTATGGGTAGAGGCGGTCATGTTTTCATGAACGTGGTTTGCATCTTCGGCCTCATCTTCAACACCACCGTCGCTGGTGTCGCCAGCTCTCGACTTATCTGGGCCGTGGCACGAGACGGTGTTTTGCCTTTCTCAGGTTGGATCTCCCAGGTCTCAGCCAAGAAGGAGCCAAAGAACGCTGTCATCGTCATGCACGTCGTCGCTGCTCTCTTGCTCTGCACGATCCTGCCTTCGCCTGTAGCCTTCACATCTCTTGTTTCGGCCGCTGGAGTCCCGACCATCACAGCTTATGCTCTGATCGCCTTCGGCCGCTTCTTCTTGACACCGCATGAGTTCCGTCATGCACGATGGAGCTTGGGCAAGTGGTCTCGTCCCTTCACATTGATCGCGCTGGTATGGAACCTTTACCTCGCCTGCGTTCTGTTCTCGCCTCTTGGATTTCCCGTGACCGGCCAGACGTTCAACTACTCGCCTGTCATCTTTGGCGCTATCACGATCTTTGGCATTGCAACGTATTTCTTGACCCCTGAGGAGAAGTGGCTGCCGAATGCTAGGCTCGGAAAGGTTCATCAGTTGGACGATGAGTACAATAGGGAATAAGTTGCAGCTGTAGGGAGTGAATCGCAGATGTAGAAAGTGGGAAGTGCGGAGCGGTGCCAATGGCATCGCGTACAGGGAACGATCCCACAATGTGCGATGGGGACGAGGGTCGGCAGTACGCAACGAGAACGTTTGTGTTTTTATATCTATGCAAGTGCACAAGTAGGTTTTGTGAAACGTTTTGTGAAACGTTTTGTGAAATGTCTGCAATGGTGGTGGTACTGCATGTCCACAGTCTTCTCTTGCGGTGCTTTGCAAAATGCTTCCGATATCATCGTTCTATTCATCATAAGATCGTGTGATGTGAGCTCGATCGATTGCGCCACTCCTCGGGATTGGTAGGCATCAAAGTCGGCGTGGCTGCCTGGACAATTGCCGTGCAATCGCAGACTAGACGAGCAATCAGTGCGCAGCTTCGGCTTTGGCCGAACTGTTAGCGAGAGGTCTCGCGACAACACATCGTAGCACTGTTGACAAGGCCACGTCCACCCAAACAGTAGTATGTCCACAGGATCAAAGTGCAAAGTCTCTGAAGACCGCGCGTAGTATGCGGCTGCGATCGACGCTGGTTTGGTTCGTGAACTGCGCGAAGTGGACGACGTTGATTGAATCGACGAAGCACACTGATATCATGATGGGAGTTACGAGACCAATACCGGCTCGAATACTTACAGTACTGATAGTACCTGTTGGCGCTGGCGGAGCAATGTATTGTCTACGTTATGGCATGATGCAGCATAAACCCTACATACAACACTCACATCAGGTCCCCGAAATCCCGATATCATTGAACGACGCTTTACTCCGTAACTTTACGAGAGCGATAGAAGTTGAATTACTCCTGTTGATATAGACAGTCAATGTCTAACCAGGAGGAAGCGGCACAACAATATACGCGCCCGACTTATCTAGCACCAACCCACCACTTCCAAGCTACGAAAGCTGATCAAACTGCCTGACCGCCGTCTTCGCCCTCTCCTTCACATCCATATCCGCATCAGCTGTCAAGGCCCTCGCAGCAGCCTCAATCCCCACACTACGCAGCTGCTCAGCCCGCTGACGTGCATCCCTGCGATCCCCATCGTTCTCGATCCATGTCAAGGAGTTGATTGTCCATAGGCACGCCGCTCTTACTTTCCTGTCCTGGTGCGTGAAATGGGGTAGCCAGGTTTTGAGAAGCGTTCGCTGAGCGATGAGCATTTGCTTATGTCGGGGCATGGCGTTGGCGATGTGGGTTAGGATACTGATTGTGCTGTAGATCAGACAACTCGGCCCGTAGACATGACGACCGTGGCTTCCTGTCAAGCGTGCACTCGATGGCAATGGTGCGAGGTGAGCTGTCAAGAGTTCGAATAATTTATTGCTACCGAGTTGTTGCAGTAAGTGGTCGAGCATGGAAGCACAGTCTTCGCCATTGAGCAAGTTACGCACGAAGTCGAGAGCTTGCTCCTGGACCGCGACATCGTCTTGCTTGGCGCGAAGGATTGGATTTTGTTCTTGTTCGCGGACTGACGAGAGGTACTGTCTGCTGTTGAACGTCGAGCTCGATGCGGAGAGTGTTGATCGAAGCTGTGATGCCTGATAGTGCGTGCTAGACGACTCGTCATACATGACTTCGCCATCTTCATCGTGCTCTGCTGGCTCGTCAACGTCCATCGTGGACGGGTTCAGTAACTCGACTTGCTCGCCAGCAGCATTGGGTGTGCTAAGACCAACGCTGACGCCTCCACCATTACTGTGCGATGTCACGATGTCACGATGCTCACCTTCGATAGCGTTGACTAACCAGCCAGAGCCGAGCTCATTCAGAGTCTTGATCTTGATGTCCTTGGGTGAGGACAGCACAAGATGCTTCAAAGCCCACATGCTTGACAGTCGCAGAGCCGCTGAGCTGGTACGCGCGTGACTTGTCAGCGTCCTGATCACGCCCTCGGCGATGAGGTCGTCTCGCATCGGACTGAATTCAAGCAAGAGGTTGGCGCACACGTCTGTCGCCGCCAGCTGTACTTCCGGATCTTGATGGCTAAGCAGCTGGAAGATGGGCTTTGCAACACCAGCATCAATGAGGCTTGTCCGTAGAAGACTGACAGATCGCGACATGGTCTTCGCCGCACGACAAGCAGCCAGTATGACCGGCGTGGTGTTGCCATCCTTCGGCCCAACCTGACCACGGTTCGCCACCAGCTTATCCGCATAATCGGGCGGAAAGGGCTTCAGCGAGTCGATAATGCACGGGACCACGCCAGCTTCAACGATGAGCTTCCTGTGAACATCCTCTCGTTCAGATAATGCAGATAGAGCTTGCAGTGCACCCTGACGGCAGCGCATAGCATGCAGTATCTCCGATGGAAGGCCTTTGCTACCAAGCAGGCAGGTGACAGGCGCAGATGCAGTATCAAGCGCGTTTGTTTTCGGCGCCCACATCGGCTTCGAAAGAGGCACACTGTCGAAGCTCTTCTTCAGTACAGGGCAGACATTCTTGATGGCTCCAGCATCTACAGCAGCGGTCTGCAACTCCTCGAAATCGCGGACCAGCAAAGCCAGAACCTCACACGCCTGTTCCTTCACGAGCAAAGCATCACGATCTCCAGTTCCTATAGCCTCGACCGACTTTGACTCGTTGACCAGCTGAACCATATTCACGGCTAGAGGGACAGCCAGCAAGGACATCTGCTTCTTTCGCTCCCGTGTCTTCTGCACATATTCGCTACGATGACCGCTGTTGAAGGTATCAGTGTCTATGGCATTATTGACCAGAGCAAGCAATTTCAGCGCAGCCAGTCTGTCAGACCCTTGCATCGATCGAGCCAGTACTAGCAGCCAGCTACAGACAGCATTGGCGTGATCCACATCTCCTCCATTCGGCGCATCATCTAGACCGATGGGCCCTTTACGGGTAGGGGTCTGCAGAGCCGCAGCCGCTGGGAAAGCTCGCGAGCTGTACTGATAACTTGTGGTCCCATGCGCCGGGACATGCAAAGAAGGCAGTAGTGGTCCATCTTCCGGAGACACGAAGCCATCCTTGGCGCCAAATCGATGTCGCTGGTCGCTATTCGATCCGCTGATAGCGAACAGTCTCCCGATCACAGATGAGAGGGAAAAGGCATGAGCACGGTAGAGTGAACCAGTGATGATGGTGGATATTGCAGCAAGAATGCTTGGAACGTCTGCAGGTCGTGGTGGCGGCGGTAGTTGGGAAGCACCACCTTGATAGCTAGTTTGACCGGTTGCGACAGCGTGTGCGGCCAACAACGCAGCTAGTGTTTCGAGCAAAGAGGAGTTGGCGACCAGCTCGATCTTGATGGCGTCGCTCGTTGCACAAATAGATATGATGTCCGTGACCAAACGTCGCTGTTGGTGAAGAGCTGGGGTGATGTTCTGCTGAACGAGGATGGCGTGTAGATTGCGTGAGCTCTGTTCACTAAACAAATCCAGAGCAGCCTGTGTGCCAGAATCCAAGACACTTTGAGAGGCAGCCCAACATGATCCAATGTTCTTGATTGTCTGCAATGTAGCGGTTGTGAGCTTGGATGGAGAGTCCGTTGCAAGTGAGCTCATCAAAATGGCTGGGGCGTTTGCTGATAGAAGGGCAAGTATGAAGGCACATCCTCCATTGGCCAGGGTGCCGACGATATTGGTAGCCTGCAATCTCAACTCATCCTCGGGAGTCATGTGCTGTGTGGATGTAGGCGATGAATGTAGGCCGCCTCTGTGCTTGCCTGCTGCCCGCGAACTCGAATTCAAGATGTCGGTAAGTAGACGTATGGCACCATGGTGTACCGCCATCTCCTTGCGCTGATCGTGACCAACGAGATAGTTCTTGAGCCGCCTTAGTGCGGCGATGCGGCCATCGATGGTAGCAGCCTGGCGGACTGCCTCTACGACTTCTGCCATATTGCGCTGATGTGGTTATCTCATGTTCTGCTGACGAGAATGAGAGGACGAAACGACGGATGCGTTGATGATTGCTGTCTGCGTAGGATAAATAATAACGGCAGGCATGAGGCGAAGCGCGGGAAAGGCCGCAGGTTCGACTACGAAATACGAAGCTACTAATAAGCACACACGTGATACAAGGAGAAGGCGTGCGAGCCTGTGGAACTACGTGCTTCACTTTTACGACTTACTGGTAGCGTTGTCGTTAGAAGATGGTATTCGGGTTATTGCTCGCGCGTAAAAATGACATGGTGTTATTATGTACAGTATGCAGCATCGTCAGGCTTTTGATAGAATGGGCAAAGTTATGCATCCGGCCCGGTCTGCCTGCATACGCCGATCTCGCACGTGTCGCAAGGCTGGTGTATGTATCGAGAAAGATCAAATAACCTTTTCCGCATTCTCGACATTATGACGACCATTTTTCCCGCCCGACAATCCACGCGATACTGCTGTACTTCCCCTACTGCTTGAGCCCAGCATAATTCTCCAATTACCCCTCCGCTAGCACCTGCTTCGCCAATTAGAAGAATGAGTGCGGACTTGCCTGACTCGGTCATCATCCAGCCTGCGTTACTCTTGTGCTTCTGGATATGTCTTCCGCTCTGACTTCCACACCATCCGCGCCTTCATCACCTTTCCATATCCCTTCACGCCAGTACTCTTACTCCAGATCGCCCAGGGCATCGCCGCGACTCTACGCAGCCTCGCCCAAACGTGGACCGAGGACCGCGACCCCCACCGCCGCGACGTCGGCTCCAAGACAGCTCAAGGAGCAGCAGCTCGCAGGTAGTGAGCCGGCGGTAGGAGGAGCGTCCAAGGGCTACGTGGATGCCGGCACGCAGTACAGCCCGGACGGATTTCCACCTACCGCTGGTCGCAACGTGGCTGTCTCCACCGCTTCCCAATTACAGCCTCCGGGCTCGGCGGGCAGCGCGAAGAAGAGAAAGGAAAGCGGGCGGTCCGAATCGCCGTCGCGACAGCAGATGAGTGGGGCAGATGAGCCTGCGCGAAGCAGTACTCAGGCAGCAGCCACACCAGGGGAACCTGATGCACGACGAGACCCAAGTGCGGTCGCTACGCCTGAAGCGAATAGTTCTGCTCGACCAGCATCTTCTACAGCAGGTCTACCGCAACGGGCAGCAGCACCGCAAGACCCAGAGCCTGAAGAAGCTCGCTCAACCCATGGCCACTCATCTGCGCCCAAGAGATCTAGACCTGACCCAGCCACAGTCAAACAAATGCCTCGCCAGTACTGGACCTGCAACCCAAAGGACTTAGGTGTACTCATATCCAACATGCTCATGGAACTCATACGGCTGAATGACAGAATACCACTTAGAGATGGACGACTAACTCGTTTCCACTCGCGAGCACCACCTGGAATAAGTGTGCAAGATTACCTCCAACGTCTCATCCAGCACGCAACCCTCTCACCACCAATATTACTCAGCATGGTATATTACATCGATCGGTTGTGTGCGCTATACTCTGCATTCACAATCAACAGTCTAACGGTCCATCGTTTCCTGATCACGGCAGCGACGGTCGCCGCCAAAGGCCTTAGTGACTCCTTCTGGACGAACCCAACCTACGCCAGGATTGGTGGTATTCCTGTCACCGAGCTGGCGACGTTGGAACTCGAATTTCTGCAGAAAGTGCAGTGGAAGATTGTGCCGAAGCCCGAGAATCTGGAGGATTATTATAAGAGTTTAGTCGATCGCACGGAAGGATTTGAGCTTGAGCCGGGAAGTTCTGGGAGTAGTAGTATTGATGAAAGTGAGGGGAGTGGAGGGAGTGCAGACGGAGATGCGGGTGAAGATGCGCAGATGGTTGACAAGCCTGCATGAAACTCACCATGACTGCATTGAGCTGCTCAAGGCTGGTGCTCGTCGAAAAGCAGGCGCCGAAGCTGACTCCTCCGGACGCTCGCATCAGGTCTGCTGAAAGGGATCAGGAGCGCCCTGAATCTTCTCCAAAGTTAAAATGGAAGATTCGAAGCGTTCAGACTCAGATGCGACCTCACGGCGGTATTCTCGAAGAGCCTGGGATCCGAACTCAACATGAAGATGGAGGGCTTGACTGGCCTCGACTATGACTGGCGGTTCATCGTGGACCTATTCGCAGCGTGTCGCGATCCACAAGGTCGGTTGCAAATCTTCAGTCCACTCACAGTCATACTTTTCAGGAACCTAGAGAGAGCACTGGAAGTGTGGCCGAGCAACAGAATATTACTTCGCGACAGCCTCGCGACTCGCCTGCGGGACAACCCACAATCGAATCATTTTGGTGCGTAGCTAAGAGCACGTTCGAGTGAAAATCTGGAATAGCAAGACCCGCCGATTCATGACAGGCTCGGTGCATAATTCAGAGTTTGGGATGAAGTATAGATAATGTTTGAGCGTCGAATTCCTGCATAGCAATGGGCGTTGTAATGAAGACGAAGTACACAAATCACATCTAGAATAAGCTTATCTGACATCCGCTCCACTTGACTCGGAGACATAATTTTCAATTGAGTGCAGCCGGAATGAAATCTTCATTAATTTTGATCCTACCAAGAGCGCCTGATCGACCAAGTAACACTACCAGAATCGAGCTTGTTGGCATCGCGCCTCCCGTAACGAATTGCTCATCTCATCACAATCCCTCTTTCGGCCCACCGAGAACAATCTGCCGCCCTTCGGTCCCGAACTCAGCTGCCTCAGCAAACGGATCAGAAGTATTACCAAGACTATAATACGTGTCGAATCCTGGCAACCACTCGCCAACCCACAGTTGCCACTTCAGTGTCCCATCACGATCAACACCAAGGACGTTAAGCTGATTGTCCGCCCAGGAAGTGATAGCGGGTTGTGTGACGAAGTCGCCTCCTCTCTCCGACCAGCCATTCCAGGTGTTGCTGTTTGGCTCGTAATACTTGTATTGGTAAGAACTCTGATTAACGAATTGTCCAACGAGATCGATACGACCTGGTACCCAGTGCGCGACTTGAGGCGTGTGGGAGAAGTTGCCGCCTAGATTTTCTGTGCCGAAGTGAGATCCTCGCCAATATACGTGGTATAACGTGCCATCCTGCTTCACAGCCCAGAGATCGAGATTCGGGGCTCCCCATGTTGAGGCAGTGGGTGCACCAGTGAATGGACCATCGAACTTCTCCCAGTCTGAGTACGTAGTCCCATCCCAGAATTTATGGAGGATGTCACCTTCAGTCGTTGTCCCGAAGATATCGAAGCGGGTTGTGTTGTCTTAGGCACTGTCAGTGACGAATAAATATAGAAATATGGCGGAGACGACATACTCCAAGCAACGACAGAAGGCACAGAGCTGAAGTTGCCACCGAAGTCTTCCCAGCCTTGCCAATTGCTTCCGTCAAAGTACATGTGCAGGTACGACCCATTCTTCGCCAGTCCAACGACATCGAGACGGCCAGCTCCCCAGGATGCCGCAGAGACAGGACTGACGAACTTCTCGTCGGTTCCATTTTGACCAAGTAGGACTTCATGGTAGGGGTACGGCACCCAGCTCGAATTCTCCAATGAGCCTTGCCAGTTCCAGAATCTGTGGTAGACAGAGCCATTCTTGCCTACGACGAAGTAGTCCAGACGATCAGTACCCCAAGACACGACACTTGGTGTGCCTGCCACTTCGCCAAGGAAGTTCTCGAAACCTGAAGGCTGGAACTGTTGGGCTGTGTGGAATTTGTGCCAGATGGAGGCGTTGGGTGCTACGCCGAAGACGTCGATGCGTTGGTCGCCCCATGAGTTGGCTACGATTGAGGAGGTTGCGAGGGTGGACTATTTTATGTTAGCCTTGATCTTGTTGTGGTGGATGTATGGGATGACTTGCAGCCACTAGCGAGAGCGTTATCAGAGCTAGAGAAGCCATTGTGATTTGCTTCTTGATCGACATCCCCAGAGGAGGGCAGTAGCGAACATATACCTCACTTACGAGATGCTCTCCACACTAGTTGTCCACCTCGCCTCGCCTCGAAGCTCCTCACGATGCATCAGTGGAGCATCTGTAAGCTGCAGATCTTGGTCGCAGTGGTGCAAATGCTCTTCCCACCTCGTACAGCTTCATTAGCAGCGCTGGACATACACGTGGGTCATCTTGCCACATTATGTCGTCTCTACTGTATCGGGCAATGTTGCAATACAACGCCTACTTCGATCCGGTCTGTGTTAGGCAAATGCAAAAGCCATGCACAACGTTTGGCTGAAGCCACCAACAGTACCCCTCATCTCCAACTGAAGTACATCAACAATAATTGCGAGGATTGACATCGCGAAGGAAAGGTGCTGTGGGGTGTGTGAAGATGAGTGCATACCTGCATGCAGCTAGGCAGGCCCGAGTACCCGGCTGGCGCACCGTTCCGACCGTCCCATTGGTGAAGTTTGTGGAGCTATGATTCAATCTACATATCTTGGCGCATAGCTGCAGCCATGCTCGAGCTCCAATCCATACAATTCTACACAGCTACATGGATCTACACATCCACATTCACATCGCGGCCAAGTGGGATGAACTTTCTTCTCGCCTCTTGTGCCTTCTGGCCGGGCTTGAACAGCCCGCTTCGGGTTGGCAGCATAGCTCGGCGATCGAGACTCCTCTTCGCGACAGTGCCGTTGGTCGGGTTCGGTGCGTTCGTGGTGGTGTTGTATGTAGCGTTCAGCGGCAAGAAGTCGCTCTGTATCGTTGCATTACCCTCTCTGAAGGTGCTCTCAGCTGGTCCCACACTCTTGTACCCATGCCATACACTCTCCTTTCCCGTAGCTATATCTTGACCGTTGATAGCTCTTTCAAACATCTCGAGAGCAACAACTGGTTGGTAGAAGGGGACTTCATGGCCACTCTCGTAGATCCTGACAAACGCAAAGTTTCCGGATTGCTTGGCTTGGCCGTGAATAATATCGTCCGAAGTGCTAATATTTTCGAACCCTGCTGTTCCATAGCCAGGTGCCTCGACGAGCTCAGCAACCACTTGGCCGCCGATGTAGTTGCAGTTGTAGTCACTGTCACCCCAATAAACAGCCACGTAGACGCCTTGTTGTAGTAGGCATTGGAGGGCTTCAATGGTGCCAATTTTGCCTCCTGGCACCTCGCGATCATCATCGCCTGTGGTTCCGAACGCGGTCCCGACTGTACTGGACGACTCTGAGTAGTTCACGAATGCTCCTATAGCCTGCTGCACTTTTGGCGTATTCAGATAGTCTGCGAAGAAGCCGTACGGAAAAGGGTCAGGCATATCGTTGGTCGACAGCTCACGGATGTCGTACTCGTCTCTGAGAGCAATATTATCGAGTACTGCCTCGACGTTATTGGCACAGAAGCTATCAGCGACACTACAAACTTCGTTGATAGAAGTCCGGTAGCAGTCGACGGTCTGATCGTAGCAGTTACCGGGACCGTACAGAGCGTTGTACATCATGTCTTGGACACTGGCGTTGAACGGAGAATAATCGTATGGATTGCCAGGATATACCGTGTAATTGTAGTAGGCTTGGTATTGTACCAGGGGATCATACCAGCCGTTGCCGATGAGGAGAGTGCTGAGTTTGATGTAGTGGGCACCAGGAAGCTTGCCAGACTCGATCAGGGTGTTCTGCTGCTCCAGATACTGAGATTATCGTAGTCAGCTTACAGCTAGATTTGTGTGAATCCATCCCACTGTACCTCGTTAAAAATTGGACCGTAATGGCCACCTGTACACTTCACGTCAGTAAGGACTCATGTGGGATACCAGATTGTAACTTACCATAGCTCTCCGTCGCAAAGTTGAACTCATGCCTCGAATACTGCGGGAAGGCACCAAAAAACCCTTGTAGCGTCTTCCACATCGATGGTGCCGCGGCGGCAGTCGAGTTGGCAGTGTCCGTCAAGTTTGGGGCAGAGTATGTGCCGCAGGTACCTAGATCTTCTGCGTAGTCGGGGCAGGTAGCGTTGGGAAGCTGTACTATGTTGCCGCTGTCGGAAACATAGGCAGAAACCGGAACCGAGTACGAGAATCCGACCTGAGCTGGGTGGTCGATAAACAGCATGTTGGAGACGTTACTAGGCTGATCAGCACAGTACTCTTCTCGTAAAATGATACAACCACTTACTTCCAAGAGTACGGGTTGAAGTATATCTCTCCGTCAGCTCCCACTCCGCAGGGGCCCAACTCCTGGAACAGTCCAATCATGCTGCTAGAGCCAGGCCCTCCGTTAATCCAGATCGAAAGTGGAGCAGATTCTGGGTCGCCATTGCGAGTCTCAAAGAACCACCAAAAAATATGTTGTCCATCTTCGATGTCGACGTAGCCACTATAGCTCTTCACCCCAGGAGTAAGCTCACAGATGCCTTCAGGCACCTCTTTGTATCGCACCGGCAGGTCCAAGAAGCCCTTGGTCTTTATTAGGTCCGTTGGAGCAGGCACGAACTGTGCTACACTCCTCGCAGCACCCAAGGCCAAGGCGGCGACGATAGTGGTCCACATCTCCACGAGAAAGCTGTAGCGGCTCAAGCTGGTTCCAGGCGAGGTTTTACTCTTATTTGATCGCTTGCCTTGTTCACGATATGACGATAGTCGAGGTCGCGTGCCTGAGAGAAATGATCTGAAGAAAGTAGAATACTTGCCTGAGAGGACTGCACCTTTTCCTCTACTGACCTCGTACAACAACATCGTCATCGCACATCGGAGGATGGATGCAAGCAGACTAGACTTGAATGTTGTTGATTCACCTGCTGTTTGGGTACAAGTGCTGAAGGATGACTGATAAGAAGTCCGGTCAAAGCGGAGTGAAGTGGAGACGCCCAAAGGGCCCGCGCCTTGACGGACGTAACAATGAACACGGCCGAATGTACAGGTCGTTCTCCTGCCATGATGTGCGCGGCGGCGTGCCTCTGACCATGAAAAGGCTCGTGTTTACGCATACGGGTATCGGTCTTGAGCCGTAAGCTTCCTCGGCAACGCGCAGAGGCTCGCTTAGTCCCTTGTTCGAACTCTCGTCGTGGTTGCTAGCTCTCGAGTACTGTAATTGATTACCGTGGTCAGATGACAGGAGGCATGTGTCTGATGAGGGACAGTCGACAAATGTAGTGTAACGGTGCCGGGGCTAGCAAGGTAAGGTATGGCTTGATATCTTATATTCCTGACCTTGCTTGAACTTGGTGAGGTGATACAGACTGCAGAGCTACGAGACTCCCAGGCTCCCAGCCATTAGATATCAATGTCGCCAAACCTGGTTCCAACCAAAGAGATCCTCTAGTATGCATACACATCTATAGAATATCCTACAACTTCGCCCTCGGTACGCTCTGGCTGTTGACCTCCGCATACATCTCATCCAACATAGCCCGAAACTTCTTCGCCGTCTGCGGCCTCTTCAGCTTGAGACTACAATATACTAGTCAGCAAAACGCCTCATCCAACCAGCAATCACCCAAAAACTTACGTGGGAGTCAACAGCTCATTCTCAATCGAAAACGGCTCATTCAGCAGCCGCACCGCCTTAACATGCTCATAGCTATTAAACTTGGCTTTCTTCCCCGTCCTCTCCATCTCCTTCAACACCGCCTTCCGCACCTTATCCTCTGCCGCCGCCGCCTCCAACGCCTTGATATCCGCTGCATCGATCTGCTTGCCGAGGACTTTACTCACAAACCCCGCGAATAGATCCGCCTGTATACCGAAGATAGCGACGAGATTCGACTGCGTGCTATCGCCGTGCACATATGCTTGTGCGAGCCAGGGCAGATTTCCGAGATACACATTCTCTATCCGCTCCGGGGAGATGTATTCGCCCTGTGCAAGCTTGAGCACATTCTTCACCCGATCGACAATCCTGAAACCACCTTGCTCATCAATAGCGCAAATATCGCCCGTACGGAACCACCCATCTTCGGTGAAAGCTTTCTTCGTATCCGCTTCATTCTTATAGTACTCCTTGAACACATTCGGCCCACGAACTAGTAGCTCACCACGCGGGTGCGGTTTATCCGATGACAAGTAGTCCATATCCGGCACATCTTGTAAGCACAGCTCGACGCAAGGCGCCACGCCACCAGTGCTACCTGAAGCGAAATCAGTTGGTCCTTGTGATGAAGCTATCGCGTAAGTCTCCGTCAAGCCATACCCCTGAGCGAAGTGGTTCGAGAAGACGACGCGCAAGAATTGATGGAGTGCGGGATCGATAGGCGCAGAGCCAGAAAGCATGAATCTCGTCCTGTCCATACCTAGCGCGGCGCTGACCTTCTTCGCCCATATGCGATCGTAGAGGAAGTGGCGGTTGGTAGCCTTGCCGGGTTCGGCATTCTTGAGGTTCGCGAGCTTCGTCTGCACGATATGACGGGATAAAGAGCCCTTGAAACCTGGCGCCTCTATCGTCTGAGCCTTGATCGCACCACCGAAGCGATTGAACAGTCGCGGGACACTATTGAAAAGTGTTGGCCGTAGGAGCTTGATATCCTCCACCAATTCAATGATGCTGCCGTGGAAGTAGCCGATCGATGTACCCGCCCATAAACTAGTCTGTTCGGTTACACGCTCGTAGATGTGGGCAAGCGGTAGATACGAGCACATGACATCGTTTTGGCCGAGCTTGGTGACCGTCATAACAGCAGATACGGCAGAGACAGCATTTGCGTGGGTGAGAAGGACGCCCTTGGGATTACCAGTAGTACCAGAAGTGTAGTTGATCGTCACAATATCCTGCGGTCGCGGAGCGTGATACGGTCGCGGTGTTGCCTCGCCCAAAGCCTCCACATCCTCAATGTAGTGTATCTGAATACCATGCTGCGCAGCAATAGCATTCAACAAATCCTTCTTCGACGTCCCAGCCAGCTCTTCTCCATTGGACAGCGGATCCAAACAAACGATGATCTTCAACGAAGGACATCTCGGGGCCAGCTTCAGGAGCGTCGGAATATGATTGATCGAAGCGCAGACTGAAGTCAACTCCGCGTGATTGATGATATACTCCGTCGTATCAGGCCCTAGTGTATCATATATCGAGACAGTGTACAGCGACTGCGACACACATCCTAGATCGCAAATCTGCCACTCCGGTCGATTCTGACACCACAGACCAACACCATGCTGTGTACCATTGATCCCCATCCGCTCCAACAATGTCACAAGACCCGCTCCGAAATTGGCTCTCCTCTTCTGCACCTCGCCGTACGTCTGCCAGACATAGCCGCCATAGATCTTGGTAGTAGGATCATAAGGTCGATGTCCGAGGCACCGTCTATTCGGTCTAATCTTCGCGCTCTGCTCGAAGAGCTCGTGGATCGTGGTCACGGCAGGATCGAGGGTGTGCAGCAAGCCATCCTGTCGTCTCCAATGCCGGTAGACTGGACTCCTACCAGGCTGCTGGGAGCCAGACAAGGGTAGACTGTATGGTGCTCCTGGTGGTGGTGGTGCATGTACCTTCGCGGCCTCGTTCAAGGCCAAGGCACTCATGGTTGTGCGATGAGACTGTGTTGCTGATGGAGTGGTAGCACGAGGTGCAAGGCGGGTCGCTGCAGGATGGTGTGCGGACGGTCTAAATCAATATGGGCGTGCGAGTCGATTGTCTGATGCAAGATGCAGGAAGAACACAGTAACGACAGTGTAAAGTACGAACGAAAGATCACTTGACCATGGGCGGCGTAATAAAATGCGCTGTGATGTGGTAGATGTGGTCCGGCGACTCCGTAGTCGTCAGACACGGCTGAAGGCCCCGAAACAATGATGTCGCCCGAGGCCTCGGTTGGCATCTTTCTCTAGCGCATGTACGAAATTCATTATTCTCGCCTGCGTCCGACAAATGCAATGCTAGTATGCGGGGCCACGCGATCCGGGTAGACGAAGAGATATCACAACAAACACTTCACCATAAGCTGGAGAAATGACGGCGGTACAGTCAACTGTACATAGATTCCTGCAAAAATAAGATCTTAGGATCTGCTGCGCATGTGGCAAGAAGGTTTCACATGTGAAGAGACAAGGATGAGCAGGAAAGCTTCTTCTGCCACGCCTCGGTATCTTTTGGAGCTATGGCCTGCTGTATGAACCTGAACATCTTCACTGTTGTATTAACACCGCAAGGACCTGGTGGCAGTGTGAGGCCACAAGCTAGCAACGACTCCTGCGAGACCAGCTGAAGGCCTCGCAATCTCCAGCAGACCTTCGCGCACTTCACATCAGCTCAGGTGGCACCACCAATGTCAGCTTTAACACTGGTATCGCCATTCTTCTCCGCATTCTCCTTCTTCCCATCCTCCTCCGGCTTCGTCGCAGCATTCTTGAAAGACTGCTCGAAATCCGCAATAATGTCGTCGATATGCTCGTTGCCAACAGATATCCTGATAAGGTCCTACAACAAGTCAGCATGAAGCACACCACCAAACAACTTCTGAGCACTTACATCAGTGACGCCACTGCTAGTCTTCTCCTCATCGCTCAACTGCTCATGCGTCGTAGTCCAAGGATGAATCGCCAACGTCTTCGAATCACCCACATTCGCCAAGTTTGAAATCAGCTTGAAGCCATCCACGACCTGACTACCAGCCTTCTCCCCACCCTTGACACCAAACGATAGCACGCCGCCAAACCCACGAGGCAAGTATTTCTTCGCCAACTGGTGGCTCTTGTGGCTTTCGAGCCCAGGATAGCTGACCCACGCCACATTCTCGTTCTTCTCCAGCCAGTTGGCAAGCTTCAGTGCATTGTACGCATGCCTTTCGCATCGCAGACTGAGGGTCTCGACGCCGAGGAGAAGCTGCTGAGCCGCGAATGGGTTGAGTGCCGCGCCAAGATCACGCATGATCTCGACCCGTAGTCGGACAATGAAAGTGATGGCGCCAAAAGTATCCCAAAATTTGAGACCATGGTATCCATTCGAAGGCTCAGTCATCTGCGGGAACCGCTTGCGAGCCTCAGGAGTACCCCAATCGAACTTGCCCGAGTCGACAACGACACCACCAATCGTAGTACCATGTCCACCAATCCACTTGGTCGCCGAATGCACAATAATATCCGCACCGTGATCGATAGGCCTGACGAAATACCCACCCGCACCAAAAGTATTGTCCACAATCACCGGCACACCCGCCTCATGCGCGACCTTGACAATCGCCTCGAAATCCGGGACATTGTACCTCGGATTCCCAATGGACTCGACATAAACAGCCTTAGTCTTCTCATCAATCACCTTCCGAAACTCCTCGGGATCATCCCCATTCACAAACTTCGTATTCACCCCCAAACGTGGGAAAAACACTTTAAACTGATTATACGTGCCTCCGTACAAATTCGACGTCGACACGATATTATCCCCCGCATGAGCCAGAGCAGCCACAGCCATGAACTGAGCCGATTGGCCGGAGGAGGTTGCGAGGGCCGCCACACCACCTTCGAGAGCCGCGATGCGTTTCTCGAGCACGTCGACGGTCGGGTTCATGAGACGGGAGTAGATGTTGCCGGGTTCCTTGAGGCCGAAGAGCCGCGCGCCGTGAGCCGAGTCATCGAAGACGAAGGAGGTGGTGGCATAGATGGGTACGGCTCGGGATTTGGTGGTTGGGTCTGGTTCCTGGCCTGTGTTATTTTGTCAGTACCGTACTCGTAGTCTTGTGAGATATGCGAGCCATTGATCTATTACCTGCGTGCAGCTGCAGCGTCTCGAACTTGGGCACGATCTCCTCTCCTCCCATCTTGACGATTTGTTCCTGTAGTTGCTGGAGTCTACAAAGTGACTTCGTTCTCGGCATACGCTCCTCGTGTTATAATTGTTTTGCTACTGTCACGTCGGGGGTAAAGAAGGCAAGCAAGTCCTCTGGAATCAATTCAATGGGAAATCAACAGACGACCCCACCAAAGAAACATAGAAATGGCATGGCACGCGTGGGCGACTGCGGGGTTGCATTGAAGTGCTGAATGACGCGATTTAAGCGATGCCGTTTTGGATGAAATTTCATTGTGCGCGAGACAGCATTCCTTTTGGCCTTTTGGCGAGGTTGTGTCTGGCCTTTGCGATCTGCAAGTCCCATCGTGCAGACTGGTTGACTTGTTCATCTTTTGCCAGCACGTCAGCAGCCACCGAAATGTGACCATACTCATGCACAATACTTCTTCTCAATTTCCGAACATCTTCCGCCTGTCCTCTTCACCCGTGATCTCCAATGGCCTCACCAGTACTCGCATCCTGCTTTGCTTCAGCAGTACTGTCCATAACAACCACCTTAGTCGTCCGCACATCTCTAATAACCTCTACAATCATCCCACTGCTTTCGTAATACGTCTCACACATAACAGCATCAGCTCCACCAACCTTGGCACTGCCATCTTCATTGCTACCAAGATCTGGCAGAATGTCGACGATTGGTAATGAATGCCTTCCAACTGCGATCGGAATAAGCATCAGCTTCAATACCGTAGGCTCGTCGTCGTCTTTGGGTGTAAAGCGGACCCGTCGTGGTCCACCGAGAAGCCAGGTGTCCGGATCGGCCTGAATATCGACAATGAAGCTCTGCAAAGCAGCCGTCCCTCTAACCTTCTGGCCGAGCAGTCTAACTGCTGACCACCCATTGCTATGTCTCAATCGTAGCTCGGCATTGATAGGCTTCCCAATCTTCGTAATCGAGGTATGAGTGTCACCAGCAGCAGGATCGATATCGAGTGATAACGCAGCGCCGAACACCATATCAAGCGTAGGCACCTCGACCGACAAAGTGATCCACCTTTGCAGCCTCTGGGCCATTGGACTTTTATAGTCGATAGGCAGACTTGTGTGTTGCTTATGCCATGCTCGCAGCCACTCATCCAGCTGATCACGCACCATGGAAGGCAAAACCACCACAACCTCATGCCAAGCAATATCTTCGAACGCCGGCATCTTGACCTGATTCAGCGCAACAGCCTTGAACAGGTCCATATTCGACAAGTGATCTTTGCACCGCTGCGTCATAAGCGGTAGCAATAATCTAGAGAAAGCACCATAATCACTATCCTGCAACGACAGCGCAAGCCGTTCACGCATCATCTCGGTGAGCAGCTCTTCAGTGGATATATATCGCAAGCTGAGCGACAAAGCAGCGTCATGCTTGCTCATCTGCTTCTTCTCCATAGTTTTCGTGGTGATCTTATACAGCAGCGAAGCCGAACTCGCACTATGCACAGTCAAGATGTCACTGCTAGCGAGCGGCGTCACAGCATACACACTCGACTCCTTGAGTGTGCTGTTCGTGATCACTATAGGCGCAGTATGTGCCGTGCGGACCGTGAACCTGGAGAAGAGAGTATCGAGGCGGAAATTGTCGTCCACGTCGACGTCTAGTGGTAGTTCATGTCGTCTCGTGACAAGATCGGATAAACAGAAAGATCCTTGCGCGGTCTCGTAGCGCACTTCCAGACGAATGGAAATGTCCGATGTTGCACTCTCGCACGTATATGGTATTTTGACCACTGCAGTCTCATCTCGAGCAAGCTCGGAGAGCGAGATATGTCCACTCTTCTGCTCGGTCGAGTCGTCACGAGCAATTCCCTCGAAAGTCGCAGTGGCTAGATGTAATCGCAGACCAGCAGATGTCGGTTTGACCTTCACAGTGATACCCTGGATTTCGTTCCAGCCGCTGCTGAGAGTCAGAAGTATATGCCGCGGCTTATCAAGATATATATTCTTAGCCAAGGTGACCTGACAGTCGAAAGCTTGCTGCGCCGGGTACAAAAACACCAGTGGTACCATATCGTCAGATGCAGGACGCTGCGCTGTCAATACATCTTCGCCGTTGATCTGCAAGGCAGGTTCTCTTTTCCTCGAAAAGTCATGCGTGAAGCACAACTTCCCAGCTCGGAATGTGAGTCGATCAGCCGAGAAAGCGCCTAAGCATGTTGTATCCGACAGGAGATCCAGCTTCATCAGCCCATGCCGTATACCTACTGGTCGTCCATTGACAAGTATGATGTCTTGTTTCGGATCCTTGATGCCTGCGAGACGTAGACTGATCTCGTCGATCGCGAACTCTTCGTCAAGGACACTCCGGAAATGCAGACGAAGCGCGAAGCCATCCTTCTCCTCCAGGTGTGTGATGTCTCGCTCCAGGCGTAAGTCCGTGAAGAAATCGTCTACAGACAGTGCCTGCTCCTTGTCCAGATCGGAAGAAGCTTCGATCGCGCGCTGCATCGAAATATCCACACCACTACCGCTGCCAAAGGACGATACGGAAAAGTCAAGCATTATTGGATGTTTACTAGCCAACCTCACCCCCGCCATCCTACCCAAGCACTTGAGCATAGTCTTAAGATACACCTCCATCGACCCGAGCTGCCGCAGAACATCAGCATAGACGGTCAACAAACGCTGCTCGGTATCGTTCCAGCCGCCCGTCTCATGGTCGGGCAGTAAGTGCTTCAGAAAAGTCTCAGCACTGGTGAGGTCGCCTTGCTGACGCTTGAGCATTGCGAGGTCGCCAACAATGGCATCCACGGATTTAGTCTGGGTAGCGAGAGCATAGTAGCGCATAGCTTGGTCGCAGAGTTGCTCGAAGGCGGTCCGGAAAGTCTTTTCCGTGTGTAGCTGCAAGTCGAGCGTACTCGATAGCATTGCAGACAACACTGCAGAATCTTCTCCCTCCTTTTCAGCTGCGGCCACCGCTTCTGTCTCCTCCTCAGCTTCATGATCATCATCCACATCAACCTCCTCAACAACATCCTGAGACTCAGCCTTCAATGCCGACCAACCAGCCCGCCACCCGCGAATCTCAGCCAGCTGTTCCAGCACTTTTCGCTGCATCATAACAAGCTCAGCCCGGTAGTTCGCAAGTTCCGGTAGACCAGGAATATCAGCACCCTGCCCACCCGCAATTTCTTTCCCCGCGCTCGCTGGCGGACTGCCAATGCTCTCAGCAATCACACTAGCCGGCCGCCGCAACTCAGGGGCAGATTTGCGTATCGTGATGAGACTGCTTTGGCGTTGTGGGTACGGATTCGCTCCAGTAGCGAAGTCGAACTCGGATCGCTTGGGCTTGAACGGCGAGCCGTTTGCGACGGGCTTCGCATCAGCCTGAGTAAGTGCAAGCACCGGCGCAGATGTCTCCGCGAGAACATATTCAGCCACGGCATACATCCAGGAGCAGACCAGCGAGGCCATGTCGCGTGGAAGGATTGATTCTCCTGTATGATCGCGTCTGGCAATCAAGTCTTGCCGTAACGTCCGAGCGTTGTTGTGGATGAAAGTCGATGCGCGCCAGCACACCTCAGACATCAGAACTAAATCCTCACCGCCTTCCTTCAACGAGCTCGCGCCCATCTCAGCGCGCGCCGCATGAGTATTGGCGAGCCGCAAGATGAGCGCTTGTTGGCGAGAGAACATGTACGAGAAGAAGTCGAATACGGAGATATCGCTGCGCACGATCTTCTCGCGGTAGTCCTTATCAAACAGGCGTGAAGAATCCGAGTCAACATGAAACGTTCCTTCGTCGTGACTCCCATTCACCCCATTTTTGTCAAGTATCCTCGCCTCGATATCATCCGTGAAAGCCGCAAATCTCGTTGCAGTCCCATCAGCCTGTCCAGAAGCCAGCTCCCGAACCGCAGTCTCTAGTCCAAACAACAGTTCATCGTATATCGCTAATGCATCCTCCACCAGGCCGATACTCTCCAGCGCCTTGGCCAGACCCTCTTTGTGAATGAAGAAAGTGCAGAAGTTCCAGCCCGGTAATGATCGTCGTGCTTCCTGATCAGCAATATCTGCTTCGTACTTCCGCACGCGCGTATCGAACGGTCCGAGGAGCATGACCTTGAATTTGTCCATGAGGTCTTTCCATGCCAGTTCGCGTTCCTGTAGGGTCTCCTCGAGCGTTGTGGCGACAGCTGGGGTTGGCAGTAAGTCCGGCGAGACATCGCTCTTCTGCAATCGGATCTGAGAGACTCGGTCCTGACCCGTCTTGCTGGATTCATTGAAATCTGCTCGAAGTCTGTCGAAGACGGTGCCTTTGCTCTTACCAGGAATCTTGATGTTGCTCGTCTTCCTCTCCTTCAACTCATCCGGCGCTCTTGTCGACTCTCGCCATCGTGGCTCGCTCGCAGCAACTGTGTCCGGGATGACAACATGCAGTATCATCCACTCGAACGCATCATGCTCCTCTCCTCTCTTTCCCTCCGTCTGCGTATTCTCTCGAATCCACTCTCGTATCCGTTTCCGCTCCGTCTCCTTATACGTATCCTTGTCGTCACATCGTAAAATATAAATCTTGAGGTAGGGTGAGGTCTTCAACCCTGGAATCTGGTGCCGTCTTTGCTTGGGCGCATCTTTGCGGTCGTCCTTGCCTCCTCGGAGTATATCGAAGCTTGAGGAAGGTCCAGTGGAGTCGAAGCGTTGAATCGGTGGTCGTAGATTGGTTTGGGTGTACTTGTCTGCGACGAACTCGACGTGGAGCTGTCTGATTTGGCGCAAAGGTCTGGATGGGGACTGCCAGTTGAGATTGCGAAGTGGTAGACGATCCGCTATGCTTCGTGATACCAGTGGGAAGACGCCGGATGGGTCATGATATTCCACTGTTCATGATCAGCCTTTCCTTATATCATTGTCGTATGTGGGCAGATCCTACCAGTGACCTTGGAGCTCGAAGACGCAGCTTCCACTACTCGAGCGGCCATATCTCGACTCGTGGTGCTTGATCTGCTGCATGGCTTCTATGAAGACTCATTCCGTGTCACCGCGAAGTCAACACAGTCACTGCCTAACGATCAGTCAATACAACACCTTGTCGTGGTATACATTGGTTATGCTTTAACATTGAACAAGGGTCAAACCAATTCCAATGCCTCGTTCGGCAGCCAACGGCCACTCCCGCACAATGCTGCTTGACGTCGCTGCATCTTTCTCCTGCCATTGAGCCTGGCAAACACCACACCACAACCATGTTACCAACACTGATACGAAGGGTACGATCGATATTGATGGCAAGCTACATGTACGAGATACTAACAGCTGACAGGCCGATGGCGGCATGACCTCCAGCCCAGTGCGCGGCGGCACCCAACCTCAGCGCTTCCGCGTCAACGACTACCAGTCCTTCAAGAGCAAGTATGGGCCTGAGTAAGCAAGACCGAGCAATAAAGAGAACGAGAGTAGTGGAGTAACGAGATTTGCGCACAGCTACAAAGTTGGCATGCACGTAGCCGGCGTGAACAGATCGATGCTCATGAACCTGTGCGTTCCTCCTGCCATCATTTGCGAAACCACATCACACGCACCACTGACACTTATCCAACAGCGGCACTCTCGGCGTCAGCTTCGGCGCCGCAGCCGGCATCTTCGCCCTCTTCTTCTTCGACGGCGTGCCCCGAGTCCAAAGGGATATCCTGCAGAAGATCCCCTTCATCGGCTCCTTCTACAAGCACGAGGTGCCACCAGAGGACAACCCGTTTTAGGTGTCCACAATGGGAATGGCGTGGTTTCTATCTGGGAGTCGCAGGATCCTGGGGAACCAGAAAGGAAGAGACTATACTTTAAGAGGACTCGTGGTTTGAGGCATAGAATTTTGTACAGTTTGCACTCCAACCCAAGCCTTAATATGGATCATTCACCACGTCATCTCGCTAGTCAGCTTCGTAACACGCCACATATCGGCCTGGTCCAGCATCCAAAGCGTTTCCACGATACCTAATCTTGATTCTGGCCCTAATCCTTAGTCCAACATCAAGCATCGTCATCTTTGCGAAGTCCTTGCAAGATCGTCCTCGTCTTTCCCACCATCGCCCTCATTGTCGCCAATTCGCGTACCTCCTGCATCCCGTGCCTGCGGCACCATCATATCCAACCTCACACTCTCAACCCAAGCAACATACTCCCCACAAGCGGTGAACTTCGGCCGAAGTCCAACCTGTCCATTCTCACTACGAAAATCCTCGATCGCATTTATATCCACATCATGACCATTCAAGAACTCTCGTGCTGCTCGTATAGCTTCCTCACGTAGGAGATGTGCGGACAGCACTCTTGTACCATTCGTTGGCTCCGCCGTGGGAGGGTGGAAACGGGCGAGGGTTATGTAGATGCTTTGTCTACGTTGTTGTGATGCTGTTGCTTGGTCAGAAATTGGGGTGGTGATGTGCTTGTCCATCGTAGTCGTGCGGTAGTTCGGAAGGCTTCGAGGATCGTGATTCACAGCTTCAGCAGCGGGATTATGCTAGATGTCCAGATACGAAGGTGAGACCCGCTACAAGCTCCCATTGAATGGCCACACGGCTTTCTTGTTGTGACGGGCGACGAGTAGTCCAGGCATTATTCCAGGCACTGTTAGTCACTACTGCCAATACCTGTGTGCTGCTGTGTCAACCTTCACTGCCGTTCACCACTGATAAAGACAAGACTCTCAAGCATAACTCGGCCTGTAGCTATCGCCCCGAACAGACGGACACCGCGCTCTCATAGCAATAGAATCGCCACGAGGCTGCCTCGGTGCCCTCAGTCTCGGATCATCCGGTCTGGTAATCCTCGTCCGCTTCGGTCGTGGTAGCGGGTAGAAATCAATACCCCTCTTCGACGGCATGATGGGCTCCGGTTTAGCCAGTTTGGATACGTCCTCCTTTACAACATCTTCCGCTGCTGCTGCTGCTGCTGCTGCACACTCCCGCTCGAACAGAGGTGATTGCGAGGCCCTCCTGGTCGGCGATGGTGTCTGGACTTGCTCACTGCTACTAGATAAGAGGCGCTCGAGTCGGGCGTGGTCGGTGGTATCGCTTTGTGGTGTATCTGATCGGTCGATCAACATGTGTGCGGTTGGGACACGGAAGTCTGTGTCCGTTCTTGGAAGATGCTTGTGGCTTTTAGAACTTGCCGCACCTGTGTCGGTATACCGCGTGAATGACCCATCGACTAACGGTCCGTCGTAGGGTGCGCCATGCTCTATCAAAGACCAAGGTCTCTCATCGAGATGAGCACACTGTACATCGAAATCCCCCTCCTCGACACCACCAAGATCTCGTAGCTCGTATGACTGGGTCTGACACTCAGGTCTGCCGAAGCCACGTGGCAATTCGTAACCGTTATAGCTCACCACAAGCCCGTCAATACGATCGTAGAGATCATGAACCCTGTCTGCGAAATGACCATACAAGCGCTTGCTGATCTCGTGGGTATCGAAATACTGTTTGCGAGTATTGCGGGACATGTCATTATGCTGTTGTATGATCTCCTTGCGTGGAGCTGCAATGGTCAATGCTGACTGGTATACAGCCACCTGTAAGGATGCGTTCTCGATTTCCATTTCTCGCTGTTGGGCAATGGTGAGCTGTCTTTCCAGATCTCGTTCCTGCTCGAGCTCCGTTTGTCGGTCGATCGCATCGTCCCTCTCGGCTTCCATCCTATTGAGCTCTTCGTTGTACTCATCCGTACTCTGATCTTGCTGCTGTGATCGCAAGGCTAGCAGGTCGCGCAGGACTTCAGAACCACTCTCGAGGGCATCTGCTTTCTGCTGCGCAACGGCCTCACTGTCACGCAAAATAGCATTCTCCTCCTTCGCTTCGTTGAGCAATTGCTGCGAATTATTTAGGGAGCTCTTGAGCTCAGTCCTTTCGGCTTTCAATTCGTCATGCTTGGCTACCACACTCTTGAGATTTGCTGTCAGTACTTCGCGCTGTTTTTCGGAAGCCGAGAGCTGGGCCAACGAATCCTTCGATTGCTCTGTAGCCTCGTTCCATTCTTCTCGCATGATTCGTAACTCCTTCTCCAGGGAGGCGGCTTTCTCCTGTGCGTGCTCCACGCTCGCTTGCAGGATATTCGTTAGCTGATGTTGCTGCTTGCGATCCGGACTTGGAAACTGTGATCGGAGACGATCATTTTCTTCAGTCAATGCAGAGATCTGCTTGGTTGCTTTCTGTATCGCATCCTGACGTTGACTGGCTAGTGTGAGCAAGTTGGAATTGGCTTTCTCCAGCTGCTCGCATTTCTGCTGCAAAGCAATTTCTCTCGATCGTAAGGTGGCGCATAGGCTCTTCAGAGACTCGGTCTCTGACTTAGACTCCTCGATGATCTGGCTGGCAGCCGCAGTATTCGCTTCAAAGGCCAAGATCTGCTCCCGTTGCGTATTGACGCAGTCCTCGAGAGCCGCTTGCTCGTTCCCTGATCTCCGGGCCTCTTCGTAAAGGGTTGGCATGGTCGCCAGTAACTCCTGGGCATCTTCGAAAGAACGGAAGATGTAGCCAAGCCGCATTGCCAGATCCTGAGAACTGGAGTCCATGGCTATTTTGATTGTGCCGGATCTTGACGGGAGCCGCAAGCGTGCATTCCCGCGTCCGAGAAGCTGCGTCTGTGAGTGGTAACGGAGGCAAATGCAAATCTCGCAAAGATGGAATAAGAAGACATGAATGATTTCAAACCAGCAAGAGAATGTGATCTTTTGTAAGGACTGGACGTAATGAGCGGTGAGACTGCAGACGAGATCAATGAATGAATGGTGGTTGTTACAGGTACGGAAAGACGCGCCATGTCGCTATCCGCGTTGAGGTTGCAGAGGCCAATTTGATGGGCGGAGAGGAGGTCGTCGCCATCGGCTCTTCACAACCACTGTATTACAGGTGGGAGATCCTGGGATGACAATTCAATCGGCTATGAAGCACGACAAAGTAGGTGAGCCCATATGAGGTATACAGTAACAGGTAAGACAAACCTTTTCGGTATTATCCTTTGCATAACGTGTGTGTTTCGTGTCACCTATTACTAGTGCTATGTGCATGCGACCAATCCCAATCGGCTGCTGGTAAACCCTGCATATGCGGTACCGTTCTATCGTACATGAAATAGTGTTCCACTTCCTTCATTGCTCCTCGGATATATTGTGCAGGCTATCAACAGGAGGACAACGCGATGCGTGAATAGGGGACCTGACGAGCGTCTATCCATCCTCCGAAACACATCGACAGCCTTGTTGTGAGAGCACGGTCGACTTCGATCAGCTGCCAGATCAACAACGCACTCGCTCTGACAGACTGACATGACCACCATTGTTTGTAGGTCCACCTCCCAAAACATCACCCACGCATTCATCCCTCGATCGAGCACATTGTATAGTACCGCAGCGTCGAAACATATATCGCATTTCCCATTGTTGCGCTACATCCACACTTGCTTACATGGACTCCCCACCTCCAGTCCCACGAAAGGACACTCCGCCGACCGCACGCAAGATGGACATGGACTATGCCCCTGCCAGCGGCTCGAAGCGCAAGCGGCCTGACCAGGACGACACCATCTACGAGCTCCGCGACGGCAAGCTCGAGCCCGCCGGCCTGGACTCCCACACACCCAAACGAAGTCGGCAGAGCAGCACAGAAGCATCAGACACGCCCGGTAATGAACGCAGCCTTCGCCGAAAAAAGAAGGTCGGCAATCTATCCAAGGTGAATCTCCGCCATGCTGCAGAAGAGCAGAGGCTCAGCCAACAGGTGCGAGAGTCCAAGTTTCAGGAGGGTAGCTTGACCGACAGGCCGAGCGCGAAACCTCCAAGTGCTTTCACCCGTATGATCCGCACCGATAGTGGGAACATCAAGCAAGTCGACGAGCTCATGGAGGGATACAACGACAGCGAGGTGCAGCCGAGAGATGTTGTGGTGGGTCATATACCACAAGGCACTGCAGCCGATGCTCTGCGTGCATTGCAACCTCATGCGGACGATGCAGTAAGACAGGAGTCCGGTGGCTTCTTCAAATTCGGCCGTTCGCTGGCCTCCAACTTCCGTCCCGTCGCACTGTGGAATAAGATGTGGAACGAGACCAGGGAGGATCTGATCAGGCAGAACATGGAAGAGGTTGAGCGTAAACGCAAGCAGAAGGAAGAGGCAGAGGCAACATACGCGCAGATGAAGGCATCTGGACAGCTCGGCCTGAAGTCTGTCAGCAATCTTGGTTCTCGATTCTCGGAAAGCTCAACGATGCGTGACTCTGCCATTGTCATCGACAGTGCTCGTACCTCCATCGACCACAACCGAGGCCCGTCCCACGGTTCCAGTCTCCTTGCGCCGCTGAAGGAAGAAGCATTTGCAAGTAACGAAGCACCAGAGACCGCGACCAAGACGAAAGGCACCTTTCGATCACGATTCACATTTCGCAAGCCCTCCGTCTCCAATCTCAAGGAAGGACTCAAGCGCGTCAAGTCTGACTTTAATCTTGCTGCGGCTGCTGGGAACCGTGAGTCGTCTTCGTCTGTATCTCCTAGCAAGGCCGACTTCGATGGGTCGACCCTGAAACACTCTACTTCCAAATTCGACCTGAAGAAGCAGCAGAAGCTGTCGAAGCGTGTCAGTGATCTGGAGTCTAAGTTGTCGCTGGCCAGACGAGAGCTTGATGACGCGTTGATCGAAGCCACTCCCAATCCGAAGCTGAACAACAAGTACGAGCGTTTCACTCCTCAGAGCACACTGAAGCGTCCTCGATTTATTCCAGGCAAGCTGCCTAGTCTACCGAGTGAGCGTATACTGATGGCAGAGAACTATGGCTTCGGTGACGACGAGGCGTCACCTCGCTTGCCGACTGAGCCGAGTATGAAGCTTGGTATGAGTGAGCCCATGGATCTCTATGGTGACGAGACGGTCAAAGTGACGCGCATGAGGCAGTATCCCACTCGTGCAGATGCACTCTTCAACTTGACGAATGAGAAGATCAATAACATCACGATCGCTGACAAGAGTACGACTCTCGAAAGCGAAAAAGACACCATGGATCTTGACGGCCCTACCAACCAAGCAAGCACGGCGGCCACGCAGACTGATGGTACTGCGGACTATGCCGCGCTCGATGCCAAGCTCAAGGCACTCGACAGTCAGCAAAAGACCACACGCAAGATCAAGTCCAAGAAACGCAAGTCCGGCGCCGATGAAGACAGCAAGGAATGGAAGCCGAGCAAGGAGACTGACGAGAGCGCCGAGTGGGAAGGCACCCCACGCAAGAAGCGCAAGTCCACTGGCGGCGACAACAGTAGCCCGCAGTCCAAGCGTGGTCGCGGACAGCAGATCTCGCCAAAGACCAAGAAGGGTACCAACGGAATCGCCAAGCCCGCCTCGGAACAGGCCAAGCAGAATGCCGCAGAAGTCATGGAGGAGGAAGAACAGTACAGCGAAGCCGAATCCGCCAACCTCGAAGTCGGCGAGGACGACGACCTCATCCTACCCAATCGCAACAGCCTCGACTCACAAGGCCAACCACTCGACCCCGTCTACGAAGAAGAAGAAGAAACCTCCCTCATCGCTCTCAACGGCGACCCCAAGAAACCGACTGCCACCGCCACCCCGGCACGCTTCGCCCGCGTCAATGGTCTTTCGCGCTCCGGGAGCCCACATAAGCGCAATGAAACCTATTACCGTGGTCCGGAGGAGACGATGATCACGCGTGCTGCTGAGGCTGCGTGGGAACATCGTGCTGCTAATCACCTTGCTGCAGCTAATGGGAACGTGAACGGGAACGATGATGGTGCTTTGCTCACCCCTGGCATGAGCAGTTTGTCTAGTATGGAGGAAGCGGTTGAGGTCGATCCAGCTAAATTCAAGGTCACGAAGACGACGGTTCGGGTCAATGTTGATAAGAAGAAGGAGGACTTTCAGTGGCCGGAGGATGTCTTTTAGGCCAGTGTCGTGATGGGTACTTCCGGCTCTAGAGCGTTCTGAGACAGCGTTCAGCGTCCAGCATGCATATCATGAGGTAGGATGGCAAAATGGGCGTCCATGAAAATTTGCGGATCCGGGGCGAGGTTGGTCGGAGGATGGAGTCTTGCACATATTGTGGATGCTGTACACATTTCCAGCAAGGAGCAGGAAGAGAGTGCTCGGTGCACATAGTGCGGGAGCAACGTAGTCACGCCATGCTGTAACTAGGCGCAGAGTTCTACATAGTGTGCAGTAATGTCCTTATCACTATCTCACCCACACATCTCAGCTACGGTATCTGTTCCAGTATCTCACTGGCGTCTTGACACACGTTTGCTGCTGGAACGCTGTACACGAAGACCCGCAAAGCCAAGCCTCCTTAGTATGGGCGTCCGAGCGAATCAAGCGGCTCCGGCCTTGCGCTGAGCGACGTCCGGATTGAAGAAAGCGAATGCGAGCATGTACGTCCGACATCACGGCTTTCAGAGACATACGTGCGAGAAAGTGAGCGATCTGGGAGTGCAGTGAAACCTGGCCGAGAAGATGTAGGACATCATATATAAGATGCTAGGTCCCACGAGGGTTGTGAAGTATAACATTTCGACGACATCGATCTCGCGGCAGCACATGGTCAACATCTTCGACTCGCCCAAGCCAAGCACACCGACGACTCGGTATACACAACCTCCATACCACAACTCTACGAACCCTATTCCCTTCACACTCTCAACATGACGATCCGCATCACCATCTTCATCAAGAAACTCCCCACAGTCTCCATCGAGCACTTCCATAAATACTGGGTCAGTCGCAGGACCAGTCCAACCATCCGAAAGACCATTCGAGTGATGTGAGCTGACATCCAAAATAGTCCGAAGAGCACCCCAAGATCTTTCTCTCGGTGCCCATCGTCCAGAAGAACCTCACGCACTACCAACAATTCCACACCGACCCCAACATCTCGGCTGAGCTACGCAAGATGGGTCTGCCGATTGCTGAATACGATGGTGGTGCGGAGTAAGTAACGCAGGTGTCGTGAAGGTGCATAGTACAAGCGCCCGCTAATCGTTCTGTCCAGATTCTTCGCCAACAGCGTCGAAGATGCCATGGCCGTATTCCAAGATCCAGAATACCATCGCGTAGTCGTCCCGGACGAAATGACCTTCCTCGATCGCGATGCAGCTAGCATGATGATTGGGACTACGGAAGTCAAATGGGAGGACGGCAAGCCAGCTGAGGGCATCAAGGTCGATCTTGTGCAATAGAGCCAGCACAGCATCAGACGACGTAGTTGAGCACCAACTGAAGGAATTTTTTAACCCGCCACTCTCCTCGCGCCAGGCATCCGCTTCTTCTCCTTCTGACTCTCCTTTAACCTCCTCTTGTCCATAACCTTCTCCCGCTCCTTCCCCTTCATCCCCTTGAACTTCTCCACCAACGCCCGTTCTTTAATCTCCTTCTTCTTAAGATGATAAGGCGTCTTACCCTGCTCCACCTTCTCCCTCTCCTCCTTCCGATGCGCCCGCACCACATCCTGCTCTCGCTCGCGAGTAGCCTTGGCTTTGAGCTTATTCTCCATACTGTTGATCTTGCGCCGGAGTGCCACCTTGTCGTCTTCTGATTGCGACTTCTTCATCGCGGTACGGAGCTCGGCGATTTCGTCCTTTTGGTAGTCGTCTAGGAAGCCGTAGGCTTTCTCGCTGTTGCCGGGATGTAGAGAGTGGTTGTTGAAAGCGTCGAAGCGTGGGTCTCGGATGGCTCGTTTGGGGACTTCGATAACGTTTCGCTTGCGCGTGACTTGGTGTCGTGATGTCTGCTCGGCTGGTGCGTGCTTGGATGATCGGCTCTTGGTCGCTGCACCGTCTTCGGAGGGCGCAGAGTCGCTATCTGAGTCCTCATCGTCGCTTGCATCTGCATCGTCGTGCTGTCTGGCGGGTCTTTGCTGCTTTTCTGACGAGACCTTTGACTTCTGCTCCTTGATTTGACGAAGTCGTTTTCGCAGTGCCTCTAGCTTGTCATCATGCTCAGGTATCTCGTCTGATCCACGTTTCCGCTTCTGCGAGAGGGTCTCTTGGGCCTTTCTGAGCACACCAAACGAGACATTGCTGATCTGTTGCTGCACGTCGACGCCGTTCACCGAATCGTCTTCACCTTCCAGATCGCTTCCATCACCGGCGGCGCCTTCGCCCTGCTCACTACCACTACCCAGGTCATCATCATCCTCGTCCAAATTATCCTCTGGCAGCTCATTCTCCACATCGTCATCATCTTCGTCCTCCACCCGACTCCGCACACGGACGTTCCGCTCTAGTAGTCTCGCCGGCGCCATACTGTCCGGCTTTGACACGACCACCAGCGTGGAATGTGTACCAGAAAAATGTATGAAGTAGCTCACAAAAGAGTTCGCATGCACAGCAGCTCCATTCACTTATCATTTTCGGATCTCGGAAGTGGCTGCATTGGTGGCCGCTGAGCCGCTGACAAGAATATCACGGCACGAACTCTACACTCCGCAACATCGTGGAGGTGAATAATGACGTTTCAGCAGCACAACAATTTGCAACCACTCATCTGATCAAGGAATCAAATTCTGCCAGCCACGGAACAGGACAAGACGTTGACAATCACAGGTTTCGAAGCTTGGCAAGATTGCACGCTATCCTCACACAATTCTAGATCTAGCACTGCCTACACTGTTCCGCTCGGATTTGGCTCCCTTCATGGGCCCGGTGATAGCTCAAGATTCCATATTTACTTTACGTTGTGGCGTAGACAACGAGTCTCAAGGCGACACATAATAGCTTGGCATGCAGCCATACGTGGAGATGCTGATGTGGGCTGGGCGAGGCGGGATGACTCAACTGTGTACAGCGCTGCACATGTCCTCCGATAGGTCTGCGAGCAGTGCAATGTTCAAGTGTGGCGCACAGATCTGTGTCCTCGTCTCTGATACGTCTTACTGCCTACAACTCCTCCTCAGTCATGCTCCATGAACGTCTCGCCCAATTCAAAATCGCTCTCATCCTCATCCTCCCTGGCTAAATAGGACGGCATGGTCGGTATACCAGCCCGGGCTATGGCACCGAGAGTCACGCAAGCCGCAACAGCTGGTGGGCTCTTTGGCTCGAACATTTTCTGCAGCTGGATCTCTAGCAAAGCAAGCAACACCCTCAACGTGTAGTTCGCATCATTTCCGGCGCAATGCAGTTGATCTGCCGCTCCTGCGAGATTGCGGTTTAAGGAGATGCCTAGGCGCATGACGAGCCGTTCAAGCGAGAATGATCGACCCAAGACGTCCGCAGCCAGCTTAAGCGTGTCGATCGCGCCGACAACCATGGGCTGAGAGTGGAGCGGAAGTCCCAGGTCTTGCATACATCGTAGCTCGTTGCCGATCCCATGACCGACGAGTATGACGCGACGGACTCCAGACATGCCCGGCAGCGTCTCCGGGATAGTAAGGCTGTCCACGATAAGATCACGTATACACTCCTTTCCCAAGCGTTGCGAGTCGCCGAAAAGGAACTTCCTTCGGCTACAATGTTTGCTGAAGATATAATTCAAGCTGTGGAGCGTGGGCAGGTGATCTCCTGCTTGGAACAGATCTCGTGTGTCCAACGTGATGACGCCGAACTCCTTGATACCGCATTCGTACCAAGTAGTACTCTCGAAGTCGATCGAGACCAAGACTGGATCTTCGTGGGCTCCATTTGCGAGGTAAGGGTCGGGCTCATTCGCTGCAGCCAAACGGCGTTGAAGCCACTCTAGGATTGCGCACCGTCCTTTAGCATCCCAAAATTGGCACATCATTCTTCTTTCGTCCTTGCGAAGGAGCGCCATGCTATTTTTTTGACAGGCAAGGATCCTCGAGTCTGTTGGTGCCTGTGCTGGTTGGTAGGTGTCATAGTAGGCCTTTCTTTCATTCCCATACTTCTCCCTAAGCATGGATCTCAACGCGCCACGGTACCAGACCTGCTTGTAATGGTAGAATGTGACCGTGTGAGGCGGTACTAGGTGCGCCTCTTCCATTACGAACGAAGGCATGATGTTCTTAGATGTTTGAGAAGTGATGTTGATCTATAAAGAATAGTGGCAGGAAAGAGAATGAGTCTACTGCTGAGGATGGTTATGCTAAGATGCTTGGAAGTCAGTCATTCGAGAGGCTCGCAAGCCACACAAATTTATCTGCGACCAGTGTGCTGCTACACGGATCTGAGGACAACTTCCACACCGGCTGACACGCACGAAGCTGTTAGCGCCGGGTGCGAACCTTAAGGCAGCCCATCATGGTCATCTGAAATGGTAAGCGATAATTCGATCGTTCGTTATGACTTGCTTCTGTAAAATGCATATAGCCAGCTCTAATGAAAGTCAGGAACTTTTGTGCACAGAATTGCAGCATCTGCTGCTGGACGGGGCGTTTGCGGCGCTCCTGAGAGAGAGTATAGATTGCATCCCACAGGCATTACTTGCATGAACGGCAATAAGTTGCTGCTTGTATGGACAGCGAAACCTGTTGTGGCGGAGTGGTTAACGCGCTTCACTCAGGCTCCTCTCTCATTCGAAACATTCGTTTAGACAATGTCACTCGTTGACTGGCCGGAGATCGTAGGACTCCCAGTTCCTTCAGGATCGTAAGTGCGAATCCCTCCAACGGGGGCTCACCATACACTTTTTGCTAAGTGTACTGATCAATTGTTGTTGCATCTGTGAAGTCACCACAGGCACTGGGCCAGTCTTGCGTGGTAAAGCAATATAGACAGATTTTGTCTTTCCACACCTGTCACAACCGAGAGCCCTGCGCGTGTTTCGAAGCACATTCTGACTTCTCTCCGATAGTCTTGCTCATGCTCAGCAGAGACGAGAGCTTTCCCGTCATGAGCTGGGCCGGGCTCTGTGCACGTCATTCAGTGGCAATTTCCGAGGGGCATGAGCTTGTAGCGTCCCGTCTACCGTCCATCGCGCTGCCATACATGCTCTTTCTCGCTCTTGGAAGTTATTTTAGTTTCTGAGGCTGTTGTCCACCAGGCTGGCATGCAAGCAAGTCTGCATGCTACTGGCATGATCTTTGGTGGCCTTACACAAAGAGTGGCCGACGACGACAGCTCAAACTGTACGACACAACAACGACCAACCAGTGGCTATTGAGGTAGCGAAGTCGGGTGTTTCTGACGGGCGACCATGTGGCCTACGACAATCCTTTGGCTCCGCCCAGCGCGGGTTCGAGAATGTGCCGCCAGCATGCAACTTCATCCTTTCGATGATCCTGGGGTCCATGTTTCTTGATTCTCGCAAGCCTCGTCAAATACGGCCCGCCTAATGAGACCTCTATGTGATGCCTGTTTACCTGGAGTTCGATAGCTCCCGACTGGCAGAGCATGCTAATCTCAGCAGAACACAATGACTCCCCCGTCACATCGGACCTCCTAGCAGGGACAGACACATATGGTGGTAGATGAGAATGTACACTATGGCTTACTTGCATGTAGCCGCAGTGCCAACGTGCTATCTCCAACACATAAGAGCTTGGAGAGTATCCGTTGCATTGCTACCTAGCGTAGCCTATACAAATCGACCGCCAGCACAGAAGTGCGGCGCCGTTCACCACGTCCTCCTGTGCCCTTCCCTCCCAACACGACACACGCGGCTTCGTGAGGTAGAGAAGATCTGCGACACTTGACGCCGTCGTGCTGGAGAGCTATGGTGGCGCTGCCCACGCAGTTCCATAACAGCTGCGCATATCTCTATTCTTCGGTGATGTGTTTCGCTCGCGCTGGTTCGGGGTGATGTTTGTGGTATGAGCTGCTCTAAATACGAAGGCCTCGACGGCAGACGTGCGGTCAACTCGAGCCCCACGCCGCAGGACCACAATTATTGGGGGCCGAAGCCTGAACCGACCCATTCGGATCGAACACATGATGAGGAATACCACCGGCCACTACCAGAGGAAGGCGCGACTGACAGGAGGAGTTTTACATATTTAAGTGCGTGGAACGATACTTGAGCAGTATTGACATCTGCTTGCTCAGTGAAAGGTTCCAGAAATCTGTGACAATAGTTATGTCGCAGGCAGTGCATTTTCACACCTTTGAGCTTGTCCCAGCGATGACGCCAGAATCACGAAGCGAGTATTCACCGGAGGATCGAGCGATGATGTCTCCCGCGATACATCCATCGACTTACACAACTCCCATGCTCTTAGTCTTCTGTAGACTCTTGACATGATATATAAACCGTTACTCACACAGCATCTGTTGTAGTCACTGATCCACTTTTCGTCACATATCTTACTTTCTAGTGTGACATCCGCAAGCGGACCAGATGAAGATCTTGACACCCCAGGAAGAGAAAGAGCATTACAAGTATGCAAGCACGGGGTAAAGTAGTTGGCAGTATGAAGCGAGTACTAACCATTTCACAGTGCCACAATCACAGGAGGCATCGGAGGCGGTGCGATAGGGACAGCAGTAGGCGCATTGGGTGTCTACGCAGCAACAGCGAGATACCCAGCCTTCAGATCCTTATCAGTACCATTCCAAGCTTTCTTGGTCACCAGCACAGGCACATTCGCAGGTACGTAAAGGGCTGCATGGTTGAACAAGATCTAGCAGCAGCTAACAATACGGCTCAGCCATCATCTCCGCCGACACTTACTCCCGCAGCTACGAACGAAGTCGCCATCCCGAGAAGAACTATGTCGACGACGAAGAGAAGCTCCGCGCGCAAGCCCAGTCCCAAAAGTCCACCCAGCAACGAACAATGGAATGGCTGTCCGAAAACCGCTACGGCGTCGTCTTCGGCTCATGGGTAGCCTCAATGGGCACAGCTCTGGGCCTTGTAGGACGAAACCCCTACCTCACGACCCAACAAAAGCTCGTCCAAGCCCGTGTCTACGCCCAAGGCCTCACGATCGCCGTCGTCATCATCTCCCTCGCCTTCGAAGGCACGGACTCCGCAACCGGCCGAGGACGATGGGAAACGATCAAAGTCCTGGATCCAGACGACCCAACGCATAAGAATATGATTGAGAAGCAGATCCATCATGAACGTTACGCGGGCGAGGATCAATGGCGGGACATGGTTGCCGCGGAGGAGGAGAGGATCAAGGACCGGGAGGAGGCGGTGAAGCAGGATCAGGAGAGGCAGCAGAAGAAGGGGAAGAAGAATGTGCATCCGGAGAAGCATGATGCGAAGCATGCGACGCAGGGAAAGCCGGAGGAGGCGAAGGCGAAAGGGGTCAACGCGCCGTGATATGAGTGGAAGATTGTACAGGGCGACGAGGGCCATGGCTGGAGCGTGCATGAAAATTCCTTGTGAGATATGTAACATATGCGTGGCGTCCAGGCGTATAAATCACCCACTTTTTACCCCTTCCGACTCCTCCAAACAAGATCGACATCACGCGGACACCAGCATCCGCCCATCCACCAGATCGAAATGCTCCGTGCCCTTCTTGGCAACGCAGTCAGCCCAGTCCTGGAGAATGTTCCCCGCCGCACGAGACGCGGCAACCTCTACGCTCCGCCCATTATGTGCAGGCCCGTCCGGAAAGCTGACCTGGCGCAGGTGAAAGGATTTCGCCGCCAAGGGTTCGACTTCTCCTCGCCATACCGCCAGTCGGCTGTCCTCGATATGGTCGCCATCGGTGAAGTAGAACTCGATCCCAATGCGCTGAGTAGACCTGATGGAAGCCCGCCAGGCATCGGTAAGTGAGCGTAAGAAAGCACGGAGATGGGTCGCATTGAGATCCGTGACTTTCGGTTTTGATGCTCCCGCTCGTATTGTAGAAAATGTGATCTGCGTCCGGCTTCACCCAGCTCGTCGTGTATGGTCTCGCAGACACCCACAGGAGGCGGCGTGCTGATGGTGAACGGACAGATGGCGGTACTGTAGTCTTCGAGGATCTCAATGCACGGCTCTGGTTTCCTCCAGAATGATTGAGATCGTAGATGATTTCGCAGGGTTTCGCGCGGCAGAAGCGATGAGGTGATATTTCGACGGCATCCCGAGCGGTACCAAGAGGCCAAGGTGACTGGTGGTGATGGTCGTCGTCGATAAGGTGGAGTTGAAAATGCGTTTTGCCCGTGGGAATTTGCTGGTCACGACCCTTCCCTTGATTTTGGGAAGTGTTACTGGGACCAGGGTGGTCCGCAGCCAGTGAAGTTGAACTGCCTGTGTGTACGACTAATGCTGATGAAGTCGAGACTAAAGCAGCATTCCGCGAAGGAGCGCTTGATGCCGCACCTCACATCAAGCTTTATCGCCAGGATAGGAAGGAACGATCAGCCACGACTGTACCTGGTGTGAAGGTGTCTGCTGTTGGCGTTCCTCCATCTCTTTCATTGAATCAAGATCAAGTCACCCATCAGTCATGCAAGGTAGCCTGCGCTGCCGTCCGAGGCACCTTCGAAGATAGCCAAGATACGGAACATCTCCAAAGAGGGCACAGACTTCATGAAGCTTGTGCCTTGGGCAAGTAAGACGCCCTCAGGATGTCATTTGTGTGGACACAGTTTGCGTGCTCCCCGGCTGTGAGCAGGGACTATGCGGGAAAAGAAGTTGGGACGAAGTATACGAAGAACAGCCAACCTCACGTGCTAGCTCGCTCGCCACGGAAAGGCCTCCCATACCAGAGTCAATCCCTAGATCCCACACCTCATCATTACTGGAAACGCCGAACCTACACGACGGCCCACCTCCCAAGGCAGAAGTCTGTTGCCCTTCCTTATCATAGCGCCCGCTCAAATGCCCAGACCAACCCACTTCACTCACTCACACAAGCCCCCTCCCCGCTTTCCCACCCCTAAAAGCCCCTTCCCCTCACTTAACTCACCCCGTTTCCCCCCCCCAAAAATCACGAATGGAACAAATCCCAAGCCTTCTCACACAACCTCAAAAACTCCTCCCGCTTCTCCCGCCCACTCATCCCGCGCCTCCAATCCTCCTCCCCCTCAATCTCCCTCTCTCTCTCCTCCACTCCACTCCCAGCCTCATACCCAGGTCCAAAAGCCGCCCGCTTCGCCTCCGACCTATTATGAAATTCAGACGGCGAACTCCCATTATCGCGTTCGTACTCATCCCTTCCTCTTCGCCGGCCATTCATCGAGGAGGTGCGGGCGAGGATATCGGGTCGTGAGACGTCGGCCGAGGGCTGTAATGTCAGAGAGGAAGATGGTGGGTGTTGTTGGGGGGCACCGGGTGCGGATTGTTGGTGCTGATTTTGATGTAGATGTTGATGTTGATGTTGATGCTGGCCTGGTCGAGGCATAGGCGAAGGTGGAGTGGGTGGTTGAGCGCCACCGTAGTGCACGAGTTTGGGCATTAGATCTTCCCGCCCTCCTGATAAGCCTCGGACTGCTTCGTCCGCGGATGTAAATTCCCGCTCTCGGCTGCTTAGGGGAGCGGCGTGCTGGTGGTGGGAGTGGTGTGGTGGCGGGAAACCGGGTGATGGTACGGGGGGTGGGATGTTGGAATGGGAGGAGTGCTGTGGTGACTGGCCCGGGTATCGAGGCGCATCGAGTCGGTCGTTGGCGAAGACGTCGGCGATGGGTGGTAATCTATTATTCGTCTGAGTGGCTGGGACGTGGTGGATGTGGCTCGTCTGGCTGAGTCCGCTTGGACCGTGCTGGACATGTCGACTGAAAGGATGCTCGCCTGGCCGGAGTCCTGTAAACGTCTGATGCATCGGTGCGGATTGTATTACTCGGTCGTTGGCGAATTGTGCGGCTGAGGGTGCACTGATGGACAGGCCAGGTGGTGGCCCTTTCCTTCGTGATGTAGTCGGTGTTCGCATAGGCACGCCGAAGAACGTATTATCCTGTTGTATCGGACGCTCTGCGCTGGCCTCATGTGCACTACCCGGCTTCTGCCCCTTCTGCCTCGCCTCGATAATCTGTCTTTGCTGATCACGCACATCCAGACTTCGCTGTAGCTGCTCCCTCATCGCCGGGTCATGTGTTGCGAAACCCGGTGACAGACATGCCAAACCCACATCTTGTATCGCCAAGCCAGCCGAGTCTCGAGAAGTCAGCGGGCCCGAGGGTCGTGCTGTCTGTGGTCCTCGAGCGTTTGCCATACTCGACGACAGGTCCAGCCTCTTCGGCCGTGGGCGAGAGGTCTGCATTGCGGGCGAACCTGGCTCTTTCTTCACTTTGATCATGGGTGGTGGGCCCGTCCGAAGTCTGGTACGGGTAGCAGTCAGCGAAAAGCGAAGTCAAATCTTGAACGTCCCATAGTATATAGTAGATACATACGAATTAGGTGACGTCTTGCCAGTCGAAGAGGCTCGTTCAGCCGGTGCTGTGTTCGCTCCCGAGCCTGGCGAACCATTACTGCGGGCTCGTTTGGCAGCAGGCTCGCTTGTCGGGATGGCCGATACACTGCTGGACGAAGGGGCTATGGCAGCAAACTCCCTCGGAGATACATGACGGTCGAGATTGGGCGCCAGGGAACTGCTCGTCACAGCGGGTGCAACAGCGACAGCAGACATTGTTAATTGTGTCGAGCAGAGTTGAGTAGTAGGGTAGATAGTGTAGTTGAAGGACGGCTAGGTATCCGAAGGTAGCCTCTGGGCTACTGCACGTCCTCGATGATCTGCCCGTTTCGTAGCGAGAGAGGCGGAGGAATTCGACGTATTAGGCCGGTCGTTGTCAGATAGATCAGTCGAACGTACACTGGCGATGTTGTGCAGTCTGCTGTCAGTGCAGTGCAGTGCAGTGCAGTCCCGTCAACGCAGGTCGTGTGCGTGAGCAAGAGAAATCGAGGCCAGAAGAACAAAGGTCTCATGAAACGACAGGAAAACAATCAACGACTCGGCCATGCACAGACTCAACGTGAGACAGAAGGAAAAAGGCAGGGGGGTTATGGGAGTTAATCAGGGGTCCGCGAGCCTTCTTCACCCAAGAAAAGAGCAGGATTTCCCACAAACCTCACACACTTCACTCACTTCTTCTCGTCGCTGGCCTGCCTCTTCCGGCTTGCCCAGTCCTCGTCCGTTTCCGCCGTGAAACGATCAACCCGGCCCTGAGCCAATCAATCTGCTTTGAGGCTGCGGCGCAGTGGACCAGCTTCGCTTGTTTCAGACATGCATGCGACAGAACTTGTACGCGATCGCCCACGCCGGCCGTCTCGCAGACAGCGTGGGGTAGCTACAGTATCATTGCAGACACACGCATTCATCAGTAGTCTGCACCATCAGCTGGAGATACTTTCCCTCAGCCAGACACCATCTGCAGCATCTCCTAATCACCGGACTCTGACACGAACAGATTCTGGGCACATGAAAAGCTGCCAACGCGCGACCACCAATCGATTCGTCTCCATGAAACCGAACTATTGGACACTAGCGCAGGATCGACAGCTACTGCAAACGGTTGCTCCAGCGGGTCCAACGAAAGTCCTTGGCACTGCAGGTAACATCTGTCCCTCCTCATCAAAACTACATACAAATGCGACACTTGCAATATCGAGTAGGAGATGAGCCCGGCGATCAATTGCTTCGTGTGTTGGAGATAGAACGTACTGTGCCGTCGAGGAGAAAGGGAGCGACATACGAAGATCCATTTATTATTGAACGTCTGACGCAACACGAATACGGATAACATGCTGGCAAGCGCCGTACTGCTGCTCTCCCAGTGGCACGGCTTTCGATAGTGCAACAACTGCATGTACAGAAGTACAGAGTGATTGTGGAAAAAGAAGAAGAAGCTGCGCGTGCTTGTCGTGCGTGTGTTGGTGGCACGTCCCCAGCAGCAGCGCTTGTATTGCTCATGACATTGGCCGGCCTTTCGTCGTCATTCACGACGTGTACGAGGTGTATGTAGTCAGCAGGGTAGCGTGGTTGGCAACGCCTACAGATATAGTAGGTACCCTATACATTTATCTCAACGACCATGCATCGATAGTAGGTACGTACTTTAGCAAAACCTAAACGTACATGACAGCCACGTGACGCACGTCCTCTTCGCATCGATAAAGGGACGTCACAGATCTCACGTCCTTGTCCTAGTAATGCATGTACTGTAGATACATAGCACACGCACGAGAAGGCGAAAGTAAGGGGAGATATTCACAAATGAGATCGAATACTACAGATTCAATCAGCTACGAAGGCATATTATTGACTACTATCTGCCAGCAAAGCCGAAGAGCAAGTACGTCCGTTTCCAGTACTCATTAGCACTCTTCGTGAGACGCTCACGAGCGGAGTGCTCGAGGTCTAGATGCGTGAAGAGCTCCGAGGCTTGGTTATGCAAGGACTCCTTTTTCTCTTCATTCTTCTGGGATGTTGTCTCTGGACGGTGCAAGATCCGGCCTATGTACAGGATGTCGAAGAGGGATTGTATTTGGTCTTCTCGCGAGCGAACGGACTGCTCATCATTCGTCTCTGTTGCCTCGACGCCCGCGGCTTTGGTTTCATGGTCCACAGTCGTCGTAACACCTCCGTTGCTACTGAGTTCTTCCTCGTAAGCGTGTCCGTTCTTCGTCGTCGTAGGCAGACTGGTTCTGGGTGGTAGAGCATCGCCGAGTGATATAGCCAGCTCCTTATCTAAATGCCTCTTCAGAGCATCGACAGCTCGCGCACTCCACAAATCATGCCCAACATCTGCCATGCTCCCGTGCAGATTCGTCAGAACCTTGAAAGCCGTAGGCGATATCTGCACAGGCAAGACTGGTGATCCGTCCCACAGTGTAGTCGCTACGTTATGATGTCTGCCGTGCTCAGACGACCACAGCGCCAAAGCCTCCTTCGACACTTGAACAGCCAACGCGTGATGAAGGGAGGAGATGAGCTGGGCTGTTCCCTCATCATCTCCCACATCGACATCGACAAGGTCATGCAGAGCACTCTCTCGCCTCTTCAGCTCACGCAGAGCTCTCAGAATCGTGGCCGGATCATCAACCGACTGCGCCGCATCACATATCCCATCGTACAACTTCTTCAGAACTTCCCCGACACCTTTCCGCAGTTGAGCCAGCAGCTTATCAGGATCGTCCTTGTTGAGTTCGTCAACAAGAGCATCGCTATCCTCGAGGTCATCCAGATCGACGTCGAGCTCGCTATGCCACCTCACAGTCCGTAGCTGCTGCACACTCTGCACCAACGCCTCTATATCCTCCACCCAGCCGTCTAGTTTTCGGCATATTACCTGCAGCTCATGGCCACGCCCGTGCTGCTTGGCAAGGATGGCAGTGCGGAACGATTTCGCACCAGCATGCAGATCGAAGTCCTGTGATGCAAGATTCCATATATCGGATGTCGCTTGGTGAGATGCTGAATCGTTGCGGAGACCGCTGAACGAGTCACTACCAGCATGGACTGTGCGCTTCGCGATCTCTCCAAGTCTGCGCCGTGTAACAGCCGCGACCTCTCGGATGGTATCGGAAACATGCTCATCGTTATGTAAACTGGCCATGGCCATATATCGCAGAACAACAGCTCGCCGTACCTCCACGACTGCACTAAAGTCCTTCTGAACGTCGATACAGGTCGTGACTGCGGTCAAGAGCATCTTCTGCGCTTCCATCGACCATGACTTCAATGCCGCCTGCACTTCAGAGGTAGCAAGAGACTCGTGTCGGAGCCAGGGCGTGAAACTCTGCACTTCCTCTGCCACCCAATCACCGTATAAATCGATGTTGAGTTCCGTCAGAGCGGTAATCTGCGGATCACGAAGTAACGGGCCTTTCGATAAGCGAGCCACGGCTTCCATAAAAGCTCGTGGGAAGACAGCTCGGCTACTTTCTAGCGTCTGCTTGTAGAAGTCCAACACTTCCAGTATAGCAGATTTTGACGTGTTCTCGCCTTCAGCCTCTGACTCAATGCGTTCAAGGTGGATGTTCAGGAAATGGCGCAGCACATCCTTAGCACTCGAGCTGGTAACCAAAGCATAAGCCGCCAACGACTGAGCCAGCCCATCATTCCCAACCGTCGAAGTCTTCAGCAACGACCGATCAATATAAGCCACCAACCTCTTCCTCAACAACCCCAATCTCCGTCTCAGCTCCTCCAAAACAGCAGGCTTCTCCCCGCCCTCCTCCACACTCTTACACAAAAGCCTCCCCAAAACCAGCACCTTCGCAACCACCAATGCCTCCCCCCCACCCCGTCGCATAATCCTCCTCGCGACCACCAAACAACTCTGCAACACCTTCGTCTGCGCCACCGCCCTCAATCCCCCCCTCTCCCTCTCCCTCCCCTCCCTCAATCCAACTCCCCTCAACCTCCCAAAATTCACCCCAATCCTCTCAATCCTCCCCCCATCACACCTCCTCCCCACCTCCCCCAACTCCCCCTCAACCCCCCTCATCTGCCCATCCATCTCAATAATCCTCTCCGCCGTCCCCAATAAATCCCGATAACTGGCTCCAACCAGCGTCCGCAACTTCTGCCGGTTCTCCTCGATATTTCGTCGGAGCTGGAGCTCCATTTTACGGACGATGGGGAGGGGGTATTGGAAGGCATTTTCCCAGGTGTCTAGGGTGCGAGGGTCCGGGGGCTGCTGACCGGCCATTGCTGGCTGCGGCTGCAAGAGAGAGAGAGAGAAAAGGTGATGGAGTTTGGGGTCGTGGATGGTTGAAGTTCGAGGTTCGGGAATGCCAAGCTTTCGTAGGGCTGAACAGGCATAGACGCCATGAGAATGACAAAAGGATACATACACATTGATATGCAAGAACTGTAGATAATCTATACACTACTCTTCCTTCTTCTTCTTCTTCTCCTTCTCCCCCTCCTCCCCCTCCTCCTCCTGATCCTGCGCAGTCCCCGGCCACCCAAAAACATCATTGACACTCAAAATCGACCACCTAACCCCCACGAGCGCCACCCCTATCCCCACCACCTCCACGAGCAAAAGCACAGTAATTGCCATCAACATCCTCGGCATAAACACACGATACAGCATCAAATGCCGTCTCAACCACGCACACTCCACCACCGTCGCCACAGCAACGGCAGCGTAGAATAAGAGATGCGTCGCCATCGCCCCCGCCACCCTGCCCAGCAGCCCAGGTTGTTTGGGGGGAACTTTCCAGACTGAAATCGCGGGGACGGCCATGGCGCATAATATCTGTGCGCCGAAAGTGTTTAGGGCGACGAGGAGTGGACTCCAGGGATATCGCACGCTTCGGAGCGGGATAAAGGCACTTTCCCATTGGATCGTGGCGAGTGCGGCCTGATGACCCGTTTTGAAGAAGTAGAAGCACCCCATCAAAGCCAAGAGGGTCGGTCCCAAGGGTGAGTGGCGTAGATCATTGGCATCGATGATTTCGAGGAGGTTGACGATGGAGATCATGCATAAGGCCAAAGCGCCCTGGCCCATGGGTTTCTGCATGAGCTGGAGAGCTAGGATCCATGCGCAGGGGAGGAGAAGGTATCGCGAGCCGTGGGTGTTCGCATAGCCTAGGATGATGATTTTCTTCCGTGGTTTGGCTGTCGTCGTTGGCATGGGTGTGAAGATGCCTCCGTCTTCTTGGAGGACATCGTCTGGAAGTGAGACTTCCGGAGCGGGATCCGTCGCTTCCGTTTCCTCGACAGAGATCAGTGGGCCAGCGATGAGGTACGTGCTATAGCCTGCCGCGAAAGCGAGACCCAAAGTGAGTTGCGCGACCACCACCCTCCATGTCCGCAGGTCTGATTTGGAGATGGAGGAGAACCACTCGCCATCGTCCGCAGCGTCCATGATCCAGTATACAGCCACTAATCCCAAACCAATGCGCATCGCATAGCGGATCCATAGCACCCCCATCCCCTGATAATTCTTCGTCCGCTTGTAGGATAGTGAGATGGCCGAAGGCAGAACAGCAAAGACCAAGAAAGGAATCGCCAGCTGCCAACCCGCCGAAGTCGACGAAGTCGCCGAAGCATAATACGAAGACCTGCAATCCGGCATCTGCTCCTCCCGACAAAGCCTCGACATCGAGCTCAGCCTTGTCGCAAGAAGGAAAGATACAGCGTTAGCAGCCCCAAACACCCTATCCTCCTTGTATTCCTGACCCAGCGAGCTCCCCAGCATCAGCACGCCAAAAGTAGTAAGGATGAAAAGTAACTGCTCGTCCTCCCAGATTGTGAAGGAGTTGGCTGCGAAACCACCGCATAGCAACGTCGTGACAAGGAAGCACAGCCCACCCCAAAATGTTCTGGGTAATGGCACACTTAAGATCTTCCTCGCAGGCCAGAGTCCCGTCAACGTAGCCAGTATACCTCCCGCCGCGGCGCCAAAAGCAGAAATCTGTGTGAAGGAGAGCGCGGGTATCAAACCCACTGCTGCCCCAGCCACTCCACCTACTGCCGTGCCTGCTGCCCCGAAGCTGAGTAGCAGTGGTGTGATGGTCGCGCGATCGGCACGGATACCTTGAGCATAGATCGCGAGAACCACAAGAGTCCCGATGAGCACCGAGATTCCCATGCCCATGCTGATCAAGTCAAAACGAGCCCAGAGGCCGCGGCAGATGCGTAGATTCTCTTCCGCGTACGCCACAAAGGCATCCGAGACCGTGCGCAGGTCTTGCGATTTTGTCGTACCCCTAAGTCTTTGGTAAGTGGAATGCGCCGCCTGCCACAACGTCGCGGTGGTGGAAGTGGCCGACTCGTCGAGACCTCGAGCTTGTGCATATCGACCTTGGTACTGGTGGATTTGCGCCGCAGTAAGACGATTGACTTCCGCCAATTTCCCGTAGTCACCTCGAGGGCCGAGAAATGCTTCGGCGATAGGTCGTCCGAGATTATTAAATGGCACGGGTAAACCAAGCAAGTACGCCAAAGTAGGCACCAGATCGATCTGTCCCACCGCTCGCTCCTTGGCCGTGAGTGGAGGCGCGGCGGGCTCATTCCCATGATGCCCAAAGACGCCACGTTTGGAATACATCCACAACGCAGCCTCGATCTCATCGTCCGACTCCCCCCCATGATCCCCCTTGACATCCATCCCATGATCGCCCATGACGACGAGTAAAGTCTCCTCATCCAGCTTGTCAATCATCCTCCGAAACACCCCATCCATCTGCTTCAATTTATCTGTCATAGCGGGATGATCAGGCCCATAGCGATGACCCGCATGATCCACACCCAGATAATGCCCAAAGATGACATCCCACCTCCCCCGCATATCCGGCTCCAGTAAGGGGAAGAGATGTGTATTCACCCCATTATCCACCGTGTGCAAATCCCAGACATTGAACGAGTCAAAGGGCTTTGTCAAGTTCGGCTCGAAGTAGCCCGGAAACAGAGAATGCCATGTATCGTCTCCGATATGCACCACCTTCTTGCCTGCCTTGAACAGCTGCTCGACCAGATTATCCTCATCTATAGCCGTCCCTGCAAAGTTCGATCCGGCGTCGATCAGGACTGGTAGGGTCCCTGTCGTCAACCCCTTTAACCGCTGTAGGGTTGTCGTAGGCGGATCAGCGATGAAAGGTCGCAGGAAGGCATTCTGCGGCTGCTCAACCGAGATGTCGTAGAGAAATGGTAGAGCATTATGGAAATAATGCGGTTGTTCGTCGCCTGGCTTGGGCTGGAAGGGGACGGTGAAATCGTAGCGTAAAGCATCGACGAGGATAACCACAGCTTTGTCGAAGGTCTTGGGGTGCCAGCAGCCCTTCTCTATCGTGCCTGTCGAATATGCGCTTCCGATCGCAGCTGGTGGGGTGTCGCATAGTGACCGGTCTTGAAGGACAAGACGGGAGAGCAAGAAGCCGCTGCAGAAGAGGTAGATGCCCAGGGCATGGAAGACACTGGCAAGGCAATCAGCGGGCGGTCCTTGCAGTATACGCAATGAAGTTTCAAGGCATACAATAAGAGCAAGAAAAAGGCTACAACAAGCGAATGTTGCGTCTTAAATTGTACAGACGCACGCTGGTTTCGCGACTGTAGGTCCTGCGCTTCTGACATCATTTCCCTCGTCCCTTCTACCATCCTCACTGCACTCTGGACAAATAAATGTTATCGCGACATGTCCAATGCATGCATCGAAGCGCAGAGCAAAACATCATCAATCAATATATTGACGAAGCCGCATGACGCAAACCGGCCAAACGCGTCGACGCGCCGGAACCATCACGGTAAGAATAGAATTAGGTTAATGAATTGATTCGAGGTCAACACCAGCAAGAGGGAGGAGTAGGTCAACTTCCAAGTCATTGGAAAGAGTGTTATGCTTTATACACTAGTACTACGATGATATGGAATATGTTCGTACCCCTAGCCCCGACATAGATCACCTAAGGAAAACGACGCCGCGCTCATATCGACACAAGAGATCCTCATTGTAAAGTGCTATCGTGGAAAGTAGGATCGGAAAGCTCGGCACAAGGTCGACCTCAATCCTGTGCCGGCAAGAAGACATTATGTCCAGACATCCTCGGTGAAAAGTGTAAGATGTTGCTCTGCGCCTTTCCGCAGGCGGGCCATCGATAACTGCGCAGTGGTGCCATAGCCAGGCAAGTAGTGTTCGATATGTCTATCGAACCAGAATAAGAAATGATGAAACACCGGGCAAGAGTCGGAAAAAGGATAGTATATCGTCAGGTCATGGAACCAGTTCCAGTAAGCGTATTGAGTAGCAGCTCCCTCCCCTCTTGCTCCCCACCCTTAGAACTTCGCCGGCGCATTCCTCGCCTTCTCCACCAACCCCCCAATCCTCTCCAGATCCAACGACTGCCACCTCCCTTCCATCTCATACGCCGGCAACTTCTCCTGCTCCGCCACCATCACAGGCTCGAGCCCAATACTCGTCTCCCCCACCTTCACCACCACCACCCTCCCGGACTGCCTCTTCCCACTCGCATCGAACTCCTCAGGGAATGTAATCCGGATCTCCGGCACCTCCGTCGTAGGGGAAGGCGGCTGCAACATCGCCACTTTCTCCTGGTACACGTACACGCTCTCGTTAGGTCGAACCATGACTCGTCGATGGGAGGATGTGGATGTGGATGCCGTAGAGGCGGTGGAAAGACGCTTCTCGTTGTCGCGGCTGTATGACGGGAGGCTCTTGGTTGCTGCTCTTTGTCTTCGGGCGGCTCGGCGGCGGTAGCGCAGGAATAACAAAGAGGCGACGAGGCAGAGCATTACTATGAGGAGGACTAGGAGGACGGCGATGAGGGTCATGATTGTGTGATTTGTTGATGATGGCGCGTCGCGGGCGAAGATGGTGAAGGAGGACATCTTCGCAGTGGTTCCGTGTAGGCGCGAGAATGGCTCTCGGTGTGGTTCTCGTATGTCCTGGTCTTTGGATGTGTCCAATATGATAAACGCTGCATTGCGAAGGCACGTCAGTATATCGTCCTGTCTCCCTCAATCGCACCCAGTCAAGATTCAGCGTATGTATAGCAACAGGACATAACATGACCATGCATGCCCTGCACTCGACTCCACTCCTCTTTGCGCATACATGAAACGCGACACAGCGAATCCGGGAGGACCACTCACATCAAGAGAAAATCTCCTTGCGCCGCCTCCCTCAGAAAACGTCCAGAATGAAAAAAAGATTGTATAAGCGTCCGAACAGCTAAAAGAGTGAAGCTGCCGTCGCTATTGTGAAGAAACCCGTTGAAGGAGTGTAAGTCTCGTCGCCAACAACCAGACGTGTGTGTGTAGAAAGACTCAACCAGCAGGGGAGAGATCGAGGGAGTAGTGAGGCTCAACTCTCCAATGTGGCCCCCCCCGATGTTGTCAATTCCGGGAGTTGTGCAGCCGAAATTGCGTATACTGTACAGTAGGGCGATCAAGCCTTTCAACGGGATCTGCTTGGGTGGACGTAGCCGGCGCTAGTATCTCCTCCAACGGTTATTTGAGGAATGAACATGGTTACATGAGGGAAGCGGGTTTCGATAGTCCAGTATGAGAGAGTGGAGCAGAACAACAGGACGGCTGCTTATTGATGCAATCAACTGTGCCATCAAGATCGCCACTTCATCCATGAGGACTCTTATTCATAGCTCCCGCAACCATCGAGTCATGCAACTCTTGGCAAATGAGGCTCATCAGCCCCAACCTTAACCACGAGCAAGACGGAACTCTCACAAGCCGATGCCTGCGCCGCTACATGACAGCTCAACGGCCGCCAAGGTGAGAGGTGCGAGTGGCCGTAATCATCGACATGAGAAGGACAGAGATGTGGGATCGGTCTGTAGAGAGCATTCCAGACATCATCATCCAGCTACACTACATTACAGCATCGATAGTGATACAGTCGCAATGAAATGACCCGAAGAATTGCTCACCTCCCCCCCCCCCCCCCCCTCTCATCCAAGAATATCCGCCGCACGCTTCTCTCACACACCCACAGCGCACTTTCGCCATCTCCATGAAATCGCATTCGCATCCTCCAGAACAATGACCCCACAGATCCTCCATCGTGCCCCGACATCCTCCATGCCCAATCTCCCAATCGTCAAGCAACCCCCTTTCGCAAATCCAACAACTCCGCCCCACCGCCCTAACGAGTCTCCCGACTCCCCGGCGGCCCAACATAAGATTTCCACTGCGAACTCCTACTAACCCCGGTATCACTGAACGTCCTCTTCCTCCCACCGTTACTACCACCACTACTCTCTACCTGACCCCTTTGCTGCGCAAATGCGGGAAGATGACCCGGCGGTCCAGGTCGAAAACCGGGATATCCAAACCTCGGATCTGCGGACGCGGGGGCTAAGGCCGGACCGCCGAATTGAGGGCCGCCGTAGCCTTGTGGGTGGGGCGTGAGGGGTGAAGGGTGGTTGTGGTGGGTGAAGGGATTGGGAAGCGGTGGTGGAGGTGGGGCCACGAAGCCGTGGTGGCCTTGGTAGCGGTCTACGCCTGGAGGGCCGGGTTGTGCTTGTGGGTGTGGGACTGCGCAGAGGGGGCTTCGGGGGATGGTGTGCCAGTTCTGATTTGGGGGATGAGGAGCGGAGAAGCTGTTGTGGTGGTAGGGGGCGAGGTCGGGAGCTTGGTGGGGAGGTGTTAGGCCTGCCGAGAGTGGCATTCCGTTGTATGGCCGCATGTCGGGTGGTGGTGGCATGGTGTGTGCTGGTGGTAGAGGATGCGAGCCAGAAGAGGCTGACAGCCTGTGTGGTGGCTGCGGCACGTCCCATAGCCGTGGCGGCTGACCTTCAGCAGGACCAGGCGTGAGAATCCCTTGTTTGGAGTCCGGCGGGCTCGTAGCAGCTCCAGCTCCAGTATTGATAGCCATCTTGCTAAGCCTCTCGTCTTTCTTCTGCCTTGCGTGCTTGCGTCTCGATTGTCCCAAGCGCTCGACTTTGGTTGTCTTGCGAGTATGCAGCCTTGGGCCACCGTTCTCATCATGCGGCGTCCTGCCTGGGTTGAGAGGGAAGCGATCAACTGCTTCGCTACCCTCGGAGCGCAGCTCACCCTTGATGCTAACGGAGGAGTGTCTTGAATGCCCTGGACCATTCGACTCCCTCTGCATTGGGAAGCAGAAGTTCGTAGTCATACCCAAAGCAGCTCCACGATTCTCAGCGGTGCGAGGGCTCAGTGGTCTGTCAAGAGAAGGCACACGTCCGTGGGACCGTGACCATGGAGCTTCTTGAGGCCTGTGATTGTCAAGTGGTCTGAACTGCTCAATTGCTGGGCCATGGACCCGTGAAGCCTGCTCAATTTGTAGTAGTGGACGACCAGCATACCCAAAGACTGGTGGCTCGTCGAGGCTCTTAGCCCGTCGATCCGGCACACCAGTGATCGCATGAATGTGGTCATATCCAGGACGTGCTTGAGTTGGTGACTGCAGCAACACACGATGTCGAAATGCTTCCGGACTGGGCGACTCGTGGTAGCTGCGTGTATCGGAAGGACCATGCATTGGAGACTGATCGATGCGTGTCTCCTCATCGCGTGAAGCTCGTCGGAGTGCAGATTGTGGCAGGCCGGTTGGCGGGCGGTCTTGCATAGTGGGAGAAGGCACCGGACGCTCAGAACGACTGGCACCAAAGGGCGAGCCAAAAGTGGCATCCACCTGTCGTGGCGTACGAGGAGGTCCCATAGTGCCTTCGTAGCGCTCCTTGAAAATCTGCTTCGCTCGTGGAGACATCTCAACGGCAATCGGTGGATGTAGTGGCGGGGAGATTGGTCGCATGGCAGGTGATTGCTGCAACAAAGCCTGTACGGTTTGTGGGTTGGATGGGAATCCAGGCAGCGGGATCTTGATTGATGGTCTCGTGCATAGATCGCTGAGCACTTGCAGACCGACTGCATCTTCATTGCGGATTGGTTGTATGCGCGCGAGTCGTTCCGCTTCGATCGCTGCGGCTCGCTCGGCCTCGTTCGCAGCAGCAGCGAGGAATTTGGTGCTGGCCACCTCTTCTGACCGAGCGACAGTGGCGGCCGCGGTTGTGCTATCCTTAATAGCAAATGAAAGCTGCATGTCAGGTCGATCCTCCTCAGACAGCGCTGCGAGCATCTTACGCATGGTAAGTCGACACTCCAAATCATCAATCGACGACTCCGTCTCCATGGCAAGCCGACTACGGGAGTCGTAGACGGGATCGAGAGCTTCACCCCTTCGGAACCGGTAGCCACTATGCTTCGGTCTTGGGATGATATCGTCTTCATCGGCTGTGGCCTCACGGACTTGCTGTTCGCGTGGTTGAGCAGCTCGTGTGATAGCGAGAAAGTCGTACTGCAGCCGAATGATTGTCTCGTCTTGAGCGGTGCGCACTGTGTTGAGGCAAGACTGCCTCCGCACTTCCTGTTCAGCTGCAAGGCGAGATCTCATCATCTCCAGATTGAGCTTGTGCTGCGTTTGAATTTCCTTCTTGCGCTGCTGCAATGCCATGTCGAGCTTAGCTTGCACGCCTTCATATTCTGCAGCTTCTGTATGAGCATTTGGATTCGTAGTAAGATCGTCCAGTGTACGTTGCGAAAGTTCTGCCAGTAGTGTCTTGCCCTCTCGTGCCATAGTCCTGAAGGCCTTCTTGACCTCAAGTTGGCGTCTCAGCGATAGCTCTACCTTCCTGATGGGATGAATCGCCCGTCTGCGTCTACCGCCTATCTTCTTTGTGGGTTGACTGCCAGAAGGGAGCGGGAGAGTCTCGTCAAGGTCCTCTCCATCGTCCACTTCCGCGGCATCTGCCAGTAGGTCTGTCGATGCATCAGGCATGTCGACGTCAACATTATCAGTGTCAAGCTTTTGGGGTGAGATCTCGAGCCCATCCGTCATGCTGGAACCCGGTGACGGTTGCCGTGAGATCGCAGGCGTGACATCGATAGAAGGTTGGTTGACAGCAATCTCATCGTCACGTGCGTCTTCGAACTCGGACTCCTCATCAGACATTGCAGTCTCAGCAGCTAGCTGGTCTTCAAGATCTTGCATGATATTCACCTCCATGGCAGGAAAGTCGTCTGCATCGCGCTCTCGCGTGTTTGGCGTGCTCGGGGTGAAGGACTTGACGATCGGTGTGGTCGGCGGCGAGGGTGTCTCGCGCTTGCGCTTGCGCATATTTGCAAGTGGATCATGAGCTGATGATGACGAATGAGGCATGGCATCGTCGGCAGCGTCCTGCAATGTATGACCTTCATCCTTGGATTGAGGACTCGGCGTCATGCCTGACTGGTCCGTGGCGACAAGTTGATTCGTGCTTGGCGAGACCTGGCTGGTTTGACTACAAGATGTTGCTGGTCGTGTCCCATCAAGCGAGGCACGAGGGCTACTACCTCCCTCGACAGAGCCATTGATCGATGGTGTCGGGTCGACAGTCGGATGCCGTGCCTTTCTGCGTGTGGTCATGTGAAGTGGTTCCGAGGGATCGAAGCGGCCTGGACGACCAGGAAGCTTCATGCCTTTGACGCCATGTCTGCGTCTCTCGACGCTGGTGACAGACATCTTGAGGCCTGGAAAATCGTTCTGTCAGCGTTTGATCGGTTGCAGATGTTCGTGCGCGGGCTGATGATCGTTATGTAGCAAGGAGCAACAAATGCGGCAAAAATGAGGACAACTCGCGCAAGAAGCTCACAACTCGACAGCAAAAGCTGCTGACGTGTTGGAATTGCTACTCATCGTTGCTGTCATCGTTTCTGCCAACAATGTGATGCTACTGTGTGTCCGTGAAGTGATGTCCATCTGGTTGCTGGCTTTTTCCGGCAAATGAAGGACGCAGCGGAGGTCGCCATCAGCGCACCTGCGTACGCCACATGGACGACGGAAAAAAGGTGTCGCGCGATAGTTTGCATTGTCAAAAAACATGTGTGAATGTACCTGCGAGTTTGACTGTCCGATAAATCAGTTCGTTGTCGTCGCTGTCGAGCGACAGGTCGTTGTCCGAGTCGCTCGAAATGAGCCCCGTGTGAAGATGGGTGGCCGCAACTACTGAGTGGTTTGGCGTGTTTGCCAGGTGTGACGAAGCTGCAAGATTGAACAAATCGTGAAGCATAAGACAACCAAGAAACGAGCCCCGAACTTGCAACGATACCGACACGCAAAGCGTGGTTGTATCGCTGTTGTGGATTGTACAGAGGGAATATGTACTCTCGACCGAAGGCAGGATTCTTGCAGCCAATCAGAGGAGCCGGACTCCGGCCGCCAAGCACTAGTGTCTTTTTTGACAACTACTCTCCTTGAGCACTACTCTTGACGTATGCGAACAAAAGGATTCAGCAGTATCCTGTAGTACTCAAGAGGTCTCTTGTCGTTGAGTTGGGTGACTTGGTATGCATAGTACAGACCTTGCGGCGTAGGCAAAGAACTGGGGGACACGCTGCAAGCTCTGTTCGACTTCGATGAGGACGAGATGATCGTGTGACACATGGCGACACGATGCAGAATAGTGGTTCACTTGATGCTGCGTGAAATAGAGAATTTATCTACAAGAAGTAATTGTGCAAGAGCGTTGTCTGTACAGATATTGCTCAGCTTCAACTCAAAGTTCCGGTTTCTATGTAGGTATCCTTCTTCCGTCGCCCAGAACGTCGACATGTCAATTGTCTGCCGTGCAATTCTGTCATGCTATGCTTTGGAGACGGGTGTACTTGCCCATTCGTTGGATATGTCCGAGTCCAACCACCAACGTCCTTCGCCCCGAAAAGCAAACACAGACCTCCCACTGCCCCTTCCTCGCACAGTAATGACAACGCCGTCAACTAAGACACTCTCGATCACGGGATAGCCCGGCTCATCCCTCCACATCTCGACATGATCCCAGATACCCTGACGCACAATCATACCAGCCACTCGCAAAGCCTGAGCGAGGTCCCCTACCTCAAGAAGCATAATTTTGACATCTAGATCCTGAGCATGACGCAGAATGGCTGGGTAGAAAAGGTCGCCGATTGCGTCATCTTCATCCGATGTCACTCCGTCATAGGACCGTGGAGTACGCTGGTCTGGAGCGACGAGAGCAAGCTTCGGCTCGTAATGCCGGACTGAGCGGGCTGTGGTTGTGCGGAAGGCTTTTGGTGAGATGTATGGGGGGTTGGAGATTAGAATATCGTAGTTTCGCATCGGGCCATGGCCATGACGGGCATGTAGTGCTTCTTTCAACGATGGCGGTTCGTTCAGATTTTCGTTCGTATCAGAATCCCATAGGACATCGGCCGGATGGAAAGTGATAAAATCCGCGGCACCAGGCTGGGCGGCCAAATTCTCCTTGGCCAGAGCGAGAGCTTTAGGCGATATATCGACTGCCACAATCTCGGCAGAGGTAGTACTATCACGAAAACGTTTTCGAAGCTCGTGGTCCAACAGTAGTGGGATACATCCTGTGCCAGTGCAGAGATCGAGCACGCGCAGTCTTGGAGGAAGCTGACGTGCCAGCAGAAGACTTGCAAGATGAGATACCGAAGCAGCGGTCTCTGGACTACGAAAGACAAGAATCAGACTAAGGAAGAAGGGATGAAAGAATGGTGGCTACAAACCGTGGTATGAGGACGCCAGGACGACATTTCATCTCAAGATCTCCAAAGTACTCTGTCCCCAGTATATACTGTAGAGGCTCCCCTCGTGCTCTCCTGCGGATGTAGTACTCGAGAAGTCGCTTTCCATGCTCATTGCCTGGCTTTGTAGCGGCATGCTCGGCAAGCCATCTCAACTCATTGCGTGCTGAAGGCAGATCTCTGCATATTGGTAGCAATCTCACAAGTCGTTGGTCGATATGAGAAGCTTGCCTGATGAGCGAAGGCGAGATACGTGGCATGTAAGTGAATGTAGATGATGGGGAGAAAGGAAGTCACTTGCTGCCCCACTAGGTTTTATGCAGGGACCGTGCGCCACACGCCACACTACGTGACCACTAGTTGCCTTGACGGGCAATTAACCACACGACTTTCACTTACACGATCAAACACGAATCTTGCAACAGGCTCGATCACAACAACAAGATAAAAGCTTCGCACTCCACTGGACAACACACTCGGACTGCTCACACCTACACCACCCCACCACCGTCCGCCCACCATGAAGCTCACCTTCAAGGACCTCAAGCAGCAAAAGTTTACAATCGACGCCGAGCCCAGCGAGACGATTGGCGCACTGAAGAAGAAAATCAGCGAGGACAAGGGCTGGGAGCCGTCAACACAGAAGCTCATCTACTCCGGCAAAATCCTGCAGGATGACAATACCATCGAGTCCTACAAGATCGAAGAGAAGGGCTTCATAGTCTGCATGACCTCCAAGCCCAAAGCAGCTCCCAAACCCGCTGCTGCCGTCGCCGAACCACCATCCACACCCGCTCCCGCCGCAGCTTCAACCCCATTAGTGCCCGCCGCACCTGCCGCCGCACCGCCAAGTGGTGTCGCTGGTAACAATCCCCCCGCCACACCATCTCCAGCTCCTGCCGCCGAGGCCGCCGCAAACCCCGCCACATTCAACGACCCCTCGGCCCTAGCAATGGGCTCTCAAGGCGCCGAGGCGATTGCGAATATGGAGGCCATGGGTTTCCCACGCGATCAGATCGATCGGGCGATGCGTGCTGCTTTCTTTAACCCGGATCGTGCGGTCGAGTATTTGCTCAACGGGATTCCCGAGAGTGCGCAGCAAGAGCAGAGAGCTAGGCAAGCGCAGACAACTTCGCCTAGACCTGCTTCGGGGCAGCCGGCACAGGCTCCCGCAGCGCAGACGGGTGGGACTGGAGGTGCTCAGCCGACTGCAGGTGGTGATGAGCCGGTGAATCTTTTCGAAGCCGCAGCACAAGCAGGCCGAGGCGGCAGCGGAGGAGCACGAGGTGCCACAGCTGGTGCAGGAGCCGGCGCAGGAGCAGGAGCCGGTGCAGGAGGTCTAGCCGCCGCCCTCGGAGCAGCAGGAGCAGGCGCAGGAGCAGGCGCAGGGGCCGCTGGCGACAACGCCGGCACCCTCGACTTCCTACGCAACAACCCGCAATTCCAGCAACTGCGTCAAGTCGTGCAACAACAACCCGCCATGCTCGAACCCATCCTCCAACAAGTCGCGGCGGGTAACCCGCAGCTCGCGCAGCTGATCACGCAGAATCCCGATCAGTTCATGCAGTTGTTGGCTGAGGATGCGGATGAGGATGTGGCATTGCCGCCGGGCGCGCAGCAGATTTCTGTTACGGAGGAGGAGAGGGAGGCGATTGAGAGGGTGAGTCTTCAAAAACTTCAATGGATTGAGCAATGACCGAGAGGATATGCTAACGTGATATCATAGTTGTGCCGTCTGGGGTTCGATAGGGATATGGTTATCCAGGCTTACTTCGCTTGTGATAAGAATGAGGAGTTGGCGGCGAACTTCTTGTTTGATCAGCCGGATGAGCCGGATGAACCTGCTGCTTGAAGGACAAGCATTATGAGGAGTGATCGGGTTCATGATCGAATGACGAATACCATCGATGTCGAGACTAGGGTAAATGGTGATGCATAGCGGGCATGAACATTCGGGGGCGGAGGCTGTGTGGATTCTGGGCGACTTTGATTCGTCCAAGAAAATGCTCTCGGCGATCCTCGCGATCTAGCAATCACTACGAGAATATGGGTGGCTCGTCCCGTTACAGAATGGTTGCTGGCAGTAGATAGCGCTACCATTAGAACAAAACCATGATGCAATTCAAATCAAACTGCCTGTCCACTCCCGGCTGACGCTCATGATTGATTGCATCTCTTGGTGGAGGCCTACTTATGCCTTGCAAATCAGTATAGATATGTGGTGTGCAAAGGCGTGTAGATGTGCACATATGCATGAGTGCCTCAGGCGCGGTGTCGTACCTGCCATTCTAAGCGTGTGAAAGACGTGTGCGGTAGCATCATCCAACAGCTAGTCATGATATATCCAAATGAAATGCACACGATCCCTATCTAGTTACAGAGCTCTCGGGGGAATATGAGCTGAAAAGGACAATCGCCAACCACGAATTGAGCATACAACAGCATGGACGAAGTCGAGAACCCAGACCTGCCGGCGGCGGGCGAGTCGAGTCCGACGATACGACCCATTGACCAGGAAGAGAATGACGACAGCAGTCCGGTGGAGAAGTCTACCATAGAGGAAACAAAATCAGAAGCACCGGTCGACAGCGCCAACCCTTCTCCCATCACCCAACCGGTAGCAGCAGCTTCCAGCACACGACCCACCGCCCCCTCCCGCCCGGTCCTCAAACGCGAAACTTCCGCTCCACCACCCCAACAACCACCCCCTGCACCACCGACCCAGTACCTCGAATCTCCCGATTTCTCCTCGGACCCGCCTGACAGCCTCACCTTGGCGGATCTGAAGAGGATCAGAAGCACATTCCCCAACATTCAACCCCCGCCGAAGCAAGAGATACTAGATCATGACCAAGTCTACGACTTCACATACCAGGATGCGCAGTCCTTTCCCGTGGAACTGGAAGAATGGTTCACATATAGTGCTGAAGAGGAGCTCCGGCTGCGGAAATGCAAGGTCATATTCAATCAGGTCTGGAGGGCTGATGAGGTGGGTGCAGGGTGTGATTGGACTGAGGTTGGGGAGGAGACGAGGAGGTCGTTTCTGGAGAGGGAAATGGAGAGTTTAGGGGTCACACGAGGGATGAGCACGACTAGTCTGATGATTATGGTCTATCTCGCTCTTGGATGCTGGGAGGAGACGGCCGGACGACAGGCAGGAATGGGTTTGGAGGGGTTGTTTCCAGGTGGGAATGAGGGGGGTGGGAGGTTGGATGATTATAAGGCTAGTGGGATGCAGCTTCAATGGATCGTGAAGATGGTCAAGCTGATGCACGACTGCGGTGGGTTGAAAGTGGTGTATGATTGTCTGCAGACCTTTTCCGATCAGAGTTTTGCGGCTTCACCATTAGAGCAGAGTATGAGGAATGAGGCACAGCCGAGGCGGGGGGAGGAGAGTATGGAGTTGTGGTGTTGTTTGACGTTGATGTACCTCTTTATTGAGATTGCTCGGACGACTGAAGGAGTGGATGGGAAGGCGCTGAAGCAGGATATCCTTGCTTTGGAACCAAAACTCATCAACTTCTTGACACAAATCACGGCGAAGTTGAGATGGGACGACGTGGCTCCTGTGCCGCTAACGAAGATGCTCTTGCTGGCATGGAAGACGATCCTCGTGACATTCGGCGGAATAGCAGAAGTCGAGCACGTCAAGGCCTCTCTCCGCAAGAACAGCAGTTCAGAGGAAGAAGAAAAGGACCAAAGAGGTCAGCCGGTGATTACAGCCTCGCCCCTAGACTACCACCTCTTCCGACAAGAGATCAGCTCGAAATACCCAGCCTACCAACCACCACTCCCAACCTTTCCTCTTGAGCCGGAAAATAACAGTATTCTCCCACCGCTGAAACACGGGCAACCGAGCTACAGCAGCACCGACTCCACCTTTGGCGGCGCACCGGCTGTAGGCGCACCATCAATAATGCACCAACCCGTGCACATCGCCACGCCCGCTCCCTCACCGCCACCATCTCCAGCCGGACCAGGTAAAGCGGGGAAGAAACAGAATTACCAAACTAACCAGATGTTTCCATTCCTATACCCTCCACTCGACGAAAGCAGTAGCGAGTTAGGCGGCAAGGGAAGCACTTCTCTGCAAGATGCGCTTGTGGGCCGGAAATGGGAGGGCTCGGATGTCCCGAGTAGTATTTTGGAAGCAGCGGAGTTGTTCGCGAAGAGGATGAGGGCGACGAGGGGGATGCGGCAGCTTTGGGAGGCGAGGGTGGAGTTTATGAGGTTTGAGAGGGGTTGGAAGGGGATGGGGGACAAGGATCATGAAGAGACGGATGAGGATGTGGAGGGGTTTGAACTCTTGTCGAAACCTGCACCGGAGGAGACGGCTGAGCAAGGGGCTCCCCTCGGCTCAGATCCAGCAGCGCGGCGGACTGACGAGCAGAAGAAACTAGATGCCGTGCGCGACTACTACCGCGACTCCCTCCCTCACCTCCAAAGCCTAGTGATCGTGCTCCTCAAGGCCGTCCTCCAAAGCGTCACGGATCTGGTGACGAAGAATAACGGCCAGAATGGTCTCCAAGCCGGGATCCAATTCAACGATCCCACGAATGGCTTACCTAATGGATCCATGAAGCCACCAGAGAATGGCATGCATAACGGTGACGGCATCGAAAACACAGCGGAAGAAATGGACAAACTCCGCACACAGGAGATTGCCGCCAAAGCCCTTAGCGCAACCCTATTACTTTTATTGAAATGGTTCAAGGTGTGCCATGTGCTGCAATACGAGTACCTCACCCAATTACTGCTGGATTCGAATTATGTGCCCCTAGTGTTGAAGTTGTGGCAGACGCAGGAGATTGGCCGGGCGGTACATTTTAGGTTTGAGAGGGAGGAGAGGGAGTTTTTTGGTTGGTGTGGGATTAATGGTCGGAAGGCGGTGGTTGGAAGCGGTGATGAGGATGGCAACGGAGGTAAGTTCGGGGCAGGGGAGGGTGGGGAAGTGGTTGAAGGGGAGGAAAGTGAAGATGAGGCTGCGCCGCCACCTATAAGACGAAACAGGGAGAGGGATCAGCAGGCTAGTGATCCTTCATCTGCTGTTCTCTCCCCGGACGATATGATGGTCGAGGACCCAGCGGGAATGCTACAAGCAGATGGAACAACGCCGATACATCCCCCCGAAGTCGACGAGCTGGGTTATCCCACCACACCCCTCCCACCCTCGCCCTTGCGGAACTACAGCTGGCGCAACCTCTTCACCTCCCTCAACCACCTCCGCATCCTCCAGAAGGTCACAAGAAGGAAGACGCATAGGGCCTTACTCCTCGTCTCCTACAAAAGCAGCAATCACCTGAAGAAGACCCTCAAGATCCCCGTTCATGCGCTCCGCCTCTATACATTGAAACTCTTCAAAACTCAAGTCCCCTTCTGCGGCCGCAAGTGGCGACAGGGGAATATGAAGATCATCACGGCAGTCTGGCTGTCCGTCCCAGCCGAACTCCGCGACGACTGGCTCAGCGGCGGCGGAGGCGGAATGGGAGGAGCATGTGTAGGGGACGTGGACGGCACGGTCGAGGACGCCTTGCCACTGGAGCAAGGGTTGAGAAGTCTGACGCATTGGTGGAATGTTAGGAATTTCCCGGCGGCTATGGGGGTTGATGGGGCTGGCAACGGGGATGAGATGGCGGGGTTGGAGGGGTTGGAGGAGAGGGAGGGAGGGTGGTTTGAGAGGGAGTTGGAAAGGATGGGAGTTCTTGGATTGGGGAGGCAGGGGGAGGAGGGGTCTGAGGAGTTTGGGATGGAGGAGGAAGGGGGGATGAGGGAGGATGGTGGTGCGGGGTGGGGAGGGCCTATTGAGGGGTATTAGATGGTCGATGTACACTCTGTAATGTGGCCATGTTGGCTTGATTTGTCCGTCCATTCATTCACTTCTGTTTCTCATCGCATCTACATGCTCCATCAGGTCTAGTTTACAGGAGAGATAGCCGTTGCCAAGTGTTGCATTGTGGGGTTGGTGGGGCTTCGTGACTGATAGCAAGATATGGATGCAGGGCAAGCCGGTGCTAGCCATATGCCGATATGTTGCTCAAAACGACCTTCCCTTTCATCCCATGTTGTCGCTGGCCTTCATGTTCCTTCTGCCATAGGTGATTCATATGATGGCGACCTTCATGAGGACAGCGATGCGAGCGGGCGTTCGCGCCTCGACTATGCGAGCGAGCCCAATGGCTATTCGGCCTATGGCCTCTGCTACTACGCCTAAGAAGGCCACGGCGGCGGCAGCTATGCAGCAGCAGCCACCTACCGAGATGTTTGATCAGCCTTTCTTTCCTGGTAATTATCACTCACATCATTTCGTATGGCAGCTAACACTCCTCCAAGATGAACCATACGGCCCAATTGTCAGGACTTCAATCCCCGGCCCGGAGTCCAAGAAAGCCATCGCACATTTAGACAAGGTCTTCGACACCCGCAGTCTAAACATGATGGCCAACTACACCAAATCCCTTGGAAACTACATCGCCGATCTCGACGGCAACGTCTTACTCGACGTCTACGCCCAGATCGCCTCCATCCCAGTAGGCTACAGTAACCCGTCCCTCCTGCTGGCCTCAACAAGCCCCGCCATGGCTTCGGCAATGATCAATCGACCCGCCCTCGGCAACTTTCCCCAGCACGACTGGGCCGAGATTCTGGAGACGGGTGTCCTCCGCGTGGCGCCACCAGGAATGAATCAGGTATTTACTGCACAAGCCGGTTCTGATGCGAACGAGTTGGCGTACAAAGCAGCCTTCATGTGGAAACGCAGCCAAGAGCGCGGTGGTGCCGACGTCCCCTTTACGGAGGAAGAAATGTCCTCCTCCATGAACAACGCCCTGCCCGGTTCACCACATATGTCCATCATGTCCTTCGCAACCGGTTTCCACGGCCGCTTGTTCGGCTCCCTGAGTACCACCCGCTCGAAACCGATCCATAAACTCGATATACCCGCTTTCGATTGGCCGCAGGCACCCTTCCCGGCCCTGAAGTACCCGTTGGAGCAGCATATCGAGGAGAATAAGGCGGAGGAGCAGAGGTGTCTGGATGAAGCAGAACGCGTAATGACGACCTATCATAATCCCGTTGCCGGCATCGTCATCGAACCCGTGCAATCCGAAGGCGGAGACAACCATGCCTCGCCGGCCTTCTTCAGGGGTTTAAGGGAAATCACGAAAAAGCACAACATCTTAATGATAGTAGACGAAGTGCAAACCGGTGTCGGAGCGACGGGCAAATTCTGGGCGCATGAACATTGGAATCTGCAGCATCCACCCGATATGGTCACTTTCTCCAAGAAGGCGCAGACGGCGGGATATTATTTTGGGAATGATGAGTTGAGGCCTAATAAGCCATACAGGCAGTTTAATACTTGGATGGGTAAGTCCGACATACTCCCTCCCTTCACAAATCATCAAAGACGATGTCAGTTCTAACGGTGATGATTTACAGGTGACCCGGCCCGCGCCATCCTCTTCCGCGCCATCATCGACGAAATCGAGCGGCTGGATCTGGTGCGCAATACTGCCGAAACAGGCGCCTACCTCTTCTCCGGTCTTGAAAATCTTGCACAGCGCTTCCCAGGTGAAGTGTTGAATCTTCGTGGGAAGGGACAGGGAACGTTTATCGCGTGGGATTCGCCACGACGAGACGAAGTGTTGAAGAAGGCGAAAGGGGTGGGGATTAACATCGGTGGTTCCGGTGAGCGGGCTGTGAGGTTGAGGCCCATGCTTATTTTCCAGAAGAAGCATGCGGATATTTTCTTGGAGGGGATGGAGAAGGTGTTTAGCTCGTAGGCGGTAGATGTGTGGGGAGCGGTGGTAGACGAAACTATGATGATGTCTCGGTGGTGTGATTAGGTGTGTATTTGCTATGCTTCTTCGGTAACTGTAGCTTAAGGAGTGAGCTGGGAACGGGAGTATGGCGTTCAAAGGAAGGGGAGTCGGTAAGTTGAAGACGGAATGTCTTCACGGCCCAGTCAATATTCGTGAATAAAGCAATGATGCCAAAATACTTGGTCGATCTTCTTCTTCTCTGCTGCATATGCCTTCTCGTTTTCACTCGAGAATGTGAGGCTTGCATATTCAGCTCAGTACTTCATGTAGATGCTACTCTAGAGTCTATGATATAACCCAAGGTGCCATCCCAGCGAATACCAGAGCGAGAGGTCAAGGTCGCCTTCACTTCTCGCCCCACTGCAGCATAAACCTACCCTCCGCATTCCGATAATCTTTTAATCGCTCGACCACTTGATCTCCCGTCCTCGCCTCAACCATAATCCCCTCATTATTCTCCGCTATGAATCCCGCTTTCACAGCATTGTTCACCCACTTCAGCAAGTCCGTCCAGTATCCGTCCACATTAAATACCACAACTGGAAACCCATGAATACCCAGCTGATTCCAAGTAACAACCTCCATCAGCTCCTCCAGCGTCCCATACCCCCCCGAAAGCGCTACGAACCCGCCTCCAGCCCCACCAGCAATGACCTCCTGCGCCATCATCTGTTTCCGCGTATGCATATCCTTCACCACCGTCGTCCTCCCATAAGTCTTCTCATCGATCGTCTTCTGTGGATCACCCGCCGCGGCACCATTCTCCTGATAATTCCGTTCGAATTTCAGTAGTGCCTTGGGGATGATACCGTGTACTGCCGAAGGGCCGGAGAGGGAGACGAGGGTTTTGGCTACTTCGCCCATGATTCCTACTGTGCCGCCGCCGTAGACCAGGTGTATCTTGTTGCGGTGGAGGGCCTGGGCGAGGGCGCGGGCGGCGGCTAGATGGGCGGGGGATGTGCCTTCGCGGGCTCCGCAACTGGTACGCTTGTTAGCATGATGATGGGTGTTTTGAACAGTGTGGAAGACTTACAAGACGCAGACGGTGGGTTGTTGACTGGCTGCGGGGATGGGGGCGTCGTTCTTGTTGTGCTTAGCTCCATTGTCACCGTTCGTCGTCGCCATTGTGTGGGCTATAGTAAATGCTCTAGTGATATCAATATGTCATCTGTATGGAGCAGGAAGAAATGCGCTTCTGATCATATATTGGATCATGTGTTGAAAGCTAGATCCGGAACACCTGACCTTCAAGAATGTCTTTCCCCGGCTTACCGTTCAGTCAGTCTGCTTTTGTCTTTGTGCAAGGCGTACTCTCGGACGTCGAGCATTCACTAACAAGACAAGCGACCAGCACGTGATCGGTCGCTCGAGTGGATGGCAGATGTCGGACGTGCCGCCACGAGCTGTCAAGAGCATTCACGTCAAACGCAGCCTTGCGCGATGTCCGGCTACTTCCGTAGCTCGGCTAGAGAGCTCGAAAGTGCCGATCTGTCACAGACGCAAGCGGTAGGCTTGCAAACTCTCTCATCATCATCATCATCATCATCTACATGTCTGTCTTTGCTTGCCCTTGCTTGCCCTTCTCGTCGACATGACCATGCAGTGGATGTCTGACTGCAGCCGACTGGGGTCTGGAAGCAGGCGAGCGGCAATCGCGACCTGGTAATCGGGCAACCTGAGGTCATACAGTATTACCACGCATCCCACGAAATCTGCAGTTCATAATCTATTCGATCGACTTTGCCGTGCTGACAGCAGGGATATATAGTACCCAGGCGTTCCGGCTTGGGAACTGCCTGCTTCGACTTCATCTCGTCCTTGGCCAGCAACGAACGTTGCTTGCACATCCATCTCACAAGCTCACACTTCTGTTCGTTTGCTCCTGCATACAGCATGTGTCATGGCCATGCCTGATACCGCCACAGTTCTCCCGTTACCATAAACTCAATCTCTGAGTACCGAAACAGGACGTCCGGGCTAACATTTCGAAACCTCGCGAGCACGGACCCCTGCTAAGGCTGCTGGATCGACAACCTCGATGGCGTTTACCTATTGTCTGATCCTGGGTGCATTTGTTGCAAAGTTGCTCTATTTCCACCTCTTGCGATGGAGGACTGTAGAGTACTACCTCGGCACACACAAAATATCCAGGGATTCTTTGGTGTTCACCGGCTGGCTGCCGAGGTTTCTCTCTCTACAGGACTGGAACGATGAAGCATTCCGGGTAGAGCTTTTCGCAGACTGCTCTCATACAAACGGGTGACTCCACGAACGTCACCGCATTATGCGCTGGGGCTTGGGCATGATGTGCCCATGCCGACTAAGCCAACTACGGACATGAGCATGACGACACTCACCATGCATACCCAAGAGTACTACAGTCCTATGTCATCACATTGCAACCTGTCACATGAAATTTACCACAAGATAAACCCGTTGATGTTTCCGAGGTAAGACTAGGTTGCATAGTGGATCAAGCCCACGTCTACCTCGGCCACGGACAGTATCTTCATGGAATAAGCTCTGCATCTCGCTGTTTCAGCCGTATATCTCCACTCCCACGGGCATGAGCCGAGTCATGGGGCCGTGAAGTATGGTCATTGGTGCAAGAGATCGACATGATTCTGGATTTGGTAGTTCCAGAGCAGTAGCAGCGTAGATATAAAAAGGGTAGGAAACTGGCTCAGATCGTCCCCCATCCACAACTATCCCCCATAACCACCTTAACTTTACCTTCACCACTCCCAAGCCAAGCAATTCAGACTCTCAAGATGGCCCCAGCAAAGACCTTCCTCCTCTCCCTCCTCGCCGCCACGGCCTCAGCAGTCGCCGTCGAGCGTGCCGCTGCTTGCTCTGCCTACAGTAAGATCATCCATCACTCGCCCACCCTCTAAGACCATCCTCTGACAATGACACAACAGCCCTCATCGACACCCGCGGCACAGGCGAAGCCCAAGGCCCCTCAGCCGGCTTCCGCACCATGAACTCCCACATCCGCTCCCAAGTCTCGGGAGGCCAGGAGTACGATACTGTATACCCTGCCGATGCCAGTCAGAACTCCGCATCTGGTACTGCTGCTGTAAGTATATCCACCAATATAGTATTCTAGACCTACTGAGTGTGCACTGACGATACACATCTCCATGCAGATCGTCAACCGTGTCAATAGCGGCGTCGCCGCCAACCCAAATATGTGCTTTATCCTAGAAGGCTACTCGCAGGGCGCGGCCGCGACCGTCAATGCCTTGTCCCAACTCACTGGTGCTTCGTTCACGGCTGTTAAGGGTGTCTTTCTGATCGGTGATCCGGAGCACAAGTCCGGGTTGGCCTGCAACGTGGATCAGAACGGCGGCACGACAACCAAGAATGTCAATGGTCTTTCTGCCTTTGGCTCCAACGGTATCCCTAGCAATTGGGTTTCCAAGACTCTTGATGTGTGCAACTATGTGAGTCTTACAGGAAGGATGCGTAGCTGGATGTGGAGACTTGTGCTGACTGCCAGACAGGGCGATGGTGTCTGTGACACTACCCACGGCTACGGCATCAACCAGCAGCATCTTGCCTACCCGACTTTGACCAGCGTTCAGAACTTGGGTACGACGTTTGTTGTTGGTAAGCTGAGGGGTACTTCCTAGATGCAACGCATGATGAGAGAAGCCGGACAAATGGGACGAACACATGCTGGGAGATGATTATCATTTGGCATAGTCATGCAGAACAGAAATACTGTCACTCTTTGAACCGGAATCGTGCTTTGCTTATTCCTGTGCTCGATGCTACTTCCTTGAGTCGCCATCGTTGCCGCTATCGTCGTGAAAATGACTTTTTCATATTTGTCCTCGATCTCATCGTCTTGGGTCGCCATTGTTGATTACCTGTCATGCCGTGACGAGCAAGCATTATTCAGAATTGGTTTCGGAAAGATGCTCGATCGGAACAGCACGAATTTCGATCTCGCGCAAAAAACGAGACACGCTCCACCACCCATCGCGTGCTATCTGGAAGGCTGGTCTGCATAGTCGCTCCTACATATATGAGCCCCAATCCTTCTCGCGGCGGTGACAAGGTGTAAAGCAAAGACCTGGCGATGGTGGAGCCCCTGAAAGATCCACGTATTCGAGAGTCAGGACAACATCATGTTCATTGTTCTTCGGCTCCCGCGTATGCAAATGCAGCTCCTGATCCGTCCATTCGGGTGGACTGAAGACCAGGCCGCATTGGCGTTGCTCTAGGATGGAGCACAACTTGCGATGAGTCGGCTTGATTGTCTCGTCGAAGCAATGTTTGCATTTATTTTGCCGACGTGCGGAGTAAAGGTATTCCCTCTCCGGAAGCGGAGCCTATGTTCGAACTTCGTGCGATTCCTTGCTTGCAGTAGTATCGATGAAAGCGCCCAGAATGGCGGTCATCACATGCACAGAAATCAATAGATCCTTCCCAAGAATCCTTGCGATTGTCGCCAGCGCACCTGTTCGCGCTCAAAGTGAACGTAAACCCGTGCATTTCTGATGGGTTATGGCACCAGAGCCTGTAGCTATACCTCTGCATATCTAGAATCCTGTGAGGCACCGTGTAACGCAATGCCTCAGGGTTCCAATATTCACTCGGTCGCACGACGATATTTTCGAGTCTAGTCTCAGGCACTTGGCTTTCCCCGATACGCAAAAGCACGCTGTACTCCTGAGTCCTCCAGTAAGATAGTGCCGGTGTCAACTTCGTGAAATCCCGGTGTAGAGTGATATCCTTTGCTTTGAGCTTACTTATATGCGAGCTTTGAGTAAGGCACAGCATCACGTCCCCTCCACACAGTCTGGTAAGGACGATGCCGTCAGAGGCGCGTTCCATAATATCAACGCAAAGCATGAAATGGAAAGATCGGTAGAGCTTTGAAGTATCTGCTCCTGCAAGCGAATGAATGCATTGCCTCTCTCGCCATACAATAGCGGCATATTAATGCCGAAGAGACCAAGGAGGCAGTAAGCCTCGTCCTCAATACGTGTTGTGTCCCTCCTCGAGGCCCAAGACATGCGCTGCGCGGCGCTATAGTCTGATGGAGATGCGTCGCTGCTTAGGAGTAGCAAGGGTAGAAGGCTCGCCCGGACGACAAGCATCTCAACCTCTTTGAGAGAGCCAAAACAGGTCCACTGGCGCGAATAGAATACGACTCGTCGTGGTGCTATCAGTTCTTGCAAAGTCCAGCCTCGAGTGAACCATTTACTCGCGATGAATTGATCATGCCACTCAGGCTGAGCGATCGGTTCAGACGAGGGAACTACAAGCGTCCCGTGTTCCAGCTCCTGTATCTCCGACACATAGACTCGGCCAGAAGAGACTGGTTGTACCCCATCTTCTGGTGGTCGGCCTACCTGATCAGGTGAGGTCGATTGTACCTCATTCTTCGATGGCCGGCCAACGTGGCTAGATGAGACTGTTTGTACCTCATCGTCTGGTTGTCGGCGGGTACTCTCCACCATAGATTCGTTGAGTCCATCAACGTCAGCGAGTTACACATAGCAGATCTGTGCCTCCCTACACCAAGCATACATGGCGTTAATGGCCTCTGAAAGCTCAGCGCTGCTGCTCTTATCTATACAGCATGAGTCGATCCAGATCCAATCATACCCATCCTTTCGTGCCTGACGGCAAGTCCCTTCGAGCTTGCCACATCCCTTATCCTTCTTGACGTGCTCTAGATCGTCCTGCTGCATATCGGCGAAAAAGATTTCCTCCTCATCCCAGGCGTGCGACAGTATGGCATACTTAGGACGTTTTCTGTCATCGACGAAGCTCTCAAGCATGAGAGACTCGGTGCTGATGAGTCTCATATCTGTGGTGGATGAAGATTACATCGTTGATTATGACGTACTCGTTGTACTTATATCTCAGGCTGGGGGGCCATACAGACAGCCTCGTGCTATTGCCATCACCGCAAGGCTGCGTGCTGCGGCCCCGAACGCCACATGCTGTACTACATTGAGTACATCAGCCGAGAGGTATGTCTCCTCAGGCAAATTCACAAAGTCCAGTCTGTTCGCTCTCAAGCCTTCTCTAGACTCCCAATGCGGTTGACACGGAGAAGGAAATATCCTGTGTCAAGGACATGATGGTGTAAATTGATACTCCGTCATCCCATGCCCAGCCAGACGTTGCGATTGCGTCAGGACCGACGGCTCGGCTGCCACGCGAGTCGAGGCTCTGTGCACTGGAGTCTCATTTGCCTGTCACAAGCATCTACATTGGAATTGTCCAGTAACCAAAGGGCGGTATTTGGCGTTGATAGGATACATCTACGCTTGCCTAATCGTCGTGTCCCGCCGTGAAGAACGTCGGTGTTCCAACACTGCATCAGAGCATAACGAGGACATTCGACCATCTTCATCCAGAGCTTCGATTATGGCACAACCTTGGGACTACATAGCGAAGATCGTGTCGCTAGGTGACTCCGGATCAGGCAAATCGAGTGTACGCCTCCTTTACATCTCTTACCTCAGCACCCACGCTGATGACAAGTAGCTGACCATCCGACTCTGCGAAGGCCGCTTCGTCTCCCACCACGATGTCACCATTGGCGTCGAGTTTGGCAGCCGGGTAGTACCTGTAGGCCCACCAGCGAGTCTCGAACACAACATCAACAATCCCGTCGGATCGTCACAAACACCAAAGACCACATCCCCAAACGATGTACGACAGAAAGGCAAAGGCGAACCGGAGCAGAAGCACATGAAGCTCTCACTATGGGACACAGCCGGCCAAGAAACCTACAAAAGCATAACCCGCTCCTACTTCCGCGGTGCCTCAGGTGCCCTTCTCGTCTTTGATATCACAAGAAGAAACACCTTCAACTCCGTGACATCCTGGCTCCAAGATCTACGCCAACTAGCCGAAGACAACATCGTCATAGTCCTCGTAGGCAACAAATCCGACCTCGCGCCCTCTAACACCATCACCGAAGGCGACAGCAAGAACAAACGCCAAGTCACGCGGCAGGAAGCGGAAGAATGGTGTCGGCAGAACAAAGTGATGCAGTATCTTGAGACCTCGGCGAAGTCAGGGGAGAATGTTGAGAGGGCGTTTTTGGAGGTGGCGGAGAGGATATATCAGAATATTGAGGCGGGAAAGTATGATTTGAATGATCGGAGGAGTGGGGTTAAGGGGCCTGGTGCAGGGGGTGGTGGCGGTGGGGCGGGGAAGACGGTGAATTTGGGTGGTGGCGGTGGTGGGCCTAGTGCAGTGATGAAGAAGAGTGGGTGTTGTTGATTGTGTAAGATACATATGGGATAAGAGCATGGCGCGTGGCGTTTGATGTGTTAGGCTGAGTTCCATAATCATGGTCCACAATTCCAGGTATCGCCTGCTTCCAACCCACTACAAATGGCTTGTCCGCCCTCACGAGCTCCCTCTACTGGATAGTACCATGACTGGCCCGAAGGCGTACGTAAGCCATGAAATCAGGTACTGCATCGAACGACGGTGAGCTATACTGAACCCATGAGTAAACTGTGTTTGCGAGCGCGACTGTGTGTCTGTCCTACCTGGCCTGCAGACTCACTTCCTCACGACGTTGCACACCTTCAAGCATCACTTCCGCCCTCACTTGCTGCGAAACCTTCCACTTGTCACACGCGATCGCCTTGACCAGCATTCTACGATGGTATAAGTATATGACTCCCCCACTGACCTTTCTCTACCATACATCCACCACAACTCCAGCCATCATCTGCTCCCGCCAACTTGGCCCTTGCACAGTCTATTCATCCCTTGACCACACACACTTCGACACCAGCCAACATGAAGCGTACATTCGCCGACATCTCAAGTGCCGATACGACCAGCGACGCCGAGCACCAAGAATCGGACGAGGACGAAGATGGGGCGATCCAACCCTACGATGCTGTGCTCCAGGAAAGGCTGCCCGAGTCACCCGTCTATTCTACTACATTCCGAGAGCTGAAGAACCACATAAAAAACTTCGTTGACCTTCTGCTACGGCCCATTCAGGAGACAGAGTACAGGAACGCAGTCATCGGCGGTCTGAAGGAAAAGGTCGAGAAGCGTAGCAAAGGTGGATCTCCCGAGAATGTCTGCATTGCGTTGATCGGGCAGATGGCAGCGGGTAGAGTATCGAACGCATCGGTGGCAGATATCTAGCTAACATCGATCAGGCAAAAGCTCGGTCATCAACTCTCTCTTAAGTATTGGCATTATTGCCCGCCAGGTACGATAACAGATATCTTGATATTGCTATTCGCGCTGACTGCGGACAGGGCGATGGTAGCAAAAGTTGCACTTGGGTGACTCAAGAGTTCTGCTACAAATTCCCCACTCAGACAATGTCGCATGCAGCCCAGGTCCACTTCTTCAATCAAGCAGAGCGCCACGGCATTATCAAGGCCCTCCTCGCTGACTACCACAATGCATCTACAACCGACCAAGATGCCAGAGGCGAAGCTATTGACACTGAGCAAAAGTCGGCAGACTTCGCCACCATGAAGACGACCGTGGACGCCTTCTGTGCATTGTTCGCGGAACATCGAGCCTTTGGTACTACCGAGGAAGCACGCAAGACTCTGGGCACAGCTACTGGACCTGACGACAAGGCTTTACTAAGCAGGCTCTACATGTGGGCCGATACACTCGTGCACAACGCACTCAAGGGTCGTGCCAGCGTCTTCGAGGAGGCATCGACGCCTCAATCTCTCCTGTTCCAGCTCGGCAAGTTCTGCTATACTGTAGGCAAATCTGATGGCGCACCACAAGCAAGTCTCTGGCCATTCATCAGCCACATCAAATTCGGCTTGGACAATAGGCTCCTGCAGCACGGCATCAGTCTCCTAGACGTGCCTGGTCTGTCGGACACGAACCGGATCCGAGTTTCGAATGCGATGAGGCATCTGCAACGGTGCACGCATGGCATGGTCGTTGCTGAGGTCTCCCGATCGGAGGACGAGGGTTTCATACGGACCAGCTTTGTCAAAGGCTTCCATGAGAGAGGCTCTGGACGCACCATGGGCATCTTCACTTACGCCGATGAGATTGATGAGAATACGGAGGTGGACCTAACGGCACGGGAACAGGAGCACATAGCCAGGATCGAAGACAACATGCTCGAGATCGACGAGGAAAAGATCAAAGTCAGTCGCCTGGTCAAGGCTTCAAAGAAAGCTCAGAAGTGGCAGTATATGGCTCAGAAGGCGGAGCTGGAAGGATCCTATCGCCGCGCTGAAGCAGAGACGCTGGAGATCCGCAGTAAGGCTCGCAGTCGCGGCGTGATACAAGCACTACAGACCTACTACGGTGAGCTGACGCCCGATCCACTCCCACTCCCTGCATGGTGCGTTGGCAACAAAGCATACAAGAAGCACCAAGTTGGCTACAAGACGACCGATGCACACCTTCCGACCCTATCTGTCGAGGCGACGAACACCCCGGCGGTTCGCAAACATTTATACCTCATCCCGGCCGAAGGTCTCATCAACGAGACCAAGAATCTCGTCAAAGTGCAGATCCCGATCCTGCTAAGCTGCTTCCAACTCTTCGTCAACAAGACACATATGGCGCGCCGGGACGAGATCGAAGCCATCGTCCTCAAGCCCCAGACAGAGGTAATCGAAGCCGTTGATGAGCTGTTCAAGGCGATCTGGAAAGACGTGAAGAGGCACGTTCTCATGCCGTACAAAGATGAGGAGTACAAGTGGACCCGCGATGCCAAGGCCATCGTAGACGGGTGGGCGATCGCCTACGATACTGGGACCCATCTGGCCATGCTGAAGAACAAAGGTCGACGGAAGGGCAAGGGCAAGAATGCGATGGGGATATCGTGGTGCTACGAGCTGTTGGAGATCAACCAGGCCGAGGTGGAAATCTTTCACCGCGACCTCTCGGACGCCTTTCGAGAGTACCCAAAACAGATGGTCAGCACGTTCGAGGGGTTGGTGCAGGAGATGGCCAACGAGATCCATGGTAAGCCTGATGCATGTACCTATTGTAGAATACTACTGATCATCCCCAGGCGATCTGCATCTGCGTCTCCTGGCTCTGAAGCCATTCCTCGACTACATCCTAAACGAAAAGCAGCATATCGAGAGGCTCGTCGACGACATCGTCCGCTCACTCCGACGCGGCTTTGGGTAGGTGCACACGCTCTTTCCAGTCTTATACCATGCTGATCCATCCCAGTAACTGCTTGTGAGACTCGTTCAACGATCTAGACGACTGCCACCTCGTCAAAGCCATGGACCCAGTCTTCACCGAATGCGCCCTCATCAGAGGCAAAGTCGGCACACCGCGCGAAAGGCTGGAGAAGTTCGAGGAGGCCATCACGCAAATGGGTGATGGTGTCTGGCACAAAGCTACCATGGGCTTGTCAAACCAATTCAAGCGTGTGCTGCGCGAACACACGATACAGCTCAAGAGCACTATGATGGCGTACTTTGCCAACATCCACAAGAACTTCAATATGCTTTGTGCTGACCCGAATGTCAAGGACGAGGCGGAGGATGAGCTACGTGAGAAGCTGAAGAAGAGTGTTATCACGGCTGAGGAGTTGCTGGAGAGGGAGATCAAGCCGCGTATGGAGGTTTGTTTGGGGAAGTCGGAGCAAGGGTTGTTCGTGGAGCAGGAGTAGTATGTGGATTGGGGAAGGATGGGGACAGGCGTGGTTTGGGAAGATGGGGAGGGCGGTTCCAGTACTCCATTTGGAGCATACCAGTACATCTGAAAGGCAGCCACAGTCCTGTCAAAGGAGACGACATGGCCTCTTCCAAGCGCTGGTTGAGGAGCTTGATACACCGAGATGGCACTGATAAGCATCTAAAATCCCACGACATCGTTCCTGCAAATGTAGTCATCGGCCTACTAGTCATATTATATCGGCTGATCACCCAAAAGATTATGTCGTGAGGTTGCGTCCGCACGCATCGCTTCTCGAGACGACATCTCCGTCCAACAAGCCTCTTGCTAACGCGCTGGCATCCTCCAAGTAATTCCCAATCTGCTCTGACACGTTCGAGAAGCGAACGATCCTTAACGTGCGCCTACTCGTGCCCAAGCCGTTTCATGCTATGCGCCTGTCGTCACAGATCGTCGCCACACCATGGATTGTACTGTAGTAGAAAGGACAATGCCACTAGACCGAATCGCGCAGGCTGCATAAACCTGGCAGCACACGAAACTGTAAAACAGGATCCCTGCTCTGGTACAGTACAACGGGCAACGGCTAGTCCAAACCTTCCATTCAGCCTCTCGCCATCCGCCTGCCAGCCTGCTTTTCGTGCCTGCTTGTACATTGTAGATCTTCTAACAGGCCTTGCGACACCTTGAGGCGCAGCATCTCGTCAACTACCTTCGTACAACCTAACCCGCACTCTACGATAATCCTTCTATATTTCTTCATCAGCAACGAAGCATCGTATAACGTGATCTCCATCCCGCCCTCCACACCAATCACCATCCAGGCCAATCTCATTAAACAGCACACTAAACCCATCCGTCCTGGAAGGCCCGTGTCCCCGTCTCGCGACAACCGCTGCGGCTTCCTCGAGTCTCGCAAGGCTTCGTGCAACGGTCGGAACCCAAATTCCTCTCTCTCTCGTGTCTTGAACCAGGCCAGGGAGGCAGAGCAGATGAGGCCGCGCCTTGACTACTGACTACGACCCGCGAACATTCATTTGACTGGCGACACCTTCATCTTCATGTACTGAATACAATAACACGCCTTTCACGACAACACATTCGCTACGCTACGCCATCCGATCACGCCATTCACTTCCAGCACGAAACACGAGAAACCAAAACCCAATCCAGGCGCGTGGAGGAGGGACTCGAGGACTTGAGTGAGGGACAATCACAACCACCACCATGCCGAACCAATTTTACGGGAGGTTCCAATCCTTTTGCGCGAACGCAGGCAACGAATACGCAACCCTCCCCGTCTGCAACCTGTTCAAAGAGAGCCCAGCGCGAGGCGGAAATGGTTTCGCAGACGGAGCATGCAATCTGGTCGGGATTTCGCTGAAAGGAGGGACACAACACCTAGCGAACTTGGGCTCGATACTCTTCGCTTTCATAGCGATTCTGGTGTCGCTTATCTTGTTCTGGCGGAGTGATAGGAAGAAGGCTGCTGTGGGACGGAGGTAGGTTCATACCATGGAGGTGAGATGGAGTGAGGAGAGTATACGGGCTAATATATGATTGCTTCGTGTGCAGGGAAATGCAATTCTTCCTCGTCGGCTACATCATCATTGAAATCTGCGAGATCTTCACCGTCGGCGGCTTCCCACTCAATGGTGCGGTCCGGAGGGCCTTTTCAGCAGTTCACATTGCCGCAATCGTCGCAACACTATGGATCCTCATGATGAACGGAGCCGTAGGCTTCCAACTTATTGACGACGGGACAATCGTCTCCGTCGGCCTCATCTTCGGCTCTGCGGCGGCATTGTTCGTGGGGACGGGATATATCGCTTTGGATACTGGGTTCTCATGGACGAATTACTGGGTTCCCACGACCACGGCGCCGAATCAGGCCTATGCGCTTTACACTCTCTATCAACTCGTCCCGTTAATCTTCCTCGTGGTTTTCTTCCTGCTGGAGACGATATTGGTATTACGGGTATTGGGTGAGGTCAGGCCAATGAGTAAGTACAAACCAAATTCAACACTTCCATCGCGAATGCACTAACATGATACCAGTCTACCTCGTCAGCGCCGCCCTCCTCTTCGCCATCGGCCAAATCTTCCAATACGTCGTCAGCTCGCACATCTGCAACGGCACTAAGGGAGCCATCAACGGCGGCATGTTCGAGACGCTGTTTACCTTACTTGCAGTCGTCTGCATATGGGTCTTCTGGTCGAGCATAACGGAGGATGATTGGCCGAGTGCGCCGCCCGGGGGGAGCACGTATACCTAAGCTTAGCTCTGCGTATTTTGCTAGTGTGTCCTGCGTTCGAGCATGTGTATGATTGAGTGAAGCCAGGAGGGTCGTTATATATGGGGTGGTAGTGGTAGATACCTTAGGGCCTGAGGGTGGGTGGATGGAGGTGGAGATGGATGAGGCAACAGTGAGCACCAGAAGTCACATGGGCTACGAGGGGTTTATACTGCTTTTGATGTGCATGAAGCGTTGGTGTTGGATTGTGTTGTTTTGAGGGAGCTTAAGATACCACTTTGAATAGTAATTATTACACCTTTCGCCACCGAAATCAGAAAGCGTGTTTTCCAGCAAATGAGAGCCAGTGCGTCGTGTTGTCTATTGCACTCCTGATCTGTTCCAGGGCGTGTGAAGATCTCTCCACTAGGTATATGTATGAATGTATTGACTTCCTTCCATCTTTACTGCACCCCAGTCAAACTCTCAGCGGACCCTTGCATGTGTTCAATGTGAGATCTAGAACCTAGGATTACGTACGTCCTGTATCCTACTACACAACCACTTCTCCAGCTAGTCTTTGATGTCAGCGGTATCCACCTGGGCTCCAAAGTGACTACACGACGCCACACCACAGCATTCAAACCGAGGACGCATTTTTCTCCCAGTGGCTGCGCCTAGAGCGCAAGCCCGCTGAGTAGCATGGACGATGCACTTCCAATGTCCTAAACTCACGCCGCTGCAATCGCGCTTCGTCGCTTCGTTTGCGGCGCTGCTGCTGTTGGGATTGGTGTACTGGTCGCTTTCGAATCCGCATTTTGCTTATGCGGCTGAGGTGGAGGGTGGTGGGTTGATGGGGGAGAGGGATGGGGACGATCATAATTGGTATCGGATAGAGGAGCAGAGGCTGCGGGAGGATGGTGTGGATGTGGGAGGGGGTGGGCAGGAAGGAGTCATGGAGGGAATGTTGGAGGCAGTGTTGGAGGCCAGAGCAGTAGCGGCCACTGCGATCAGCGACAATAACGCGCCGAATAATCTCAACATTGAGCCGGGTGGTACTACAGTATGGTCGTACTCGGAAGCACTGTTGACGAGCCCGGCGGCACCGAGCACGCCAGGTCTACCCAGTGAGGTAGGTGAGAAGCGTAGTCTGGACTCTGCGCATGCCGAGCTGCGCAAAAGGCAGGATAGTGGCGGCTCCACAACGATATATGTCTCGATCAATACGTGTCTGCAGCCTACATGGAACGGAACAGATCAGCAGAGCGATGCTCCTCCTCAGTTGACCTTGTACGTCTCCTCGGGCGCCGGCAACGAGAATATTGGCCCGAACGGACAGAACCAGGTTGTGCAAGAGCTATCAGAAGGGTTCGCAAACGTATCAGTCGTGGCGAGCGGAACATGGTACATCGCCGTCAGCGCACCCACCCTCCCTTCAGGCTACGTCGGGAGCTGGAACTACGAGCTCGCGGTATCTCACGATGCCTACTACCACTCCGCCGACGAGGAAGACCCAAATCTGTTCTTGGTCGACACAGACCAGCATTCTGCCCTACTCGTTACGAACAACCTTACGCAGCAGGACTCAAACTCGACGATCTTCCAAGACTGGATGGACCTTAGCACGCCTTTCGTCATGTTCGCTGCCAATGTCAACAACACTGCCATGTTGGGTTTGCAGAAGTCTTATTGTGCTTGGGCGAAGAGTGGTCAGCTTGCTGCTAGTCAGGATGATCCGCAGGGAGACAATACGGGGGTACAGATGGGTATGATAACTCGTGGACTTGGGAATAAGCCGAAGGAGCAATTCTATGTCACGAACTTGAACGCTTCAAGTCAGTACGTTGGTATCTTGGCCGAGCCTGGCAATTCTACCAAATCTGGCGCAGGTGTGGTAGGAGGAGGTGGCAAAGTCTGGTCGCCAGTCATCTGGCAGACTAAAGCAGACGGGAACTGCGCCCTCATGTTCAACCTGACATTCTGCGACGAAGTCGCCTACGCCGTCCCCAACAACCCAGTCACATTCAACACGACCAGCACGACCGGTGGCGAAGACGGCATCGACCGACTCCGCCACATCTACGACAACTACACGAGCTACTACTACCAACAATTCAACTACAGCCTCCAACAAATCCCCTGCAACATCTCCTCCGACGCCCAATACTCGACCATCAAAAATTGCACCGACTGCGCAGCCGCCTACAAACAATGGCTCTGCGCCGTCTCCATCCCCCGCTGCGCCGACTTCAGCTCTGACGAGACCCGCTACCATCCCAGAAACATGGGCCAGTCGTTTCCCAACGGCTCCGCGCTCCCCTCCGACCTCTTGAATACCCAATACACACCCATGTCCCGCGCCCCGACCCTCGACGGCACACCAGCCTACTCCCAAACCTACCTCTCCTCCCTCGCAACAAACAGCTCCCGCAACCCCATTTTAGACGCCCAGATCCTTCCCGGACCCTACCGCGAACTCCTCCCCTGCGAAGACCTCTGCTTCTCCCTCGTGCAATCCTGTCCCGCAGCTCTCGGGTTCGGGTGTCCGGCTCCTGGTCGCGGGTTAGAAGCCGGGTACGGGAAGCGGAGTCCTGATGGGGCACTGACGTGTAGTTATTTGGGGGCTGTGTACGATATTAGTGCGGCGGGGAATGTTTTCGCGCCGGTCTTCGAGGCGCTGGCGATTGCGGCGTTGGTGGGTTTGGTGGTCGGGGTTGTTTAGTATGCGACTGGGAATTGGCGGAGGCAGGGTTTCAGGAGGAGTTTGAGGGCGCAGGTTAGTGTGAAATCTTTCAAGGAGAAGGTGAGGCGTTCGGGGAGCGTGGAGGTGAATGGGTTGGGGTTGTGAATGGGTATGCTGTGGTGTTTCACAGGTGTCTGTACGAGCCGAAAGGGAGGGTTGGAGTTGGCTTTGTGAGCGGGACTTTTTTCACCTATCTTGGCGCTAAGGGCCATTGGGTTAGGCTTGCGGGCTGGCTGCTGCCTATTTCAGCTTTTTCCTTTGACCTGTGCGTTTGCTTGGAGACTTATTTCTGCTTGCAAGTACCCATCTCAGCAACTAACGAGTTACATCAACATCATCTCTTCATCTCATACAAATACATCCACCCACCCACATATATCCATACACACACATACAGAAGACGACTTATATAATAGCAATGTCGGCGCCACGCAGAAGCACCCGTGAGAGTAAGCACCCCTACAGCTACCATATGGGCACAACATGGGGTAACCAACTAATACATATCAGGGGAGGTCCGGTACGAAGTGCAGCCGGACATGAACGAGGGTATGTCTGCACAGCAGATCTCCACGAGAGTACACAGCACTGACACTACCATAGATCCCGGCAGTGAGTCGCCGCAGCACGAGGCAGAGGAGGAAGAGGAAGAGATCGAGTCGGGTAAGTAGGCGATATCTCAAGGAAACGATGTGGTGCTGACACCACTATAGAGGCTGGCGATGCTGTGATTCAGCAGGAGCCCAGCGAGAACGCTGAAGGTTTAGCTTGTGTCTGATATCTGTCATCTGATTGCTTTTACTGACCCACCTCGAGACTCCGAGCCACATCTCGCGGAGAAAACGCTCTGGTGGCCAAGTATGGCTCTTTGTACGCTGCAGTGGATGACAAGCAGCGCCGCAAGGAGCTGTACGACGGCCACTACCAAGACTTCCTCGTCCAGTCCGAGCCAAACAAGCTGAAGTCGGAACATCTCGCCCAACGCAAGAAGATGTGGGCTGATGGCCGCGAGCGCATCGCTGGTGAGATCGACGAACTGGAAGCGAAGATTGGTCGGCTCCGGGCGAAGCAGGAGCAGATGGATGTGGCGGAGGCAGAGTTGGAGGAGAAGATCGGGGAGGACGCGGAGAAGTGGGAGGATGACAAGGTGAAGTTGGCCGAGTGGAAGGCCTTCTTCGACCTGGAGACAGATAAGGTAGACGTTTGAATGCATCGGCTAGCTACTTCGCTGGTGAAAAGGTCGCCAGAGCGTTTCTAGACGACGTGAGAGGCCACAGTTGCAGGTAGAAGCCATAGGCCCCCGCACAGATGAGCACATAATACATCACCGTCCACCCAATGCCCAGACTCCGTGGCCCATCTGTTATGACCTGTGCTGTAGCTGTCTCGAACGATTTCTCCTTCTCCTGTGATAACAGCCCATTTTTTTGACGAGATGAACTTTCTGCATCTTCATCACGCTTTCCTTGTGCCACATCAGGAGTAATATGAGCCTCGTACGTATCGGCGAATCGTCCAACCCTGCCGTAGAGACGAGGCAAGCCTTGCCAGTTGCAGAAACTATGCGCCACGATGCATGCCCACAGGTTTCCAGTTCGTAAGAAGACGAAGGCGGCGAAGAAGCCGAAGATGGAGGTATAAGCGAACTGGAAAGTCGAACGCAGGATGCCATTGATCCAGATCGAAAGTGGGGGCAATGTACGGCCTTGAGGCGTATGTGATTGAAGAAACTCGACAAGATGATGGACGTGAGCTAGGCCGAAGATGAGTGGGGTGATGAAGATGACGCGGACGGGGTCGACTTTCGCAAGCAGGTATAGAGAGATAGTCAAGGCACGAAAGACCAGCTCTTCACTCGCCGGTGCAATGACGAGGTTGCGGTAGCCTGTCCAGTCATCGTAGAGGCTTTCCTTCAAAGACGAGATCGACCAACGTCGCCAACTACCATCAATGAGTATGCTCTCGTACAATGGCCCCACGAACAAAATCACTACCAATCCAAGCACTTTCGCAATGTCTAAGGGATCGACCGGCCAGACGCCCAGAAATCGAAGGACATCCCAAGCCGTGGCACGACCATACTTGACCAGGATATAGGATGTGCCCACAGTGCTGATCAGACATGTAAGTGCGACAGCACGAACACGAGCCCGGATAACGCTCGGTGCATTGCGAGATTGCAAAGGCGTGCTGCGCAGAGTCGGCGAGAGATAGAATGGCGCAACGTAGACGACGGTATATGCCAGGGCGCACAGCAGCGCGGTTTGCTGCGAGATCATAGGTGCTACCACTAATGACGTTGTCAGTCATTACACTACAGCGTTATACTGTCTCGACCGCAGATCGTGTCGCCGCGACATCCTCGAATTCTTGTCTCAAGCACTTCTTGTTATAGCACTGCCGTTGCGGCCATGTGGAGGAAGTAAATAGAAGCTTCGCATACCGTTATCCTTTACATAGTAGCTTCGCAGCTTGTCGAACAGTTTGCCGACTGGTAGCGGTGACATAGCGATATTGAGGCCTGTGTTCGTCTGAGAGATGAGGTCGATGCATCGAGGTTGTGGATCTTCGAATGAGGACGCTACGACCCGCCGCTATTTGTACTTTATTTTGGACGCGTCGGTCTCGCGTCTTCTTGCCAATGTCCGCATTCCAGGCTCCTCTGGGTTGAGATCAACCACTTCAGATCTCCAGCAACTTCTGCAATATGATAGAGTAATACCGCAGCATAATTAAATATGCTACCGGCACGAAAGGTACCGACAATTCTGCCGCGAAAGTGGTTGCATACGGCTCACGAGATCAATTGGCTGTCCGTGCCCTCCTCGGACGCGCCTTCGTTAATCTCCGTCGCGTCTGTGGGTAAACGCCAACCTATCGTGGCCATGCTCGAGCATGATGAGATGGCGTCGAAGGCACACGATCATAGAGCGACGCCATCAAGTACCCCTCCTGATGGTAGAATTTACGCAGCCGTGTCCTCGATCCCCCGGTGGAGAGACTCTCTTTTCCTCACCATCACCTCGACTGGATTCCTCCATCACCTAATCTCGCATCATTAATACCGACAGACGGACCATCGTGCTGCAGGACAGCCGTTCCCATATGCGCCACCCTGCATAACGCATACGACCTCCTGAGACAACTCTCCAAAAGCTCGAGCATCGCCATCGAGTGCATCTTTGGCAGCGCGGTCTGCGCAGTATGAGACTGCTGTTTTACATCTGGGCAGTCAATTTCATTATGCTCTGAGCGCTTATGCCGGAATTCGTTGCGATCATAAGTGTGCCTGGTGGCCCACCATGTTCCTCGACCCGGAGCCCAACAGGCAAAAGCTGCAGGTGTCCAGTTCACCATTCTTCGCAGCTCAGATGCCTGCTGAACGAGCTGGAGACCAACGATGGCGGAAAGCTCGCAAACCATTGCACGAGCGCACTTTGTCGCAGATGAACCAGCGGAGCCCGGAGAAATCTGGAACTGGAGGCGCAGTCAAATCCACACCCGCACCTACGGTCCGCTTAGTCAGGCATTCTCCAACATCTTCGTCGCCAGAACAGAGTCCTACAGAACCCGATGTTGGAAAGCTCGAAACTGCTCACGTTCGAGTGGCAAGGACGGTTAGTCTGAAAAGATATTCAAGCGATCGTGCGGCTCGCTTGTCGTCTTCAGCGGAACCAGCACTGGTGCAGGAAGCTAGTGCAGCCGAACAAGGATTCCGACCTTCAAGCCCAGACGAAAGTGTTTCAGGTTTGCGCAATTCAACCTATGATGAGCCGCGGAAGTTGGATCTACCACCAAGTATCACCCTGCTGCCGAACAATGCCACCCATGTTGTTCCTAAAACAGCATGGCATCGCCGCGACGCTTCCTCTGGGAACTACTCCAACTCCTCAACGCTGCAAGATATTGACAGCAGTCTTGTCACGCATAGCATACGGACAGACAGGCTCAGTGGAGGTACAACTTTGCGCGGGACGCCGACACCGTACGAACAGGAACATCCCAAGCACATCGACCTAGAGGAGTCACGGCAAGGACCTGCATATGCACTTCAAACACTGCAGGAGACATCGCCCGAGGAGCCCACTGTCCGAGCTATCCCGCCCTCCAACGAGTCGTCATCTACGCATGATCGACTGAGCTCGATCCCGTCAGAGCCCTCTCTGCCGCGCCCTCGCACTGCACAGTCGCCACCTGGCCGAGAACCAACGCCAGAGGTGTTCGATCCAAGTCCGCGACGCTTTTCGGCAGACAGTATTGCACCCCTACCACAAACTGTTCGCGACTACTCACACCGAACTCCCCGACACCAGCAAAGTCAGGAATCTCTATCGCCGAATCAATCAATTTTCCCAGAGGCATCTTCTCCAATCTTCGTTGTATACGAAAGCGACTCCTCGCGGCCGCGATCGCGCAGCCAACCATTGCGGTATACCCCATCGATTGAGTCGATACAGTCGCGGCTACAGTATCCTTCGATCGTCCGACCAGACACTGGCCGTAGTCTCGCACGTACCAGCTCATCTGCATCATACCATCACCCTTCGTCCTCGGTCGGCACACTTGCGCCGCTACAGGTAACAAGAAAGAGACCGCGCAACAAACCTGGACCAGTCTCCGCTACTGCCAGGACCGACAGCGGCAAGATGGATGAGGATTATGATACCCTGCCATATCCGCGACAGCACTTCAGCAGCCACCTCAGCACCATCGCGAGCGAAAGCGACCAGCAGAGTAGATCGAACAGTCGGCAACTGAGCCACTTTTCACTAGGTAGCGGCGTGCTCACCGGAGATGATGCGAGCAGTATTCCACTCTCTGGCCGGAGAGGAAGGCGTGGTAGTGCGCCAGTCGACTCAACATCATCTTCGCGGATCATGCGTCTGGGTCGCAGCAGTGAAGAACAGGAGCCTGGAGACATGACACTTGGGATATTTCGTGAGGAAAGTGCAAAGCCGGAGCCGTTGTTCGACCCGAAAGCTGGAGTTGGCGGAAGGAAGTACGATGGGCCCTTGCCACCAATCCCACCGATTCCGAAGGGCAGAGATGAGGACGAGAATTTCGATACTGTGTCCGAACTGCAGCAGCCTTCCCTCAGACCAAAACGATCTGGATACTCGTTGCGAAACAGGAGTAACAGCACACCCAGTCGCAGTGGCAGTCATTCTCGCCAGGTCAGTCAGATCAGCTATATTGATAGCGATCGCGGCAGTCACGGCAGCAGTATCTTTCCGCTATGGGCAAAGAACTTCTATGGTGGAGGTGCGACTCTGTTATCGTCCAGCAAGATATCTCTGGGAGGCGACTATCGCACACCACATCCCCAGCAGAGGCAGCAACATGGCCGCAATGCTAGCAACTGGACAGAGAGAAGTGTCACAAGCCGATTGGGTACTGGGTACAGCGAGATCGAGTCCGACAGTCCTTCGAGCAGTCGCTTCTTGCCTAGCATTTTCCGACCCCGAACACGACCAAAGGGAGAAGGCACTGGACGCATGTCAAATCTGCGGCGAAGCAAGAGAAGTCGACCTTCGGGTGATACTGAAAGCAGACCAGATTCTCTAGCCATCTTCAGCGAGCCTTTCCCTCCACTTCCTGGGGCTGAGGGCGAAGTACTACCTTCCGGCCAGCCGAAATTTGGCAAGCTCAAGGACAACTGTGAAGACGAGGAAGCACAGGCGCATCGTCCACTAAAGAGGAAGTACTCGAAGCAGAAACATTGGAACGAGATGGAGTTCCCACGACCTATGACGAAAGATCGACTAAGTGACTTTGCGCTGGAGCACCCACACCTTACGCCTTCACGAAGGCAAGGCAAACTCTCGACCTGGCGCCCGCCTTCATTCGTGGAGAGTCTGGACACCCTTGTGCGTTCGCGCTGCAATCGACAGATTCTGCTTTTTGCTCTCGGCTTCATCTGTCCGCTGTTATGGATGCTTGGCGCTGTACTGCCTCTCCCGAGTAGACCTGCTCAGCAGGACCATGAGAAGAGCATAGGTGGTAGTGAGGAGGATGTGCAGATGGCTATGATGAAGCACGAAGCTGGCGATGCTGAGCGAAGATGGCGGGAGGAGAAGCAGTGGATGAAGGCGAGGTGGTGGAGGACGCTGAATCGTGTTATGAGTATTATTGGTGTGCTCGTTATTGGCGCGGTGGTAGGTCTTCAGTTTCATCGAGTGATATTGTGTGCATTCGCTGACCAGGATTGCAGATTGCGCTGGCTGTTGTTGCGACAAGGCCGAACTCACGTCTTAGCTAGACGATATTGTCCTTTTCTCTTCCTGACTTCGACTTCTCTAGATGAGCGTACAGCGATGCATCAAATGATACCCATGACGACTTGCGATATACTTGGATGTAATGTTTCAGATAGTCAACCACGCCTACTCCGGCACAACAATCTTATACACACATACCAAAAAATCAGAACAATCCGATCTAATCTACAGTTTCCTAAGTGTGATACGATCAGTGCACTTGCAATCATCGAGGGATCTGTGTAGAAGGACAACTACCTGACAACTTCGGGCGAAAAGATTGGGAGGCAAAAGGGAAGGAGTCCGTGAGAACATGTAATAGAGTGGTGGTCGTAAAAACTGGCCACCGCGAGAAGAGTGTTTCGCTACTTCCCTGAGCGCGACCATTTTGCATTATTGCTATATCTTACAAGAATAGCTTGCCGGCATGATACCGCAGGCAGTCATCTGGGAGTCAGAGCGGCTCGAGTACTTAGTGTGCTGTGCCACAGTGTTGCAGCCCGCACTTATTCTCGAGCGAGACGAGGGCCAACGCAAATGATGGATCTCATATACGAGCAGAGGAGAGAGATAAGTTATAGGAACTGCTGCAGAAGCTGGCGCGAGAGGCAAGGGTAAGCCAAAAGCAAAAGGGAAGGAGTTCGTGAGAACGTGTATGAAGCAGATCGCTCGTTAGAGAGATCTACTGCCCAAGAGGTTGTTTTCTACTACTTCCCTAATTTTCAAGCGGTTTTAACAACGATTATATTGTTGAGAAGTCTGAATGCCGGCATGAGACCGTAGGCAACCATCAGGGAGGAGTCAGAGGCATAGGCATGGATATGCACGAGTCATGCGCCCAAATCTAATCTCTGTGGAGCTTGGGTGCCCATGACAGTAGACGAGCTGTGTTCTGTGGTGCTTCATACGTTCGGCTGCAATGTACATGATATCACACACATGATCGTTCATGCCTTCGTGCTCGTGTGCCGACTTTTGGCTGGATGTTTCAAACAAACCTCTATCGACTCCAGAACACCAGGATAATCGACCGATATTAGTCACACACATTTACCCTCATTTCAATCTGCTCATGTCACAGTATTCCTCCTACTCCCAGCAATCCTCGTCCGCTCCGCATCAGACATCTTCTCCTCTTTCTTCGCTTGCTTAGCTTCCTTCCTTGCCCTCCACTTCTTCTTGATCCCGAAGTCTTGCCCTGGTCGAGCAGCGTACTCTTGCATCGACGTATGGCCGTAGAAACCATGCAATGTGGTGTCGCCTACCTGGACAAACTTCTTGTCCTCAGCCCAAGCATGTAGGGCTGCTAGATAGTGGGCTTCAGACGGGAAACCTTTGTAGGGTTGTTGCGGGACTACTGTTGGATCGGCGATTGTATCTCGTCGTTCCAGAGGATTGTGGGAGTTGTTGTTGTTGGCTGCTATGCGGAACCTTTGATCTATTGCATTCTGCGCGGTCGATGGCGCCGGCGAGTGTGCGCGAGGTGTGCGGTCGCCCCCATCATCGGCGAAGTCTGTAATGATCGATGCGGACTCTGACGGTGCTACGCTGTCTGCGAGGAGATATCGCCGGTCCGTTTCTGTCGAGCTTCGAGGCTGGAAATTGTAGTTGGGCGCGAGGGTAGCCATTGTGGTAGATGACGGGAAGTATCAGAGTGGTGGCAAATGAGAAGTTCGCCACATGGTTACGAAGTTGCAATCATGAATTGACAATTGGAAGAGAGCGATAGCTGGGTCACAAGCATATGCTTACCTTGCCTGCAGATCTACCCAATGCTTGAGGGTTGTATGGTCACCGGTGGCGAATAACGTGGTCCACGATGATTGCGAGACGGCACACGTGGAGTCGAGAAGTGGAACAAGATCGACATAGACATTGCCCGAAGAGTACACGATCTGGCTTTCTAATAAGGTCTGCTACCAAGATGGTCTCTATTACGCGGGTGAAGCGAGAAGGAAGACGACTTGGAGATCCGCTCATTAGGACATATCATTCGTGATCTACATCGGCTGCAAAGGTAAGGACTACTCGAAGCAGCCAGAGACATTTGAGCCCTTTAGTCATTACTTCTTGACGTCCATCCTCGCCTCGTTACCAGCAACTTGGTCATATTCCCTCTGGCTGGACTCATGCGGCTTCTCCAGCTCATGGTCACCCGGCGCTCCAGGCGGTGGCAGCCTGCTCGAATCATACTGCTTGCCTTCGCATGCCTGCAGAGTCTCCCAGAACTGTACCACGCTGCCCTGCGGTGGCTGAACTCGTCCACCCAAGATGTCCTTGTGCCTCACTTCCTTGACACCGTAGAACCGCTCGTTCTCGCTCGTACGCTCTACAATAACAGTCCCGTCAATCTGCACACCGAGATACAATCCCTTGCTCTTGGTATACGTCCACACAGGCGCCTGCCTCTTGAAAATCTCGCTATCGACCGTACTACCGCCGCCCAACGGTCCAACAGAAGCACTGATCTCGCCACCAAGCGTGGCTCGCACACGTGTGAAGCCCTCCATGCCCTTCTCGTTGTTAATGACGCAAACACAGTCGTAGATATCTGCTCCGGCTACGAAGCCCCAGCCGAGGGTATGGATCATGATGCCTGAGGGTGGAGACCAGGAGCCGTCAGGGAGTTTCGAGACGATGACACCAGAGCCGCCGGCGCCAGACCAGTGGAGACCTGTACGGAAGACTGTGAAGATTGCTAGGCCGCGGCAGTTGCGGATGGCCTGCGTGGCGATTAGAATTTGTTCCGAGAACGTGTTCACATGTGAAGAGGACAAACCTCTGCCGGAACGTGATCCAGGCTTTTCTGCTTCTTCTCGTTACCATGCTTACCGCCTTGCTCCGACTGGAAGCCATCGAGGCAGAAACTGCGCAGGATTCGTGCTGCTTTGTCGGACTCTTGATCGAGGGAAGCAGGCCAGAAGGCTTCGGCGCCTAGTTTGTTCGAGAGCTTGTTGACGGGCGCTCCGACCTTCTGGAAGAATACATTGCCCTTAGCTTTCCAACTGTCCCATTTGTTGTTCTTCGCAGAGCTATCGGTCGCCATGATGTGCTCTGTTTCGATTGTCAATAGCGAAGAAGAGGTGCTGTTTAGGTATCGTTCAACAGGTGCACTCAGTTTGAAAGGTGAAGGAAGATGATGCCGGGAGTGCAAGATTGGTAGGTGTAAGCTCTGAACCTGTTTGCGAGGTGGCTGCTAGCCTGCTCCCATGTTGGGTAGCTCGTTTCTGCACGAATGAGTAGTGAAGGAGCTACCATCGTGGCTGAGTGGTGGACGAAAGGTTGGCCTGCAACATGACGTCCATGAAGATAAATCATGCTTACAGTACGCCGTAGTATTCTCCTGCTGCCGTGAGACTACTGTTTACGCAGTACCACGATCATGGTCGATGGATCTGAATGAACGCTTCATTGCCGAGACAGCGTTATGGTCATCGACTTTGAACATTGAGATGTTCGTGAGCTGCAATCATCTCGAGTTAACGCTGCTACTGGCAGCAGGGAGATCAAGACACGATGTTCTGGAACGAAAGAACGATATTCGAGACTCCAGATGGTCCTTTTGTGCCTCTCACCGTCCTGTTCATACTGACATTCGATGCTTGTATGTCATACAACATGCCAAGATGGTCTGGTTTTGATAGGCTCTCTCATGCAATCTGGTTATTCGGTACCTCGCGACGTACTATGTTTCATCCATATTAGCCTAATGCATGGGTCACGGTACCATCCATCTTGAGGCACTGCGACTGTTCGGCAGCATTTCTGATATGCTCGTCAAGTACAACACAGTTCGAGAACGCCACCATGACTGACGACACGGAATATCAGAAACTCGAACGCGACCCGGATGCCTCATCTGAGGCCGATCTAGAGGACTATGTTGAGACACCCACGACTTTCCAACAGCGAGCACGATCGAAGTGGCCAGCATGGATACGGATACTCTGCGAGGGTATACTGGTGGCAATGGTCATCCTGCTTGGACTCAAGGTGGCATCAGGCCGGGGAGAAGGCCATCCTGGGCCCAATGATCCGCGAAAACAATGCATGTGGTTCGAAGGCTAGAGTGGAGCGCGGCGAGACTGACCATACAATAGTCGGCTTCACAGACACTGTATTCATGAACGACACCAAGTTTGCGAACGAAGACGCACTCGCTGATCCCGATGCTCTACGCACTACGCTCGAGCACTGGGTGACACTCTCGTCAAGTATGTCGCCCGGGTGATCAAACTTGGCTGAGTAGCTGACATTTTCGCCACAGAAGGGCGAGGCTATGTACGAGTCCCAGAGAATGAGCGACAAAGCATGGATGGCCCACCTTATCTCCTCAACCCTCTACATAGACCAATTGAGGCCGAAGCTTACATGGTTTCTGGACTCCATCAGCTACATTGCTTGGTACGCTCTTCCCTTTGAAATGTACAGAATAAGCTGACATGCCTTTCAGAGCACAATCATGGCATCATACTCCCGCATGCGCCAAGGCAAAGACGAGTCCGAATTGGGCTACCACATCGCGCATTGCTTCGACTACCTGCGACAAGGCATCGTATGTGCTGGGGATGCGACTTTGGAGGGCAATCAGTCTGCTACGTACCCGGGGGTTGAGATTCCATGGGGCACCTCGCACCGTTGTGCGAATTGGCAGGCGTTGGTTGATTGGGCTGATGAGAGGACGATTTGGCCGTTTCCTCCTGGCATTGATATCCTTTAGCTCTGCAAAACCACTTCGTCGCCAGTCTTGAGCAGAACTTTGTCATGATACTTCCCGCCCAAGCATGCCTGATCGTGATAAGCTGCTGGAGGCGAAGCGAATCAAGAGATTTATTGCTACGAAGTATGCCACTGTGACCACCACAAAGACGACACTGGCGACCACAGCATATGTTCGCCACTGACACTCAGTGCTTCACTGTAAGATCACGGTCCTTGTCGTCCATAGAAAAGCACACAAGCATCGTCCCATTCATTCAGCGACACAAGCTCTGTTCTCTCCTTCACTTCCCACTGACTTGTCACCAAGACTTGCTCATCCCTCCGAAGATAGTCACACTCAAGCCGCAACTTTCTCACGTATGGATATGGTATGCCAGCAGTAGCAAAGACTTTCAGCTTCGCAACAATTTCCGCTATCGTGCCCGGCCACGTATCAGGGGTGTAGATATCTACGAAGATAACCTTGATAGTGAGAGTGTCGATACAATAGGCCTCTTGCTCAAATCCAGCAGCTGGGTGTGACCATGCAGTACTGGTGCCGTAGCGGAGAAACATGTTGAGCAGAGTATACAGACCGCAGAGTCCTGCTCCAGCGGTTCCTGGCCACGTATTCCGCGGCTGTAAGCTCTCCGTACTGAAGATGCGTAGTTTCATGTTCATATCTGCTGACTTCCCACGCTGAAGTATGATCGGTTGTTTCGTCCAAGTAGGCCAAAGCAGGTAGCCTTTGACCATGACATCTACTTCTGTGATGGCGTTGCCGGTCTTGTACAGGGTGTCGACTTGTTGCTGGATCTCCTCGCGTAGCTGGTGATTGATGTTCGGTATTCGCGAACGACGAGACAATGCCGTATTTGATGGCAGCATGATACCCTGTGGGCCTTTGGTACGTTTGTCTGGGAATAGCGGACTGATCGGTTCGTTGCGCGAGGCGAAGACCAAGTACGCCAGAATATGATTGCGCAATTCGCGCGGTAGGCCTAGCAGAGATAGTCTTGGATAATCCATAACTGTGGAAACAGTCCTGTGCTGTTGAGAAGCGAGCTTGATGATGGAGGTGGTGCGGCTGTCGACGAAGTGCGGTTGGATTTATGGTTCAGCATGCCTCATGATATAGCTCTGGGGAGACACGGCAAGAAAGTGGACTGCAAACTCAACCTTGGAGCAAGCCGACGTCTCAACATTGGTAGACTGATGTATCAATAATGTTGTTGCTTCTGCAGTGTGAAGCCGATTTTGCAGAAGAGTAATTCTTCGGAACTGTATCGTACACTTGCTACAGGCACTAGAGTGTGCCCTTCAACCCGAGCGCCATCGCTAAGATACACTATAGTACAGTCATAATCGTTACACTATAGTTTAGTCATAATCGTTACACCATAGTCGTCGTCGCTTGCGTCTCCCGTGATAATCTATACATGCCCATGAACACCAAGTAAGCCAACCCACACCATCTTGTCCACTAAACCTCATTGAACACTCGCACCCTTCTCCTCCAAAGCCGGCCGTGGCATGATCGTCATCGGTCTTGAAGGTCTCGCATGCCACTTCTCTCGCCCCGTCGATATGCTCTGATAATATCGTCCACGCTGATACTGCCGTCCAAGATGCTGCTCGCGGGGATTGGATGCATCCATAATCCATGTTCGTCCGCCTATAGCACCCTTGCGCCGCTCGTGTCGACTAAACATGAACGTACGTGAGGCTAGGATTCATGCCCGAGTTAGCGTCTTCATCTTGATCGTGGTAGATATCATGCTCTTGGGAAAGGTCGTCATCATCTTCGATGTCTTCAGTATTACCATTCACCCGGTGTCCATTCCTCAGCACGCGTCCGTCACCCAGTGTAGCGTGGGCGGCGTTCATGGCGTCGATGTCCTTGCCGCGACCCGCGCGAGCACTACCCGCGCGGTTGGCGGCTGTCCACTCCCAGCACATAAATTGCCAGTTCAGCTCTTTGCGCCAGCAAAGGCCGTATCCGAGGCCGACAGGACCAGAGTCGTTGCTATCCATCTCCGCTGTCAGGCCTCCTGTCTCGGACATACGATGCTTGAAGATGACACGGCCAACACGGCTGTGTACCAGTGCCATCGAGCACATGATACATGGCTCGTGGGTGAGGAAGATCTCCAGCTTCAAGCAGAGGTAGCCATCGGCTTTGATGTTGTCCTTGTCGAAGTATTGCTGTTCCAGTGCGTTGACGGGTAGGTCGAGGAAGAAGGCGTCGCGTGCTTTCTCATCGTGAGCCAGACCAGCACTGATGAAGCCGGCCTCAGCTTTCTGCGCTCGTGTACTGATAGGTTGCGAGGCGATGCGAAGGCGTTTGCGTCCGACCATACCGATGGCGCGCATGACAGCATGGCACATGACATTGCCAGATGTGCATGCGTGCTCTTCAGCTAGCTTGGCCAGCTTCTGCCCTTGCTTCTTACGCTTCTTGCGAGCTGTCTTCTTGGCGAATGCTCCTCCACCTCCTTTCCTCGTACCTTTGTCGTCCTCCTCGAGATCTTCTAAGCTGAGGTCTTCCAGAGACACGCAAGCGCCGTTCTCACTAGGTAACGGCTTCCCTCTCGCATCACCTGCCACTGCAATGATCTCTGTCTGGTCCTCGACACGCTCCACAATGACACATCCAGTGCTGATACCGTAGCCAAGCTTTTCGGTGGCGTCTCCTGCTTGTTCGGCAAGCTGCATCATAGCTTCGATACTGACGTTGTTGGTGGACGGCTCTTGCAGTTCAGTCTCTGCTTTCTCAATCGTGGCCGGGTGAGCACCGAATGGATTCGTCTTGCGGTAGAAAGTCGGCCAGTATTCGTCACTCCAGGCTGCTGCTTGTTCGGGTGACGTCGGGGCCAGGCGTGGCACAGTGACCTCCTTGAGCTCGAGTGGATACGACCATGAGTCCGGCGAGGAGACGAAAGGAGGGTGCAGAAGAAGCAGATCGTGCAGGTCCTTGACTCCAATGACGTTGGTAGGACATATCAGTAGGTAGAGAGTGGGTGCACGGCTTTCATTGCGCTTGCGTGCAGAAGCTGCCCATTCCCATGAGGGCGACTCTGAATCCTGCATGAGGGATGGTGGTCCAGCGTCCCAACTACGAGGGACCGAGTACAGCTCCTTGATACGGTCGCGTTCTCCGATCACATGAGGTGGAAGGAACTTGGGTTTGGCAAAGCGGCGTAGGTGCTGTAGGTCGAGCGCGTCTTGGCCTTCGACATTGTCCTTGATCACTTTCAATATCCATTCGGCATGCTTACTGTGGGTTGTCAGCAGGACTCTCGTGGATTTGAAGAATTACACAACTTGCCTAGGCAGCTCGACGATATAGCAAGTGACTGTGTCGTTACCTAGCCTGCATTCTTCTTTGGACTTCAGCATCACCATACGTCTAGTGGGTGTTAGCAGGTTAATATTATCTGGTCAGGCGAGATCGAAGATGGCAGCATACTTCGGCGGTGGCGACGACGGTGATGTGGTGGCAGTGGACGACTTGCTCGTCGGTAACGCTGCCATGATGGCTTTGACACCATACCAAGCTGTGGCAAGCGAAAAGGCGAAAGTGGATAGAAGGAAGACATGTTCAAGGAAGCCTTTTGGCTTGCGCACTAGCGCTGTCACAAGAGTAGAAGGAGCATTCATTGTGTTTCGTGCCTGCTCATTCACGTGAGGCAGGAGCGGGTGCAGATGGATATGCAATCGCATTCCTTATAATTTGTTAGAACGAATCACAGCTGTGTTCGCCCGGGAGCTAGGAGCGGGCCGTATGTTTGACCAATCAGTCGCGCCAGAACTGCAGGCATCCCGGTGTTGAAGCGTTCACCTTCACGACCACAGTCGCAGAAGAGTGCTTCAACGACAGAAATTGCATTCACGTGGCAGCTTTGTGGTACAGAAAATGACGGTATCAGGCTGGCGACGATCTTCAGCGTCACGAACGAGATCAGGATAAACGAATTGTCAAGTTCTGCTTCCTTCTCGTATTGGAGAGAACGGTCCCACATTTCCAGGAGGCACGATATGGCACTGAGCAATGGAAGGAAGCAGGAGAACATCATCGTAGATGCTCCGTCAATTACTATATCGAAAGCTCCGTTGCTGCCATATGGACGCGCCTTCTTGATGTTCTTGCCGACTCCTAGCACATTTCTCTGGAGGGTTCAGCCAAGACTCATCGGCTACGGCCACTGGAACAGTCGGATTGCAACTCTGCGTTGGACGATATCCGTCGTCGGCCTCTACGCTGAGGCTGCTCAGATTCCACTGACAATGCACCAGCTCTGCCCACTTGTCAAGCTTCAATCCCTGTCGGCCCTTTGTTCATCATTGAAATCCACTCACCATCATAGCATCCTCGACGGCATCTTCGAGCCAGATCCCTCCATCTTCTCCTTCATCTTCTGCTTCAGAAGCGTCTTGTGACTCTTCCACTTCCTCTCGAGCTCTTTCACGCTCCTCTAGGTCGGCTTGTAGTAGCGCATTCGTCTTGTCACGTAACAGATCAATGGTCTCGTTCTTGCCCTGATCAATTTCCAGCTGATCGCACATATCCAGAGCATCGTGCAGCATCTGCTGACCAAGATATATAGGCACGACTCCCGACATAAGATGCAGTGTCAGGATTTAGGCATATCTTGGGAGGGATGTGAAGCTCAGCAGCTCGGTGCAGCGCTCGTGGCAGCTTGAGAAGTTGTTGTGTTCGTAGTCCAGCCGAGCCTGTTCTAACCATCAATAGTGCATTCGTGCCTCGGGTGTGAGATCACCGGGGATCCACTGCAACCACTCGTCTTCTGGTAGCTCTTTTTGCGGGTGAGACGATTCAAGGGCGTTGTGCGGATCAGAGTCATCAGTCGATACCTCGGGACTCTTTGATATTTGCCCCTCCCCGATGCGCATGGCACGTAGTTGCTAGTGAAGCTGGGAATAAGAGTCTGCCATGGCGAAGGCAGTGGAGCTCGCTGACAGGTGTCGGTTTGTCCGCGCAGTCGGAAGGCTCCAAGAGTGTGTTGGAGAAGAACGCATGAGGCTGGGTCGTGCCTTCCTGGGCATCGCTTCAACGTCACACAAGCGAGAGCTTTATGGATGCCCCATCGGCACTACACGGGCCGCTTTTTGCAATCGTTTGCTAGACTCAATGAAATGCAGGTTGGGCGTACCGATTCACGCAACGGTCAATGAAGTTCGCAGCACATCGATTCCTGCTCGACCGCTATGGATCTGAAAGCCGATATCGCAAGACAGGCACTGCTGGCCACACCAGGGGATGCACAGAAGCATCATGCAAGGTCCGATCAGAGCGCTGCAGTTTTAAAAGCTCAAAACCTCCCTGTCAATACTGCGCCACGCCAGGAAGAACTAGACCAGCTCTGTGGCGAACTTTCAATCTATCTTGATGTGTCACCTCGATCAGCCAGAACCTCAGATCCAACAAAAGCATACAAACCTGGACAGCCACAGACTACAAGCGAGGGCTCCCGGGAAGGCCAGAGAGTGGCATCGCCAACGAGTCAACCCTGCACTATCGCCGAGTATCTCGAGAATGAAAATTCAGCTCAGACTCCGAAGTCAGCATCCCAGACCGTCCCTGAGCAATCTCATTACCTAAAGCATAGCGACAAGCGGCGTACCGAATACTTCATAAAAAGTGAGCAGCAAGACACACCGCAAAATCCCGCCAAGACAGCACACCAGGAGGCTCCATCGCTACGAGATGATGAACAACCGCACGGCGTTGCTTCACGGACTCTTGTTCACACGGCTCATGAACAGCACACCAACCAACTGCATGAGCTCACGCACTTACACAAGTTGTTCATGGCGCAGCAGCGTGATGCTCTGCAGCGAAATCTGGCCGTGTCAGCTGCGCAGCTAGATGGACTCCAGACGCAGCTTGCGGTCGCGAAACAGGCTCATGCAGAACTGGATGATGAATTTCTTGCTATCCAGAAGGACGTCGCCGGGCTTGATAGAGGATGGTATGGCCTACGCGGGACAGGTCGGCCACGGAGTGCAGAATGGTGAATGGGAGTATAGTGCGAAATATGACGGAGACGACGCGAGGGCTGCTCGTGTAATGCATGTACTTCACAATCCCTAACAATCGTGAATGTCGTGAGGTAATTAAATAGGCTCGCTTACGTGATGCAAGTGCGCGTAAAGTCGCGTCTCTCCCCATGTAAATCCCCGATCACTATCCACCATTGGCAGTATTACCGTCATGGGCCTCGAACAACTTCCAGATGAGCTCATGCTGACCATATTCGAGCAATGGCCATGTCGGGAACAGCAACTCAAGCAATTGTCGGCCTTATGCGCCGTGGGTCCTTCCACTTTGGTCATTCATGGTCCGCACGCCACAGGCAAGAGTGGCATCACTAGAGCATTTCTGGAGAAGTCGAAATACTGTTATGCAGTCATCCAATGCCGAGAGTGTGTGACGGGTCGGCACTTACTCGAGCGCACAATAGCTGCCGTTCAAAGCGCTGTACATGATAAAAATTCAACGTACCAAGGACGATGTGAGAACCTGAGTGCTCTTGCAGCTCATCTTCAACGACTACTGGCTGGGAGGAAGCGGTTTATCCTCGTCTTCGATGGCGTCGACAGACAGCGAGAAGCTCCGCCGACACTTTTGCCAGCTCTCGCACGACTAGGCGAGCTGATACCAGGCCTGACCACGATCCTCATCGTACGACATCCTGCTCCACGCTTCCTACATCAGACTGGAGTACCACACATCAGCTTATCATCCTATACGCGAGCGCAGTCTCTGCGGATACTGGCTCAAGAACCCTTGGAAATCTTCCTTGAGCCACCGCCAGACGACCTAGACTACGATGACGAAACGCACGAAGAAGACAAGAAGTGGCTCTGGCCTCGGTTCTGCGATGCAGTATGGGCCTCACTAGCTCAAAATGCCGCTCGCGACCTGCTGTCTTTCCGCGAAGTATGTCATAAGCTCTGGCGCCCGTTCGTCGCACCTATCATCAAAGGCGATTTCGGCACGAGAGACTTCAGCAGGCTGTTAGTTTCGCAGAGGAGATTGTTCCAGGACGAGAGTGTCTTGCTCGATACGATCATCACGCCGACAAAAAGTGCATCAACGAAGAAAGGAAGCCCTGAGCTTCCATACTATGCTAAATGGTTGCTCATCGCTGCTTACTTGGCTTCCTTCAACCCAGCGAAACTGGATGCGCTCTACTTCATGAAGTCAACGGAACGCAAACGTAGAAAGAAAGGCGGTGGTACGGCTAAGCCCAGTAATCGCCCGGGTCAAGTTCGCAAGATCCCGCGACATCTACTTGGTGCTTCGACGTTCACGTTGGATCGCTCACTATCTATCTTGCATGCTATCCTACCACACGATCTTCGAAGCACGATAGACGTCTACACGCAGGTCGCAACACTGACGAGCTTGCGACTGCTTGTTCGGGGCGGAGGCATAGGAGGTAGTGACCCGTTAGAACCTGGTGGGAAGTGGAGGACTGGTCTGGCGGTTACTTGGGAATATGTACAAGCGTTGGCCAGAAGCGTTGACTTTGGCTTGCTGGACTATATAGCTGAATAAAGTGAATATACAGCAATAATGACAGTGATTTACGCCCCCCTCGACGGTGCAGCTCCGGTCCTTTAAGGACCAGGCCCAGTCCTCCGAACTCCAGCACCAGGAGTGAATCTCCTCACACCTGCACCCGCATTGCCAGCCATAGGCGGTCCCCTTCTCACGCCTGCCGCCCCGCCCGCACCACCAGAACCAGGCGCTCTCCTCCTCGCCCCCCCTGCACTACCACCCGGTCCACCCTTCCGCCTAGCCGCATTCCTCTCCTTCATCTCGGCCAACCTCCTCTTCTTCTCCTCGGCCTCGGCCTCCACAGCATCAAACATATACGCCTTGACCACCACTCTATCCCCGTAATCCTTCGTCGTCGTACCGCTCACATACATCTTCTCGAAATTCCTTCTCCGAGCCGCGACTGCACTGCGAGCGGTACTGCTTGAGCCTGTAGATCCCAGGCCGCGAGACTTGATCATGGTGGCGTAGTCACGCAGTAATTTGTCAGCTGTGTTGGCGGCGGTAGGGAGGGTCTTTTGAGTCTGTTTGTTGAAGTGGTAGGTGCTGGTTTGCCATTCTTGGGCTCCTGTTATGCATTTCCAGGGTCTTATTATTGAGGTAGGCGGTTTGAAGAGGTTGAGTTGGTGAGTAGGTTTTGTGGTCGAGACGGATGTTGAGGCATTGCGGCGAAATTGCTTGGATGTGAGGGCGAAAGTACCACGGGGTACTGATGGGAGAAGAGAGGCCATGATGTGACAATGTAGGATACTATATGTTCAGACGATGCCAATGGATAGATGCGTGAGAGGATGCGGCATATCGGGAGTGGTACAGTAAGCACAAAAGTCATGGTACCGTGCATCGTTCACTGTCCATCATCTAGTCTACCTTCTGATGATCATGTTCACCACACGACATGGCCGCAAGAACAGTACAAAGGGCGAATCGCCATGCCGTCGACCTCCTGGATCCATCCCATCAAGCCGGCCTCCAATCTCTTCTCACCAAAGTCTACAACAAACCTGTTGAACTGGAAATTGTGAAGCTACGGCGACCACATCTTGACGCCGATATCCTCTCCTCATACGTAACCCAACGATTACTGGACCGTGCCCTTGGACCGCGAAGAGTCATCCGCGACGCAGCCTGGAAAAGCAATCTCCCCACGCCCCGAGTAGTCACAGAACTGCAACAAGCCAAACGGCAACCGGGCCGGATGATCTCCAGCGATACCCTCACATCTTCGTCCTCCTTCGGTCCGCTACGTGAGCAAACGAGTGCGATATTGCGATCAATACGGCTGAGTCAGGTCAGCAGTGTGAAAGTGGAGGCGGCGGGTCGTTTGTCCAAGCGTATGACGGCCAATCGAGCACAGAAGAAGATTGCGAGGAGAGGTGCCAATGGGAAGGGGCCGGGATATATGATGAGGGGATTCAAGAAGGCGCATGCGACTTCTAGTCTGAAGGCGGGCAAGAGGAGGATTGGTAGTTATGGTGTGAGGGTCGATGTTGGGCATTCGTGAATAAGGTGATGGGCTGTCGGCTTATTCTTGCCACATGCCGCATGGCAATGGGCATATCTCGTCTTTGCACCTAGTTGATGACGGAGCGGACATACATATGGTGCATGCTACGACCTTCGAGATGAAGTGCATCTAAGCAAGGCCCTAGGGGAACCTGTTAAAGCTAGGCATCGGATATTAGTGAAGTTCGACCAATACGATCGAGGTTGAAGGAGAATGCGGCCGAGAATGGAGACAAGACATCTCGCAACTCAGATATGGAAGGAGCAGCAGGGTCGCGTTCGCTGTATGTACATATATGTAACCTTACTTGATCATGAATCCTTGACTACACCACGGTCAGTCTCAAGTCTCAGCAAATAACAGATCTTACATTGCCACGATGCCGATGTCTTCATGGGCTGGCGTGGCCGCGCTGACAGGCCAAAGTAAGGAGGGCCAACCATTGGAGTATTCTATCCACAATGACCTCAGCCAGAACAGGGCCGTCAACCATTGTCAAGCGATCTGGACCTGCCTGCAATGGCCAGCACTGTCAGATGTCCGAAGGTCACTGCACTCTCAAGACCTGCGAAGATCGCCTTCGCCTGCAGACGAAGCAGATCGAGTCCAAGATAGCCTCACTAGCCAATGGCTTCGACGAGCACCTGAGAATGCTTGAAAGACTCAAAGCAGATATCTACAATACCTGCAATACCGAAACCTTCTTATCTCCAGAAATGGAGGCCATCAGACTAGACGTCACTCAGGCCATGCGTATGAAAGTCGAACCGGCTTTGTGTTAGTGCTACAGCTGCGTCCACTTCGCTGCCGGCCGGGTGCTTGGTGCCTGGCAGGTCAAGGTCAAAGCAGTGGAGAAGCGAAGTACTGCACTACAGCAGTATAGACGTGCTTATGAAACGGAGACACTTGCTCGTACTTCTTCCAGGTATGTTATGGTTCTCCCGGTCCACTCCCATTCGAACATGCGTTGATATGATGCCTACAGCTGTGGCGGGACGAAGTTCTTCACCCCTGTCGGTGCCACGAAGGCCAAAGGCGTCACAGCGCTGAGACTCGCGCCACAAGTACAGAGCTCATACAACTACACAGCACTAGCGACCAACGACATGGCAGCGAGACCATTCAAGACAACGTGGTGTACCACGCCGAAGACTTTACGGGTGGTGATCAATGCTAGCGCGAAGACGAGCGAAGGATAGAAGTAAGAAGAATTAATGCATACTGTCATATTCATGCACCGGACTAGCGATATCGTGCAGGGTGAACACTCTCGCCGAATAGGGCGTGCCGGAGCAGTTTGAATAGCAGATGCAGCACTAAACCCCAGCTACTCAGGCTGAATCAATACTGCCATTTCCTATCCCCATATCACCTCGCCGGACTCCTCGGCTGCCCATTCCTCGCCAATGCAAGATTCGCCATAGGAGGCATCTTCGGCGGACTACTCGCCCGTGGACTCCTCGTTCCTCCTCGCAACGGCGAACCCGCCGCACTCGTACTTAAATCCTGTGCTCGCGGCGAAAGCGCAAAATTCGCCACAGGCGGCGCACGTTGCGGCTCAGGTGTCGTAATACCGACAACATCTACCTCCTCTACTGCAGGCCTCGCCACTGCTGCTGTCCGCCAGCCCACCGTATCGTTCGCAAGTGTCCTCGTCACCTCATCTATATGCGCCATCAACATATCACTAATGGTGGCCTCCTCACTCTTGCTCATTCGTCCAAATCTTTTCTTCGGCTTACGTGCATACTCGCTCGTCCAGAAATCATGCTTTGCACCCACAAACACCAAGGAGGCGCCGTAATACCATTTCGCAAGGTCCTCGTTCGTCGCTGACCTACAGCTTTGGAACGGGACATCTTCGACGAAAGAGATGGCGCGGGTCAGTCGTTCTTCTGCTCGATCCTCGTTGCCTTTGATGAAGTTTATGATTGCTCCGTGGCCGATGTTGGTGCCCATGAGGAAGACGTGAGTGGATTCGTTGACTTCGATGTAATTTTCCCATAGGTATGTTAGTAGTTGTGTAGCTTCGGAAGTGCGGTAAACGACATCGTCAGTGTCCTCGTGCTCTTGGCTGTCTTCGCCTGATGTAACGTGCTTTGGGAGGTTGACGTCGATGACTGCGAAGCCTTGGCTGATGGCCCAAGAGACATAGGTCTTTACAATATCAGTCTTGGCTTTTGGTCAGTGGTGATACAGATCCGGCGCACGAGGGAGGACTTACCAGCCAGGTGTTGTGCAGGTCGATCCTGCCTGTTCGAGGGTCTGGCGATGCTAGGACTTCTGGAGGATCGTGTAGGATAACCAGGAGTGGACATGCGTCCATGTAATTTGGGCTGAATCTGTTAGTGTTTGCCTCCTATGTGTTGTCATTTCACTTACGTCGCAAGTACTTGATCCTCGAAAGACTTCGAAAGCTGTCGTCGATGTATGAATAGCGGCGACATCTCATGCTCTTCCCACAAAGTGGTCGCCTGCCACTTCCGCACAACATCATGCATCCTTTCGCCGTGCTGTGGGCCAGCAAGCCGCTCGGACATATCCTTGGGATACAGGCACGACCAGAACTTGCTCTGTTGCCGCAGTACTAGCTTTGTATCATCCACACCAGTCTTCGTTGGGTTGACTTCTTGCAGTCGATCCGGCGGTTCGCCCATGAGCGTCCTTACCACTGCCACTGCTGAACGTGCGATCGAATCGAGATTGTAGCCGCCTTCCAAGCACACCGCCACCTTGCCGTCCGCAAGCGACATAAGCATATGAGTCATGTGCGCATAGCCAGCTGGAGTGACATGGCAACCACCTAACATATCGCCGTCCGCTGCATCGAAGCCGGCGGCAATGATGACTAGATCTGGGTCGAATTCTGTCGCGATCGGCATAACGACCTGCTGGAAGGCATATATGTAATCGGCGTCTCCCATGCCATGTGTCCGCCACGGAATGTTGACGTTTGTACCCAACCCTGTTCCCTCGCCGCAATGTAGATGGTCGCCATAGAACATGCGTTGATCGCGGTACGACCCCTCAGGATAGAAATGGCCGTTTTTGTGTACATGCAACGAGATATATAGCACATTCGGATCGTCATAGTTCGCTTGTTGTATCCCATTGCCATGGTGGACATCCCAGTCGAGTATAAGAACTTTACGGCACTTCTCACCGTATTCGGATTGGCACACTTTCGTGGCTATGCTAACGTTGTCGAAAAAGCAGAAGCCTTTGACATCTTCCCGTTCCGCATGATGGCCTGGAGGTCTAATGTTGGCAAAGACGTTCTTGACCTTACCTTGCATTATCGCGCGGCAGGCTTCGATAGCGCCACCGGCTGACAGACGGGCACAAAGGGGGGTGTTCGTCGAGAGGTAAACAGAGTCCATGGTGTCCTGCTTTTCGTGCTGCCTTTCCTTCCCAAGTTGTTCGATGTCGAGGTCGGCTATTGATGCGATCCAGTCCCAGTGTTTCTTCGTATGAACCAGACGTGCTTCTTCTTCGGTCACCTCACGAGCGTCTATGCGGCCCATGTAGTAGCTGGATGGACTCTCCGAGGTTGTCGACCACACCAGTCCAGCTTGACGGAGTGCTTCGTAAATGGCATGGATACGACGAGGGTCTTCGGGGTGTACATCATCATCCGTCGGATAGGCTTCCACGTGAAATCGCATGCGCACATCGTACACAAGTCCAGTCTGAGCGGTAGCATATGGTAGCTTGGAGAACTTTGCAGGTCGCGGTCGGTCCTGACGCGGATCAAGGATTGAGTCCAACGATCGGTCTACTTTGATGCCACTGCCCTTCAGAGCTGGTGGTATTGACGAAGTGGGTGTGGGTCCTCTGCGCACACTGCTGCCAGTGATGCCATTGTGAACGCTTGCTAGTAGTACGGCTGGCTGGGTGAACGGCTCTGTAGACGCCAGAATATCGGCTTCGTTCATTAACAAGTCGCCAGCATCATCAAGATCCATGGTCCGTGTTGTGTACTGATTTTCCTGGCGGACGATGGCAGTCAATGAAGCGGCCTGGCCTCACTTGATCCAGGCACTCCTGCTTGCTGTAGAATAGCCTCCATGTTAGCAATTGTTCGGCTTAAGAACTTAAAGGTGCAGTGAGTGAGGTGCTAATTAAGGTAAAGTTTGTCGAAAGCTCGCTCAAGTGCAAAAGCGGAGTGCGTGTGCTGGAAGGAGGATAACACATCGCCGCACGTCTGCTACAACAATACTATGTCTTACCTCTTAGTTCTGGAACTTAGTATATTATCGCACTGAGTCGTATCGCCACTATCAAGTACGTGTCCGTCGCTAAAGGCGTAGAAGGGAGGTGAGTATACTAATTAAGTAGTAAGTTAAGCAACAGATCTAGGTCAACTAAAGTAAATCACTAAAGACTTTATAAAGGTAGTAGCGCTTACTTAAGCTAAATCCTACTAAGAGGTAACTAATAAGGTTTTATCTCTAAGAATACTAGAATCTAAATCATACTCTTCTATAACTATAGTATCTATTATCGAGTAGTACTAATAGGATATCTATATCTCAATTATAATTATATATTCTACTAGCTCTTTATAAGTTTCTACTCTAAATAATATATCTAAAATTATAGGGTCGTTAGACTATAGCTACACAACCTTAGATATACTAAGTATTAGAGATAGTATACTTATAGTGCTCTTTACTTAATAAACATAAATGCCGTATTTGCTATTAAGTTGGGAGTTCGAGGGCGCGGTAGACAACCTTAACGATTAAATCGACCACGGAGGCTGCGTATCTGTTATGCACCTGCGGTACAAGGGGGTTAGAGCTCGTTAGACGAGTAAGTTCTAAGCGATGGGTCGGGTAAGTAACTGCTCTGAGGTTTGACCTTTCGGCGGGTTGGTAACTTAGGTTGAACACGAACTACCTACATAGGAAACGTCTACTCTATATACATAGGAGATTCGTGTGTAGTCGCGATCACTAACGGTAATTGCGACCCGATTATGGTCACCTACAGTAATTATAATCCGGATTACTCGATTACCTAGTAATAAAGTGATCCTATATCTAGCCCCAGAGTCAGTCTGCTGGCCTTAGGCCTCAGTTCCTAACTCGTCACTAATAATTGAATTCTATGTCCGTAACATCATCCCCCGTCCATGGTCCTATGTCCTCATGGTGGCCTATCGCCCTGACGGACCGTTGTTACGCCGGCGCGTAGTGATCGGTCCAATATGGCTTAGCGCGATTCCTGGCTTGGTCTATAAGTAATCGCGGGGTCCCGTAACCTTAAAGTTCGTTATCCGAAGATGAGTTCTCTTATAACTAAGAATCGACTTCGCCTTGCTTAAGAAATACAACAGTACGGGGAGTCTGCCGTAATCCCTTATAAGCGCTATCTCTTCTCTAGTCACTATTGCGTCATAATGGAATCGAATTCCCGCCTAAGATGTTCCGAGTGCGTCCGCCTAGGGCGCAAGTGTGTAAACATGTTATAGGAGTCGCTAGATCGTACTCGCGAGGAGTATCGGAAAAAGGTGGAGAAGGACGAGGAGGAGTTGTCTATAGTCCTTA